ATTATTATATAGAATATTAATAAAATAAAATAATTATAGATTCTATATTCTTTTATAAAATCTAGTTTTTTCTTTTTATAATGATACCAAATGCATTTCTTATTTAGATAATTAATTAAGTATTATAATTCATTTTCTTAAAATAGATAATAAGATTCAATTAGTTATTAATTCTTTTTGAATTCCTTAATTAATTTCTTATTTTCTAATTCAAAGTTTTCTAAAAGTTCTTTTTCGTAATTGATATTATTCTTAATACTAATTCTAAGATTTTGATTATTGATATTCAATTCCTTTAATTATTTAGGATTAAATTGAAATAGATCTTTTTCTAATAATTCTATTTCTTTTGAGTTTTCTTTTAAGATTTTTGTTTTTCGAGAATCTTGTTTTCTGTTCTCAAATTTCATTTATTTCTTGTTTTTTATAATGAATAGTTTTTTCTTTTGAAAACAATCTTGAAATATATATTCGTTTTTTTATAAATATAATATAAATTATTCTTTTTATATCTCTTTTTTTTATCAGTATTTAGATTATTTAATTTTATATAATATCGTTCAGTATTATTCAATTCTATTGGATTATTGATATTATAATATTTATTCTAATGATAAGATTTTTGAAATTTTTTGTTTTCTTGAATGATTCCTTTTTTCTTTATTCATTATTTATAGAATTGATTATTAATAAAAATGAAGGTTTCAATCAATTCAAAAAGATTAAATGATTTCGGAGTTTTTGTTAATTCATTTTTAATGATGTTTTTCAATTCTTTATAAAATTATAATTTTAGATAATTATTATTTTATATAATATATTCAATATATTATTGAAATTTATTAATATAGATTATGATTGATTTAATTTATTTAAATTATTGTAATGCTTTTTCAATTATATAATTAAGATCTATTTTTTTAAATATTCTATTGAATTTTTATCTAAATGATTCATAATTGAAAAAGAAATAATAAATCTCAGATTTTATATTCTCGTTTAATTGATTATCGATAATCTTGATTATTAGATTATTGAAAAATAATTCAATTCAATTGAATATAATTCCTTAGAAAAAAAAGATCAATTATAAAATCCTTTGTATAGAAATCAAGAAAAGTTGTTTATTAAAGATATAATAAAAATCAATTTGTAAGAATTCTGGAATCTACTCACCGCACACCATTCAAATTCGTGACAAAATCCCTGCAAAAATCATATTTTCCTATATAAAATAAAATATCGAATAACTTTTTCAATGTTAAATGAAATCAAATAAAATTTTCAAATATTATAATTAACTACAAAAGGATATCGAAAAAATTTATAATTTATTTTTAATCATTTTTGTTCTAAAGTTATATCTATTTAAATTTAAAAAATATTAAAATTTCATTCGTGTAACGCTTTTTTGAACTTTTCCTCATATAAAATAAGCGATTTTTTTAAACTTTTTCGTTTTTTCAATCTTAAATATATATAACTTTGAAACAAAAATAATAATAAATATTTCGTTAAATTTTTATTATATTTGAATCAATTATCTATATATATATCAATTTTTATATATTTATTTTATTATTTTATAAAGATAACAGGGGTTTAAAAAGTTGAAAAAATCGTTGATTTTGGTGTGATTTCGCTTAGTGTGCGGTGAGTAGATTCCAGAACTCTTATAACAAAAACTTAATACTTGTTATGATTTTTATAAAATAAATCAAAAATGGATATCTGAATCGCTTATTTATATTCTATAATAATAATGATTTGAATAAAGATTTCGATTAAATTAAATAAAGATAATTCAGTAGATTATTGATTGAAAATCATTATATTATATTGTAAAAGTGATAGGTCGAGATATGTGCGTCCTGATAGTATGTTGTGAGAAGGGAATTGAAAGAGAAAGCTAAATTAGATTATATTGTAATATATCATTTATAGATAAAACAGGGTTTACAATGGTTTTGGGGTTGATATTATATAAGTTCAAATATATATATATAGAAGGTTGATTATTATAAAAAGAAGAAACAAAAAGCTTTTCTTTTATATCTAATTATAAAAGATTATATAATTGATTAATTAAAACCTTTATGTATTTGATTTATAATTCCAATTTTCTTATAATATATAATTTAATTATAACAATATTCAAAATATAACAATCTGATCAAAACAATAGTTATCTAAGATTTCATATAATTAATAATCATTGATTATTTATTCAAAGATAAATATATTACTAAATCAATTGAAATATAAGTAAACTAATTAATAATTAAATTGAATATAAAATTTCTAAATTATAAAATTATTCTGATTATATATTAATGAATATAAAAAAGTTTTATAAAATTCTAGAATTTCAAAAAGCTTTTAAAGCTTTAAGAGCTTTCGAAGTTCTCAAAGCTTTTTATTATATAATTAAAATCAGATTATATATTCAAGTTTATTAAAGGTAAAGAGATTATATAAAACAATTATCATACAAATTTGTATACAAGTTGCTTTGCTTTTCGAGGAGGTCCAAGCTTATATGAATAGATTGATTGTTGCTTCTCAATATATTATAATCTTAATTGTAAATCGTGATATATAATTAGAACTCTTTGAAAAACTATCAATAAGATTTTCAATGAAATTTCATTGGAATTAATAAAGAGATATCTGAATAAACTAATAGAATTCAATTATAATCAATCGGAAAACATAGATGATTATATTAATTCTATTTAATCATTATATAATTATCTTAAATCTATAAAATATGATATTCTGAAGGTCTTTATAATCTGATTCATTTTTAAAGATATATTTAGTTCATTTGATGACTTTACTTTTCGAAAATATGAAGAATTAGTTAAAGAACTAGTTAATAATTAAAATAATGATATTAATCTAGATAATTTATTTTCTAAATTAATATCTGAAAAGACTAAGATGAAATCTAATACAGATTTCAATACAAATAAGGCTAGTTTTAATTTTAAAAATAAAAATAAAACTTTTTATTATAATTATTATTATAAAAAGGGTCATTTGAAGGCAAAATGCTTTATTAAATATCCGGAGTTTAAAAATAACAATGATATTAATGTTACGAGGGATGCGATCTAGATCACATGGAAGTGGCCTGGATCCTCGAATGGTTTATAACTAGGCGTCAAGCAGGAGCTTTAAAATAATATCAATGATTACAATTCGTAACTAATAGTAGATTATACTAAATGATTGATCTTGAATACAAAGCTTTACAAAAGGAATCCTTTCCTAGTTATATAAACCTTTATATCGATTGGATTATAAAGATCTAATAGATCTAAATACGATTTTTTAGATCTTCTAGATCCTATAATCTATTATGTGACTACGATCAGACCATATATCCGAGCTTGCTAAAGGTGGGGAGACCATATAAGGCGATTACTATACAAATTTGTATACAAATTGCCTGTAACGATCTGGTCGAGGCAGCGGCTGCCTGAGGATTCGTATGGTTGGTAGTTGTAGGTTAAGGCTAATAATCACTGGTTATCCACTCGAAGGTGAATACGTTACTAGATCAATTGGAATGTAGGTAAACTAATTGATAACTAAGTTGAGCACGAAGCTCTTAAACTATGAAACTATTCTGACTATATACTAATCCATTTCGGGAGCCTCCAGGAGCGTAGGCTCCTCGAGGCTCCATCACGTGACTAGGATCAGACCATATGTCCGAGCTTGCTGAAGGTGGGGAGACCATCTGAAGCGGTTGCCATACAAATTTGTATACAAGTTGCTTTGCTTTTCAGGGAGGCCCAAGCTCATAAGGACAGGTTGACTGTTACCCTGTAACATTCTATAAAATGATTTCGTGACAACTTACTCATTTGAGTGAATATATCTTCACTTCCAAATTTAAATCATATTAGTAATAACTATTATCTTTGTTTCCTCATTTGAAAAACTCGATTCTTTTTTAACTCAGTTTTCTGACTTCATTATTACAAAACTTTTCCAATAATTTTCAATTTCTTTTTTTTATCAATCTCTATATCATCTATAACAATTATATTATTATAATATTTACAGAAAGAAAACTTTATTATATTTCTAAACTTATATCATTCTTGATATTATTATTTCTAAGGAAAAAAAATCCATTCAAAAACCGAAAAGTGAAGTAAGTATATTTGAAGTATGATTGAAGTATACTTTTATATAACATTTGATACTTATAATAAAACAATAGTATAGAGAATAGAGGAATTGAGAGAGAAAAAGTAAAGAAAGAGGAAGTAGAGAGAGAGGGAGTGGAAGGGGGAGAAGTATAGAGAGGGGGAATGGAAGAGGGAGAAGTAGAGAAAGGGGGAATAGAAGGGGGGGAAGTAGAGAGAGAGGGAATGGAGAGGGGATTTGAAGCCAGAATTCGAGTGTTCGAACAGCAGATTATAAGGCTGCAAAAGGAGCTTCGACGTTATCGACGAGCGGTTCTAAATAACATTAACCCTCTGCACCCAACGCCAAGATTAGCTGCCATTGCTGGAATAAATGTATACAAAGAGCTTTTAGATAATGATATTGATTATCAATTAAATGTTGTAATAAGAATCAATATAATAGCTGATTTTATCAACGGAGATAAAAAATGCTTGTTGGATTTAATACTCAAAGTATATCGACAATAATATGATACAGGAAATTCTGATCGAAGATGAAGAGATTTGTAATATAATTTTCTTTTTGAAGGAGGATGGAAATCCATTATAAAACTATCAAAACCGATTCTGAGAGATTATAATAGAACTGAAAGTGCAATAGTAATAGGAACTTTAAAGATATATATTCTTTATCAACGATTTTATCTCTTTATTGTACTTCAATTATATTATTATTGTGTTTTATAAATACTTTAGAGATTAATATAGCATTTTGGCCAAGCTGATTGCCCAGTATTAGTTTTAAATGAATATAAACGATACTATAGTATTGATGAAAACAGATATGAAGTTTACATGTCTATTGTTTCAGTCGCGCCTCGTCGACGTCGCGGGGAGCAGGTTCAACTCAGAGTTTTCTCGGGCATTTTCGGCCCTGAAACCCAATTGTTGGATATGGGCTCCAGAATGGTCCCAGCAAATCTCGTTAGATTTAACATGCCAGCAGAAAGAGCCCTCGCAATGGGTCTACAGAAGTTTGATCAGAACGAACAAGAGCGGTATACCGCATACAATAAGGCGATGTTATGCTATCAAGCTCGAAATAGGATCCATCATTGGCTCCATATGGGCCACCGCTATGAAAACGTTCCGGACGAAGAAAATTATATACTGTTAAAGCCTAAAAACAGTCTGTCCTTTATACAAAATCTCGCTGTGGAGCTGCAAAACATGATGTATACAGACTTGATGGGTGGTGGAGGATTGGTTGATCCTTTCCGGGAAAGATGACGGATCTCTTATTTGAATTTTTATCTTTTTTTCATTTTGTTATTTATTATTTGTTTTCTTTCGTTATTTATTCTTATTATTTTCATTCTATTTTCTTTTTCTCTTTTTTTTTATTATATTTATTTTCGTAAGCGTTTGGGAATTAAGGAGTTTAACGAGATCAATATATATGATGGAAAATGAGGCTTTTTATTATATAGTATAGTTATGATTGAGGTTTATCGGGTTTCCTTCAATCTTCTCCTGAATAGGATAACTTTCCTTTCGAGAATCAAAAACAATTATTTTTGATTTTTACTTTATGATGATAGTGATGTGTTGTGAGATATAATTGATATTGTAAATTGTATTAATAATGAAGGTAAATATAGCAAGAAGTTCTTCACATTAAAGCTTAAGAATGCTAGCAAAGATATAGGCGCATTATGCTCCGACCACGCTTTTATTAAAATCGTGCCCTATTATCCCGTATAACTAAGACCATTGATGATTCTGAGCCCCGAATTTTGTCAACGGATTCTCTCGTTGATCGACAAGCCATGCATTATGATCAACTTTGGGGCCATTTAGATAGCTTCTGGGAGTTCCCCGAAAGACGACTGGCTGAAATTACTGATGCCGGAATTCCGATTGGGCCTCCTAAGATAATGGATACTCCGTTCTTGTTCGCCTACACCTTTCTTTCATTTAAGAATATATCTATTCCTCTTTCTGTTTCTGTTTCTGTTTCTGTATTGTTTGACTTTCGTTTTTTATCCCTCTTTAATGGCTCCTCTCCAAAGAAATCCGACTCCAACCATCCATCTCTTCGAATGGCTCGCGCGTGAGCATCATCATCCAGAGATCGCGCAATGGCTATGATGTGAAGCTTCAAATTATAGTGATCTGCATACTCGAAATCTCCCTTCGGATACTTTTCGTATTGGCATTTAAATCTACCATCCGGAAAGAGCTGTTTCATTTTCCTTATCCACTTCCAGTTTTCATTATGAAACAAAGATTTCTGACTCCTCTTCTCAACATGATACCAAGGGCTCTTAAAGTTGGGGACAAAGCGATATTCTCCGGATTTTGCACATAATTCAGAGTCATTCGGAGTACCTTTGCTTCCTTTCCAGTTTCCATGTCCTTTTCACCGTTCGTTTTGAGGTACGGGAAGGTAACCACCATGTTAAACTTCCCAATATTCGGTGTCTGTGAATCGGATGATTCCATTTCTAATACTGAGTCAGCTTTGATCTTGCGGTAAGCGTGGTCTGACCACGCTTAGGACTACGCTTTAAATAAAGGGAAACCTTTACCTTCATGAGTTCTACTAGCCCGGGTGATAACAATATCTTGCCACCTTAAGTACTGTCCTTTCCTGGTTGGATTCTCAGCGAGGGAGCCTGGCCTCACCCCACAAACGCACCCCAAACACCAAGCTAGCTCATGCTGTTCGCTGACCTCGCGTGAAATGGTATTTAATGCTTGCCAATCAAGTAGCTGTTTCAATTCATATCGACCAAAATAGACTTTGGTTATATTTTCAGCCCCCCAAATTCTCCCTCCTCATAAATCCTTTGCAACAAGGTGGATTCCCTTGGTGATTTCCCGGTTGAACTTTCTTGTGAAAAGGGGAGCATCTCGCTTGTCCAAGATCCATTTCTCGAGTTGGGTTCTACGATGTGTAGCGCTGCTTATCTTTGGTTGTGTATCTGTAAGTCTTCTTGGAACAACTCTTCGCATCCATAACTGAATATAGAAAATGATATCCTTTCGCAATGTTTCTGCATCTTGGTTGAATAACAGTTTTTCAAAGACGGGGTCATCCATATCAGTGCTTGGAAGTTCTCTTCCCATCATCCTATATCGGAAAATCATATCTCGCTTGAATTCGAAGAGGACTCGATCCTCTTTCTCTATCGTACTTTGAGCACCTGAAAACAGTACGGTCAGACCACGCTTTTCAATAAACTAAACACGCTGTCGTTGAACTGTTGGAAACAATTCAGTATGATGAAACGTACCAAGTCTATGCGATGATGAGGCCTCCGTTAACTGATTTATCAATTCATACTCCGCCTTTTCCTCTGCGCTGAAGTCGCGTATCAGGTAGTTTCCTTGGTCATCCTCCCATGTACCTGACAATCGTTGGTTGATACTGAGACGGAGGGGTGGCATATCGCCTGGTTTGGGGACAATTAATGGAGGCATCTTTACATCAATTGTTCGAGAAATTGTAGTTGTTCGTAATATCAAATATGTATAGTAGATAGATAATAAGAATAATACTTCAACAATCCATTGGCAAAAAGAAGTTACATTTATCAAGTCAATGATGAAGATTACTCAATTTACATTGTAGATATATTACAGATGACTCATACTACTTACTAATACATACAAATACCTTTGGAGCCAAAGTATTATAGAGGATCAGGATATTAAAGAGTTTTCATGTATGGCATGGATTGATGGAAAGGGAACGATATAAGAGTGAGAGAAAAAACGTGGTCTGACCACGCTTTGAGCATATCCAAAATGGGAAGGAACAATATCCAGGCAACAAGATGTAGTATAGATTTTCCCCAGATCTTACCCCGCCTCAATTGCTTCCTATGAAATCTTCAAACTTTTTCTCCGTTACAATTCGAGATCCATATATATCATCAATAAGCATAACTTCATGATGAGCGACCCACCTGCACCTCATACCCCTCCTCCACAAAATGCTGCCATCGATGTAACCCACCTTACATCTCTTGAAGAGTGGGTATCATTTCCTTATGGAATATATAGGCATTCCTTCGATGTCATTCAAGCAAGAACAGAGCTATTAGAAAAGGCAATGGAGAATATCGCAACCAAACAAGATGAGATATTGGATTTGTGAGTATAAATCATCCAATATTCATCCACATTATTCATCTGGATCCCATTTGCTACTTGCAACTCATTGAAATCTTTTACTTCATTTGAATACCTAGTAATTCAACCGATTTGAATCTTTCAATCTATGGGCTCCTTCATCAACCGCGCTTCAACCACGCAAATAGTGTGCCACTCGCTAACAAGATGGTTTTAATAGGCTGAAAAAGCGAAATGATCTACCTATTAAAAGAAGAGCAAGCGCAGGTCAGGGTACTCATCATGCAGATAATACAACCACCAAGAAATTTAAAAATGCAGGAAAAGTAAAGAATATATCTGTAATATCCGTGATTCATGAACTTTTCGAGATCACAATTGACAATTACGAAGGGAAAATGTTGACTCGTACAACAACTACATCGATTAAGAATTCTAAAAAATGGTGGGAATTTGTTGTAATATATGAAGATAAATTCAAAGGAAAATATAATGAAACAGAAATAGAATCGATGTATATACAAGTTGGTATATTGTTGAGCAAAGCGAAGGAAAAGAAAAATGGGAAGGAAAAGAAGAATAGAAAGGAAAAGAAAAGGAGAGTCAAAGAGAGAGAAATAGATGAAGAAGAGGAAGATGATGAGGAGGAGGTAACGGAGGAGGAGGAAAAGGAAGGAGAGGAAATTGAGGAGGAAGAGGAAGAAGAAGAAAATGAAGGATGAAGATAAGGAATGATTGAAAGTAGATTTGATAGGAAGGAAACTACTTATATTAGCTTCGGAATATATAATCTTGTTTCGATTGTGCTCGGATTATAATAGTTATTTCAATTAATAATAACTTTAGTATAGGATTGAGGTAATGTAAAGAACAAATATATATAAACTTTGTTAAACTTGGATTTATAATAATTATAAGATTATATATATTGAAGTATTAGAGATTCAAAGGTTTTTATGCTTCAAAAGAGTAATAGAGGTTCGAAAGCTTTATAATTCTTAAGTATAGAGATTTATATAATCAGGAAGGATTCCTTATTGTAGATATATTAATACAAAGATAAATCTTCAAAACCCTAAAGGTATTTATTAAAGGGTAAGCCGGTAAGGGGTTCCTTCGGAACCCCTTACCGGCTTAGGAGATCGGGGTTCGACTCCCCGTCAGAGAGATCTGAGTTCATGCAACTTCTTTTGGTAATTTAAATTTATTTATTTAATTTTTTTTTTTAGATGGATTTGCAGAGGAAGGAAGGGGAAGGAAAGCTTTGTGTTGTGTCGAATATTGTTTTGATTGTGTGGAGATAGATATATTATTGATGTGGAAGATGTGGGGTAAAACTTTAAAAACATAACAAAATTGTTCTATACCTTCTTCATAAACAAATTCAAAACATAATTAATTCATCCATCCGATTTAAATAATATCATCTAGTAACGCCATCTTCATCATATGGTAATCATGCATATAAAATCATGATCCCTGGCAATTCCATCCGACTTCAACCTACTTACTACCCAACTTGACAGGTATTCTCCTGCGTCTGACAATCACTGAGATCAAACCCATCGGCGGTTCCACCATTGACTGCATTTGCACATGCGTTAAATTGTATATCGCAACTTCTCTGTAGAGCCCCAGCTTCATTTACAAACGTGTTGCCATTTACCGAGAACGGACGCGTTGAATCTCCACTGTTGGTTACAGCTGGCGCGGTTATACCGCCTAGTGCGGCGGTGGAAGAGGCTGTAGAAGAGGAACCGGCGGTTGCTGTACTACTTGCGAAAGCTATTGCTGAGGATGTGCTCGTTGCCACACCGGGATTAGCAAAAATGGTCGTGAATTTTGTTGCTTGTGGTGCACACTCAGAAGCAGATGAAGCAGATGAAGCAGATATGACCGTAGAAGTTGATGAAGAGCTCGTAGTCGAATCTGTGTTGTCCGGACCAGCTGCGACTGCGCTGGCTGCTAGAGCTGCTGCTGCTTGACCACCGGAGCCTGCGCGTTGGTAAATGTTAGCATGGCGTTTCATTCATGAAGGACAAAAAAGGTTGGACCTACCATTGTCAGACGCGGCATTTGCAGTGGTACCAGATCCGATGACGGTGAATTTAGTACAGTCGTCAGCTGTTCCTCGTTGGGCAACAGGCATGATTACAGGCTGATGATTAGTTGAGGAAGCCAATGTGCATACACGATAGTTTCCAGCCGGCAAACCACCGGTGACAGTAGCTGAAAGAAGTCCCTGGCCATTCCCAACATCATTGATACCCTTGAAGAACGCGAATTGAGTAGGATCTAAAGCTCCAGTTGGGTTGAGACTGGAACCCATATCTTGTACGGTGACGTGTGTATGCCCAATTACTACCTACGATACAACATCAGATATCAGTGATTATTGAGTAGGGATAGGACTCTGCGGAAGATAGAGAATATTAAAAGTGAGGCCGGCCACGTAGAAAGTGGGACATTAGGTAGTTCGGAATGAGAAAACTTACTCCTGATGCGTCAAGCTGCTGTGGAGCGGAGAAATAGGTAGAAGCAGCGTTGGAGAAGGAACCTGCAGCGATGTTGGACATTTGAACAGTGATATTGAATGTTGTATCGGATTTTATCGTCGCGCTACCAGCCAAAGGGAATGTGATAATTGACGACATCATTTTGGTTTTCGCGGGTATTTGACCCATTGCTAAAAACATGAGAAGACGATCAATCAGACTGAGATAGATACTTACGGATCCCGTTGCAAGACCCTGTTACAATCTGAAGGCCGTTGGTAAGGGTGTCTCCTGCACAAAAGTTGATGAAGTTGTTTCGAGAAGTGGCAGACGCAGCTTCAGATGCCTCATTACCACCGATTTCTTGGAGCCCATCACTAAATGATCCGCTTGAAATAGCATCCTGAGCCAGAGTAAGACTAGTATCATCGGAACTCGTTGCTGTGGCGCGCCTGTGAACATCTATGTGTCTCCTCGCACCGCGAGCCTGAGCTATGCTAGTCGAAGCAAGAAATATGAGAGTGATTGATTGAAACAACATTTTGATCGTAGAATGATGACCTTTTATGTTGTTTAGTAGGTTTGTAATGAAAAATTAAAAAATTTATGTATGTAAAAGCGACACAGTGGACTAAGTTCAGATGAAAAGAACGGAAAAGATGCTATCAAAGCATAAAGAGAATGTAAAAGTAGAAAGAATGAATGCGCACGAAAGGAGTGTAGCTTGAACAAGTCACGATTGATATCAATGAGGGAGATAGATGTTATACTTGGTGGCAACACCATCATTCATATACATTTTCTTTCTGAACCCCAACTGCATATCTGTGCCGTGAGCCGACAATGGATGGTAAGCCCCAATTAGTCTTGACCATATTTGACGATCCCACTTGCAGGCAATAGTTGCAGCTCATCAATTGAAGCTGTATCAGCGTGTTTGATTTGTTCATCCCAATTGATGGTTTCGGTTTCCAGGAGAAATGAACATGCTGTACTACAGTTTCGTACCGGATTTTTAAGAAAGCAAAGCAATTCATGGTCACTGGAGCCGAGCCTTATGATCTCATGGGATGAAAATAAATTGCAAGGAGGACAACTTTTAGCACGATCCTTGGTAAAGATGCAACGGATAGGAGAGTTGGGATGAAAGAGCTTCATGATGAAGAACCTTCCAGTTTGTCATAGGTAGCTTGGGACGAACGTGTCTCAAGTACTAACATATGACACGGCTCTTGCAAGAGATGAAAATCTCGCTTCTGCAACAGTGAGCTGTTGCAGAACTAATGCCGAAGGTTTAGAAAAGATTAAATCCATCAAATCATACTGCGAACATTAATGTTGAGCTTGTTTGCTGTTGAAGTTGCTGAAGTAAAATTCTCACACATATATTGGTATATTCGCAATTCACATAGAAATTGTGAGATCGGATTTTTGAAATCATGGTGGTAGAGAATTTGCGTGAAAGAGAAAGTTAGCAATTCTGCCATCTTATCTTATTGCTGATAAACCCCTTAGATGACAGTTTCAGAGCAGCGGTTAACATGAAACGAGGACCACTTCATCTTGTGTCTACATTAGACGACAAGAATTGCATCATGTGGTACTCACCGATCAATAAATGTTTTTATAGTTGGAACAAATTTTAGAATCAAGGAGATGCAGGTACCTCATCTCGGATCTCAGATGTGTGGAACAAGGTCATTCGAGTCATTTGAGTCGTCATCACGTGATGAATTAGTGAGATATGACTAGATCATGTGATAATAGAAGCCGATTGGTGGGAAAAACTGCGAAACAAACAAAAAGTCCCCCACGACCACATCTGATACCTATCTAAGGTATGAAGGTACCGCTACATGAACTAGTTTCTATGTACCTAGGTACAACATCAAACATCGGCAACTTCTCATCTTTACTCTCTACAAGTCTTTCACAGTAATGCCTCTATAGCCAACCCTTACACATTTCGACTGCTTTTGACCATCGCGAAAACTTCTCCTTGCTCTCTTCCTGGGTAATTTTGGGGTGAAATACAGTTTTACCTACAGTATTGATATTTTTCAATTCGTTGAAAGTTTTCCAGACCCCAACGGCGAATCCTGCAGCGATAGCGGCACCCAATGCTGTTGTCTCCAACATTCTTGGTCGTTCAACTGGGATCGAAATAAGATCGGCTTGAGTCTGAATCTTTTTAGACATTATCCAAGATGAAAGGGTTTTGGCGATGGAGCTTACTTGCATACAGAGATCAGAGTTGCTCATGCCACCATCGACGGCGAGCTCAGCAAGTTTCTTTCCACTATCCTTTTCCATTGCGTCCAAGATGGCTTTCGTTTGGAAGCACGTTGCCTCCAAGGTTGCACGAGCGATATGACCTTTTTGCGTATACGCTGTAATACCGACTGTCAAATTTGTCAGCACTGTGGTTTGTTAGATGTCGAAATGTATCTTACAAAGAGTGCCGCGAGCGTCATCGTACCAGTACGGAGCGAATAACCCACTGAATGCTGTCACGAAAGTGACACCACCGTTATCCTCTACCGTCTCGGCAAGCTGACTGACCTTAGCTGGAGAATCGATGAAGGCAAGATTGTTTTGAAGAAATTTGATACTGGAGCCTGCGACCGCGATACTTCCTTCCAAAGCATATTGTGGTTTACCGTCAAAGTCGTAAGCGACCGTACTTAAAAGCCCATGCGTAGAGATTACAGGCTCATCACCAACATGGTAGAGTAGAAAGCAGCCTGTTCCGTACGTGTTTTTTGCCCTGCCTGGAGTGAAACCCTTCTGCCCCACGAGTGCTGCACTTTGATCGCCCAATACACCCGTAATTGGAACTCCTTTCAAAATTCCCGTTGTAAGAGTGCCGAAGGATTCGCGGTCTGAGGAGCGGACAATCTTAGGAAGACTACTACGTTAGTGCGTTCTTCCAGTCAGAATATGTAAGGAGCGTACTGAAGTCTATCCACATCAAGTCGGAAGAAATCCAGAAGCTGCTCATCATACTGGAGAGTCTGTAAGTTCATGAACATTGAACGAGATGCGTTCGTGGGATCAGTGACGAATACGTTATTCTTTGGGCCGCCATTAAGGTTGTAAACGACCCAAGAATCTATAGTTCCAAACGCCAAACGACCACGAGCATAGGCATCTGTAACTTTACCATTGTTTTCAATCAACCACAAAAGCTTGCCAACAGAAGGATACGTCGATAATGGAAGACCACAAAGGCGCTGCAGTTGATCAGACCCAACTCGGGTTTTTAATCTCCTGACCAAGGCTTGGTTTCTGGTATCTGTCCAAACAATGGCATTCGCAAGGGGTTCTCCCGTGACGTGGTCCCAGACAACCGTTGTCTCTCGTTGATTCGTGAGTCCCACGGCTTTGATTTGTCTCGCCGAGTGGCCTTTTTCTTCGAACTGTTTGACAGCGCCTTCGATGCAGGCTTCTATCGAGTCAATAATTTCAAGAGGATTATGCTCGTGCCACCTTTTGTGGTTAGCCTACATTACTGTCAAAATAGACAAGAGTACAAACCCCGACTGTGGATATATCTGAGAAAACTCAACTTGATGCGAAGCAACAGGCTCACCGTCTCTATTGAAGATCAAAAACCTTGTACTTGTGGTGCCTTGGTCGATGGAACCTATGAAAGATTCATGGCTGGATACTGAATTTTGATCACTCATATTGGTTTTGTTACTGGCAAAAAGATGTGCCTAAATCTCTGCTTCTTGTAGCCATCCAGAAAGAGATGGCCATAGGAAAAGAAGTCCAGAACCGCTCGTCAGGACGAAGTTTCTTCATAACTGAAGCATGTGATACCTCAAAGCATGCCCGGCTCGTCCAGCAAGACTAATTAATGCGAATGGCTTGCATAGAAAGGAGCGGGCCAATTCCGCAAACTTGGTGTGCCAGGAAAGGAAGCCTAGTTCTTACCTTGGCATCGACCGATAGAGTGGCTCGTGAGCGTAACATTACGCCACCGCAGTTATTACAAGATATATACCGAATGGTCAATTCACTCTCTGACAGACTATCTGATATTTTTTAAAATTCGATTTCTGCCGTTGAATTTGACAGGGAGCAGAAACGAGCTGACTTATCTTCTTAGCTAGTGGGATAATTAGCCTAGATCGCTACAAGGTACGTGCGACTGCGGGCAAAGGCTAGGACACTTGCTCGCAAATCCGAAAACATAGTTAAATCTTAAATGAACATTGATGCTTACATAGCACAGCAGATGCAGGTTGGCGCGCACCGGGAGGATTTTTTCCATGAAAATTCTGATCAAACCATTTCTCCAGAGCCATAATTGATTTCTGTCCTACCTCGGTAGGTATCGGCACATCACATTTGGAAACACCATCACTAGATGATAGAAACCAGCTTTCATATAAACGAATTCGAACTAACAAGAACGGATGCTGTGATTTGGTATTATATGCGATTGTTGCACTCACCGGAGTATCATCACCAAAGCGAAGGTCATTATTATAGAAGATGGAGAGGAAGAACTATTGCGTTTTTTGGAAGGGTTCTAGAACCATGAGAGCTAGCAAAAGATTTTGGTTCATGAGATGGCGCTGCATCGGTGTCCACTACCCCGCATCGCGCCGCATCCCAGAGCACTTACACGAACTTAATTCCCAACTGACCATGATTGGAACCCACAAATGATTACGAACGCCAACAGGACAAAAGGGTCAGCATCCTCACTTGGATTGGATATGCATTAGGGATATTTCGACGTTTTTCTATCTTAGGACCATTTATGCACATGGTACCCTACCATAAAATTCCAACGGTAAGATCCTTGAATGTCTGGACCAGCGCATAAAGCTCATATCATTATAGTAAAAGCTGATCACAGCTTTTTCATCTGTCATGGGGGTCGCATGATGATTCGGAATCAAAACCTGAAGGGGATGATATTTTGCACAGAAAATACAGGGAGGCAATTGACGTATCGCATCTAAATGAGGCCTCTAGTGGTGAATTGAATGGTAAACAATCCTTTAAGTATTTCGCAAAACAAGCCATCAGCCATCTGGTTGGCCTCAGTGGAATAGAAACTCATGCATTCAATTACTTAGTGGATGTGTCGGCTCCATCTTTCGTACAACCGCCATTCATGCAGCCAGCCAGCCAGCACAGATATCGAACGCGCTTGCCCTAGCGTTATCTCTGTAAATTGAATCCTTACCATGCTGGGAAAGATATGGATGGGGTATAAAGGTAACATAAGGTTAAACAGTGGAGACTGGGGTAAATAAACATCTACCCTGCAGGCAGTCGAATCAACCACACTAACCTAGGAGATGAGTTTGATTGGTAGCTCCATCTTAACAATCATTACCTGTGTTTTGGTTAAGACCGCCATGCTTTGCTACGCCATTGATTGAATCGAGAGATGCAGAGCATCGGTTCATCCGAGATTAGACTCGAATTCTTGTACGAGTACGGCACTCACTTGCAAGAGTTGTAGAGTCGATAGTGTGATGTGTCAGATTAAGGGAACTTATCCATAACTCCCAACTCTTACATCCTCTCCAAAATACCATTATAGCATAGCTCCTAGGGTTTTGTCAAAGTGATGAAGATATTTTTAGTTTAGCCATGGGAGCTAGATTTATTAATAGCTGTCACCTTCTTCCGACTGACTCTAAACTGGAGAAATTTATCATGTATTTGTCCTTAAAGTTCTATTGAAATTGTTGATGCGGGGTCGAGCAACCAAGACTGCGCCGTCAACCACCAGCAAGGGTAGACTGAAGTTATTGATGAGCATGCATACTTCCCAGGTCACCCAAAACTCAGCACCGCATACTGTGGTGTTGCCCCTCCCTATTAGCTATCACAAAAGCGACTTAAACATGCCCCTGGTATGCTCTCGAACTTGCAATTACTTAATCCTTCCCGTAGTAGGAATACTCCGATGCAACGAAGCTTCAGAGCTCTTTGCAGTTTCTCGGCTTACGCAACCTATCTAATCATCCCATCCAAGATGCTTTCCGCACTTACAAGGAAGATAATTCCACAGCATACCACTGCGCGTCTTCTTATCACTTCGGCAATTATGACGGGCAAGTCTGAAATTTGCTAAGATTGCCAGATAGGGAGACTTGACTGTATGAAGTGGCTTGAAAGCGCCAACATAAGCTCTTCTCGAGGGCACTAACTAGATTATTTCCTCGGTATGCTACTACATCATAGTCCGCGCTGTAATAGTCCAAGCATCCCAATCTTGCTCACATGTTCATTCTGCTAGTATGACAACTTCAGGTACAAACTCGTTCTATTCAGCGCCCTCAGATCATATAAAACGGCATTGACCAGAATTTCATGCTACTTGTTGATAGGTTAGAGTCCAGGATCATCTCATACATTGAAAGGTGCATACCGAGAATAATTTTTCAAAAGTTGTACTTCTTCTAATTTGTCACAATGGATCCCGAAAAGCAAGTGTCGCCGATGCCTACCGTCAGCCATGACGAGGATATTGAAGTCTCGGGCTCTAAACACTCTTCACCAGACCTCTCATTGCAAGAATCCACATTGAATGGACATAACATGCAGAGCATAGGTAGCGGTGGATATGCCGAACATGGACCTGGAATTGATCATAAGATCCCACAAGCGCTCGAAAAACAAGCCAAGCCAGATTTGTTGTGGAGTCGAATTCGACATGCTATGCGAGAGCCATTTTCGGAATTCTTTGGCGTATTCATTTTGTTAGTATTGGCACAAGCCTTTAGCCTTCACAACATGGCAATTATACTTTTGTTCGTGCCATAACCATTGACGTTTGAGCAGGATCTTGTTCGGAGATGGCGTTGTTGCGCAAGTAGTCCTTAGCTCGGGCGAGAAGGGCTCTTATCAATCAATATCTTGGGGATGGGGGTACGTTTCCGTTTAAATCTAAACGGCACATAGGCTCACGAACTTAGTATTGGAGTTATGCTTGGAGTCTATGCATCAGGCATCAGTGGTGCTCATATCAACCCCGCGGTAACTTTCGCAAACTGTGTCTTTCGCAAATTCCCCTGGCGCAAATTTCCCATTTACATGCTGGCACAAGTATTAGGTGCAATGTGTGGCGCAGGTGTAGTCTATGGTTTGTCTGTTCCCAGCTAATATGAAAATGGTAATCTAACGTTTCAATCATGACAGCCAATTATAAATCCGCCATCGACGTATTTGAAGGGGGCCACAACATTCGAACTGTGGGCCTAAATACATCATCTGCAGGCATATTCTGTACCTATCCCGCCCCATTCATGACAAAAACCGGACAGTTCTTTTCCGAGTTTATTGCAAGTACTATCCTTATGTTTTGCATCTACTCTTTACAAGATAATGGCAATTTGGGGGCTGGAAATCTTACTCCACTCGGACTTTTCTTCGTCATCTTTGGTATTGGAGCTTGCTTTGGATGTGGGTGAAGTTCCTGAATCCACTTTAAATAGCCGAACCATTAATTTGAATTCTTGATAGGGGAGACAGGATATGCCATTAATTTGGCCAGAGACTTTGGTCCAAGATTGATGACCTACTTCTTGGGCTATGGCCACGAGGTTTGGAGTGCTGGGAATTATTATTTTTGGGTGCCCATGGTAGCACCGTTTTTCGGATGTTTTTTCGGTGGTTGGTTATATGGTATGTGCTCATCCATTTCCCATAACGATGTGGTGTTCGAGAGGGAAGTTTCTGATAAAACAAATAGATGTATTCCTTTTCACTGGTGAGAGCCCCATCAATACTCCTTGGATGGGGCTAAAGCGTCTTGTGCCTGGACTCAAGAGTAAGCAAATAGACTCAGTGGTGTGAAACAAAATGGGGAAAAGAGAGCGTAGGTAGGGATGTCAACCTCCTTCGTACAGCAAAGAGAAAGCAGTCGCGCTGGATTGACGTACCCTGTTGAATATATCCCAATCACAAGATTCTGTACTAGATCGCATCAAAAGCTAGGAGAGCTTCATTCAAGTTCTCCACTATTTTCACCTCTTTAATCAATTCAACACTATATCTCCTATTTCTAGATTTTGAAGTGACGATAACACGGAATACCAACTGATCATACCATTTTCGCGAACCTCTCATACGTTAAATCAAACCGGCGACAAGCTTTCGGTCCCCCCTTTAGCTTTCCGCTAAACATTAGACCCACTATATCTTTGCTTGCTCACCAATCAAAGCTCAGATCTCTGCAACTCATTTTTTCAGTGCGATATCAGAAGTGGGTCGTCTTTATCATTTACAGTTCACGTCCGTAAAGTACGTGATTAGTACTCATAAAACGGATGGGGGCAAATGATCACGTGGCGATCAAAATGTTTCATAGAGCGGATATCGCGGAGGTTCTTGTTGGTGACGGTAGTGTGGAATTGAGTATACGGATGTGTACTAGATTTACCTCTTGACGGCTTGGAGATATCCACCTCCAAATGCATTCATTGCCACAGGATTGAGACCATTATGATTGAGATGGTAACACGGGTCGGTATAAAGGAATTTGAAATCTTAACGGAATTGCACCGCAGGCTAGGACAGCTTGAAGTTTGGACAGTAGAATTATGAGTCAACTTTTGACTGAGCTGTTTGTTGTAGTCATATAGGTACCAACCAAGTGGCTGCACGGGGATTCTCCCGTCGTAGGGAATCCTCGAGACCTGCATCAACGACTTTCTAACTGTAAGAAGGACAATTGCCAGTACATATATGTCGAACTAGAAAGAGAAGCACATGAACGTCCTGTGACTGACCTGACTAGAAGGTGTGAATTTGATGGTTTGTTTTGACCCTGCAAACTATTCGCAGTGTGCGAGGGATATATCCAATGACTATCTATATTGGGATTCCTAGAATGGATATCAATGAATATACCAGATGCACTATGATAGTTTTGGACTATCTTACCATTCGACGGACCGTAAGTGAGAATTTGGCCAGCGAATCGCCTTACTCGACTCCTTGTATCGTAAGCTTGAGGCTTCACAGGGAGTGTTGATATTAATTCATCCACCTGGGCATCTCATCTCATCCCATCTTACAGGACATCAAAGTAAATCTGATCAATTCACCCCATCCAAACCATGGAAACCTTATCTCTATAAACAAAACTCAATTTCACACTTTGCTCTGCTAAAATCCCAAACTTCTATGCTTACGGATGAGTGTTTGTTTTCTTCAATGATGGTATATATCTTCAACCATCTCCTCTCTTTGTGTGACTTCGCCTGGACTTCCAAGCTATTCTATGTCACTATGGTCTCGTCTATAGAAAGCTTATGCTCTAATGTTCACCGCTGAGATATTGCACGCACGTGGCAGCCTAGATTCTGTGAAGCTCACCGGTGGCATCCACGAACGTAGACCACCTTTGGCCCTAAGTCCATTCTTCTTCAAGCACTGATCTAGCAACCACACTGATCTAGCAACCACCGCTTTTTTTAAAAGGCACTCAAACTTATCGATTTCGTACTTATATTTTCACCAAAAAAAAATGCTTAGAATATAATGACATATTTCTCCGAAGCCTCCTCAAATTACCAACCAAAATACCCAAACGCCAGCCCACGTAGATAAGTTCTACTTGTCTAAAGCTTAATCATGAGAAATCATCACCCTTCTCCTCAATTGCACTCTTAATCTTCAACAGAATGGTCGTCTTCCACTTGTCTAACTTGCTCATTTGATCATATTGGAATAACTTGTCCGCAAATTGTTCCTGATCGCCTTGATCAACCGCTTCTGCGAGGTCGATTAATAGTTGATGCTCCCTTGTGCTTGGGAATGTTGGATCCATATCTCTGTATTTTTCGAAAGCTCGCCCGGTGGCCACTGTATCGCCGATAGCTAGATGACACAGACCGGCCTTGAGGAAATAATCTTTTACCGACCACTTCATAAGGTTATTCGAGACGGAGGATGTAGCTACCTTCTCAAAATGATCGATGGCTTTGTAATAGTCGCCGTCGAGAGCGGCAATGTCGGCGACCTTGAGGAAGAGCTTATTGGCCAGTCTATGAATATATCAGCAAATGCTTGTAAATAACCCGATACCTATGTGGGAAAAATAGGAGTCAAAACTCACGCCTCAGCATTATCGGCCTCAAACCAGCTAGCAGCCAATTCATAGCTTTCGATTGCTTTCTTCATGTCCCCAACCTCCATTTCATATACCTCTGCTAGATTCTGCTTGTGCGTGGCAGCCCTCCTGAAGTTTCCTTTCGATGTGTAATGATTGATTGCAACGTCCAAGCATCTAACCGCATCTAGTGGATCTCCCTTCTTGTATACTTTGAAAGCTTCTGTAAGCGTATTCGCAGCATCGTCGGGCTCGTTGAGCTTGTTCGTTTGAATATCAGCAGCGCGCTCAAATGCTTGCCCAGCCTCCTTGTCTAAGGAAAAGACATGTCATGTTAGTAGATATGTAGAGGTACGAAAAGACTTGGGAAAGTGTTACTTTGCTTTTGCATGCGAAACGCATTCGCAGCTTGGTTGTATAATTCTGCTGCATTCTCCCACTTCTCTTGTCGTCCACCGAAAAGACTGAATCCCCCTGAAGCTCCCGCAGCTGCTTTGTCTGCCTGTTGAAAAGGGTCAATATGAAGCTTATCGGGCAGCAGATGGTGGGGTAGTCACCTTTTGCATAAGAGCGTAAGGATCTTGTGCCATGACTGCGATGTAGTATTACTAGGTAAGTAGTTGAGACAATATATGTACTGTAGGACAGGTTATCGATTGATGAGTCTTTTTCGAGAGTTGTAAGTATTATTTATTGAGTTGTAAGAGTTGGCTTGGCATGGGTTCGTGGTTTCAGAAGAGAACCTTGTTTGTTTCTGGTTCTTGGAGCTCTGACATAGCCTTGCCCCGCCTGCGAATCACACACTAGTGTATTTCCGGGGAAGGATATGGCAATATTATTTTTATAAGATCTTAAGACTACATTCACTTCACCATGCTTACTATATAAATTCATCGAACAGTCCTCAAAAGATCAATTGTTCGGAAAAATGTCAGGATCAATTTGTCTGCGTTGTCGCGCAACAATCAGACATTCCCTCTGCACCAGAAAATCCACGCGTACCCCAATTTCTCTTTCTCGAACATACAGTACTTCAGAAGTCTCTCAAGAAACGCCCGCGGAAGCTTTTGCGGTAGGTGGGAGGTCAATACCACCAACAGAAGGTAGTTCAGACCGTTTTATACCGCGAAGTGTAAAGCTTCATGGAACTAGAATAACAACTCCTCTCAGCCCCAAGCCGGAAGATCAAGAAATCCCAGTCCGCCGAGTATTCGCTCGAATAAATGTGAACTATTCTCACCAGAAAACGGACATCGATGAGCTTCTTGCAAAGCCCACTTGGTCCGTTCGGTCCCTCCTACCTTCTCCTCATGAGAAACCCGCCGAAGAAATTACTGTCAAACAGCTCCATCATTTATGTCGACTTTCCGCACTTCCTCTCCCCAAAACACCGAAAGAAGAGAAGAAATTACTAGATACACTGCATTTACAATTACATTTCCTGAGGGATATTCAGAAGGTTGACACAGATGGTATAGAACCACTAAGGAGTATTAGGGATGAGACGATAGAGGCAGAGGCGCTTGAGACAATCGGTTTAGAGACTGAAGAAATTAAGGCCGCGTTGGAAAAAGAGGAATATGAAGGCAGGAACAAGAGACCTAGGAGGCGGACAGATGGTGGCATTGACACAAAAGGTGTAGAGGATTGGAGTGTGACAGAGACTGCCACCGAGACTGTCGAGTTTGGAGGTGGGAAGTACTTTATCGTGAGGAGTGGGAAAGCGACAGCGGAGAAAGTGAAAGGTGATCAAACTAGTTTGGAAAGGATGATCTCCCACATACAGAAACAGAGATTTGGGACACCGGGTATGAACTGATGGAGATATGTTGATGAGAAATTTAGAATTGATACCCCATTTGCAGCTTGACGCCGTTCAGGAAGATATGCTCTGGCCCTTTGGCACATGTGAATATATCCTTCGCCATAATGATGGGCTCCTCCTGCATCATCGGTAGCATGCTCCGCGAATAATCAGCTCTTAGCGACGTTTCAAGACCTTCCCCCCTAAATATCAATTCCTCTGCCACCCCTTTCCGTTCCTCGCTCTACTTCAATCATATCATCAGACCCAATCAAATGATTCTACTTTTTCTGCAGATAGACCACCATTCAGAAGACACGACATACTCTTTCCTCTGTTAAATCCCACCTTTCAACTTTTCAAAACCGATCATTCCCATATCCAACTTACCCTCCTACTTGAAAACTCGGATTCGTGATATCAGACGATTTCCTTAAATGTTCGATTTTCACTTCATATATTAAAACCCCAAATCCAATGAACATCAATCAGTCCGTGTCCTTGTAATCCTTTGCTGTCTGCTACTGTAAACCTCTAAATCGTCTGAATATCGAACTATGCTCTCATATTCTTCAATTTTATTTCCTATATAACATCAAGGGATTCTCAAATATCAGAGGCTTTGGATGTAGAAGGTATGACACTTTAGGTCGCAACCTCCACATTCCAATGAAGGAGAGCAAGTGTCAAAGAGAGTGAGAGGATAAGTGTCGTCAAAACTAACAACTTACAACTTGTTCTAGCTATCTACCTAGGGACGTAGGAGCATAGTATAACTCATTTAAACCCATTAATGAATGCCCAAGACTATCTTCCTACTCACTCCCAGTATATGTATCTAAACCTGAACTAAGCAAAACCACTTCACACTTAATTAATGTGCAACTTTTCCGCCCCTTGTTGCATCATAGTCTCAGCAGTTTTCCGCTGGACATCCTTTTCCATTTTCGTAACCTCAGCCTCAGGATCCACATGATCGATATTTCCCTTCTCCTCTTCCTCTTTTCTCTCCTGCTGCTCTAATAGCTCCAACGTCTCTTCTTCTTTCGCAACCTCTTCCATATCAATATCCTCAAATCCTATCTTTTCCAAAATTGTACCCACGAGATATTGATAACGTAAGTGCCCATTGACCATTTCGCTTACATTGACGTTTTCAATCCCTTTGACTTCTTGGGCTTCTTGAAGACCAGCTACGCCAAATTGTATGCTGCTGGTACGGTACAGGAAAGCGAGAATGTAATCATTCTCGGAATATACATTTACGAGTCTTCCTGAGACAACACTGCGCATAGATCGCCACGCAGCTGCGTCCGACGGAGCAGGCGCTCCAATTAGCACTGCTGATCTGGAATCAGAATGTTAGCATAGTCTGTTGCCGCGTAATTTAAAGACGCTGCGAATTAGTACAGGAATATAATTCAACGATGAATCGAGGTAGGAGATTGAACTGACTCTACCAAACCAAAGGCACGGCGTTCTGCAAGGCTCATCAAGCACGAGTAAATCAGCCTAGCTCCTAGACTGTATCCAATCAAAGTAACTGGTCTCTCTCCCTGTGCTTTATTGATAAGTGCATCTGCAAGGACTAAACCTGCTTTATCTGCTCGATTCTTGGCGACCGAGAATGGATTGTCTACAATTTTTGAAATTTTCAAAAGTCCAAGCGGCCAGAGAGCAGTCATTAAGCTGGCGAATATCGTTCTAGAGATAATCTCTTTCTTGGCGATAGACCAAGCTGCACTTTTTACCATGGATTCCAGCGACATGCCGAGTTTGGATAGGGCTTCGAGTTCATATCGCAGAGCAAAGACTTCACTTTGATGCCCAAGAACTCGCCATGGTGTGACGACATCTTCTTTCTGGGTCAGCCAACCACTAACGCCTATTGTGACCCTCAACCTCCGATCTTTTGCTGCTATTTCCTTGAGGGGCCTTTGATGTTGCGATCCCTTGAGAGGAAGAAATGCAAAGTCGGAAACCTCTTTTGCATAAGCATCCATCATCTTGCCCGTCATACTAGCACCATAAGCACCAAAGAGACTTCCAACAATAATTCCACTCTCGGCAAGAGCCCCCAACAAGCCTGCGGCCGTAGTCGCACCAAGGCCAAGCCCACCCATTACGGTCCCTAAAGCTCCCGCAACTAATGGAGCCGCAAGACCACCTGTGACACCCACTATCGCAGCGCCTGCAACACCAGCGAGTCCTACCTTCCATCTTCGAGCTATTTTGTTCTCTTCGCTCCGTTTCTGTGTCTCTTCGTTGCCAGACATCTTTTTGGCGGCTTCTACCAGCCCTTGTGCAACCTTCACCTCTGTCTCGGCAAGAATATGGAGAGGAAGGTGTAGAGACGATGCTGTGTGGAGCAAAAGAATACGTGAATGGGCAGTGTAATGTTCCAGAGAAAGAAGAAGCAGTAGCATGGCGTGTAGGAGCATCACTCGTTTCTCTTCTGGTAAAGAGTAAAGAGGCGTGGATGTTGGTGGGTAAAGCTCAATCAAAGCTGCATCTGCTTCTACAACATTCGTAGTTTGTCCTGTGAGAGTTAATCACTGAATTACCCAAAGCAGGTGAAAGCTTAAAGCAATATATGATACTACATACTAACGACCTTGGTTTTCGACGGTGCATCAGGGGTAGAATTCGCGCTGGCTTTTTTCTTCTGATCTTCTGTGACTTCCTTTGGATTGTTGACAACCGTCCCAATTCTCGAAATCACAGCTTCTTGCCATTCTTGGAAGAACTTGAGAGCATCATGTTTAAGCTGTAGCATTTTGGGCGCCGATAATTCTTTCTCCCTTTTCCCCCGTAGTTTCCGAGCCTTCTCCTCTTCTTCCGATTCCTCCTTCGGCTGACTATGATTTGCATTATCATTCTTATCACCAACTTTTGAGGCTCTATCTGGAGTTTCTTCTGTGGTAGTAGAAGCATCAAGGTTGTCACAGATTTGTTTTTGCATGACCTCTGTGATGTCAGCAATGAGGAGCGTCAGGTCAACACGTTCCTCAATCTCCAACATTGAACTAAGATCATGTTCATGGTCTTGAGCTGTCGCCGGTTTAGATGTCCAAGGAGCCATATTTCTGATGTTTGTAAGAGGCAGGGAGAGGAGACTTTCGTATTTGTATAGTAAAACTCGACGCAATTTCGTGTCCTCTGAGCAGCTACGACGGGTCGACTGAAGCCGATGACGACATAGGTTAGGGACTCTTATCTTATCATAAAACGCGTGAGGTTAAACTACGGGTTCACGTGACTTCAATGTTATTTATCCAGATACTGTTTTCTCCATTAGCATTGACCATGGTGGGCTACACGATTCCCAGAAATATAAGCACTCAGACAAGTGTCCCTGTAAGACTCACTTATACAATGATAACAGGTATTTTGGAGAACCCGAGTAAGAAAAGTTTATTCTCATTTATAGGTCGGTTCATGTGGCTGTGATGCCAAGGTAACTTAGGCATCTCAAAAAAACCTTTGAGGTCAAGGAGAGCAGCAATGTCATAATCTATTTTTATTGCTACAAAATTAATATGTAACAAGACACTTCCTTCCCAGACATATATATACAATGACCGTGACGCCCATTCATGCATTCGTGAGTGTGATATGCACGCTGCAAACGCAAGCCCTAAAAAGAAGCCGTAAATACCTCTAATGAACACTCAGATGAAATGAATTCCATTTTATCTACGCCGCCAACTGTGATTTCCTTACTCTTCCTGCCTCAGAGTCCTTCTCTGGAATGGTCGTACCCCCGAAACCCAATCCTGCGCTCTTCTTCCTCCTTCCTTTCCTATCACCGTATTTCTCGTCGAATTTACGAATTGCAGAGAGTGTACTCATATCCTCACTGATACTAGCACTAATTTCCTCCATTGCCTTGTCGAAATGAGCTTTGGTGAGGATACGTTTCTTGGGATATGTGTAAGGAGTATCGCCTTCGTGTTTGGTGGCAAGCTCGTTTTCTTCCCGGATGCATGCCAATGCAGCTGCAACCGACAGATTTTTGAGATCTGACCCAGAGTAGTAGGGTGTGTTTTTGGCAAGTTCGGTAAGAGAGACTGATGAGTCAAGGATCTCCTCTTTGAGATGGATCTTGAGTATAGACTCGCGATCCTTTTCAACAGGTAAATCTACCAAAAGTCTTCGAGGCAACCGGCGCAGAACAGCCTCGTCAAGATCGAACGGCCGATTGGTAGCGACCATAATGAATGCAGATAGGTCATTCATGCCATCCCATTCTCGTAAAAATTGGTTGATCATCTCTCTGTGAGCGGTCGAGCGCTTAGTGTCACCACGAGCAGCAAATATAGCATCTGCCTCATCGATGAATACCACACAAGGTGATAGTTTCTTAGCTAGAGAGAAAATTGCTCGGACGTTCTTTTCACCTTCGCCAACGTACATGTCGTTTACTTCAGCGCCACTAATCTCGAGAACGGTCGCGCCACTTTCTTTCGCCACTGCTTTGGCCAAAAGAGTCTTACCGGTTCCAGGAGGTCCATACAAGAGCAAACCAGGCATCTTATCAGTAGCAAGTACACCATAAGTGAAAGCCTCTGGTCGTATCAACGACAAGCTTGTCAAAGTCTTTAGTGCCTCCACGGTTTCCTTCGGAGCATGGACATCTTCGAACTTTGTGTGAATATCCGAAGGTATGACCACACCTCCCAGGAGCTTTTTTTCGTGAGGAGTGCAGGTTTTCCGGATTTGCTTCAGCTTGTCCTTAATGTTAATATTCCTCGGGGAAATGTTGATCTCATCAAGCATGTTGTTCACGTCATTATCTTCTTCCTTCAACTCTGCTGCGCCCCAAGAGAATTTGGCACTGTCACTTTCGGAGAGTAGCTGTTCAGCTTTCCAGAACGTTGGTCCATCTATAATCACCGGGTTGTTTTCCAATCCTAGAATAGTTGTTGCGAGCCTTTGTACGCGGGCGTAATGCCAAACTGCCTCATCTAACCCAGCGGATTGTACCCAACCGCCGTCGAGATCTTTTTCTATATCCACAGTGATAAGTGCATCACCCGCGAGTTTCGTGATCATATCCTCGACGTGCCTTATGTTTAAGGTCCGAATGCGTAGCTTATCATCGGATTCGAATACTGTATCTTGTTCTGGCCTTCGATCCGGAGGGACAAATATTGTTCTTTTCTCGCCTTCAACTATATCAGATTGGATATGTTGAATACCTGCTGATGAGAGCTCGGATTCTCCTTGCTCCAAAGAACTTGTTCCAACCATAATTATATTCCGCCCGGACTGCCAGCGCTTGGTGACCAATGTCCGCATTTTATCGATGATGTTATATCCATGGTATGTTCTAGTCAAATCCTTGTAATCACGAACTTGTATGATGAGGTCCCTCGCGTTGGATGCATCAGTACCCGAAGACTCCGATGCACGTTTTGAATCGGCACCAGTGACTAGTGCCTCAAGTAAAGCTGTCGTCTTCAAATCATTCCACTGTTCAGCATTAGATTTCACATTACTGAAGGTTGAGTTGCCGTTGCTAGAAGCCGAAAAGTTCGGATCGGCGAAAGTAGCAAATGGCATCACAACATCTGATGAACGCCTGTTGTTATCAGCCGCCGGATTGAGCGCTCCCTTTAATCGGCTAAAAATCGCCGAGAGCTTTTTCTGTGCTTCAGAAGAATTTGATGCTGTAAAGGCAATTGCGGGGCTAGGTTTTCTGCTCATGCCCGTCGTGTCTTCCTCCTCGGTTCCTTCCATATCTTCAGGTGCCGGGCTCGAGTCTTTTTCGTAATCTTCTAGCCTGCCCGCCATTCGCGAAGTTTCGTAGCCTAAGAGGGATGCTTTCGCTCCTGTCCAGGCTAAATTCTCATCCATATATGGCCCCAAAATTTGAGCTATGTCGACCGGGTCAAGACGTATGAGGTCAGCTCCTAATTTGGCCGAAATTGTCTCCACGACAGAGTCTAGATACAATATTCCTCCGTCTTTAGGGCATTGCAAGTGGAGAATGGGTCTCATGACATTTTTACCGTCCATAATAGCTTGTGAGGGACGCAGTTTCAGTCCTGCTGTGATGGATGCCAATATTTCCTTGTAAACATTAACATGCATGCTATATTTTGCTTTCTCGGTTGGAGGCAGGTCGCACTCGACAATAGATTTGATTGCATGGCTCATCCTCTCGGTTGCTTCGGGATCCGTCGGATTAGTAGTCAATTCTGTGACGTTACTACCATAGTAAACAGCGAGCGAGCCGCTCTCCGGCAGTTCCTCAGCCAGTTTGACATTATCCCAGAACCAATCTGGCAGTACTATCGGTGGTAGACCTTCTGGCTGTTTTTGTCGATTTGCTCTTAAGGTTCGCGCCGAAACCCTTCCTCGAGACCTTTGCTCATGGTCTACGCTCTCAACTGGCTGTATTGAATCTTCTGCCACTGGATTGTCCAACTCTGCCTCCGCGGATACCTGTGGAACATCCACCGGGTTTCCTAGCTCTGCCTCTTCGGGTATTCGCGGGATATCCTCTATGCCTGATCTCTCCTCTTTATTATCACCTGGATTCTCTGCGCCTTCAGGTGTATTGAGGCAAATTGCTGAACGGTGAAAGGTGCGCCGGGGAGAGGGGTATCTACAGCCTGCAATAATCCGACATGTCTGCCTCGAGAGAGGATTCCTGCTTGTGCGGAGGGCTCGCAATGCTACGGCATGCATTCGGTAGACTTTCGCGCTCTCTTTCGAGCGAGTATTTCGTGTAGGAAAATGGGAATGTGGTCGTGAAAGTGTTTGAAATATCCCTTTGAAGTTGTGCCAATTTAACAATGTGCCTTGTTAGTAAGGCATGAATCAAAAAACTTCAGGCATCAAAGCTTGCTCACTGCCATGCGACAACAAAAAAGATGTGCTAAATTCTTAAAAATGATATCATACTAATAAACACTTATCTTTATAAAAACAGTTATAATCATGTGCCTGATATATCTGGGATTGATGTATTTGACATTATAATAAATACTGAATTCGATAACCATATGTTCAATAGATAGATATCTTCTCTAAAGAATTTCATTTACTTGGGGAGAAGTTTCAAATAAGACCAAACACAAATCTATAATAATAATATTTCATTTGTCTATCGGTTTATGTAGCTATTCAAAAGTAGCAATCCAACGAAGCTCCGGTCTTTCTGACATCAAAACTTTCCGAAGAAAATATACCTTCAAGAACCTCACGTAGATCTCGAGGTCCGTTGGTAAAGCAATGATTAACGATCGTACCATCATTCGTTCTCACGTCTACTCCTCCATCCGCCTTGTTAATCCTCCAGTTACTTTGCACCTCACGAGCCATTTCTTCCATAGCAACGTCGTTTCCTACCTTTCCGATGTCGAAGTGTTTGAATTGAAAGTTGATATCTTGATCGTTTTCGAAGCAGACTATTGCCGCCTCAACAAAACCATCGAAGCATTGAAATATCTCACCTACGCCACTTCCAGGGCCAGTGTTTAGATTGTACAAGTGTGGCCTGCAGGCTCTCCAAAAGCGAAAGATGACAGTAATGATACCTTGGTGACTCGGGTGTACAGCTTCGATACTGTGACCGAATCTACCGTAATGAATACCAAGATTGTTGAACATATGTTGTAGCAGAACTTTCATATGAACCACGAGCTCCTCGACTGACTGTCCACTTAATACGAGACTTTCGAAGGCTTTAGACACTGCTACAAGGTAGACTTCGCATGCGAGGGAGCCAGCTTCTTTGCCAAATGCGACTTCCAGTGTGGAAGGTACAATGTCAGTCAATAAAAATTTCAAGAGGTGAATGTGCCGTGCACCCTTCGAAATCCGTTTGATGTAGCTATGGAGAGCATGGGTACCTGACAAAGAACTTCTCAATCCATTCCAAAGATAATAGATCAATCCATTCCGTGCTTTTTCCTGTTGTGAAGACAATTGCAGCGTATATGATATCAAACCTGCGAGGTAAAGCGTAGGGTCCGTCTCTGGGGGCCAGTACGCAAAGGAACGGCGGAAGAAGAACTCTGGTGGTGGACAAATATCGCTGCAATGGGAGCGTATCTGCGAAACGATTTCTTGCACAAAGCTCACATAGGCTTCATGTGCGACATTGTTGGTATTTTGAAAATTTTGCAGATGATGCTGCATTGAAAGCATAGTAGAATTCAAAATGCCCGAGAATTTGGTCCTGACCGTCTCGCTGCTCACATTACCAAATGTGGAGGCCAGTAGTGCCTTGTCGGAAAAAATCCTCTGCATCCTAATGATACCATCTAATCCGGTTAACGCAATCTAGTCATATATTCAAGGAGCTTACTTTTGATGAGTTGTTGATTCTTTGTGACTGAAGTTGCCCCTTGCCGGAAGGACTCTAGACATGAACCCTCCATGATTTCGCCGGCAAGGAGAAAATGCCCTTTTTTGAGTAATTGACAAGTCAAGGCATTTTCCCAACGAAGCTCATGTTGTGGCTTGGAAATAGCTATCATCCATTCTGATCCAATATCGAAACCGGGAAACTACCGAATATTAGTCGAATTCAGAGTGTAATTGAGAACCAGGAGTCTTTACGTCAGATTGTAATGATTCTGTGTGCTCAAGTAATTCACTGAGAAACAGTGGCCAGGCTACAAGTGTGCAATGCGATTGCTCTCGATGCTTGAAAACAGCGTTGACACCTGCAGCGAGAAAGACATTTGGGGACTAATGCGATCATTAGCAGAAAACACTTGGAGGTGAGAGCTTTGACAATGCATACATAAAGGCCAAACCTCATGAAAACGGAGATGAGCTGCGCCCAGCACCTGGTTAATCGCTCTAAAAAGAAGTAGTTCGTTGTAACACCTAGTGGGAACGGCCCGTCATGCAATATTTTTCGAACTGAGTCTTGAAAGATAGACGTGATTGCACGATCGAGTGGCTTGGAAGGTTAGCCTTGCAAAGCAGTGAATACGAAGGGAATAGAACATACGTTAATATAATCGTCCATAAACTGCATTTCTTTCGCCCAATCGGGATCAGACTCCAAGCCCTGGCTGTCAAATTCATCATCTTCATCGGGGCTTGCTTCCAGCTTGGTCTCTGGTTCCGCGTCATGAAGTTGGTGCAGGTAACAAGTAAGAATCTCAATTGCAGATGATGTCAATTCTTGATCGATTTTGTCATTTGAAGAGCCTGTAGAAAACATTTTTACAATCATGTCTAAATATCAATTAGCAAATGAATCTGTCACTGCTATCCTTAACTTACCTAGATTTATGGCATGCTTCAAAGTCGTTCGATTTGAACATTTCAATGTTTCCATCATCGATCTCGCCACGGCTTGAATACAGGACATGGTGCTCCTTCGATTACAGTCAACGTCTGTTTGGAAGGCACCGTCAGATTGAATTTGCAGTTGCCGCCGTACTTGAGTTAGTTCCACGTACTCTCCGAGAAGACTATTAAAAAAAGAATCCTGCCAAGTAATAAATGGTTTATATGAATCGACGGGGAAACTGGAAGGAATGCTAGACAAGGTAAACCGAGCAAGTCGTTCCCAAGCCCTCAGATTTATCAAAAAGGCTTCGTTATGTGAGCGAGCTGCCGAAACAAGCTTCTGCAATGAAGTGATGGGTGGCCCGTAACCTGACGGAGCAGCCCAGTATACTGTGCATAGAAGATCATGATGATTGCGCAAGGAGGCAAGATCACGATGAAAGATCGCCTCCTCCTTTGGAAATTGACGATCATGATTTGGCAAAATTCGAGCAACTAAATTTCGAATACCTTTGGTGTTGCCCACTGCACGCTGATGCCTAATAGCGATGGCCACAATTTTGAGAAAAATATGAAAGCACCGATCTTCCGGTTCAACGTCTAATGGAGACTCTGTGTTCAAATCCTCTAAGAATTGAGGCGATTTGTGAACTTCTTCATTCCGCAAATTTGCGAGCTTTTGTAAGGCGAAGCAATCAAACAGAGCTCCAACTATCCCACTACACCTCCACCAGCCCCACTTTGACATTAGATAATGACATCGACTTACAATTGCTCTGCAGTAATTATTGAAGCTTGCTGATTGTCTAGTATTAGTCGCATAAAGTGCAAACACTCTTTTGATAAGTTGTTGTGCAAGTGACCAGTTATCAAACCCAAGTTCCTGCCGTGAAGCTGATGGAATGTGACCATGTTCATCAAACTCAAAAAGTGGCAGGAGAGAGAACATGAAGAACCATAGCTTTTCCATCTCATTAACATCCTGTGACGAACCTATGCTTTTCGCACCTAATTGTATGTTTACTACATCCCAGAACGAAGCGCGAGGAATCTTTGCAGCCCCTAAAACATGAATGATGATGACCCAGGATTCAGCAAGATAACGATCATTTCTTATGCCATTCTCTCTCACTGACAGGTATTGTAAGTCATCGTACATTTTCCTCACCGTCTCTAAGCCTTCCGATATCAAGAGGCTGATGCAAGAGCCTGCCAATTTTTGCAGAACTTCTTCTAGGCGAAGAGCCGAAACATGTGCAGCAATCCGAGACATACGAAGTAATCGAAGGGAGAGCACCATCAGCCTAGTTGTGACTTCAGTCGTTTGCCGGTTGTAAACGTAATATATAGAGCCTCGACAAACATTAAGACGAGACGAGAAATCCTCTAGTATCTCCAACATTCGGAGTAAAAAGTCGCCCCTTAACTTGGAACTTGAGAAGGTTATACTATGCTGTACATAATCTAAAATAAGATTGGTCGTCGCGACCAAATCAGGCTTATCCGATATCTTGGATTTATCAGTCAATTGTTCTGTAAGCCAGTCAACGCAAACACCCATTTGCTCGGAGACAATCTCATTCCAGGTTTCCCACACAAAGACTCTGTCTCCTAACTGGAGTGAGGTCGCAGGCCGGTTATCATCAAAAGAGATGAGGTCTGAATGACTCAACATATTTGCAAGGCGCCCGCTACCAATAAAGGTCGTTTCATGGAAATATATCCCTGTCTGTAGTGGGAAAACGTCAAAGTGATGAGGATACCTTGTGCCAAATTTCCCAAGGCCAAAAAGCTTCCCATGATCTATGCCTACTTCACCCAGCGAGGGCGTCGAAAAATCCAAAATAAGTGGCTCACTAGGCTGGCGGTAGATAGCTGCACCTGCGTCTACATGTTGAGGGACCCGCTTCCGACGTCGATTTTGATTGTTAACTTTCTGTGCAGCACTAGTTGGCATCAAATCATTGTTCTCGTTGGAGAGATATGACTCAATTGAAGGATATACGACATCGTCATCGGCCAAGAAGCGGCTCAGTTGAAGATTTCCCCTCTGTAAAGGCTGACAGCGACCCATGCGGAAAAGAGCATCAAGAGTCTTCTTCCTCGGTTCTAAAGTGTTGATAGGAAATTGCTTTGCTTCAAGTTGTGCCGATCGTGCCGTCGGGCCTGTAAAGTACGGATCCGTTCGTGTCCTCGGTTTGCTTTTGGTATTGACTGTTCCCACATTTTTTGATGGAGGCTCTTCTGGTCCGTCATGCCTATTCTCCACAAATTCATTCATCGAAAGCTGTTTTACTCTGGGTAGGCGAATATTCCTTGTATTAATATACACAGCATTTGGCTGAGCTTTGTGTAGGCTCGTTTTTAGTTTCGTGATTGGTGGAGGAAGCTTCGTTTGCTGGTTAACAGAGATTTGGCTGAGCGGATACGAATTGCTAGCATTTCCAGATCTTGATACATATGAAACATTCCTAGGCTGAATTTTGCGGTTGCGCCAATCTTGCAGGACTGCCTGGGCATCAGCAGTGTCTTCACGAGTGGCAAGCCTGATAAACTTCCCGGTGGGACTTTGACGCCCAAGTTCCTTTCGCGATCTTGCGCTACGAGCGGCAACCTTAAGAAATGCCGGGGCATTTAGCTCAAAATAACCAGAATCTTGAGCGACGTCTATTATACTAAGCTTGGGAGGCAGCCGCTTCCGCCGCTTCTGTTTGGGTTTAGTGGATTTGCGGACAGTTGTGGCTGTAGATGTGAGGTGTGAAGTGATCCTCGGTTGGTATGAATGCAGTTGTTGTCTCCCACCGGAATAAGAAGATGTCATTAGGCGTTTAGAATTTGGCTGGTTGAATGAGTTCTTGGCTCTGCGTTTGCGACTTGGGGTTGGCAGCATACCATCAATGCGGTCATCTTCGATAGCAAATGCCAAATCCGATTCTTGAAATAGGCTAGGAGCTTCGGTTCGTCCATCAGTATCCATAGGAAACCCAGCAAAATTGTTCTCATCAGGCTCATCGCTTTCGTCAGATTCTAAGAATGCAAGTCGGTCCACAGTCTGTGTGGAGGTGTTCGGTTTGGTCCCTCGCACCAGGGGGAGAGCAACACCAGCACGTTTCTCGTTAGGCTTTAGGTTCCTCCTAGCTCGGGATTTATGACCTCGTATCTCTTTTCTTTTTTGATCAAGCCTTAAGTGAGACGCTGGCAGTACATGTTTCATTCTTTTCTTCAACAGTACCATTTCGTCCTCCTCTTCCGATGATGATAACGACGAAGAGGCAGATGGTGAGGAAGGAATTACTATTGGATCGGCAAACGGATCGTCCTCATCCAATATTATCTTTGTAGGTGATGCATATGAAGATGCCTTGATAGCACTCGTAATTGGCGTCTGCACTTCCATTGAACGGCGAAAATGTGGAGAGCTCTGGTCTTGCCAAACAGGAGTCGAAATAGCCGAAGAAGGAGTAGAGGCTACACGAGAAATAGTTTCCTGTGCATTGCCTGAGCGTATGGAAGGAAAAGCAGTGGGGGATGAGCCAGAAAAATCATATATGTCAAAGGTCGGCCCTTTATTCGCATGCTGAGCTTCAGATGTCAATCTCAGTCGGTTTTTAGTCGAGTACTTCTTTGATGACTTCTTCTGCTTGGTCTTTACTAGATTTGAATCCTGTTTGAACAGCTCAGGGAGGTCAGGAAATTCCTGGTCACTATCGTCTTCATCTTCCCTCAATGTAGAATCTTCTGGGTTGATTATAGTTTCCCGTACGGTATCTGCCGATGTAGACTGTGATGGATAACCTGCGTTCGAAGTCATGGGCTGACTTTCCTCCATAACACCCGTTTCTGCTTCTTCTGCCTCTTCTGGATCTTGAAAATCCTTATCCCACACTTCCTGACCATGTGCGACTCGCCTCCTTCGATTTTTTTCCTCTTGGCTTAATCCAATACGTACGGGCTTGATATGTGAGGCTTTCATCCTTTGCTCGTACCTTTGTTGCTCTAACAGAAATGGATGTATTTGTACAGGCTTCCTTTCCCGGAATTGCCTTTTCGGCACGCTGTTGGAATGGTCAAAAGCTGGATGCAATTGTTCTGGGGTCTCTTCGCGTATCCAATCCGGATGGGTCGAAAGTTTGGGTCGTTGCACAGGGGAGGAGAGGAGCTGCACAACTGGAGAGGAACGGATTGGACTCGGTGGAGGCGATGATAGAATACTGGATGCCGGGGATAGAGCTCTAATCCAGCTCGTAGAAATATCATCAGCTTCTGCGGCCGCGGCTGGCTCTCCCAAAGAGGTAATTACTCCATCTTCAATAGGTTGTTTTTGATCCTGCTTCACCATGTCCAGAGAGTCTCTCACGGCTTGTTCTTTGGGGCTACCAACAGATACGACATTTACCACATCGAAGGATTGAATCAGATCAACGGATGAAGCTTGAGACATTCTCATCTCCTCAACTATGTCCCTCGAATTTGAACAAGCTCTTTCCTCCTCATGTCGGCTATCATTAATTCTTTCCAAGACATCGTCAATATCGTAAAATTCGTCGTCGGCGGCATTATCTCGTTTCTCATGATCAATAGTACTTTGGGAATCGAATTCCTCCTCATCATCGGAATCCGGAACCACTCCTTTCTCCTTCCAATTTGCCATTTATGTCAAATAACATGTTATACGCGAAAGGTAAGAATTTCTTTTCCTCTTCTCAGCGCAGTTTTGAAGGGATGGTTATTGCTTTTGAGGTTGACGCGACTGAACCACTTTACGCGACCAAAATTTACGGTGGTCGAGTTTTCTACTAATGCAACTATTAGTCAGCTTCTGCCGCCTTCCAATTTCCTCATGTGAGACCTCACTCACGGCACCTAGGAGCACAGCAGTACAGACTTTCTGTTGTCGAACGAAAATATGAGTAAAGTTAAGGGAATCTTTCCTTTGTTCTTAGCCACAGCATTTGGCGTTGGTAATGGTATGTTGCACTACATTAATTTGCTGGTAACATTTTAATGAGAGAAACTTCAGGTATCTGGGTTTTTGGGCCGGCGTTAAAAGAGCAACAGGAGAAAAATTTGCAGGAAAAGTGAGTGAGCCAGAGGAATATATCTGCTTGTAATGTTTGCGTTGTGATTGACTGAACCAATTTAGGGCAGCCTTTGAACATCCGATTCAAACTCAAGAAAGCGAGGCGGCAAGGATAGCAGAAGTAGAAGCAAGTCGAGCTGCTAGTACAGATGCCTTATTGAATTCATCCAGCAATCCAAGCTCTTGGTGGCAGTCTGCTAAATTTTGGTCAAGTCCTCAGCCAACATCCAACAGCAGATCGGAATCCAAACCAAAAGAACTAGCCAACGAGGCGAAGAAATCATGATTCAGCCATCATTTTGTATCATATCAGCAATTGATAAGACGGGACAAGCGTCATATTGTACTTTGTCTGTTCTAAAAAGGCAGCATATTGTTTTAGGCTAAAATATGGTGGATTATAGGCCGCCATCACTGTAATATAGAATGCTTGCTCTGTGATCATATATCACAAGCTGTTCTCATTACCCCAAGCTATTATGTGTCACGAAACTGGGCCATGATAGTCTTTAGGAAGGTATATTGAGGGCAATTTACCTGCTATACGATTAGGAGTCTACAATAATATAATTCCGGATTAGCAGATTTGCAACTTTCAATTGTCAAAGTCAAGACGGTTGTCGAAAAGGCAATGCATAATGTGTAGATTTATTGGCTAGTAACATCTATCGTCGTTGACATTTCCCTCACCTTCGCTAAATAGCCCTCATCTAGACTCCCATGGTTTTCATATTTGAGTTTCTTTGAGGAGCAATGCAGTCTTGATCTAGCTCATGAATATATATTAATGATGCTCACAAAATATCTTGTTAGATGACATATATGAGGCAGGATCTATTATTGAATTCTTCTGAACATTCAAAAGCTTTTTACTTCTTTGATATTTTGATTGTATCGTGGCCTCGCAAAAGATGTTAGGTACTGTCTTGAAAGTCGAAATGTGCACAAGTCACGCCAACAAAAGCACATCTCCACCACAGGAATCAAATCCCATTCTTCTGCCCATTCCATGTCTAATACTTCATCTCAGCTTCGCTCGGGGCACTCTTGATGCCATGACTGACCCCGTTACATTTGACGCCGCCTGAGCCTGAGCTTGAACTCCGCTAATTCCAACGTTACAGCTCATCATCCCACACTGGGCTTCCAGATTTGGAGGTGGAGTATCTTTCAGCTTAGTCGCATTCGTAGCTGCGGCCCAGAGACTTCCAATGTTTGGGAGTACGGTACAGCATCTATTAAAATTTACGGCCATAGTCGCATCTTGGGTTGTCATAACGCCGGTGTACACATTTTGAAGATTGGAGACAATAGAAGGGAAGTTGGCCATGAGGACTTTCGCTGATTTGATGCCAGCTGGAGAGAGGTTGGGAGTTTTCATGAGAGTAGCAAGTTGTACGGGTTCGTCTCTTGCGAAGGCGATAGCGGTTTTGAGTTTAGTCGAGTTGTTTGGGTCGTCGACTTTGAGTGAGGTTAGAAATAGAGAATTGGAATTGGAGAATAGGAGGAACAACTTACGATATGCGTTGACGGTATTTACAGAGGTGGCCCAGTTCCCTAGCGAGTTTTTGACATCGAATGCTGTGGGTGGGTTTGCAGGAGTGAGGCGTTTTGGTGAGGCAACTCTGGCAACTGCTGCTCTTCTTGCTGGGGTAGTGGTGATTACTGCAAAAGATGTGCTTGCAAGAAACAATATCATGAGAGTTAGTGGCTGCATTTTGAAGGTATTTGAGCAACAAAGTTGTGTAATGAATAGCTTTATTAAATATATAACATATGAATTGGCATTGAAATTCCGCAGCAACCAGGCTGGATAAGTAAATTAGAATTAATTATTGATTGAAGAACAAGGAGAATGTGAAGAGGAGCTTTCTGCCAGAGAATGCGGAAGCAGAGTTGAGGCCCAAGTATGATGGATATTACTTTCATAAATCATATCCTTCCTACTAAATATGTCTAGCGAGGTTCAAAAAATAGAAGGCTTGGAACTATGCAAAATGATCGCAAGAACGATGCCAAGTTCATTACTGGTCGATGATTCTACATATCTAGCATATGTACGTACGACGAGAGACGCCCCACGCTACCAAAAATTGTCGAGACCGTTGTAGAGTAGCTGTTGCCAAGGAATATAGTGAGGTCCCTGTAACTTCAAAGGTCATCTGACAGTTTCAACGGAGTTGGGAAATCGTTTCGAAACACACACAAAACGCAAGAAAAGAGGAACTCTCCAGTTTAATGGTTCGTTGACCTGTTATCGCTGTCAAAACTTTCGATGGTTGCTAAAAGCCGGCGGGCCCGGGCGGGGATTCCAGTATAATTCAATAATGATGCTATGCTGGGCCTTCATGACCGGCTTTATTCAAGAGATTTGCCAATGCGAAAACACGGGACAAGAATATTCGAACGTATGGTCATATAAAGTGAGAGGTTTCCATCGCCTATTGACGCGGGATCTGTCCCACTAAGGACGTGTCCTGAAAGAACTCTGCGGGTTCTCGTGAATCGACAATTGATTTATCCTTTTCCAATACGCATAGCTTTGGGGATATTCCGTTTAAGAGGCGGTGCGTCTATTCTGTCATTGCCGTCTGTTAGAGGTGAACAGAACGTATGTAGGATATTGTAACGTGTAGGTAGTAGATTATGGAAGGGCAAGCTAAGTAGAGAGGCATATGTATTAGTGTAAAAGCTATAATAAAGAGCCATTATGTTTCGAACATTTCATCGTCAGTTAACATCGGTTGTTCCTGCATCGAAGTACAGTACATGGTAGTACGAGGATAAATTCCTTTTGCGTGTTGTTAGTGCAAAATATCTGCAAAAATGGGTTTCAAGGCATGATCCTCGCAACATCTGGATACACGCACATCTGAATAAGAATGGAGAAGAGTAAAAGAACTATGATATTGCATGATAATATATATTGAACACTCTCAAAGGATATTTTGTTTTGCATGTATGATGATGCTGGAAACAGGCACCTGGCATGTGCACGGCTAAACATTAATTCTACCAAACACGTGACGGCAACCCTAGAAAAACTTCCAGGTTTCGGTTCTCACCCTTCATGACTTCAAACAAGAATAACTCGAAATGGCAAGCGATTTTCGCAGATTAATCATTTTATTTCAAAAATTATGACTAGTGGACTGTGATTCTAAAACAATTTTGAGCTCTCCTTCATGATTTCAGTTGGATGGCTGTCTATCAATTCCGAAGCCTGTACCTATATGCATATGATCTAGCTAGACGTCTGGACTCCATCAGTCTCACTTGAAGCTGATCTCCGAAGACTCCACTAAGAATGGAATGGCAATCATGTCTTTTGAGAGCTCGGACTGCTATTAATCGCCGTGTCCGTCGAAAACATGACGTGCACAGGGCGTGTTTCACTGTTTCACGGAGATCAAAACATTGAAACTGTGGCCGAGAATGCATGGTTGTCAATGTTTCCAGTTATTTTATGCCAAAGATTGTTGTAGTCTTAGGAGACATCAAGTCAGATAGGCATCTCCGGACAGTGTCAAGCATTTTCAGTCGTTGGGAATGCCCCTGGAAAAGCCGTTGGATGGAAAACATGGACCAATATACCACACTATTCTGAAAAGGCAAGGACTTCCATACTTCCAATGAAGCTAATTCCTAGTATGTCTCCAGCGATGGTAAACATCTGTAGCAATGAATTTATTGTTTTTAAGACCACTTGAGAAAACCTTGTTCAATCAGTTTGTTCGACTAGGGCAAACATCAGTTCACCTCTTTCTACGAAGGACGGGTAGCCCTTCAATAACCCCTAGGACCATCTTGAGGCCAGTGCCTTTAGTTCAACCAAGGGGAACTTGATTCAGTCTATGTCTTTGATCCGAGCAAACAACAATACTACTCTATCTGGAGAAGGCAATAGCCTTGCAATGTTGCCAATGATGCAGAGACCCCGCATTGCTGTAGACTAGCCAAGGAAGCCTTGAACAGTCCTCATTTTCTCTCCATCCCTCCTCTTCATCTTCGTCAGATAAGAGTTTAAGCGCATAAGATAGGTTAGAAACCTTTTTAGAGCCAACCAAACTTGACGGATTCATGCACAATTCGGAAAATCGCCAGTAGTTTCTATTATGGAAAGGATTATAACACCCCAATATTGTAAAAATACGGAGCGTTCTAGTTAACAGAAACTCCCTTGGTGGCATAGCATAAGCAGAAGCCTCTCTGCATTGACCACGTGTCGTTCTTCCCAGAGGAACTATTGCCCGTCTATATCGAAGTGATTTCGACAAAGTGGCTCGATAAAATTGTTATTCTTGCACAGGATAAGTCCGCCGGCACAACGGCCTGTGCGACCTTGCTTTCCTGAGCATAGCATATCGATCTTCCGGGCTATGTAGTGTATCTAGATTGACAGAGCCATTGTTCATGGATTCGAGAGCAGGAAGCTGGTTCAATTCGAAGTTCCGTCATAACGGCCGGCCATGCTCCTTTTAACCTTGGAGGGCCGGTGTGAGGTTAGTTTGTGGAGGTCTTGATTGGCTCAATATTGCAGTCATATGATTCCCGTCCGTAATATTTATTTGGAGAGAAAACACTGGGAGAAAAAAGAAGCTCTGTATTTGACTCCAGCAAACGCGGATATTTGCTATGATGAATGTACGTGTAGCGTTGGACGAGCTATAATCATTAGGGAGCAACAACATTATCCATAATATTCGGGAGGCGCACTTGTGTTTGCTCAAGACAAACAAACACTGCTGGTGGCACATTGCTCTATCCTGATTCGACGGCGATCAACAATAAAATTACCAACTGACTGTGGCGTTCGGGGTTTCTGCGCAAATCATATCGCCGCCTTCTGCCTTCTGGTACTTGCAAGATTATTTCGGGCTCCTGACACTTTTCATCCACATGGCTTACAACAACTGGATTTTAGGACCTGCTTAAGACTGATGAAAATGTATTTCCTCTCCTTCACAGCATCACTAGAAATTGCATTCTAGCCTGTCATTCTCCAGGCCCTCCAGCCCTTCATAATATTATGATACCATTATTATGACACATTTCTTACCCGACTGATTTCCACTAGTATTCTGATATTTAAGTGATCTAAAGCTGACGCTTCCAAAAAGGGCGTTCTCAATGGCTTGCGTGACGGGCTTTTTATTAATGAGAATATGATTAACATTGTGCGGACTGGGCGGAATGATTTTACTTATAAACAAGATTCTCAGTCTTACCTGTTTTATCGTTAAGGACGAGTTCATCTATCAACATCACGTTATATCGCTTACGCTGACTGCAATATCTGGGTCGCCTGTAGCTTTTGCTCTTGCACCCCAAAATCTATTTGCATATGGCCACATGCACTTATTACATTTCAAAAATCAAATCATTCATGCAAGTACGATAGTGATCAGAACTAACCTCCGAGGAAACGAGATCATCAAGTCATCAAGTTTTCCTCACCAAACATTCATCATCACCGGAATAAAAACACAACCCCAAAACCCCGCCAACGTAATCCAAAAGTGCCCAAATACAGAAAAATCGCATCAATTCTAGAGCTCCTATAACGAAGACAAGCCATTCCCAAGCGATTCAAGATTTGATAGTCGCAAAGAAGGTAATGAGGGAACGAACGGAAAGATCGTGACAGCGAATATACATACTGCGGATGTAGGAGGTATGGCCCCAGTATCAGAAGACGATGAGTATGAAGAGGGGCAGTATGATGGAGAGTATGGGGTGCATTGGCATGGTTAGGTTTTGGTTTGAGTTATAGGTGATGTCGTCGAAGTCTTCGCGGCTTCAATGCCTGAATTGTGGTTGAAACGGAACTTTTGCATCAGAGACTGGGTTTTTTCCATGGGGGAGAGTCATTTTGGAAAAATGGAAACATGTATTCTGTATGAAATCCTTCTGGATACATTTCAGCTTTCAGTTTTAACAAATAAAAGGGAATCAGAAATGTTTGTTCCGCGAGCTGCAGATTGGCAGATTTGCCACGGGAAGAGTTGAATTATCAATTTGCCTAATCAATGATAAATAATGTGAAATATCTAAATGTTAGGTATCTGAAATCGGAATGTTAGTTCAAGATCAGTACCTAGCATTTCCGTTTACCTATTGAGATTGTATATTTGTAGGATAAACTCATGCCTGCATGCTCATTTGGTGCAGGTGATCGGGAACAATTAGGCTTGGGGTTATTGAGCCCCAGTTCAGGTAACAGGAGGCTCACAAAACAATAAAGGAAAACTTGATATATAGGATTTCCCTAAACTAAAGATAGATACTGATCACATATTTGGATACCTACAGAAACCTGCTGGATTCCTTCTCATACTCTTGACTCGTCCGCACCTTTGCTCCTTGGACTCGTGAGAATTAGTAGGCTAGCGAGAGAATCTCGAGATGAAGGAATGAGTTTCCTGAAAAGTGATACCATATAGCGAAATATGCTAGTGCGTCACTTATATCCCGAAAATTTGGAATATCTCCTATATAGCAGAATTTCTTCTATGTTATGCTCCTTGGCAGAATATTTTAGACTGTTGTCTTCCAGATGTCTCATAGATCCCAGCATAATCCTGCATTTGCGAGAAGCTTGTTTTCAGCTTTGTGTCGCATGGAGATGTAAGCTGTAAGCACAGCATAATAAGCGCCAACAGCGCTGTAAAAAAGGCCGAGCATCAACCTCACTGGCAACGTAAAAAATAATTCTCAGTGCCATTCTCTTTTTTGAAGCTCGGTCTTGTCCGTAGGGTTGCAGCAGCACGGAGTATGTACACTTCGGTACGTAATCATCGTTCTTGCAAAGATCACCCACTCACTAACCAAGTCGGTTTGAAGGACTCTGACACTCGCCATTTGATGGTAGATATCAATTTGGTTCTTCAGTCCCATGATTCAGCTCGCCATTTTCAATCCATACAGAAATTTATACCGGCATTGAACTTTCCGCACTTGACGTAGGAGCCGGTTATGACTCTCAGAGAGAGTGAATGAATCAACCACTCCCTGTTTGAACAATATATATTAACAGATCGTGTCGTTTGTTACAATGCTATGCTTCGCCACGATATAATAGCAGAAAGCAGACTACAGGCAAGCTTCTAGATGCGGACCCCGTCTCAAGCCATCATAGCCACATCTGTCAGCCGCGCAGCAGCATGGGACCGGCAGATGTTTCGCAAACGATGCATGTCTCGCATAATTCGTGGGGGGTTATCATATCAATAAAATCAACAACGGAAGCCAGATAAAGACGTCATCTGTAGGAGATGTCTCGAACATAAAGGATGAAGATTGCAAGAAGCCAAAAGTAAAATATCAATTCTTAGATCACGAATCAGTGCGGATCTCCCGTGATAAAGAAACAAGCACTAGGTTTGGTGGGGGATGCCCGATATCCGCCACCAAGAGTGGTGGTGCATTGGTGCATTGGTGCACTGGTATTAAATGGATTCCAGCTTTTGTTTTAGCTTCTCCTGATAAGGAAGGTCATGAAGCTATATCCCCTGTGTACCTCCACCATGTCGGCATGATAGGCATCCCTCCGTCCGTACGTACACCTCGAATTCAACTAAACAACCTATCGATTTTATACTGTCGGCTTCACGATGGGGATACTACCTTCATCAGCTCACTTGTCGTGCTGTATGTCCGAAAGTCTATTGCTATTACTATATCTTGGATTGGAAATACAATGTGTACCTCGTCGGTACTCAATGTACGACTCAGCTTGTTTGAAGCACTTGATAACCAATCAATGCTATCCCATGAAGTATTAAAGTTATCCATCATTTTAATGACGTCAAACACTACGCATCTTTTGTTGAATCCTTGAAGAAGCTATCAACCCAAATCAACACAGTTACAGCATAACACTCACTGACCTCTTCTAGTGTTCCAGATGATGTGGCCTTGGAGCCAATGTTTGGATGGCATGAGCTTGACAACAATAGACTAATAGCACGGGTAGTCCCTAGTGATTTACTAAGATGCTTATATTCTTGTTTTTGGTGGAGTAGTTAGCGTACGCGCGGCAGCGTATGTTTATTGGCACAGCCTCTCTTCTCTTTGAACTGTTATATCTTTGGATCCTGTACAACGAGGGCTGTTGTCTCGAACTGATCCACTTCGAAGAAAGTACCGGAAGATAAACCTTGTATTACCCTCGGAAGACATTATCTTCATTGCCCCTTCCGAAATGCGTCTCACTACCGTGACTAGGAGCCGACATTTAACTTTCGAGATACCTTCATTTCCATATGTTCACGAGATACAGTATGTAAATGATTCGGTCAAATCGAAAGCCTCACTCATCTGCAAGTGTACACGCGAAGCTTAAAGAAATCAAACCCGATTTTGTGATACTCACATCATATGATATTTGGCGTTTCCAACAGCTGCGCATTTGGAGGGGTATTCCACACCAAATGATTCCTTATCGTATCCACTATGCACCTTCCCCGGTCGTGCATAGCATGCATGGTAGCTGCCCTGAGACCACAAAACCAAAATTGATGACGCCTTGGCTAGATCACCTGGAGGTTAGAAGAAGAAAGAAGCATTAGAGATGTAAAAGTTACGGTGCTCAGCAGCATTTAAAGGAAGCTTTCCCCTTCGTAATTTTTTTCCTTCTCATATCACTCATCTTCACCCATTATTACCTACAACAGAATTTTTATCAGCTCAATTTTATCATCCTTTATCAAAATACTCAATATGGCTACTCTTCAAGGCTTGTCGAGGGTTAGACTTGTTCCTAACAAGAACTACAAGAGATCTGGCATTAAATCCTATGTTTACCTTCTCAACAAATGGGGTTTCGAGCCCACTCTACCTGGTCCATACTTTCAGATGAACAAGGCTACCGAGAGGGAAGCTACCTACCACAAGTTTGGACACAAATCCCACCACCATAAACGTCACTTGGCAAAAAAGACTCCTAATGGAGAAAATGGGGAAGTTCCAGCTCAAGATCAACAGAACGATTCAGAGTATCTCTGCCCTGTGCAGATAGGTACACCAGCACAAACTTTGATGCTTGATTTTGATACTGGATCGTCCGATCTATGGGTAAGTACACGAAAGTTTTGTTCTTACGGCCGGAGCTAACGTGGTGGAATAGGTCTGGTCCACAGAGCTTCCAAAATCCACAACTTCCAAGGCAACTGGGCACACAATTTTCGACCCAACCAAATCATCCACCTTCAAAGCTTCCAAATCATCCAAATGGCAAATTTCGTATGGTGATTCCTCATCTGCTTCCGGTACTGTTGGAACGGATACTGTAACTATCGGTGGACTTGCGATCAAGAACCAGGGAGTTGAGCTTGCGACCAAGTTGTCTGCTCAATTCGAAGAGGGTGCAGGTGATGGATTGCTCGGTCTCGCCTGGGGCAGCATCAATACTGTCACACCTGAACCGGTTGCTACACCCGTCATGAACATGATTACCCAAAAAGACATTCCATCTGACGCGGAACTTTTCACCGTCAATCTCAGTAGCTGGCGCGATGCCGAAGATCCCGACAAGGGAGAGAGTTTCTACACATTCGGCTACATCGACAAAGATGTCGTTGGCAGCCAAGAGATCTCCTACACCCCCGTTGACAATTCTCAAGGATTCTGGATGTTTGATTCTACATCTGCTACCGTAAATGGCAAGACCATCACACAGAGTAGTAACCAAGCTATTGCTGATACCGGAACTACTCTTGCTCTCGTTTCCGACGAAACTTGCCAGGCTATCTACAATGCTATTCCAGGCTCTACTTACGATTCAACACAACAAGGCTACACATTCCCAAGCAACACCAGCGCCGACGATCTCCCCGTCGTCACATTCGCTGTCGGCGGCAAACAATTTGCTGTTCAAAAAGAAGATTTGGGATTTGCCGATGCGGGTAATGGTATGGTTTACGGCGGCATCCAATCTCGGGGTTCGATGACCTTTGATATTCTCGGTGATACTTTCCTCAAAGGAATCTATGCTGTAAGTCCTCCCTCCCGTTCATGTTATATTAACCACTAACATTTTCCCCAGATCTTCGACCAAGGTAACGTCCGATTTGGAGCCGTTCAAAGAAACGAAGCTACACAGAATACATCTGCTCCGCCTTCTTAGATGATGTTATCTCATGACACGGAGTATGGTTTTGTAACGGGTTGGGTTGGAGGAATTGTTGGGCTATGGTTGGGTTGGGAAGGAATGTCTGGATTATGGGTTGCAGAGGCATATGTTTTTGAGTGCGTGGGTTTCGTTGGAATTGGTGGTAACTCTTTTTGGTTAGAATTGATTATTTTTATCCTCCATGCTTATTACCTACTGTATAATGTAATGTGTGTAATGTAATGTGTGTAATGTAATGTGTGTAATGTAATGTGTGTAATGTAATGTGTGTAATGTAATGTGTGTAATGTAATGTGTATGATGAATGACGTGTGACAGGATGCATTTGATCATAATTTGAAACTCGTAATTTACTAGTAAATCATTAGTGTACGAATATATTCCACTGGTAATTTATTAACAAGATATTCTTCCAACGATCAAAAGAAGCGGTATGTAACGGGGGTTATTTGATAATGTGATACCAAAGTAATCAACGAACCCTCATGTATAGATATAGCCTTAAAATATTTTTTTATCATATTATTAACATTACCCAAAGTAAGAACTTCAAAAATTACTATAAGATATGTACAGTAATAGTGAAATCTTCTCGATTTGCAACGTCAAGTGAAATATCAAAGGGCTATTATGTAATATGTATACGGAAAACTGAGTCGGGATACTTCCTAGCGGTAAATTCAAAATGAACTCCATAGTGGTTGTAAGTTTTACCATAATCGTTGTTGTTTGAATTCGGAGATACAAGTTTTGCGTGAAATGAAAATAGTATCTTTATATTGTATATGTTTTTAGGGGTGGGGGTTTAGTCAACGAGATTAAATGCAATGAATGATTTTGGGTACTTGTGCGAAGCTTTTTATATCGTATTTGAAAAAGATGGTTAATGATATAAACACTTATGCATTCTGTAATCCAAGATCCGGATCTCACCTCTTTCTTCTTATTCAAAAGCCCTTTCCTACCTACTCTACCATCCAAGCTTTTCCAACTTTGATCTTCCATCTCAATCATCCATCTAACCAGGATAAACTGCCCCATCTCCCCTAGGATCACTACCACCACTGTAAACCAAAACCCCATCGTCGTCCCCATGAACTCTAATTAGCTGTCCTCTCCCGAAAACACCCCTCTGATACCCTTTAACCATTTGCACCTGATGACCCAACGCCTTCAACTTCTCAAACACATCTTCACTGATCCCCTCCTCTAAAAATACTTTTTTCTCTTTATGCGATTCTCCTGGAATTCCATCTGCACTTATACAAAACCTGGGGGCATCGAGCGCCGCTTGTGGATTCAACTTAAATGCCAACATATTAAGCAATACCTGAACATGTCCTTGGGGTTGCATGAATCCTCCCATGACGCCGTATACGCTATGTAGTGAATCGTCGTGCACGTTGGTAATCATCGCTGGAATGATAGTATGATAAGGTCTTTTACCAGGAGCGATGACATTAGCATGACCCTTCTGAAGCGAGAAATTGCCACCTCGGTTTTGGAGAACAAATCCACAGCCTTTGGGAATGATACCACTGCCGAACCCTTCAAAGTTGGAGTTTATGAAGGATATTCCATTGCCCCATTTGTCGGTTACAGCAAAGTAGACCGTGTCACTATGATTATGGGCAGGCGATCCATGGTCATAAATTTCAGGATTAGAGCGCTGGGGGTCGAAGAGTTTGGCGCGTTCGGCAAGATAAGACTGGGAGACTAGTTCTTCGACGGGGACTTTGGTGAATGCTGGATCGGCAATAAACCAACTAGCATCTGCGAAGGCGATACGCAGAGATTCGATAACGGCGTGGAGGTATTCAGTTGAATTGTGGTCCTTTTCTGTGAAATGCGGAATTTTACCCGTGTTTTCGAGTTCTTCGAGGATACCGAGCGTCATAAGTGCGACGAGTCCTTGGCCGTTGGGTGGATGTTCCCAAACTCTGACGCCGTGGTTGTCTTCGCTAATGCCTTGGCCGGAAATTCCATTAACGAAATGACTGGTTTTGTTATATCCTTGACCTTTGAAAACTTTTGAGATAGGTGTAGATTCCTCACTGCCGATCTCCATGTGGTTTTTCAAATCGTCTAATTCGAGAAATCCGCCTAGATTTCGAGTAACTCTGATGATTTCTTCGGCAATTTTCCCAGTGTAAAATCCTCTTTTACCCTCGGTTGCAAGTGTTCTGAAAGTCTTGGCAAGATTTGGATTCTTAAATATCTCTCCTGGTCTGGGTGCACGCCAGCCATGTGGAGCACTTGAATCCTCTTTTAGCATTTCAGAGAAGTTAGGAGATGCTTTCTGAAGTAGACCTTCGCTATTTCGCCACTATTATCTCGTTAGGTTTTGCCAAGATAATCAAAAATATGACGATTTAACATACCATAGTTGAGGCTAATTCAGAGACGGGAAACCCCTTTTCACCCATCTCAATAGCAGGGGCCAAAATTTGCTCCAAAGTAAGATTGCCACTGCCAAATTTCTCCACAGTATCAACCCATCCTGCAGCTGCACCCGGTACAGTAACAGCATGTGGACTTTTCAATGGGATTCTTGCAGGTTCGTCATCCTTAAATCCGAGACCTTGTCGGATATTCTCGAGAGAGCATTTCATGCCTGCGCGACCAGAACCATTTAAAGAACTAACTTTTTTTGTCTTGGCATCGTAGAAGAGACAAAACATATCACCACCAATACCCGTGGAGGTCGGTTCTGTTAGATTGAGGCCGGCAGCTGAAAACTTGTTAGACTAGATGTTATATTGAAACTGGCCAACATACCAACTGCAACTGCTGCATCCTTGAGTGAATTAGCCTGTGAAGCTTTTAGATTAATGCCAACTTACAGCAGCGTTTCCACCTGCATTCAAGACTTTGAGACCACAATTAGCAGCCAATGGCTGAGTACAAGCGATCATACCCTCAGTGCTATGAACAACACTTCTCCTACTCGGGAATGTTACAAACTCAGGGTCCGCGGCGGGAAAGACCGAACTCAGATTGAGTGGCATTTTGAAAATGTTATTTTATTGTAAGCAGGTGGAAGTCTTGAATCTACCTGTCTCGGCTAGGTTCTTGATAGGAAAATGTATTCAGAATCTAGTTGGAGATACTATACACAAAGGAAGGAAGGAGTATATGTACAAAATGAAAAGATCTAAAAACGAACTCCTAGAGATTCCATTCACATTCCATTCCGCTTATTTGAATGGCAAAATAGGAAAAATAATCCCGATTTCGGCAATTATGGCACGAAATGTAAACGTGGGGTCACAAATAGAGAGCGGGGATGACATCGCTCTAAACGCCACACTGTGAGAGCGGCCGCTTGAAGCCACTTTTAGCCACTTTTCTCGGTAAATGGTCCGTGCTTCAGCCTCAAAAAAAGTAGAAGCATGCATGCAATGGAATAATCAAGAAATAATTGAAAAGAAGCCATTCCAACGAGAATGTTTAGAGCTCCTTGGGTATGTCGACGGTGTATAGATTCATCATTGAAACCTGGTAAAAGGCGATCAACGGCGTTCCCACGCTTCTCCAGCACCATCCGTTAGTCTTCAAACTTACTCCTCCATTCACATTCTCTTACGCGAAGAACAGCAAACAATGGCAGTACATTTTCCCCAGCATTACTTGCGCGAGCTCGTAACTTGGCAGCAGAGCATGATCGATTAAGTAGCGAAACCTCCGAGTCATTCAACGCGAAGATTGCGAAACGAATTGGAGAATTACAGGACGTAGCGACAGCGCTGAAGAAATGGGAAGAAACAAAAGACTCACTATCAGAGCTAGATGCATTATTGCAGGATTCATCCACAGATGAAGAACTTCGAGAATTAGCAGTCGAAGATCTCGCCACCACGACCGCACATCTCGAAGAATTATCTCGAAATCTCACGATCAGTCTTACCCCCAAACATCCTTTCGCCGAACTACCATGCCTCATTGAAATTCGACCTGGAGCTGGAGGGGGTGAAGCCGCCATTTTTGCGGCGGATCTGCTACGCATGTATAGAGCATATTGTGCGCGCAAACGATTTCGCTCCACGATCATAAAATATGAAACCACTGATGGTGAGGGTGCTGGCTCCGATGCGCCGATATCCGAAGTCGTACTGGAAGTCGAAACACCCGGATCCTACGATTCTTTACGCGGCGAAGCGGGCGTCCATCGAGTTCAAAGAGTTCCTGCGACGGAAAAACAAGGAAGAACACATACTAGTGCGGTGAGTGTGATGGTATTACCTAGTTTCCCCACGACGGGACAGGAGGGGCAGGAATATTGGGAGGCAGATTTGAATGATCCGAATAGTGATTATTATGTCAATCCGGCGGATGTAAGGACGGATGTTATGAGAGCGAGAGGAGCAGGTGGTCAACACGTTAACACGACTGATTCGGCGGTTCGTTTAACGCATGTACCTACCAATACAGTTGTCAGTATGCAAGAAGGGCGGAGTCAACTTCAAAATCGACAAAAAGCGTGGCAAGTATTGCGGTCCAGACTAGCCGCTGCAAAACGGGAGGCTAGAGAAGAACAATTGATCAATTTGAGGAGAAGTGTGATTGGAGTTGCGAAAATGGGGAGAGGTGATAAGATTAGGACGTATAATTGGGGACAGCAGAGAGTCACTGATCATAGGAGTGGATTGAGTGTGCATAATTTGGATGACGTTATGGAAGGAGGCGATGAACTTGATAAAGTCATTGATAGTGTCAGGGCTTGGTTTTCAGACCAGGAAATCTTGGGGTTACTTGCTGATGAGGAATCTTCCAGGAATACAGAATAGACAGTGTGCTAGGGCATACCGGCTGTATAGAAGTGTCTTATGCTCCCCGTGCTCATCCAAAACCGCTGATTCTCTGGCCTTGATAATGATCATTACTTTTATATGCGCTCAGCACGAAATTCAATGTTCATGTTCATCGACTAAAAGCTTCATTGTTAAGCTCATTCAACTTTGAATACAGTTATTGAATAGTTTTCCCTCTGGAACAATCCACTGGCGTGATTTTCATTCGCCGAATTCAACAATTGAGTCTAAGGCCTTTAGTCATCCTCGATTGAAAATATTACGCTTCGATTCTGGCACCCGTCAATCCCCTCTCGCCAGTTACACTTTTCGTTCAAAAAGCCATAGAGGAAACGTTTCATCCTTACTTCGAGAAGAAAACGAAGTGGCCAGCGGTGTAGGCAGAAGACTAAAGATCAACCAAAGTGTATGCACTCACTCATGCATAAATATCGCTCGTCTCATATTTCAAATACAGAGCTCCCTGTAGGATATCTCTCCAATATATTCACAAACCAGGTGGCCAACAGCGTATCTTTAAGAGCATATCCATCAGTCACCATTCAACCTGTTCAACAACTCGAAACCCTAGACACAGTAAGCCTCGAGGAAGATGTGCTTCCTAGACAACTAGGTATCCTTTTTTGCCGAAACGACCAACGCCTCAGCAGTTCCGCGTCCCGAATAACCGTGAAGGAATAAGATGAAGTACTAGTAACTTATAGTTGAACTCAATTACCGTTTCCATACACTCGGTGCCAGCCGTCGCGGAGATTTTTACGCTCACGCAGTGCGTCATTTTTTTGCTGTGCGTCTTGCTAATGTAGTATTTATGTGCATCAGAACGGCTGGAGTCATCACTTCATCGTCTCTACAAACATCCTCTGCATACCAGGCAAGGGGATCGGCTGATGGAATTTGTATCGAAGGCAAGCTGGCTGCCTGCCTGGAGCGAAAAAGTCGATGAACTGCAAGGGCAAAATCACACGGCACTGCAGTTTTCTGATACAAACCTCCTGTGCTTGGGGCAGTGGTCTTGGTGAGGGTAGGCAGCTGTGAATCAAATAAATAATGCTCTCATGGAAGGGTCAGAATGGAACGAAAGCGATGTCTTCCTTGTCCCGGTCTTGTTCATGACACCTGAACGTGTCGGTTCGGATGAAGATCCCTTAGGACCATTCAAACTGATAGGTTGAACAGTAACATTGGCTCAGTAGATTTTTTGCTACGGTTAAAATTTGAAGGTTGAAGAACAGGTGCCTCGTAAGCAGCAGCTTGAACAAGGTCATATCTCAAGCACCAAATGAGATCGGTCGATGGTGTTGAGTACCGCTCAACAGAAATATTATTGCATGGAATATAGCCAGAAAGGTGCGTCAAGTCGTCAGAAAGTCCATTCTGATTTGAGTCTAAGCTTCATTGAACATCCTTTGCACTGGCTCAGAGCCTAGAAGTATTGCTAGGCTAGTCATATTATGTCTTATATATTACCCATGTCCATCTTACATTGGGCTAGGTTGATTTCATTATTACATTTGCTATAGATGACAACGAGAGACTGACAGCATCTTGATGTGGTATATAGTAACGCCCAGTTACGAAAGTAACACCTATCCCAAACGCAAAGAAGATGAAGATCAGCACTGCTTGACGATTGAAAAGCAGATGACTGGAATTGCAGCTTTTTCGAGAAGGTGATTGATCATTTTTTAAGGAGGTGTGTTGGTAATCTCATCGCGAGGACAAAAATTGAGACGTAGTTTGAATGTGGCTCATGGTGTTGATCACCCTCGACATGCTTATCGATATCGTGCATTGACGGACGTCCACCTTTTCTTTATCTTGGCTTGGCGCACATCTACGTATTCCGATTGGCTTTTAACTTTCCGAGGGCTCCACCATTCTGGATACGCGTACTTAAATCTGGATTGGTTTGTTTACAACACTGGCGTAGCGAAAGAGCAGAGTGGGGTGAGTAACCAAGATTGCGTGATGGCTGGGCAGGAGTGGGAGCGGGAGCGGGGTAGGTCATGATGGAGATGTTGGTGGATAATTTTTGCATTAGAATGAACTTACTTTGAGATGTTGGAACTTGGAAGACATGACCGGAAGACCTAGCAAAAGGTCAAGGCAGGAAGTCAGGGAGGTCGGTGATTTCCAAAGTTTAGCTACTACAAGTTGGAGCAGGAAAACAAAACGACGAGCAAAACTCCCCGCAATTTGAGAAGGAGCCTCGGAGACATTTTCCGAGGTGCATGAGATCATCGCTCTATTATCCTCATCTTTACCCGATTGCATTCTCATAGTGCCCGTTTTGATAATGGCCACAGAAGGTGTGTCTGCCCACAGTAGGTGTGTCTGTCTAGATCGTGGATAAGACATTACAGCTAACAGTGTTTGATGAAGTCGTAAAAGGAATTTATTTTTCAGGGATTTTTAAGGTTGAAAGATTAAGCAAGTGCCTTTCATTCGAGAAGATCTCCTGTACTGTGATACCGTGCTACTTTGCTATTATGGTAGGATTATGCTTTCGAAAGCCATGCTAAATATAGACTAAGGCTTGCCTCATAGTGACTAGTCGTCCACTAACACCACAATAACTCAGAAACCTTCCGCGCCACCTGACAGATTTAACCCGCGCTCATCTTTTCAAGCTGGTAGTTCTAAGCGACTGTAAATAAGCGACTGTAACCGTGGATCACGCCACAGACTCAACTAGCGCCTGTTAATGCCATCTGTCAAACTGGCATTGAAAAAATATACTGGGAATTAAACGCCTACAAATGCAGTCCGGCCAAAGTAAACTCAAGTGAGAGGATGATAAAACTGCTAGCTCACATCATACCTAGTGGAGTAAGAGTCGAAGCGTGGCAAACACACTTCAATGCATCCAAAAATGCATCAGTTTGATTATTGTCACATAGGATACACCATTGAGCTATTTCGTTCCAATCAAGGTAATTCAAGTGCACATTCTTATCGCTATGAATCCTGCTGAGGAAGAAGGCTAATTTCCTCAAAATATACTAATTTACAACTCTTATTGCTGACGTATGGATGGCACTGCGTCAGGGTCGAATGGAGGCTCGCCCTCAAATTCCATTATCAGTCCATCGTCTGGCTTTAAGCGATTGAAATCTATCCGTTCACTGTTTTCCTTATCCACTTGATTGTCACGAGCATACTCCAAAATAGCATTGAAATCTCGACACTCATGCTGGACATTGAAGTTCGGGCTGGGACTTCTATATCCCTTCATCCAATTGTAAGTGATGAAAGCAGTATCAGCGTCGCACATCAGTTTCTGTCGGAGCATATCCGCACAATGATCTAGGTTTTTGGATTAGCAAAGTTGCAGAGCTCTTAGTTTAGATGTGATTCACCTAGGTGATTATACCAATCTTTCGGATGACTGATCTTGAATTTTGTTTGTTTGGTATAATACTCAGGATAGGCTGCCTGCCATAACGCTTGCTTCGATAAAGTTAAAGACAAACTTTTAAATCGCGTATTCGGCTACTTACCACACAATGTATTTGATGAATCGTCTCAAAAACTGCGAGTCGGCCACCTCCAAGGCTACTTGGCAGTTTGACTGCGTGTTTTGAGGCGTTCAGGTGTTGGAAGACATCCTCAGAAATACTCATGGTTCCCACTTCAAATATTTAGTGAATATCTACAAAGGGATAATAGCACTTACACTCTGTTACCTCATCCCATAAAGCGTCAACTTCAGGCGATGGCGGGCCTTTATAAGGAGACGAACGATTAAATGTCCCATCGAATCTCACTTTTTTTGTAGGCGCTGATACAAGACCCCGGAGCTCCGTATTCTGGGCTAGATGATTGTGTTAGCATGAACGAGCGAACAAGGGGGAAAGTAGACATACTCCATTTATCATTTTCTAATTTAGAATCAAGTCTTGGTCCGCTCCAAGCCAGACTAAATGTGATGAATGCAAAAAGAGCACCCAAGCAAAAAGATATGATTTGACCGGTACAACACCGGAGGTAAGAGCGGTGGCACTTTTTAATGCCTTTGTTTAGCCCATTGATTTCTGCAGGAAGAAGACTTTCCTCAACATCTTTTGGACTCCAGGAAGGTTCGTCTTCCGAGTGAATTGAATGTTTATCTGACATGATGAAGATTAAGGAAAAGTCCAACAGTGCAAGAATTCAATCAATCAATGAATTCCGTGTCGGAGAGAATAGAAAATATGAACACAATGGACAAGCTTTTGAAAAAAGAAGTCAATATTGTGACAAGAAATCAAGCGAAAAGTTGATATTGAGATTTCTTGATATCTCTAGCTTGATCGAAGTATGGACATCGTCAAAATGAGTAGCTATACGGTGATATTTTGATTCATTATTGATCAACAAATACATGCGGGGAACTATTTCATAGATTGAGCCTAAATCTGACACCCTGTATTAACTAGTTGATCGCGCTAATGCCGGGACTCTAGAAAACTGTTTGAATTGAGGGTTGAATATAAAGTGACCAATGGCCAAGCACTTCAACCTTGCACATGTTTTAACTTCGGCCAAGGGATTCGGATGGCATTCCTCCATAAAGTATCTTCGCGTAGTTTATTGTTTGCCTTTCTGTGGGAGTATGGGAGGAGAAGCTGATGCTAGGACAACAAGGTTCGTTCTTATCTGCCTATCAAGTGAACCACATCTCTCTTCTGTAGTGGCGTATCCTGTAACAAGTAGAAGCTAGTTGCTACATGCTGCGAGCACGCATTATCATTCACCAATCCCGTGTTATAAACCACGTTATCTATTAAGCACGCTTTAAAATTTCATGTCGCTAGCTTAGGCCAAAGAAGTGTAGACGGGAACGAACGACTTGGAGAATGCTTGTGTGAAGCTTATTGCTGCTTAATACCGTGCCCTGCATCTGCCGATCTTGTATTGAAGGATTGTAAATCAACCTATTTGGATACTCCCCATCAATAACAAGTTGTTATTGGAAAAGAACTATATGCTAGTGTATGTGGTATCTGGATATCATCATCGTTGCTGGTATCCGCAATCTCCACTTTACATACGCGAGTACGTACGTGGAGAAAACTAGCATAAGCTTAACTGAACGATGGCCCGTTATCCGTGACGATCTCTTAATTTTCCGTCTTCCCGGCTGGTGTTTAATGACCATGGCGTTTACATCCTTGAAATTTTCGTCAATGTGTTTAGTTCTTACCATATCCCATATCATCCTCCTTCGATGCCAAGAGAGGACATATTGATTTCTACCATGGTGGTTGCTTCGTGTTGCGCCATTACAACCTTTCTCCATATGTTGTCTAGATGTTTCACCTGCCATAAGGGGAATCTGGCTGTTGATAAGAGGCGTAAACAGGTCAGTCACCCCACTTATCATTGTTTTGTGGGTAATATCGAGGAATGAAACATCTTCCAGCAAGGAAGAGCAGGAGATCTAGAGCTATCTGCAAACTAGATTGCAGTGTTACTGTACATTGCAGTGAAATAGGAAAGGGTCTGATTATAAACCGTAAAGCAAACTGCTTCTACAGCACGAAATATGTTCAAAGAAGGCATTTTCACTATTGCATAATCTTGCATATGAGAATATCTGATTCTAACAACGAATCCGGGTGATCTGTAATGATAGGACAACGGAATAGGAAACATTTTCCGAGATCTTTGCTCCTATTCCTTGTATCACGACAACTGATTCGCACGCCTTTACTTGATCACTCTCAAGATTAGGTCTTATGACAATCCACAACTCCATGGGAAAGGTAAAGCTACTTTGATCGACGGATGGTAATACCCACGCATTGAATTCAAAGATCAAACTTACGCGAAGCCACATCCTTCAGCCGACATCCAGATATCTAAAAGTATAAAGAAAAGACATTCTCCTGACCAGAAGAAAAACCATCACTCATCTCATCTCCTTCAATAACAATAACACAACATCACGAATCTCCAACCATTACCTACCAAATTACCACTCCTCAAAAACGTCAAAAACATCACAATGAAGACCGGCTCAATTTTCTTTTCACTTTCCGTGCTTAGCACATTTGTTGCAGCTCTCCCTGCTCCCAAAGCTAGTAAGTTCAAATACCGAAGATTCAGCATTGTATGAACACAAGACTTACAGAAACTAGATGCCGGTATTGCCAAGAGATTTGTTGTTCCGTATGCGGATTACGCTGAGGCTGAGGAGAACACCAAACGCTTCGTCCCTACCGGGGACTACATCCCAGACAAACGCTTCGTTGTTGTTGACTATTCCGAAGACGCCTCAAGCAAAAACAAACGCTTCATCCCCACCGGGGACTACATCCCAGAAAAACACTCCGAACACGCCACCACCTCAACCTAGATACATCAGCTTAGATACATCACCTCCTCCTCCTTCCCCGTGCCTTTCTTCCTCGTAAGCCTACAAGCAAAGATGTATACATACATTGCAAAGAAAGGGTTTCGAGGTCGTATCGTATGAGCAAAGTAGAATAGAGTATAAGAGTAAAGTTTGTTTTGGATGATTTTCCCGCTTTATTCTTTGGGGGTATGATTTGGGGGTATGATATATCTGGTAGTTACTTAGTTTACGAGTTATGAGAGTTATGATATTAGGTTTTTTTAAGTTCTTAGGGATGGAATATGAGGGTTTTTGGTAGCTGGTAGCTGGTAGCTGGTAGTTGGTCTGAATGAATGAATGAATCAGATGAATGAATGAGAATGATGTGTTTTTGTGATTTTTTTGTGATTTTTTATTTGTGTGTGTGTATGTTGTATGTTGAGTGAGTATCTATATATATATGGGTCGGGGTTTTTGGTTGTGAATTCAAATTGTGAATTGTGAAATGTGAGATATAAAATGGCTCGAATAAATGCGGTTATGATTTGCTTTGATGTGATTTGATTATAATTTTATATATAGATATTAGGAAATGGGATATGGTACATGGTACATGGTATATAGTGTATAAATAGGAGAATTGAGTTGAGGGAAATTAATATTGACGACCTGGAAGTTGAAATGAGCTGTTATTAATAACTCTTGTATCATTTTCTGTATAATATCTATCTATATAATTATATACTTACAAAAGCTTAGATAATTTACTCGGCACTATTAGTCAAAGTTCTATTTCATTATACGAAATTCAAACCCATATTATATTATATTACATTAAATCTAAACAGTCTCTATATACATATATAATATGAAAACCGCCTTTTCTATCTCTCTAGATCTTGAATATATCCAAATCTAGTAATTATACTAAATCACCTTTCCTCCTCCTATCATCGAACCACCACTTCCTCATTTAATACTGCAATTTCATCCTCCTCTTCATTTGCCAAATCTCCCACACTCTCATTACTACCATTTTCCCAATTCCAATTTCTCCTACTCATCACCCAGCCAGCACTCCAGACAGCTATCCCTGACAAACCACATATAACACCTAGTCCAAAGAATGGTAATCCAACCCAAGCGCCTTTTAACCTTAATCCTATAATATAAAGTTCAGCAAATGCTGGTCCTGCTATTAGTCTTCCAGTCGTCTCAACCACCGCTACTGCCGCATATAATTGTCCCTTGTGTTGTTGTTCGACTAGCGTTGTTATCAGGGAGCGCGTTGTGGAGATATATCCAGCGCCTAGAGTAAATACTGCCATTCCGAGAATTGCCAATGGTAGCGTTGGAGATGCGGCGATTAAGATGGATCCTAGGACGAGGATGAGGATTGAGGTTTGGGCTAGATAGAGGTCTTTTTTTCCAGGGGGCATTTGAAGACTGGTAGTCATAATGCGTGATAGGATGGGGAGGACGAGTAAAAATAGAATGATTTGTACTCCGGCGCGGAGGGACCAGAGGAAGGAGCTGTAGCGGAGAGGGAAGTGGAAGCGATTACTAATATAGCGGAGGGAGATATCGACAGATTGACCGCTGAAATGTGCGAGAATGAAGGTGACGAGAAGTAGGATTAGAGGCGCAGAGTTGAGAATTGAGATTGAGGATTTTAGAGATTGGAGACTAGCTGCAATCTGGTGTTTGATTGTGGGTAAAAGGGACTTTTGTGATTTTGGGCTATTTGGGAAGTCATTGTTGGAAGGACAGGTGTGGTGCAACGAATCGGAAGTCTGATTTATGTTTAGGGTTTCTGGAATGAATATTACGAGGATACTTCCTAGGATAAAGGAAAATAACCCCAGAATAAGGGGAATCCACGGAGACTTGGCCATCAAGATAGCAGCCATAGACGGAGCAATTAGCTGAGCAACAAGATCCGTAGCGGCTGCCAGGAAGAATACATCAGTTCTGTATTCGTTAGTGTTTGCTTTAGTATCTGAAAGTCGAAAACAAGCATACCTCTTTGCTTCCGGAGTGATGTCACTTATGATAGCAAAAAATGCCATGCTTCCTACACTTGATCCACCTCCGATCAAGGTAAAGACGGGACTGAGCCAGACGAGGCGGAGGGGGAGCATACGCCAAAACCACATGACTACCACTCCCCACAGAGCTTCAAGGACTATACCTATCATTGCTAACATGAAAATTGGCTTTCGTCCAATTCTGTTGGGTATTAGTATAATTTTTGTTTGGATCACCTTCAAAAGCTATAGACTATTGTTTTCTTTGAAAGGAAAATCTTATTGAATAATCTTCTATTTGTGAATATATGTAGAAATTTAGATAATAGTACGTGGAAATTGGTACATACCTGTCCATAAGCATACCATACGGTATTGTCGCAATAAGACCTTGGGTTGAATTAGCTCCTTTTTCAGCTATGCTATTGGATTTTCCCTTCACTACCTGCCTGATATTGCTCCAAGAAAGTGAGATCCTGCGACCACAATACTCAGTTCATTCTGAATATCATCTTTTTTACACATGCTCTCATCGATGTTTCCCAGCAGCACTGTATAATCCGCACCCTGTAAAAGATCATAGTAGTGGTGGCAGATGATATCCTCGTAAACTCTCAATACTGGTACTGCCATCAAATACTCCCCAAACTCGAGCCAAAATAAAGATGCAAGCACGATAGCCGTTATCACGTGAGGTGAACGTGCCCGGCGGGTGCAAGAGCTCGAGGATGCATATGTTCGATTAGAGATCCATCGAGACCATCTCGCAGACATAGAGGCACTAGAAATTTGCGGTGGCGCAGGCAAGAGAGGTGTTTCTTCACCGGCTGATGGATTAAGAGTTGCCATGTTGAAGCTTAAGGTTTATGAGTGGCGTAGTCATCAATTGCTTATGTTGAGCGAGAATACTGGACAATCCGAATGCGAAGGGAGAATAGATGTAGGAGCTGAGAAGAACGAAGGAGAATCTGAGATGATGGGTAATAGGTAGGTATCCCAGACGGGAGCGACACCTTCTTTCCCCTGCTTTCCAAACATTAGCGACTTGTTTGTAGTCGCGGCGAGGAGGTTGATCCATGATATTTGATTGGTTGAATGATTGTTAACGAAGACGAAGCTCCACAACTTTTATTTGTCATCAATTCATCAATTCCCATCAATCTCCTATTTTTATTTCCGCACCTACCTAATTCGGATGCTTGAATGATAATGAATGATACCATCATCATCCTATATATACTCATCGACCAATGAGATCTAGAGACAAGTCAGGAATATTGGAGATGAGCGATGATATCTTTTAGAGGCTATGAATGATAAATCCAAAGGTCGACCCAACAACCTTACTCAGCCATAGAAAGAAATTCGAATTTAATGGCGAATTAATCGATCAATCCGTCAATCATCAATCATGATTTTGCTTTGAATTTTCAAGTAGAAATCTTAGCTTTTAATACACTCAAGCCTTGAAAGTTACCGTATGACTATGACTATGAGCATGATTTAATCTCAAAGTACCTTACCCTCCAGAACACCTTTTCCCGGATTCGGTGTTCGGATTTATCATACGGCAGCGAGACAGCTGGCTGGCTATCAACATCTTTTGGATTTCATACAATCCAAGGTAATCATGAATCAATCAAGAATTTGTACTGATGATAGTTTTGGTCCTACCATTCAAGGAGGATGTCGAGAGGATTTTGATTTCACCCTTCTATTTGAACAAAGCTTCTTTTCCATACTACCTTCCACACTTTTTCAGTCGAATTTCATCACAAAAGATCTAGTCCTTGCATAGACAACCTAGAAGAGTATCAGGTACCAGTACTCAGCTGTTAAAATTGGTGAGAATGATGATTGCATCGCAAAAATACAAACAAAGACTTACAATTCGCAGCTTTTCATTATTATATATGGTCTACTTCAGGTTGCCCTTCTTGTTCTGTATTCCATTCGCAACACAAAAAATACACGGACCCCCATTCCTTCAATTTTATGATACAATCTAGTGGTAGTATTTCTTTGTATCTTGTCATATCGGGAGCACAGAAGTCAATTCGCCCGTCGAGTGTACTGAATGTATATTAGTTATGCACGTTGATTTTTGATGCTGTTCAACTCAGGACAATTTGGTTGATTGACAACGACATAGCTATCGCAGGAGTCTTCTCTGCTTCACTGGCTCTGAAATTATGCATGTTCCTGCTCGAAGCTGGGGGGAAAGGCCAATTACTGTATCATGATTATAAGAAACATGGCCCTGAAGCAAAGAGTGGTGTTTTTAATAAGGCAGTATTCTGGTGGCTGAAAGATCTTTTGATTCGAGGACGGAAGAACATTTTAGCACTTGGAGATTTTTATCCACTCAATGAGGAACTTTTCAACTGGAAATCTTTTGCCTAAGTTCCAAAGTGCTTGGGAACGAGGTGTGTTGAAATCCGAAATCCGAATTTTAATGCCCTCGTCGTCTAATTTCAGTAGCAGGAGCCAAAGCTGCTAGCTACCGCGCTCTTCATGCGACATTCAGAGCCCTCATAGGTTCAATACTCGTTGCAATGATTTCACGAGTCTGTCTAATTAGCTTCAACTTTTGTCAACCACTTCTATCTAATACGTCGATTTACTAACTACTTACAACAACTTGTTACCGAAAATACCACAAACCAAGGTTAGGTCTTGTCGGAGCTTACGGTAATGCATTTATTCTCCGTATAATATATTGAGCTGACGATTACATCAAGGTATTGTTTATCTAGGAATAACGGTAGGATCCATGCACCCTCAAACTTACAAATCAAATACTTACGAGGCCATAGATCTCCGCTGCCATCTATTATCGTTTGACTTACCGATCATTGATCATGATACGTGGTGTTTTAGTATCTGCAATATATCACAAAACAACCCAGATTGGCATTGGAGAATTTGACAATGCTACAGCAGTCACTCTAATGAGTGCAGATACTGAACAAATTATGTATGCACTAAGACAAATGCATGAATTATGGGCCAACATTATCAAAGTAGGCTTAGCAAGCTGGCTCTTATACACACGAGTCGGTTTTGCTTGCTTTGCTCCTTTGGTCATCGCTGCAGGTAGGTTTGAAATCAACTCTAACACAGGGATGACTCATAGTTTGATGTAGTTGTGGTACTGCTTCATTCTGGCTCAGTTCTCGAGCAAATATTCACTAACGCGAGTGGATGTCTGTCATACAATAGCGAGTGGGCAAGTGAATTTGATACTTCGGCAAGAGACAAATCAGCTTACGTACAATTAGCTACAACAGCGGCGACGTTTTGAGCAATAAAAAGGGTCAAAATGTTGGGACTAACTGAAAAGCTTTTCAAAACAACTCACGCACTGAGACTTACCGAACTCAAATCGGCGAAAGCGTTTCGACAAGTCGAAGTTATTACCGCTTTTTTTTGGTGATCACCACAATCCGAAATTAATTATTGTAAAGATGACTAACAAAAGATTTAGTTTTCTTACCTGAAATGACTCCTCCAGTCGTCACTTTCGCTATATTCATTAATGTAGCAAATCATGGTAATGGAGCATTCGCCTCAACTGTAGTTTGCACATCCATATCAACACTTTTGCTCGACACACAACCATTGGCACACCCGTTTCATCCCTCAACTTGCAGCAGCCATTAGTTCATTCGGCCATATATCTCACTTCTTAGAGCGCCCATCCTTAATAGACAAACGTGAAAACATTGGCTCTAATGTCTCGGCAAGGAGTGAGACTTTCACAGCAAACACGGACGATATTCCGTTAAGCGATTTGGAGCTCTCCAGAGAAACAAAACCATCTAATTTTATGAGCCTTACTACCACATCACTACCCAATAAAGTCAGCATTAAAATTCAAGGAGGCGCATTTGGTTGGATAGAAAACTGCCACGCCCTTCATGACATAGATATCGAATCCCCAAAATCACAACTTACTATGGTGATTGGACCAGTAGCTTCTTGAAAGTCAACTCTATGCAATGCAATTTTGGGAGAAATTCTATTTTCCGAAGGCATCATACAACTCTCGTCGTCTCAAATAGCACTTTGCGATCAGACTCCATTTTTGACCAACGCCACACTACGGGAAAATATCATTGGATCTTCAGTTTTTGACGGTTTATGGTACGATAGTATCATAAATTCTGTATCACTAAGTCACGATCTTGACATCTTACCATCCGGAGACCAGACCCTAGTCGGCGCCAATGGACTGGGCTTAAGTGGAGGTCAAAAGCAAAGAGTATCAATTGCGAGAGCAATTTGTGCAAGAAATGATATATCGCTATTTTGGTCGGTGTTTTCAACGGCCTTGATGCAACTACCAAACAACGTGTTTTCAATGGTGTTTTTGGCTCTAAAGGACTGCTTTGTCGGAAACAAACCACTGTAGTGCTTTTTACAAATGATGTCGATCTTATACAATTTGCCGACCACGTTGTCACTCTTGGAAATAATGGAACCGTTATTGAGCAAGGAAGTCCACAATTGCTTCTTAGTAAAGAAGAATACAATCAGCGTTTAGTGACATCCAACTTTGGAGGTTGTGGAAAGTAATTCGAAAGCAAATTTTGAAGCTCTTACCGCTCCAGATGCAATTATTGAGTCGAATGGGCAGGCAGCTAATGTTCCGGCTATCACTACTATAGAAACAATAATACCGATTTTTCGGTCTATTGATATTATTTTACACCTATCTGGCTTCTCAACATGATTCCCTATTTATTTTTTGCGGCGTCCTTCGGCTTTTTCTATAACTTTCCACTTGTCTGGCTAATCTGGTGGTCAGAAACAAACGACAATAACAAAATTTATCTGACAGTATACAGTATTTTTCAATTACTTGAATACTTTCTGTTACACTCCTCGCACAACATGGACTCAATTCAATGGCCAAGAAATCAGGCAAGAACTTACACTTTAGACTTCTAAAGACGGCAATATTCGCACCTTTGAGTTTCTTTCATACGACTGATTCTGGATCTATTACTAACAAATTCTCACAAGATATTTTGCTTATCCATACAGAGCTTCCAAATGCGCTAATGAATATAGCTGCTTTGATCTTTATGATGATTGGACAGGCAATAATAATTACCGTTGCATCGCCATACCTAGCTATTTCGTATCCCGTTTTATTTGCCATTCTTTATTATATTCAGAAATTTTACCTCCGAACTTCCTATCAACTTCGTTCACTGGAATTAGATGCAAAGTCGCCATGTAGTAAGTCTTCCTAGTTGATTTTCAAGCGACGCCTTGATACTGTCATTACCAAGTATCAGATGTTAATGACGAATGATTATAGTAAACATTTCCTCGAAACTCTGCGTGGACTTCGAACAATAGGAGCTTTTAACTGGACTTCAATCAACCAGGAAGTCAATTCAAAGCTTCTAGATACATCTCAAAGCCCGGTATACCTTCTCTTCATGGTTCAACAATGGTTAGCCGTCATTTTGAACCTGGTCACTACAGCCATCGTAATGATTTTAGTCAGTGTTGCAAATGTCACTCGCTCTCATCAAGGTTATATTGGTCTGGCGCTCGTTAACTGATGTCGTTCAATACTATTCTAAAACAAATCGTGGTACTTTGGGCCACGCTAGAAACTTCCATCGGTAGCGTCTCGAGAATTAAAACGTTTGGTGAAACAACAGAGTCTGAGGGTGAGACTTTGTCTCAAGAAATGATAATTCCGAGTGAGGATTGGCCACAAAATGGCAGTGTTGAGTTTGAAAATGCATTGGCTACTTACAATTCAGTTACCCCTTTCCATAGCGATGGCATTAATGAAGTTATGAAGTCATTATGTTCATATTAAACTAAAAACCCGTAGTCCAAATAGCAACCCAGTATTAAAAAATGTAGAACTATCCATCAAGCCCGGAGAAAAAGTTGGAATCTGTGGAAAAAGTGGCAGGTAAGTAAACATTTCATCTAATATAAACATATAAATCCTAACCCACAGAACCAATGTGGCAAAAGTTCCCTCATCCTAACCTTATTCCGTATACTCGATCTATCACAATGCAGCATCACCATCGAAAATATAGCCATCAGTCATCTCCCGCGAGAAAAAGTCCGCACCCATCTAAACGCTATACCACAAGAACCATTTTTCCTCAAAGAAACATTCCGGGGAATCTCGATCCGCACCAAGTCTCCAACGACGCATCTCTAATGAAAGCATTAAAAATGGTACCGTTAGAATCTATCATACCACGTACTGGTAGTCTTGATAGTGAAATGGATGCTGAGATTCTGAGTCATGGACAACGACAAATTTTTTGTCTTGCGCGGGCGATTGTGAGACCGGCGAGGATTTTAATTATGGATGAGGCTACTAGCAAGTATGTTGTATATTCATATCCACATCTATCTTCACAGACAGCCAAACACCCAACCCACACCCCCATCCCATCTCCCTCAACCCCAAAAACTCCAAAGTCACAACGAACACCCCCTCCCCGCTCCGCCCCAAAAAGCGTAGACCAAAAAACCGACGCCCTAATGCAAAAGTTCATCCGAGAAGTCTTCCACAACTGCACCATCATAGCCGTCGCCTAGCGCTTAAACACCATTCTCGATTTCGACCGCGTAGCTCTATTCCATTAGGGTGGATTAATTGAATGTGATGTGATGCTCCGGGGAACTTTGCTCGCGCGGCCTGCCTTCTTCGGGGTTTGGGGGGTTGTTTGAGGATTTGTAGTTGAATTATTAGGTTGTTGGTGGCGGGGGAGAGGGAAGAGGGAGAGAGGGATGTTTGTTTGAGGTTGGGGGTTGAGGAAGTGAGGGAGTGAGGAGGTTGTTGAGAGGGTAAGTGATATAGTGGTATATATATATATATATATAGATTTTTTAAATATAAAACTACAATTAATAAAAATCTTATTACTTTATACATAAATAAGACGTTACTTTATTAAAATAAAAAAAACAAAAAATTTATATATTCTTTAAGAAATATTAAATCATAAACTTACATCTTGATTTTTTTTATTATTCTTCATTCTTCTTCCTTCTTTCTTCTTCTACTTCCGCAATATAACTTTCCACTTTCAAATTCCAAGTTTCGTTCTCTTTTATTTGATTTATTTTTATACAAAAATATAAATCTATTATTCTATCTACCCTTCTCTTCTTTACTCTACTACCCCTTTAACATTCTTAAAAATCAAGATTATAAAATCTTAAAATCTTTAAACCTTCTATATTCTCTTTTTTAATATATAATATATCAATATATAAACAAATAAATATAATTATTAATCAAGTATTTTAAATAATAAAAATAATACAAAGAGAAAGAAGAAGGAATAATTATATCAAGATAAAGTATATTAAAACATAATATATAAAGAAAAATAAAATATAAAAAAAAGAATGAGATCGATCGATCGATCGATTTGAAGGATTGATATAATATAATATAATATAAAAATTTTATTATATTTAAAAAAGAAAAGAAAAGAAAAAAGTCTCATAAGAAAGTGGAAAACCGTAGTAAGTTCAGCTATCATAGAGAAATGAATGAATGTATGTACAAATTAATGCATATCCTACTCGTAGTAAGGTGTTGCTTTTTTTATACCAATTTTCCTATTGTCCTGCCTGTTCATCCATCCAGGAAGCATATTCTACATATGCATTTATTCTTTTGTGTTCGCTTATTCCATTCATTCATCCATTCATCCTTTCTTTCATCCATTTCTGCATCATTAAAAGTCATAAGAAATGACATATCTTCTATCTTCTTGAAACCTCGATCCATTCATTACTCTTCTGAGTTATCACATACATCATCATCGCCAGAAGGATCGGTAGCCTCAGGGAGTCAACTGTAGAACCAGTATTGAGCAGAGTATTGAACACTCTGTACACCAACTTTTGAGCAAGGATTAATCGAATTACCACCAGCAGTCTCAACACGGAAGACTTCTGAAAGACCAACAGATGTGTAAGTAGCCTTGGCAGATAATGACAACCAATCAACGGCACCAGTATCAGAGGGTCCTGGGCTGGCGTTTATTGGTGCGGAAACATCACCAGTTTTAGCACTGTACAAGATTTTGTTGACAGTGTAGAGGTCGAAGGTTGGAGTACCCCTAGCATCAAAGAAGTGCTTGCCAAGAGTACTGAGACCCAGGAATTTAGCACTAGTAGTCGAGGGAAGACTGGTATAGACAGCGATATTAGGCAAATTATTGAAAGCGGCGCCATTGCACTTGGCAAATTCGGTAGCGTCGTAGAGGCTTGCGACAGCACCAAGAGCTACTGGAGTAGCACCAACGGCGGAACAGGTGTAATTTTGGATACCACGACCGAGAGCAGCATAGGCGAGAGTACCACTTGGTGTTGGAAGCTCAGAAACACCTGGAAGTAGAGATGTTAGTTGTAATTCTTGAAACAAGACTGAATAAAACTTGGAGGGTAAAAACGTACCTCCATTGACAGGTAGGGTTGCGGTTCCACAATTATAATCAGTTGAAGAGATAGCTGATACAGTGTTGAGTGGCACAGCGGCAACGGCCGAAGCCAAAACGAGAACGATACTGCTGATGGAATACATGATGTCGTTGAAGTGTAGAATTATGTTGTAAATTGAATATTGTTCTGGTTGGAAATGTGGTCGATACAAATTGAGGTGGAGAGAGATATATATATATGAGTTGTTGAGAGGATGGAGAACTGAATAGTCCAACACTGGGAAGCTTCTGTACTAAAATATGAAGCTCTGACACTGATGGCGTATGAAGAGGAGGCAGTGAATTGACTTTCACGTATGGGGTTGACGATTAAGTGAATGCTTTTAGAGATGAGGATGAGATGGCGAGATGAGATGAGATGAGATGAGATGAGGTTGAAGGTTGAAGGTTGAAGGTTGAAGGTTGAAGATTTACCACAACTGAGAGGAGTGAAGTCATCTTATAGAAATTCGAGTCAATTGACTCAATTGAGCATCAGATAAAATAAGAATAGGAACAATAAATAAACAAGGCCTGGTCAATTAATTCAGACCGTGAAGAAACTAAACTAAACTAGTCTAGTCTAGTCTAGTACAATGCGGAGGTAAGTTATCAAACGAAACGGAAAAATAACTTGTGAACCCTGTAGAATGATACGATGATAGTAAAAGATGTGGATCTCTTCATTGTGGATACTGTACCTTTTTCATTTGGCTTGCATTCTTGCAGACAAGGGCTGTTCCTGCTTTCTGCGAGACAAGGATTGAATCCTCTATCTTACATAAGTATCTTGTCATTTTCCTACATATAAAAACAAACCATGCCTAGATAGGTAGTTTAGGATACAAGGACCGCATGGATTGTATGTAGTTGGTGTAAAAAGTGAAGTTGAACTAAACTCGGTCCAATATGTACAGTCCAATGTGTTGATGAAAGTAAAGGTTCACCTGGTGGTTGAGGGAAAGAAAGAAAGGTAAGAAAAGAAAGGTAAGAAAAGAAAGAAGGTCAAGAATAGAAATGATCTAAGATGAAATGAGATGAAGCTAATGGCGTTTTAGTTTAGTGTTGCCGAGCAGCGGGCGTGCACGCGAGGGAATCTAACCAATCTAACCACTTTAACCCCTTAGCGCACCGGACACACTGACCAAAATATCCAATGCTTGATCATGACCCGGGCTTGACCCATTTCCTGACCCATTTCCTGACCCGTGTGCTTCCTCCATTTACACACAACCCTTGATAGGTAAGTTGAAGTTGATATGTACAGAGAGAGTATGATTTGTATCTTCATCGAATAAACTTTGAATTTTTTACCAAATATTGAGAAGACGACATGCTAACTTTTTATTGCCCTGAGTGAGATGATTGAATTCTTTCTACTATTCATCGTCGAACCTCAATCGCTGGTTTGTAAGATGTTCCGAATGTGGTTTGTGCCGTATACCTTTTCTACTTGTCGATTCACATCATCTCTCACCATCAGATGCAAGAGATGAAAATGAAAATGTCCCTTTTTTGTTGTACCACGATAAGATGGTACAAAGGAAATAACCTCATTTATTTGATTGCTACACTGCGACCTTATTATCTGCTGTCTACTACTACCTTACTACTATTATCTACTACCTTACTATTACTATCTACTACGCTACTACGCTACTACTACGCTACTACTACACTACCTGACTAACCAGTTATCATACGACATTCAGCTACTCAGTATACTTGATTTCAAAACAATCTTTAACCCAACGTTGAAGGAAGTTCACAAACTATCGTGTACGTCGCAAGCATACCGGCCGACACTCCATCTTCCCGCATCCTCCTATTCGCGCATTGTTTCGCCGTTTACTCGAAGTAGGTTCATCCCTTGTCTCATTGTTCACCAACCAAAATACCCGAGCGGTTAATTCATTTATTCCTAGACGAGCTATTATTGTACATGCTACTGTAGGTACCTACTTTCAATACTCCATATTGCTATGGAGTCCATAATAATACTTCATGCTCGAATTGTTGAGTACTTGGTACTTGTGGGGACACTCGCTCAATCCACATTTACTGTTACATGCAAGTATGAAAATTTTACTGGCATGGCATTGATCACTACCGGTTTGACAGGAACTGTTTTCCTTCGTGGCAGAAGTACCAACTATACCTCATTCCTTCTCGGGAACATCAACACTTCAAACTCCACCATTTCGAAATCTCTTGCAACAGACGTACACTTAACCGGGCAGACGATCTAGAGATAATGATCAGCTGAATCTGGGGAAATCTTCATAAGCTTAAGACAGGGTAAGTCGATTTCAAGGATTCATTATACCTCTATATCGTTTAACTAGCGTACTCAAATTGTAAGTATTGTTGACAGGTCCAATCTTTGAATCCTGAATCTTGAATCTTGACGCCACCAAAAACATCAAGCATCCCACATCCATCTAGCTCCACTCCCGCGACAATTAACAATTTTTACATTTTCAACTGCCCGGCCCGAAACTTTCTCCTATTTTCCCGATGTAGAGAATTATGGAATCATACTTTGAAGATCTACGTATGAGCAAAAGGTATCTACTACATCTAATTCAGCTCTTTTACCAACCTCCTCTCCTCATCTATCCCTGACTTTTCCTCCTAACTCTACTCTTGTCTCAATACATACATAACCTACTCCATAAGGAGGTAAAACCAAAAAAAAACATCACTAATCAACACATCTTACATCTTCATCCAATCAAACTGAGTAAAACTCAATCATCGTAATACAATACAACCGGGAACGTGTTCTTCCAACTATTTGTTCTCGAAATAGATGCTTGAGCTTTTGTGCATCTATCTCTATCTAGGTACAGATTGATGTATGTATGTATGTATGTATGTACTCTTTTCGGTAGGTACAAATTTACTACTGTGTACTCAACGCAACAACAATACTCCATCCATATAATTTAAGGTTATATCTTTCTATTATCTGCATGTGATTTATATGATATGATATGTTCTTACGGTACCTAGGTAGGTAGGTATGCACATTTAACACACTAGGATGTAGAAGTTTCTCCGAACTTCCTTCAACGACATCGCGTCGTAGAGTGGTTTAAGTCTTGGGTCTCTTATTTTCTTTCTGTCCTGTCCATTTATATTCATTTAATTCTTTTTTCTTGTTGTTGCCCGCCCGTCCGTTTATTCTTGCTATGAATATCTTCTTGATGGATGGATGGATGGATGGATCTGCCGAATTCCGGTTTATGGATTACGATTAGGTGATGAGGTTAAGTGTTGTTATTTGTTCTTGTGGTCGCTAAACTATTAAGGGTCTAATCTTCAGTAGGTAGGTATGGTTATTGAAAATATCGTCTGGAAGATAAAAAGAAAATACTGACGCTTAAGATAAACTCATACCCGCTCTACCAAACTTTCTAAAGTAGAATTACTAATCGATTGGCACACAGCGTCTAAATGAGCTGCCTGCTATCAGAAGTGGATCCATCCATCCATCCATCATCTATCCAAACTACAAGTACATACAGTACCATCCAGCAATCGCTTACGACAAGAATGAAAGTAGAAAAGAATTTATTAGCCACCCATTCACCAACTCACAACTAGCCGCGCATTATCTCACTTCTCTCGGCTATCAAACCCATCTTTCCGTTCGTCCCCGAGCGCTTGATACTGGACGTAGTAGTTTGGATCCATAAAAAGATCATCAAGTACGCTAGTTTGGGGACCCACTCCACTATCAGACTATTTATAAATTTCTCCTCATCATCCATTATCTATCTACTGAGGCCAAGGTCCAAGACCGAAGACCCACGCTCCACGCTTCATGCTCCGCTTGACTCATCTTCCGGTTCTTTGGTTATGCAATGGTTATGCAATGCGTATGCATATGCTTTTGCTTATGCTTCTTGTGGGTGGTATGGCATGTATTATTCGCTCCTCTTGCACGGAGTACGAGTAGTGTCGTTGTATCATAAGCCAGTCTAGGAAGAGAATCAACTACCACGGGATACAAGACAAGACAACACAAGACAACACAAGACCGAGGGTAATGGTGCAAATGCAGGTGCATCGATACCATATTCCTCCATTCACACCGGACCATGCTACTATAGCCATCACGATTCCCCATGAAGAAAAGAAAATGGGCCGAATAACCAAGCTGGAGAAAACCTAGTATATTTCCTCTTTCATCCTCGGCACAAAAAAAACGTACGAAAGTAAATGTATCTCCGTAAACTCGAAAGTTCGAGGACAAGGGGTGAGTGAATTCGAATTAGTCAACATACCATCTCTGTTAATATTAACCGAGATTTCTCTCTTTTTGATGTTTCCATCTATGTACTCGCCATCATCAAGTTCCAGATGCAGATGATGAATGATATTCCACTACTTTACTCTAGTTTAGTCCACATGTATGCATGTATGTATGTATGTATGTATATATAAATATCCCCCCCTCCCTACTTATCTACCTATCACGAACCTCGCATTCACAATCTCCCCATCGGGATTGGTTATGCACTTTTAAGCTTAAGCTTTATCTAGAATCTAAACGACATATTCCCATTTTTCCCATTTTCCCGTCGTTCGTTGTGGAGGTATGTTTCTATTTTGGGGATCTGGGTATCAATACAGATAGATGATATGTAACTAGTCTAGTATTTAGTTCTTACATTCATGATATACTAATCTAATCTAGCTTGGGCATCTACGTCTTACTACTTCGATAACAACTTCTTATATTGCATTCTATATAGTTGGTAAGTCGGTAAGATTATCTATCTAGTATCTAGTATAATTGTATACCGCTTCCCTATTATCTCATACCAAGCTACCAAGCTACCAAGCCTTTCACATCATATTTTCATATTTTACCCATCTATCATCTATCACCTAGATAGACTAAGAAATCTAAACTCCCTCCTGACGAATAATAATCCACCCCACCCATATGAATCAGATAGATATTCAGAAAATCTTCCATGTCGTCTGCAGTCTTTCATTCTATCTTTAGAATGTAACATCCTAAGTCTTATAAACCTTGGAAGTGTTCACTTTTGATATCTATTCACTTTCATATATACAGTATGTCTTGGAAATCTTGGAAATCTTAGAAATCTTGGAAATCTTGGAAATGAATAGATTTTATCAAAGAGATTCTATACATTCTACATCGAATTAGAGTAGAGAAATATATAAGCGGAACGAAACGAATATGTATTTTTTCTGAATGTGATTGTTACGTTATTCTTCTTCGACTTGTTAGACTTAATTAATTAATCGATATTGTATGAGTTATGAGTGTGTAATTGAGGGATTTGTTGAATTTATTTTCTGGATCGCAGTTGCTGGGGGGTTTCTTTCTCATTTGTTGTTTATTTTTACTTATTTTTTTTAATCTTGAGTGCTGCTGTTCTTCTGAATGTCGCTTGTAGGTTCTTGTTCATTTATGCATTCATTCACCTCCTATGTACTCCATTCACTTATCCCTCATTCGTTCATTCATTCCTCATTCACTCATCCTTCATTCACCCGTCCCTCATTCACTCACCTCCATTCACCTGCCCCTCGAGCCCTATTCACTCCTCCGCTCACAAATACCTCTTAAACCATTCCCCTAAACAATACCCCGTAAATCATACCCTCATAAGTTATAACCCACTCCCTCACCAAACATCAAACACCATCCAAAACCTACGACCTACAAACTAAAACCTAAATCACCTAAATACCTCCCACATTCCCATCCACATCCACATCCACATCCACATCCACATCCACATCCACATACACATACACATACACATACACATCTCCACCCGCCCCCTGAAGCTCCTTCAGAAGGCGTAGGTAATACATTGAGATAGATAGGTACGTGGGTTAATATAGTTAGTGTGAGTAGTCTAGTAATTTCGCGGGATTGTAAATTGGGAGGATTTAAGAAGGGGAGGTTGATGGATGTGATAGATGAGCGAGGTTAGTGGATGGGACAATTAAGCTCCCGGAGATTGTTATAGGATCGATAAAGGATTAGTGAAGACTGGGCAGGGTATAGAAGATAGAGGTTGGAAATGATGGAGGATATTGTAGCACGTGGGAAGTAGTCGAGTGGGATGAATGAGATAGGGAAAGATATAGATTTTAGATTCCTTTAGAAGGGAGTGTGACAGGAAGTGAGTGGTATACACAATGTACAATGCACAATACACATTTGTATTCATATTCCATTGTAATATTGATATCTATTTATCTATCTACTAATACCTACATATCTACCTATCTATAGAGAGATCGCATGAACGAGTGTTTGGATGAGAATTGCGGTATATAATGTATATGTGTATGTATATGCATATGTATGGATGTATCTATATATATATACTTGAGATCCACAGACTAATTTAATGATACAGGGATACAGAGGATAGTTTCCACAGCTCTTAGAATTCTCATTATATATTTTGAAATATCTATCTTTATCTCTATCTCATTCCCATTTTCAATATCTATCTCTATCCCTGAAATGTGTGGAGATAATTCAACAATGAAGATTACCGCACCCAGTTTTGCCTTTCTCAAGAGAAATCTATAAAATATTCAAGTAGATATGACTCAAGTCCCTCAGTAGTAAAACATCTTGGCACACATGGATCACACTGAGAGTATATACACCGAGTGTGCATACATCAAGTGAAAATAATATCAACGAAAGTCAATGTACTTTCAAACCCATACTACCATAGCCATAACCATAACTATACCTATAACGACCGTCTAACAATTCCATAAGGCAAATTTCTTCCAACCGAACCTCCTCCAGAATACCATATCATATCTAAACCTATTTTCCTACACCACTTTATCATTCCTAAGCATCCATCATCTCAGTTGCAGTTCTCCGTTTAACCTTTCTCAGTCCCTTACTCAAATTATCCTCTTTTCCAACATTTCTTTCCTTTCCCTCCTTACAGCTATTACCACTAGCCGTTCTTTTCTTTCCTCTACTCCAACCACCACTTCCACTACGTCTCTTTCCTCCAACATAACTCGCACCACTAACCGTGCGTTTCTCTCTCCAGCTCCCACAATTCCTCCCCATGCTAACTTCACGCTCCCTCTTAACCCTTTCCGAAGAATTCGAATCCGGTCTTTTCTCAGTTTTCTGCAAATACGCTCTGCGAAGAATATTATTTGGATCAATCCATTGTAAACAAAGCTGGTGCATGGGCTTAACTTTTCGATTGGAAGAACACATATCTTGTCGAACTGCCCAATCCCAGAATCCAAGAAATGCAAATGCATTCTTAAGTATCTTATGACCTTTGGCTTTGTCTACAGCAAATTCATCAATATCGATTGGTTCTGCTGTGATATCTGTGAGAATTCCTTCTTCAGATGACCATTGAAATCTAACATTGAGAAGTTCTTCTGTTCTTTGAACGGGATTAACCCCCCAGAGCATCGTAGTACAAGAATCGCCATGATTTCGAGCCGATGATGCTATGGAATAGGTATATGGTAGTCTTCCCCATTCGAGAGGCAATAGCTTGTGTTTTAGTTCTATTTGACGAAAGATTTCCTTTTTAATATCTTCCTCTTGGGCTTCTTTTGCCTTGTCATTTTCCTGTACCCATTCATTATACCTGTGGCGTCCCCATCGTCCGAGCATCAAGATCTTTGGATTTTTCATAATCTCTTCGTACAGGGTCTCTGTAGCAGTACTTACTTCTGACTCGACCGGGGCATCAATAGAAGAATCTCCATTGGTAGCTTCACTGCTAGACTTAGATCTTATCGCTAGATGAAACCTTCTCGGCACCTCTGCCGCATTCAAAACGGTAGAGAATATTCGATCCTTCTCATCAATGACGTTGGCTACAACACCTGTGGTAAAAAAAGGACCTCCATTCAAACTTCCACTTGTAGCCGTTTCTACCAGCGATGTATTAATATCAAGCGGGAGTCCAACCACTTCTGTGACTGTAGAGATGATCTCATTTTTCCTGATATTTAAATTGATGTCCAATTCTGCAGCGACACAAACACCTTCCTCAACCATAGAATTTGTAAGATTTTCGGTCATTAATTCATCAACCTCATTCGATTCTTTCACCTCCGTAACTGTTGAAATTAACTCATCTTTTTCGAGAATATTGTCGACGGCGGGTTCTGCAGGAATACGAAGAAGACCTTCATCCACAATCGCACTTATAGCATCCGTCTCAGAAGTCGTAACTCTCATTGCTCGCGAGGTGCCCTCAGTTGGCAGCGGATTACCCGCTTTGGCTCGAGCTAAAGGCACACTTTTACTTCCCGATCCTCTTGCACAGCTCTTATCATTCCCTATCAAACTCATCAAATTAGCAATCATACTCTCGTCCCATTCTGGAGAAATTTCCAGGAGAAATCCTATCCCAAAACACTTACAAAACAACCTATAAACGATCCTTTCTGCTACCTCCAACTTTTTTCTTCCCCTTTCCTCATTTTCCTCACTCTCCACCCCAAAAGCAGCAAGCACAGCCTCATACGCCTGCAAGAACCTAACCAAATCGATTTTCTCATCAATAGCTCGATAAACCATTTGTTGTTTGCTATATTTAGTTTCATATGCACGATTTCCTGCCTTAACCTTTGAGCCTAGTTTAGGTTTCTGACAAGGAGCGTTTGGAGGTGTGTCGGCATGGGAAAGAGAAAGAGGAGAAATTGAATCTGAGATGGCATCGTCATTGATGGGAATTGAGGTGCTGTGATTGCGTTCAAACCAGCGAGGAAGGGAGGAAGAAGGGAACATTTTTGAGTGATGTTGTGTTTGAGTCTTGGGATAAATATGGATGGGTAAAAGATGGATTGAAATAGAGGAGGACTTGGAAGTGCTGAACGAGACACAAATTTATATTCGATGATACTGGAATAATTGTATAAGCATTAGATGTAATTATTCAATGTATGTATGTTACTGAATCCTGTGAAGGGATTGAGGTTGAGGGAATTGAACCTCCTTCATATAAGTTCAACTGTTGGTCCATTACGATTGGGAAGTCACTATTGACTGTGTAACTTGACCAAATATTATAGAACAAAAAAGCAAGTACGACTATGAGAACGCTCTCTTGGGGCGAATAACATCAACAAGGGAAAGGAAAGCACAGCCAATGGCGAACCCATATTGAAGGAAGGAGGAAGGAGCAAAAGACCATGGACATTAGGAAAAGTCGACGGGAAGATCTGGTATATAAAAAATAAACTGTGAGGACTTCCTCATACCTACCGTATTCTCCAGAGCTCAAATTCAAGAAAGGAAGGGATAACAAGCCAAAGAGAAGTGTAAGTTGTCAACTGCTAATATTTGAACAGTAGCACGACCTCATCAGCACTGCATTAACTTAATTAGACACGCATTACAACTACGCCTTATATAGAAACCTCGAAATGATGTCAAAAACACAGCATTATCATATTTACAAAGATATCTAAAAGTATATCTATCAATCCATCCCCTCCTTTATTCTTTCAAAGATCTAGAAGATGTGTGAATTACATGAAGCACATCTAAACCTCTGAAATTCTACCTCTTTAAGAATAAAAAATCTCATCCGGTAACTTTCCTTCCTACCTTCCTACCTACAAGATACGATACTTTCCACCATAAAAAGTAAATACACCGAATAATAAGATTACAACAAAGAACATCCCAATATTTCATCACCTCCTCCCACTACATAAGAAAAGATCAAAAAACAAAATCGAAAATCAACAATAGCATTCTCCATTCAAGTAAATTATTGAGATCTATCTGTCACTTATCCTCTACGCGGCACCGCTGCCATTTGAGACTATCCCAAACTCATGCTAAGCACCGAACATCCACGCCATACAAAAAAGAACCAATAGATAGATAGATCCATACCAACATCCATCGTATGTAACCTCAAGATATCTTTCAAACAAAAAAAACCCCCTTCCTAATATAAAAAAAACATACAATAGAAGAAGAGGGGAGAAAAAAAGTAATCGGTATCCATCGATGCCCAAAAAAAAGAAAAGAAAAAAAAAGGTAGAAAAAAGTAAAATATAACCCGTAATGGAATCGTCCATTCATCCATCCATCCATCCATCCATCTATAATGAATACCATACCCCGACACACAAACAGAGGACCTCGTAAAGTATAGTAAGATCTTACAATACAGTATACTCATGAGTGCTCGCTGCTAAAGCTCTTTCATGAATTAACTCTGATAACTCAACATCAATATGTATAAAACCCCACTTTAGACCACCCATAGTGTAAAAACCTCAGCAACGTCCCCAACCTCCATCAATTCCCCTGACCCATTCACCAACTTCAAAACCTAATCTCCTTCTAGTCTTCTCATCCATTTTGCCCTTAATTTTTTCTCTTTCCTTTCCAGTTCCACCAGCTATCTCCTTTTCTCTTTCTCTTTCTCTTTGACTCTCCGCACCACCACTCCCCTTCCTCAAACCCCCACTATCCCCTAAACTCCCCAAACTACCCTCCCTCCCCCTTTCTCCGAAACCAAAACTCTAACCACTATTCCCCCCCACCCCCAACACTCCACTCTACACCCCCACACCGCTCCATCTCCTCCCTCCCTACCCCCTTTACGAAAACCGTAAGATCCGCACCTATAATACCTCTCCACAGCGTAGCCATCCACTGCCAATGATCTACCGGCGCATAAGAATCATTTATCGGTAATCTTAGCGAAAACGAGTCTGACAATGTGAGGGAATAGCCATGTGGTATGAGGGCTATTGGTGTTTTTTTGTGAGGAGTAGAAGATTGGGACGTTTCCGAAGATTGGGGTGTTGATGAGGTAATCGGAGTATCTCTGCGAGGAGATGAAGGAGGGATAGTAGTGATAAACTTTGTGATTTGAGAGGAATTGCGATGCCATTGAGAGATAGTCGATAAATAATCGACAAACGGATCGGAAGATTCTTCTTTGTGTTTGAAATCTTTTATATCCATCATCATCTCATCTCTATGCTCAATTCTCTCTGCATCTTTTTCCTTTCCCTTCTCCCTTGCTTCTTCCCGTCTACTGTCTTTTGCAGCCGAGACGTCCCGCATCTCAGTATCCATGTCACCATCTGCCGCTATTTCTCTTGAACCTCGAGCAGCACTTGAATCTGTAATCCATGTCCGGACCACACAACTAGCATCTTTTTCTAAATGTCCCCTAATAAAATCTCCTACCTCCTTAATCAATCCTTTTTCCACCCCCTCTACCGCAATCACCGCACCTCTAATATCCTGTGCCGGGCTCGTCGGACCCGGCGTCGCCAATGGCGGGGAAATTTTTGAAAGTACCGTCAATTTATTCATATACGGAATTGTCATCACCATAGCTTCAATACTGCGAGCTTGAGATTCCCGGTTTTCGTGACGGACATCTCGATCGGTGGGAGGATGGGTAGAGGTGGAGGTGGAGGTGGAGGTGGAGGTTGTAGTAGGAAGTTGAGTTTGTAAAGGAGGTAGTCGTAAGGATTCGTCAAATGTTGGTGTACGGTTGCGGTAGACGGGTGTCATGGTCTGTTGCATATGAGTGCTTCGCATAGGTGCAGATTGAGGCGGACCCATTACACCGGGTCTTGTAGATGGAAGAGGTTGAGGAGGGTTCCGGAAGGGTCCTGCGGACATTGGGATTTGTTGAGTGCGGGCAAAGCTTTGATGGTTAGAATAAATCATAGGAGATGCTTGTGGGTAGACCCTCGGATCATTTGTGAAGCGTCGACGTTTGATATCCGGGGAGGGAGATTGCATCTCACTATCTTGATCGTGTTCGTGATGCGTATGGAGGGGTTGAGGATATGGGTGCCGCCTGACCATTTGTTGGGGAGGTGGACCTATACGTGGCGAATCAACTCTACCGTTTCTCGGCATTTGGGCGAAATAGCGTTGCCTATCCAGCTCGACGGGCTGGGAATGGTACTGAGACTGTTGGGACTGCTGCTGATGCTGCTGCTGGGACTGATTATTCGCACTGAAGGATGGGAGAAGTCTATCGTTACGAGGAACGGCAGCCCCAAATGCCGGCGTAAATGGTGTCAGCGGTGTACTTGGCGTTGAGATGTAGCGTCCGTTGCATCTCGGACACCGAATGGCATCGTCCGATGTTGAAGTTGGTGGACGATTACCGACTGGTTTTCCAGCTCTTCGTGGCTGGTAACGATAATTTGGGTATTGTCTCTGATGACGTTGTTTTTCTTCCTAGGTATCATCAAATCAGCATGGTCAAAGATCACGGGCTATTTACTATGTTATTTACTTCAGCGAGTCTTTTCCATTCCTCTTTTACGTTTGGAGCCTGCTCTCGCCACTGTTCGCCAATGATCTTTGATATTTCGGGATTTGCAAGACCGGGATGCTGGGCGACGACTTGTGCCTGATAATGTTGACGGTAAAGGATAAATGCTATAAAGAGATGATGTTAGCTTCTGTAGTAAAAACAAAGGATGCCATCTAAGTAAACAAAGATTAGGGTGAACATAGGGTTTCTGGAGCCCCTTTCAACCAATCATACGATCATTGTCAATCATCAATGTCAAAGAAAAGTTTTAAGTCACGCACCGTTTCGAGGTCGTGGTATCTTAGGGTCAGGTTGACAAAGGCACACTTGTTCTGTGACGGCCGTATCAGAAATTGGCGAAGGTCCTCCGGTGATACTATTGCTTGTGCTCGCACTATTCAATGCGAGGTCTCCGATTCGTGGTTGATTTGCACTCTCAGTGTCGAGCGATGCCGCTCGTTTTTTTGACAAACGGTCAAAGGTTGGAGGTGAAACTGGAGTTGGAGGAGGCTCTGAGTGCTTGTCTGGGAATATTGGCCTCAACGAGTTCCTCCTACTAGAATCTGTTGAGATACTAACAGGTGATCGAGGCGCATCTCTACCAAAATTACCGTTGGTTCTGCGTGTTTCTGAAATAGCTGACATTATGCTGCTTCAATATGAAATTCAAAATTGATGAAGTTTTTGATGTGAATATCACAAATATCAAGATCAAGTGGGAGCTCCAGAGTATAATAGATAGAAAGGAAAATAAAGAAGAGAGAAAAGAAGGGTAGAATGGCCTTCTTGATAGTGACGAAATGCTTTGTATGCATTGCCACTGAATAAAGAAAAGGACAATTCTATAATATCTCAATTCATCCATACCCAAAATCTGGTTGTGTCATTCTGTCCATTCTAGGCATTCTAGGCATTATGGCAAATGTTGGTGTCTTTGTTGTCTCGGGAAGACTGCACAGCTGCAGTTTCGCATGCGTTTTTCTTTGTCTTGAGTGAACTCCGTTGCCAATATTCACTCCCAGTAATTCCTTAATTCCCAAGAAATCAAAAATCAAAAGGAAGAAAACGCTTTGGTAACATTGGTTAAATAAATAACCTTGCTTACTAAATAAAATCGTGTAACTGGAATGTTTACTTCCAATTTGGGAGGAATTTTATTCCCAATTAGTGTTTAGCTACGGAATCCATGAATAACTGCAAACAGAAAACCCCCTTTAGACGCCAAACGAAGCGAGTAGCTTTTTGATAAACCCCTGTCCCAATGGGTGTAACCATGCCAATGAACTGCATCAGCCGCAGCGGATGCTGTCTATGAAATGAACCCATTACCAGCTTCACCGTTCATAATAGCGGCACTCCTCCGTGCATCAATAAATAATTCTTCGCACTCTCCGACATCTATCACATCAATCTGACTGCGCCCGCTTACTCGCGCTAATATACTAGATGGTGTTAACAGCTGCAGTGCATACCTCAAACTAATTCTTGAACCATGTTCTGTGAGTTTGTCCAATGCAGCTTCAGTTATGGCTAGACCTTCAACTGTAACTCGAATTCGAAGAATTCTTTTAATTTCATCCGCCTCGTAAGCATTTGTGGGAACAATCAAAAGGCGAGCCAAAAGATCAGAAGGAATTCCATGTGCCGAAATCAAATCCTCGGTGCCACGGATGGTGCACATGCCACGATTGGAAGCGAGAATCACGATGGGAGAAATCGTTGATTCGAGAGCACGATTCAGATATGTGAAGCATTCAATATCGAGCATGTGAACCTGCAATTTGTTAGTGATCCAGAAACGGAAGGCGTATTGAAGGCTTGATACATACCTCATCAATAAAAAGCACTCCTGGAACAAGCTCTGCCACTCCTTGGTCAATGTATTTGTTGACCACTTTATTAATCTCAGCTCGTAATTTCTCAGTGATCTCAGTCATCTTTGGTTTCATCAATTGGCCCATCATACTCATTATGTCTTGTCCTCCTTGAGGTCTGGCGTTTGCGATATCCAGGTCATGTAAAGTAACGTCTTGCACTATCTCCTTTTTCTTGTGAACCTCTCCTTTTGGTATTGGCACATATTCTTCCGCCTCCAAGTCGAACTCGGTTGCATATGCATCCGATCTGCCAACGCGTTTACAAGCTCCAGTATTTGCCTCGATATAGATGACATCTCCGACTGTGACTCTTTCCTTTTGTATAGCTTCGTAAATGCTTGGATCTAATCGTAACTTCTTTTGACCCTTTGCGCTCTTCAACCCGATCAATAATGTGCTGATGGTCTTGCCATAGCTTCCCAGCGGGTTTTCAGCTTCTTCAGGTGTCAACTCTGTAACCTCTCCCTCATAAACCTCCTTCGTCTCGCGGACCTTCAGACCAATGGCTCGTCGAAAATTTTCCATCAGCGCTTCTGTTTTTTTTACTTCCGTCGAGTATATTTCGCTTGCGACGATGGGGCAGAATGGCACTTTTGTTCCGAGTTCTTGACTGATAGCTAGGGCAAGAGCTGTCTTTCCAGTTCCAGGTCCTCCTGCGAGTAAAATAGCTCGGCCGGCCATTTTTTGTGAACGAATTAAGTCGACGACCACACCACAAGCCTGTAATTATAATGTATCAGTAAAAGCCTTGCCATCCACTATGCACACCAACTCACCTCTCGAGCTGATGCTTGTCCAACAAAACCCCCAGCTTGTCTCTCAGCAGTCCCATCATTTCGAAGTCCGAGACCTTTGATATGCGTATGTGCAGATGTTCGATTGTCGCGGGTGTTACCCTTAACATCGCTGAGATTTACCATATTTGTGATTTGTATGTGGTCAAAATAAAGAGTAATCTTCTTATCAAATCTTTAAATATATTATCAGATACGTAGATTAAAAATATTTTCAAGTATCACGTACTAGGAAGAGATTGATTGTAATTGGGCAAAATCAATTATTCTTAAAGCTTGAAAATGAAGTTATGCCAACCTGAGAATAATTTCGCGGAAGGCTGCACATGTAAACGCGACGGAAAATTAAGCGTAGATCTTGATCACGTGGAATTCATAAGGCTGAGATCCCTGATTATCTTGCAGTTTCTATTAGAGTTTTATTAAGTCTGTAGGTGTTTGTGAACCACGGCTATTTGCAGCGTGAATATGAGGCCATCCGTTAGTGTTGTATCTGGTTGGTAGTTTTTGGTAATCGGTCAAGCTTGCAGTATACATTTGCATTGATCAATTCGGTCTCGACGAGGGAGCGGTGCAAAATATACAAAATACTGGTTTGTGTTCTGTGTTATATCTCTTCTAACGGCGTCATTTAATTGCTCCAAACGACCGACTTTCCAGGCTTCGGCCTCCTAATGCCTCCCCAATTCCCGTATCCATCCCAGCCCTTCTTTTTTAGAAATCAACTCCTTAACGATGCACGATGCTGATATCTGCCCTACCTCCGAGCTTATGCAAACGCCGTAAAGTAAACTGGAATCTTATGAAATGTAAACAACAAGTCCCATACAAACGGAATTATCCTCAAACGACCGGTCAATTTTTAAAGAGAGTATGGTATCCCAAACACCAGTGAAATCAACACAATAAAACAAACGAAATATATAATCAATGACAGTCAAGGAACTCTCCATCTTCGCTGGATCTATCAGCCGTCCTTGGGCGTTCGACCATCTCAGTGGGAGATCCAACCATTCTGCCCGCCCCTAGTTGGCTCAATCTCAACTTCTCATCGAACATGGAAACGAGTCTGTCGGAGTATTGGTCAAGTAGTCCTGCTAGAACTGTCTCACTAATGGATTTGGAATTTTGACTCTTGTCGCCTAGTGCTACCGAAGTGAGCCGTAATTCTTGGTCTAACTCCTTTAGGCTTTCGTCATCGAAAGTTTCGGTAGATAAGAGCTTTTTCCGGTACGCTCGAAGTGTTCGACAAGCTTGCTCCGTCGCCATGCTAAGTGATCCAAATTCACTTATGCCACTGCTAGAAGTTTTGCCGCGACCGCGTACATCCACAGATGCAGTCGATGGACGCCTTACCTCTCTCGTTTGAGGACTGCTTGGACTGCGAGATCTGTTTCTTGGAGAAGTTTTACGACCTGAATCGTCTGAAGCGGATGCAAAATGTTTAGATGACATAGCCGGTACAGGTGGAATTGATAAGGTGGGATTCTGATTTGTTAAACTGTGCTTCGAAGTCTTACGTCGGACTACTCTAGGGGGTGAAGACCGTCCAGCAAGTGCAGTCGTTGGTGATGCCCGCTGAAACTCGGCAAGCTCAGCTTTCGGCAAGACTTTCCTCAATGGTTGTCGTGACGTTGTTGATTCCTTTGGTGGTGTTTCATCACGAGTGCCATCATTTGATTCGGCTTGAGGATAGGGATGAAGATCCATCGTGTTGGAAGCAATGTCCCACATCATAATTGTGCCATCTAGACCTGTGCTTATTAATATTCTAGATGATGAATTGCTGTTCTCTAGGAGCGCTACGCCTGACACAGAAGTACTATGACCCCACTCTCGGTCTAGGAAAGATCCAGTACTCCAGTCATAAATACGAACAGACTTGTCGGTAGTGGAGACACCTGCAAGAATCGTACTAGATCGTCCACAGAGGGTACCAGGTGTACCCATGGCAAGAGAGTCTAGAGCAACGGCGTCTGCTCCATCATAGTCCGTGGCCCGAAATGAGTTTACAAGACGGCCACTAGCTATCTCATAGGTAGCCACAGTACGATCCAATAGAGACACCACAAGATTACCTACTTGAGCACCGAGACAAGGCGTCATCGAAACAGGAGCAGCTTTCAAGGTAATGATACGGACTGGTACAGCAGCCAGCACATCGCCTCCTGCTGCTTCTTTTTTTACAATTTGCCTGATATGAATTGTCCTGTCCATACCACAAGATATGAGCTTCTCGCCATTTTCGGCGAAGAATAACCCACATACGCCAGCAGTGTGTTCGTCTAAGGTTTGTACTAACTCCCACTTATTGAACACTCGACGAAATAATTGAATGGTGCGGTCCCGACTAGAGGAAGCTACCATGGTTGATGTATCATCCTCGTAGATAGCGATATCTTGGATCTCGGTCGAGTGAGCACGAGTCTCAAAAGTACATGCACCAGTAGATGGGTTTAGGATCTTCAATATTCCGTATTTGTCTCCGGAAACCAAGAATGAAGCTTCCTTCGATACTCTTACGACCTGGCATAAATTGGAAGCCTCTTCATCCATGGATAATTGATCAATGCCAATTGTAATCGACCCTTTGCTGTTTCCATGCAAGTCCCAGTAGGCTAGGCTGCCATTAACAGACCAAGTGAAAAATGAAGCGCCCATTTGGTTGTTTTCGGGTAAGAGTTGGACACCCATTACCGCATCGCCATGCGCAGGTTGGAGTGTATTTTGAAACCCATGGTCCGCATCATCGTCGTATTTGCCCCAGATCTCAATCGTATGCCTAGAATCAACCGTAACAAAATTACCTCCGGCGTATCCCATAGCACACAGATGGCCAGCGTCAACTTCATCATTAGATCCATCTATCGAAATGGGTGATAATGGAGGAGTGCTGGGAGCCAGGAGGGTGTCTAAAGATGCCGTTTTGACTTTACCGTTACGGCCTCCTATCCTTACTTGTCGCGTTTCCATTTCGATAGCAACACATGTGACGGGAAATCCGGTGCTCAAAACTTTTATCAGCTTTTGGCCTTCCGTGCTGTCCAGGAGGCAAACGTCTCCTTTTTCTGAACAGACAATCGCCCTGTGGTCAGAGAAAGAAGCCACACAGGTGAAGGTCGCATCTACTAGTGGTCCAAGTAAACAATTCCGGCCGGTAAGAGTTTTAAGTGCTGGCTGTACCGGCACTGGTAAGGGTGTGCCGTCGAGGGCGAATTTTTGTTTTGGTGAGGGACATCGACCATCTTCAACCCTCCAAACTTTTATATGACGAGTCCCCACCGTAACTACATTTCCTCCAAGCCATAGCATTTGCTTGATGAAACTAGTACATTTGTTGCTTGAATGTAGTTTTACAGTTCCAGCTTTTTGATTGATGGACCATACGTGGAGAAACCCATCATTTACATTACCTAAGCTGGCCAAATATTTACCATCTGGACTGAAAGATATAGCGGCTACGCCAAAGGTATGCTCGGTGAGGATGGCAAGAGGTGTATCTGAAGAACTGTCCTGCAAAGAGAATATAAGAACTCTAGGAGCGTACCCTGTCTGTGTCTTCATCAGCCATTATACATACCTCTATGCAGACCTGCTTACCTCGCCCACAGCTAAGAAGCGGCCATCTGAACTCAAAGATACACAAGTAGCCGCTTTTATTCTTTCCCTGCTCGACCATGTCTTTGATGAAGAGTCACCTGATTCTAAACTCGTATGTGCGGTGGATGGTGCATATGGAATTGCAGCATCTCGAAATGCTTTTCCGTTTTTGCCATCGTTGGCATTGCTGGCTGGCGTTGAGGGTCCACCCAAACCTGCATTACCTGCATTGGCGGCAACTGCAGTTGGGGAAGCCCGGTAGAAACGTTGTGAGTGTCTTCCCTCATCATCAATGTCAACCACGACTACTGCGGCTCCAGCTGTATAGGCAAATATCCGAGATGTAGGAAGACAATCAAAGCATGGTGGAGAGGATACTGTAGTTCCAATTATTTTCTTCAACGATAATCCTAACTCGTAGGGATTTCGGTTCTTATTCGAGGATCGCGGGGTTCGTGGAAATGGAGAAGGACTAGCTTTCAAGCCGAGACTTGTGTTCGCAGCGAAGGTCCTTGAATTGATGGGTGTTGAAGCCATTATCGATTATCCATGAAACCACACTGGATAACCTAATAAATGGAGGAGTCGAAGCTCTACTCGAGTACTCTTCAACTATTACCTGACGATGTTGATTGGTGCTTTAAATATTCTATAATTTAGGAAAAAGAGTTTGATTTTGATTCGCTTTGGGAGAAAAGTAGGGTATAATGAACATGGGAAAATCAAAAACTATCATGACGTTGATTAGCTTGATGAATTTTGCTATCGTGATTCTCTTTACTCACCGATTATACATAGAAAAAGAATGGGAGTGGAGGGGAGGGGGGAAAGAGGGGAAGAAAGGAAAAAAGACGAGAAAGACGCTCAAAACATTGGTGACCCAATTATTGATGACGATGCGATGAATGAAGTGGTGAGGAAATAGAGCAGAAACTACAAACCAGACAGAAATCAAGAATATCAAAATAAAAGTGGCAGATAGAAACCACCGTTCTTCTCTATCGTTTTATCCTATCCTATCGTGATATACAAAGAATAGTAAATTGCTACTCCAATAGGGATCTTCAATATTTCGGTGTCGACGAACTGGGATTCAATTAAAAAAGTGAGAGAAAGTCTGTGGTTAACCTTGCCCTTGCCTTGCCCTTGTCTTGTTTACAAGGGCTTCTTAATCAGGGGAAGGCTCGGGAATGGGATCTAATCCACAACAAATTGATCCTTTTCCAGAACGTTATTGGAAGATTTTAGGTTTGATTGCCAACAAATTAATCTTCCAGATTTGGGTGTTGTAATGTTTGAAAAGGGAAATGAACGTTGGTAGCTCTCCAGATTTTCGTTTTCGAATCAGACTTTTTATATTCAGAGATCCATCAACAATGTCATTTATACTCTGTACATCCTCCGCACATATGTTTTAGTACAGTTGATTGCACCTTGGGTCGTATTCCTATACTGGAAACATACCGTACCTACTTAAGGTAGGCAGAAAAGGGTAGTCATGTTTTATGTACCACCCATTCTACTTGATTGTATACTCCGTACGTCTTTCCAACGACCCTCGACCTCTAAGATTGGGTAAGACAATCCCCAGATATAACATCAATAGGGTGGCAGCAAGCCAATTAAAAATTCGCCGATCAATACATAATCCTGTTCCTGTACATGGGGTAATCTTATAGTCTTACATTAACATTATACGCATTCGAGGACAATTCATGCTCAAAAAATCCTATCTTCCATCTCATCGTCAAGGCTAATTGTCTCTGTCCTTCGAGGTTCGGAAGTTCCAGGTCGACTAGTCGTAAGGACAGGAGCTGCTCTCTTCTTCCACTCCGGTTTACCCCTACCTATACCTTCCTCTCGCCATCTCTTGGGAGGCTTTACTCCCAGTTCAGCATATCTACCCCATACGTTCTTTCCTCTTTGAAACCATCTTCTCTCCCGGTCTTCCTCTTCTTTTGGACTTGGTACCCATTTTGTTCTCAGGATTCTTCGAATCGCTTCAGGAGATACTTGAAAACGATCGGCCAGTGCAGGCGTAGAATATTGCTCTGGATATTGAGCATGCAGTGCTCGGATACCTGCCTGCGCTTCTGGTGATAATTTCTTCATCGGCTTCCAACCTTCAGGGAATTTTTCCTTCAGTGCTGCTTTTTGCTCCATCCAAGTTTGACGATCGGGTGGCGTCCAATCACCACGCACCATGTTTCTCTTCGATGTGCTGGCTTGTGGGGAATACGACACTGCGTTGTCAATTTTGATGCTTCTGAACCTCATTCTATCCACGGGTATATCCCATCTTGGCTTTTTCATCGGTTTTGAAAATATGTCTATCGGTTCTTTTTGGATCCATGTCTCTTCCGTTGTCTCTTTCGGGTCAATAGATCTCCTCGATTTCTCTGCTTGCCATGGCTGTTTCAATTCCTTTGATTCCCTTGACTGCGAATTTGCTAACTCGGACCTTGTCTCCGCTGCAAGCGCATCTAAAGATTCGGGTGTAATCTCCATAAACAAGTCGTCCATATCATCAATCCTGTCGGATGTAGTATTTATGTGCCCTTCCGTCGCAGGAGGAATTTCTTCTTGACTTTCGATAGGCGCATCTTCGACAGCATCTCTTATGGGTTCAGATGAATGAGCCGACCAGTACGCTCTCGAGTGCGAAGGATGGAGAGGTGGAAGTGAGGGAAGATTGAACCTTCGAAAATTGGTTCTTTGTGGTCGGTAAGTGGATTTGCTTGAAGCAGCTAGCTCAACTTGGGCTACATTTCGTATAAACAATCGAAGAGTTCTTTGCGTGCAAGAACAAGACATAGCTATTCACATTCTTAGATGAAAAATAAATTTTATGGACATTGACAAACATTGGGATTTGATGGAAAAGAAAATCTTCGCCTAAGAATTTGACTGGGGTTCTTATCGGTCAAGATGCTTATCAGGGTTGTAGCAATGAACCTTCACCACTTCTTAACTTTGACCTTTTGTGAGAATGGACGTGAATGTAAAATTCTCATTGTCCCAAACTTTGATATTCACTGTTGCTATAATACTTACTTATCAAAATCCGTCTGATTTTATATGTTGATTGTCTCATCCTCGGTCATGCTATATTCTAGAAAATGGTTCTTCCCTTGGACTGGCGGACCACTGTATCTGAAAAACTCCAATACGGAAATACTACCCGGTGTTTACAAAGCGTGCCAGGTAGTTGTTAGTCTATGATGCCTCTATACGTAGGTTGAGTGGCAGAAGCACTGGTGGAGGCATCTATCTAAACTCTAATTTTCTCGCTTTGTTTCTTTTCGTCAAACGATTTCAGACTTCGAGTGTGTCTTCCGTCAAGTATAGTAGCACCATTATTCCTATGGCTTGGCCAAATCCTTTTCGTCGAAATGATGAAAATACTCGCAACGCTTGGGGATACACCTTTCAATGGACTCCTGAGCATCTTACAGAAGAACAAATGCATCCCATGAAGTTTTCATACGATGTTCTGGCTGAAGAATGTTTAACTCGTCTTGATAACATATCGCCACCCACATCTGGGGAATTACCAAGAAATCAAAGTATCCTTCCGAGTCAAAAGGAAGGCAAGGAAAAGCCCAAGAGAGACTTGTACGCTTTGCTGAGAGATCATTCTTCTGAGGATGAAAAACTGGGAGAATTATGGAAAGAGGTTAATACAATACCAGATTGGGTTGTGAGTGGTCTAGTGACCTTGATATTGGTAACTTTGCTCAAACTATATCCAGGACTGGGATCAGATTGGAAGAGGGCAAGAAGTTTTTTACAGATACGGAGGGCCTGCGTTAACTGGCGTATGTCATCTATATCACACAGTTCTATGTGGGACACTGATGTGACAAACAGCTTGCATATCAATCGTTGCTAGGGGGAATGGCTGCAGCTAGAGTTACAGAGGTTCTAGCTAGGACTGGTGGCTTTTCTACAAAGGTAAGATCGTTGTGAAAGTACGGCTTGAACCCGCACATTACCTCTTGAAAATTTCTTTCTTCTGCTGGAAATGATGTCCACAAGAGTACATTCAAGGAAAGCAGCCTCAATTCTCAACCCTCTCGAAAAACGCACATCTTCTGTTCCCGATAGTCATCTGATCAATCAATAGTCAGCGAGAAGAAGAATGTTTGAAACAACTCAACATATTCTCCAGGTAACCGAATCCATCGAGGCCATCAAACCCGGCGGGGCTGGCCACATATCCTCCATAAAAGTCCGCCTCCTCCACGCCGCTGTCCGTCGCCGCATTCTCGCCCTAGCTAAAGAAAAACCCTCCTATTACTCCATAGAAGAATACGGTATCCCAATCAATGATCTCGACAGTATAGCAACCGTCGGCACCTTCTCCACAACCCTGATATGGCTGTCCTTCCCCCGGCAAGGGATCTTTCTCCGCTCCCAAGAAATAACTGACTACATCGCTCTCTGGCGCCTTGTTGCTCACTACCTCGGCACCCCAACAACTTATTTCTCCTCCCCCACCGCCGCAAAAAAAATCATGGAATCTATCCTCCTAACCGAAATATCGCCCTCCCCAACCTCCATAATCCTCGCCAACAACATAATCCTCTCCCTCCAAAACCAACCTCCCGCCTACCCCTCCCGCTCCCTCCTAGAAGCCAACGCCCGCTGGCTAAACGGCACGGAACTATCCAACGCCCTCGGACTCGGCAACCCATCTCTTTACTATTGGTCACTCGTAGCAGGCCAATGTATCCTATACATGACAATAAGTTACGTATATAGAAGCATCAGCTATCTCGATCGAAAACAGATCAAATTCTTAAGAAGAGTCTTGCCAATGGTGATACATAGCCCGACGATTGGATTAGCAACCCAAACGGATTTTGCACTGCAGTATGTTCCGGAATTCGACACGAAGACGGAACTTGGGGAGTATGTGGTGGGGATGAAGCAGAAGAGTGGTATCGAGAGGAGGAATTTGAAGGCCTTGATTTGGGCGGCGGCAGGAGTGGGAATTGGGGGTTGGCTTGTTTGGAAGGGGGTGAGGGGTGTCATGAGAGGTTTATTGGCTGTAGGGAGGGGTGTGGTTTGGTTGTGGGGATGAGGGATGGGACTGGGACTGGGAGATTAGTGGTTGTATATTTGTAGAATGATTGTATATGAGTAGGTAGCCATGTATATTTTGCCAATAGAACTCAGCTGTATACAATAGCGCAAGACATCACAATTTAGCATGAAATATAGAAAGATATTAGAGGAAATTTTATATTTTGCATGACTTCTCGTCATAGGTATCCTCCCTAGCTGCATTCTATCCTCGCTATCTCATGTAATGTTATCATACAACCGCGCCGTATGCCGTCGCATTCGCTTTCGCTTTTCGTGGTAAACGCCCAACTTCTCAACTCCTCGCAATGCACCTCTTAAAAACAATAAAACAGCAAGGAATATCTCTTCTGCTTCAAACCCAAACCAACACCAATGAAATGCCCCCAAAAAAAATCCAAAAGTAAATGCTCCTCCAAATTATACCGTATCCGTCTTCCATCATGTCATATACACATCCTTTCCACTCTCCATACGACGCAAGTATCTAACACTCCATCAATTCCACGGGTGGTCTCGCTGTATGCGCCAAGATAGGCTTTTCTGCCTCCAAGGGACTCATACCCCAATCATCCCCTGTCGTATCCTCCACTGCTATCGCCGGTAAATTGGGACTGAATCCATGAGCCTGAGGATCATAAATGGTAGTCATACTCGCGCTTCTTCCTCTCCCATATTTCGACGACGCAGTGGATCCATTATCACTCATGGGGCTAGCGGGTAACTCAGTATTGGGACGATGATGTAATTTTGCCAACGCTTCTGCCAAATCTTCAGCGTGAACTTGCTTATTGGGCGCATCCTCCATTTTCATTTCCCAGCCATGAGGAGGAGAAGGCGGTGGAGAAATGAAGAAGAGTTTTCCCGCGTCGGGAAGATTGAGATGTGTGTCTTTTGGAGAGATGGATGTAGGTTGGCCGAAATATACGCGCACTTGTTCGCCCATTATCTCTTCGCCGTCGAGGATTTGACGGATGCGGATGGCGGATTCTTCAGAGAAGAAGGAGACGATTATGCGGGAGAAGGATTTTAAAGGTGCCCAGGAATGGATGGGCGCAGAGGTGTTGATTAGTTCTTTGATGGATTGGAGGTTATCAGGGCGGAAGATCTCGGCGTCTTTGAGGTTGGTGATGAGGAGGGTGTTGGATGGGGGTGTGGGTTGTGTGAGTGGAGGGAGGTTGGAGAGGTCGAGGGAGAGAGATTTGTGGGATCCGCGACGGGAGGAGAGGGTGCTTCCTGTTGGGGAAGTTGGAGTTGACATTTTGATATTTGCTGTGTGTAGCGGTTTGATTATAACTGTAGTATGTAGATGATGTGCGGTGTAGTGAAGTAAGTGTATTTGATAGACAGGTTCTAATTTGTCTTTGACAGTTTGACAGTGACTTTCAGAAAGGGTTAATCGAAAGGTGTTATCTTTTCTTGTAGATAGATATCTAGATTGATAGAGAAAAGTATTGATATAAAAAAGAGGAGGGCGAAACAATTATCTTTGTACCTCCCAAAAATTGGAGCTTGATAATCGGTATCTAGTAGTTTCCGGACATTTAAAAGTGGTGACCGCGGTCTGCAAGGGTCCAGGGTCCAGGGTCCTTCTTTACTGTTTGCATGGAGGCGAATTAGTTTCTATGGCGCAGCAACACACAAAGTTTTAGTGCTAAGTTCGAATAAGTGCTAAGCAGATGGATGGGTGGAGTTTAGCATGCAAAGCAAGCAATGACATTTTCATCAACCTTGTCCAGCTCTTTCCACCCTTCCACCTTTCCACCTTTCCACCTTTCTACCTTTTTCTATCTTGTCGTCTTGTCTTGTCTCCTGTCTTGTTGTAGTAGGTAGTAGGGAAAATGGAAACCGACGAATCCATCCAACCAATAATGTGCAAACCGTCAGCAAAAGAACCTCAAGTCCCAAGCCACTAAATCACAAATCTGATCTCATATCTCCTACTCATTAGGCGCTCTCATCCGCTTTCATCTTGGGCGTCTTCTTTTCCGATACGACTACGAAACTATGAAAGTATTGTCACCAAGAAGCCAAGTGTTTTCTTTCTTTTACCGTGTTTCTTCCTTCGTTTTTTATATGATAGACCCTTGAGGGAGCGGAGTATCCGATGGGAAATTGTCAATAATAATCTTATATTTTGCTGGATTCATTCTTGTGTACATATCCAGATCCCGTATACGGTATATACATACGAAGTACCCAGGTCACTGGATATCACGGCTAACTTACACTACCTAGCTACCTTGTGATGTTATCTTATCTTATATGATAGTGATTCAGATTTCACATGCAGCGCTTGATTCGGGCCATCACACAGCAAAGTGATATTATGTACGTCTCCAGTTCTAACTATCGGACTTGTCTGTTGATCTGCCTTTGCTAGGACGCCTACAATCACAGTATCATTCGGCCTCCCTTTTGCCATTCATTCACCGATTCACCGTATTAAATGCTTAAACGCTGAGCCCCAAGATTACGAAAACGCAAATAATGTAAGAATGGAGATTGAAATGATTACTAGAAGAGGCAATCCTTCACTTCCACACCCATGTTGCCGATGCCAATGCCAATGCCAGAAAACCCCAACCCCCAAGCAAGAGATATCATTGAACAATTGAAAGCTTAGATCTACTTGCTGTCCATGTCTCTAAGATTGTTTTGATTTCTACACTGTGGGGTTCTATAGACTCGTGTCCTTTAGGATCTTGGAGCTTCCTGGAAACCCTCTAAAATATGCAAAGCATTGAAGCACTGCCATCACATTCTGCAGACTGGTTCTCTTGTGTGTACAAATCTTCAGTGGAGAAGTTTCACTCGATCGCCTAGACGAAGTATCAAGATCAAATTCATTATCTCGCACATGGCCCAAATACATACCCAGATTGGCGGCGGGGTTAGATTTGATGCATGTACGAAAGTACCGTAAGAGATTGGACCCCAGCTGCCCAGCATTTTATCCTGTCTGACAGTCTGAAGCTTCGTCTCCATATTCTCTTGTTGAGGGCGCAGCGGGTAATTAATTCCTCATCATATAAGCTTTTGGTTATTGGTCCACTCGTCGTCATGATAATCAACGGCTGATATTGAATCCTGACGAGCGCATCATGAATCAATAATGTTCCAAATTCCAAAAGTTTCACTTGTCTACTCCAATCAAGCACAAAATGAAGGTTAGAAACCACGTTGCTATAACCCCTTGTGCAACAACATCACCCCTACTGCTCAGCCTTCTTTTACACTTCCCCTTGCTAAGGGAGAAACGAGGTCAATATGCATATGACAAACTTCCCTTCCACAAGTCGAATATTCGAGACCGCAAGGACCGTTTTCAGTATTTCAGCAGGTCTCTCGAGGCGTAGTTTATACACTTCCTAAACCTTCTCATAAATTTTCTTTTCTTATTTTTGCCACGAGGTCTTGTCCGAGTTGATCTCATGTTCTAGGCCAAACACAGCCTCCTATCCACATTTTGGTGTACTGTGCCAAAATGTGTACTGTGGCTTACCGTAGCTTGGTCTTGCTTCGTATTATATAAGCAACATTCAAAATAAGGATCGGGGAAACATTTTTACCGATCCTCCGAGATAATGCGGACAAGGAATGTGCTTAAGCCTCTATTCTATCAACCGCAGTATCTTCTGAATTTCTATTGCAAAACCTAAATTCCATCATCCAACGCCTCAGCCTTGCAGACCGCCTACGGTCTTAACTACTGGATCCATCATCAATTTGCGACTCAGCCTGTTTAGGAAATACTCAGTGTCACAATTGAGTTCAGCCTAAGGATCAGTCCTTCTGTCCTCGAATTTTCGAGAGTCAATTCCAACACACGCGCAGCGCAATTCGCCCAGCAGCCAATTTCTTTGTCAACTCCGCCGAGATGGATTACGACCCCATGGTAATGGACCAGGAGTCCTCGGGACCTCAAGTCAAGATCACAGAGGTATATTTTCCATTTTGCTATAGTTGACTTGAATGATTGGGAAGCTCATGCGCATTATGTCATAGGCTGGTTCACATCACGTCGACTTTGAACTATCCAATGTAGACCTCTCCTTTGCAAACTCGCTCCGTCGAACAATTCTCTCCGAAGTTCCAACAATTGCCATCGATCGAGTACAAATTGAAGCCAATACGTCAGTTCTAGCTGATGAATTTATCGCCCATCGACTCGGTCTCATCCCACTGAACTCCAAAAACTGTGATGATGTTATTTACACTAGAGATTGCGATTGCGATGGAAACTGTGAACTTTGCAGTATTACACTTACTCTTCACGCGAGATGTACGGGAGATGAAATTATGAAAGTTTATGCTCGCGATTTGGTGGTAGATCCTCAACGTGCTAATAAATGGGTTGGGAATCCGGTCATCACTGATCCCGATGGACTTGGACCCGTCATTGCCAAATTAAGAAAGGGACAGGAGTTACGCATGAAGTGTATAGCCTTGAAAGGTATCGCAAAAGAACACGCTAAATGGGCACCTACAGCTGCTGTGGGCTTTGAATATGATCCACATAACAAATTGAAGCATATCGATTTGTGGTATGAACATGATGCTGCAAAGGAGTGGTACGTAAATGATCTTTTAGTGGGACTGATGGATTATGCTTACTTAGCCACTATAGGCCTAAAAGTAAATATGCAGATTGGGAAGAACCGCCTCAAGAAGGCGCTCCATTTGATTACGACGCCGTACCAAATAACTTTTACTTTGAAGTCGAATCTATCGGTAACCTAGAGCCTGATGCCATTATTCAACAGGGTATTAAAGTCATGCAACAAAAATTGGCTGCGGTCCTTCAAGATCTTACTGAGGGTGATGGACAAGCTAATGGTGGGTATGATGCGCCTCAAAGTCCGGATGTCGGTATGAATGGCCAAGGCTGGCAGGACGCAGGTTATACTACACCTTATGGCGGGGGTAATGCTTGGGCTGGTGCAGGTGGTGCAGCTACTCCATATGGTGCAACTCCTTATGGTCAAAATGGTCAAAATGGGTGGTAGAAATTATCAGTTTGAGGTTGAGGGGAATCTGTGATGAAGTACCGAATACTTGGTTTGGTCTCATAATGCCGGATTCATTCAGATGTTTTGCATCTTCGTACATCTCTTACCTCTGGACCGACACACCTTGATCTCGAAAGAGCGCGATATTGAAGAAGCATCAATTTTCCTCCTATCTAGCAGCTGCATACACAAAAATCGAGCAATCCACTTCTCGCATTCATTAGATGTACGGACAGCTCAAAATCAAAATCAAAAATCCAGTAATTACATAAAATAAAGTGTACAACGAATAATGCATAATTGCATACAATGGAGATGACCGGCATCGGATGGATAGGATTGGCGTTATAGGAAGTGGATAGGACGTTGATAGGAATTATACAGTTACGTTAACTATATGAAAGTATGAAAGTAGGGATATGATATGTTTGATAGCAGTCATCCATAAAACACTATTCGAGTCTTTTAGATTCATCTTATCTTAGGTATCAATGAATGAATCAATGAGTGAATGAATGAATAGATTGAACAAGTAGAATAAACTCAACAGATAGATGTTTCATCCCCCTTCACAAACAGAACCTCTCCCAAAACCCTCGTCGTTCACTCTACTCCTTTTCCTTCCTTTTCATACACACTGACAGCAAGTATACTATGATATTAGAGCAGAGTAAAAGAAGACAAAATAAAACAATATAATAAAATTACTATGTATATACCAGTCGAGTAGCGGTAATAGACATCCCGCTTCTCAACACTTCCAAACGCCATGCCATACTATACCCAATCAAGACCCCGATGGGATTAATCCCATGCATGCATGCATGTATGCATCAACATCCTATACCCAAACCCCTACGAAATCCAAATCCAAATCCAAAAACACCATGTAATGAATAATGCACAAAGTAAACGACATGCATCCATTTTTAACCCCGACACAACTTAAACACAAACTCAAATCAAGCATACCTAACACTAGGTTGCCATCCCCCCGGCGGTTCTTGTCTCCACCTCCCATCAACCCAATCCCCTCCACTAGGACCCGGCGCACCCATTCCTCTCCTTCCACCACTCGTAGGAGGAGCTTGCCACATGTTTGGACCCTGAGTCCAACCTTGTTGATTCATTGCTCTTTCCTTTGCTAATCTAATTGCTCTTCTTCTTCTTATTCTACCCACGATACAACTGAGTAATGCAAAGATGATGAGCGCGCCAACCGCACAAGCGACACCGATAACGAGATTTCTATGTTCTTCAATCCAGGAGGTGATTTCTTTACCGACGGATGCCCCTTCACAGCCACCATTTGAACATCTGCCGCCACCTTGACAAGGTGTACCATCGAGGAAGTTTTGTTGCATAGAGTAACAAACATTTGGGCCAAATTCGGGAGAAGCACAAGAGATTTGACAACCGGAGGATGAGCAGGCATATGTATCGTTCCCTGTGGTGTAAGACCCCATAATACTTTTGCATTGAAGATCACGAGAAGTACATTGGCCTGAAGCGCAAGCCAACGAGGAAGAACTACCACAAGAAGTTCCTATCATAAGTTAGAATAGATTCGAAGTAGGAAGATGAATGAGAAATCTTACCATCAGGAGCAGTAGCATCTGCAGGACAAGTAGCAGCAGTTCCACTACATACTTCTTGAGGATCACAGGTACCCGTACTAGCCCGACATACTGTACCACTCGATGCAAACTGACAAGTCGATGTACAGCAATCTTCATTACTTGGATCACAAACCGAGTTTGTCGTAAATTTGCAAGTAGTTGGATCACAACAACTATTGCTCCCACAACCACTAGCTCCACCACAATCACAATCTTCACCAGATTCCACAATTCCATTGCCGCATTGACTTCCAGTAATCGTAGTAATATCTTTGTTGGCTGTCAAACAATTGGTTTTAACGCTGTTTCTTCCAATGGCTGAACAGATATTTCCAATGGTACAAGGTGAAAATTTCGTGATGCCACTACGAGTACTTGGATTCATGATATATGCTTCGCCAGCATCACATGTTTGTGCATTAAGTGGACAACATTGTTGGGCTGCAACCGTTTGACCATCACTACAAGTTTCTGATGTACAATCATGAACGGCTCCGAATGTATGTCCAGTCTCATGGGCAAGAACCTGCCATTCGGTACTCGTTCTAACAACAACATTGGCACCACTAACTGTTTCATTGCCACTTGATGTTGAGGCTACTTGTGCGTTCGTTACACAGGCTTGACCAAGCCAAGCTAAACCAACAGCCTAGATGGAGATTAGTAAACGGAGTAATAAAATGGTTGTCCGGCAGTTTTTTAAGTAGACATTCCGCCTCTAAAGTGACACAATCTGGAGAGAAAGGAGAAAAACTTACACTGTCAGTACGACAAGTACTAAGCAAGGTCCAGTAAGCATTATTGTCAGCTCTTTCACCTCTCCATGCAGAAAATAGATTCAAACGATCCTGAATGGTAACTCCATCACTACATCCCACATTCCATGGAGCTGAAGCGGCTGCGGTAGCAGGACACGCGGCATCGCTGACGGTAAGGTTTTGCAAACCCAGCGTAATGTTAAAACTATCCTCGTATTGTGCAGAGGCAGCGTTAATAACTTGAATGACGTTCTCTCGAGCCGATTCGGTCGAGTTAAAAGCAGCCGTGTATGTACAATCAGTAGCTATTCCCACAAGAGCTACTTTTCGTGTAGAAGGACATCCAGCTGAGGATCCGATAGTTGTGGTAAGATTAACTCCTGCAGAATTACCACCCGATTGTGTATCGATTTGTCGTCCGAATATAGCTCGAGTTGAAATTGAACCCCAAAACCCCTCTTCTCGTTTAGCCATTGGCTCAAAGTTATTGATCGGATTATTCATGGAGTTGAAATTTAGTCCATCCGCTGAACATGAAGGATCCTCCCGTGCGTTTCTTCTCAATTCCGGGTGCATGAGTCCATCGAAATCTTGTGTATAACCACTCCCAATATCAGAATCCCTCCATACAACCATATATTCCTTTTCTTCATCCGGTAACGATGGATCTAATTCATGTCTCGTAGAAATAAAACTCGTCTTCGTTTGAATATGATGATGATCTCCATCTACTCGAAATGCACCTTCAAACAGAGGTTCATTCCCATCCTTCTTCACCATTATCCTAGCCCATCCAACATTCGTCCATTCCGCACCTTCATAATGTTGTAGCCATGTAGAGCCCTTAAATACACGATGCGCCGATCTGTCGATAGTCTCTGAAGCCCTCACTGATCCATCCGGTGCCAAATATTGTATGGTTGCTCCATTCGCAATAACATCATGATTAGGCTTCAACGACAACTTCACCCGTTGTTTACCGTCATGTAATCCAAACTCGACATCAAAACTCGACAAAGCATGTACTCGATGTGATGGTGTTCTAATATCCGGAGTATCGACCAATGAAATATAAGTTAAAGGGTTTCTTTCATTAGAATGTGCTTTAAGGTTAATGGATTAGCCTTTGATGATCTCCATAATTTAAGGCTGTTGGCACATGGGGAGAAGTTGGCATGTGTTTTCCTCTCTAAAATCAAGAACATTTCAGAATGTGATCAACATACCATTTATTATGTCTGCGAATAAAGTCGTGAGTACGACTATACCCCTCAATATGTACATGATCTATAACTGTGTACAATTGCTGTCTTGTTGTCCTGCTGTCCTCACAATCTTTCGTCGTGATGGGCTGGGGCACAGCCTAATGAGAGCACCGGCTCCCCTCGTGTTAAGAGTACAGAAGTAAAAGAATGTTGTACCCTTGTTTATTCCATGCGCAATTGCAAAAGTCTTCGGAAACCCCAATTAATTATAATATTACCCTTCTCGATCGGGTTTAACAAAAAAGAGCGACTCGAATATTATCGTGTAATTTTAGAAAGCGACGGTAAGTGAGTGTTTGTTTTGTGGCATGAAATTTCGTAAGGTTTGTGAATGTTTGAGGAATCTGATTGAAAGGTTGATTCGTCAAGTGGAAGTTTGAGACGGTCGAATGAATTGATGTGAATGTTCCTAGCGCAACACCTTTGGATCGATTGATTGACGATCGAATATCTTTTATTTCGATATTATATTTTCGATAACTATATCTTGTATTTCTGTCAAAATTCGGACTCTGAGCATCTTTATACTCCCGACTCCGTACAGTAAGTGGCTGAGCTTTGTTTAATAAGTATTTTTATGTGCTGGAAGACCGGCAGGATAATACGAGAGAGACCCAACGAAATTTGAGATGCAACATGCCATGGAACTAAATATCTTGGCTTATTATCAATCCATCAACTCACTCATAACCTAATTTCTTTGCCCCGAGAGAAAGAATCAGTTTTCCCACTTTCCGAAGCATTTAACTTTTCCTCGAGCTCGTCGTCTTGGGGAACTCTTCTGGAATCTAGATGGTGGCGACATTATGTGGCGGAGCAATTGTCCTCTGACCTCAATCGAAGGCGTTGCCCCTCCATATTCTTTCCTTATCATAGAACAAAAGCTGGGGGTAACAGCGCTCCATCACTAGTATTGCGACCCTTCATCCATATCCATATTCATCTCCCTCTTCTTGACCAATGGAGTCGTTACATATTAGTACAAGGTGAAACTGGAAGAAGATGAGACGAGATGAAACCAAACAGACTATCTCGATATGTGAATCTCGACACATGGGCTCAGGGTATCAAGACCATTTCTATATACATCGAGTATCTATCCATTTTATTTTCATTTCCTACTTTTATATATATCAGTCATATCATGTCACATTGTACGTACTACACAATAGTACAGAAAAATAACAATTTCTAAAACAAAAGCTTGCCACAATCAAATCTTCATACAGCTGTCCACCTAGTCTTCCAAGCCATATTCAAACTCAATCTCATATCTCATACCCCGGGATGAGTAATCACGTGTTATTTCGGCCGAAGAGGGGTATGCTATGCCGATATCTGAAAGCATTTCTCATTAAATATCTTAACCTTTGGCATGCTAGTAAGCAAGTGCATTCGAAGATAAGATCTCGAGATCTCAGATAGATAGATGACGTAGAGCGTATTAGAATCAATAATCATAATATCAGAAGTATATCATATCCAAATTTCATCCTCCTTTCTGTTCTCCTCCTCCTCCTCCTCATCCTTATCAACCACCATCCAAACGCTAACACCCTCTCCTCAACTCCCCAACCAACCGCTCTCCCGTCCAAACCCATATCACCAATTTCCAACCTCAACCCCAAATTCAACCCCAAACCCAACCCCAAACCTAACCCTCAACTCAACTCAAGAAACCCTCCCTCCCTCCCAATCAACCCGCCATACCATCCTCCCCAAGAAAAATACAAAAAGTCATACGCGTCAACCAAACCCAACTCAACCCAACTACCGCATACCGCATACCGCATACCACATACCCGCATACCAAAGCCAAAACATTCACAAACTTCGAGGCTCTGCCCATATGCGCATACCACAAAAATCATATCAATAATCAGATACATGACATAGCATAACATAGCATAGCACTACAACCCATAACTCCTAAATCCTAAACCCGAATATCCTATCCCATTCCATCTTGTAGCATAAGCACATCAAATTCCCACATCAAATCCACACCACAACCCAACCCTCACCAAAAATAACAGCTCCCCAACTATAAACCATAAACCATATATCCAATATCCCATATCCCATATCCAGAGCTACTCACCAAGCACCAAGCACCAAGCTTCACCACCCATTCATTCATCCTCATCCTCCTCTTCATCTCATCCCTCCTCTTCATCTCATCCCTCCTCTTCATCCTCATCTTCAGCTCCCAAGAAGAGGCTATGCAACACTACTACACCAGCAAATCCACATCATCACATCACTCATCCATACCATCCATACCAAACCATCAAATCACAAGCAGCCAAGCCCATGACTATGACTATGGTGGGGGGCCAAGCTGGACAAGCCAAGGGGGGTCTCGGCATACCAGATTTAGCTATGTTCACAATGCACAGCAATTACCAATGCAACCCAATCCATCACATCTTGTGTAGATCTTTAAAAGCCGAATCGGGTTTGATAATAATAAAGATATAATATCTTAAATTCATCATACTTAAATATAACAAGCCATCAAAAGTGAATTCCGCTAACCCCTGATATCCCACGAGACCAACCCAAACCAAATTTCATCCCAGCATCGCTAATAAACTTCCAACCAATCCTTCAAGTTGTTTCCAGTGACTACAAAGAAATAGAAACTAGCATGCCATGTATCATAAACCATAAACCATATAAAACTCCTCCCTTCACCCTTTAAATATCCCTTTCATCACTCTCTCATTGTTTAGTTCTTTCTTGCGTTGTGGACTGTATTAATGATCTTCTCTACTACACTTGGATCAGAGAGCTAGTATGGATGTTAGTAACCAAATATTTGAGGAATGATGGTGCTTAACACGTACCGTAGAAATATCACCCAATTGATCCTCTTCACCTGCCAGAATCTTTCTCAAAATTCTACGCATAATCTTACCACTTCTAGTCTTTGGCAAATCTGGAACAACGAATATTGCTTTTGGTGCAGCAAAGGGACCAATACTCTTTCGGACTTGTAAGATAAGATCCTTCTTCAATGCATCGCTGATCTCGTTACCATCCTTGAGGGCAACGAAAGCATTGACTGCTTGTCCGGTGAGCTCATCGTTAATACCAACAACCGCGGCTTCGGCAACAGCATGGTGCTCAATCAAAGCGGCTTCAATTTCAGCAGTAGAGAGACGATGACCGCTGACATTGACTACATCATCAACACGGCCTCGGATCCAGTAGTAACCTTCGTGATCACGTCCAGCTCCGTCACCAGTGAACTATATCATGTTAGTAATCCGCAATTAGAAGTAGGTAATAAATCTTACGTAGTATCCTTTGTAGACATTCAAATATGTGTCCATATATCTCTTGTGTGCACCCCACACGGTACGAGCCATACTAGGCCATGGTTGTTTGAATGCTAATACACCCTCTACATCATTTCCGTGAATTTCTTCTCCGGAGACAGGATCGATAATCGCTGGCTCAATACCAAAAAATGGAAGAGATGCGCTACCGGGCTTTGTAGGGGTAACACCTGCAAGAGGAGCAATGACATGGGAACCGGTCTCGGTTTGCCAGTAAGTCTACACTTAAGTCAGTATTAATTTTGATAGTCAGATCAAAATGCACTTACATCAATAACATGAGCTTCCTCCTTTCCAACAGTCTCAAAATACCACTTCCAAACCTCGGCAGCAATTGGCTCACCAACTGAGCCCAATACTCTCAAATGCTTCATTGGTGCTTTTACATGTTCATCACCGGCACGCTTCAACAATCTAAGTGCAGTAGGCGCAACATAGAATTGTGTAACCTCGTGCTTCTCAATGACATCCCAATATCTGGAGAAATTTGGGTATGCTGGAGTTCCTTCGAATACTACAGTTGCAACACCCAAAAGAAGAGGAGCGTAAACAACATAGGTGTGACCAGTAATCCATCCGACATCACCACCACAGAAAAATTTATCCGAGTCATGAATATCGAATACATACTTTCCGGTAGCTGCGGCACCTAGAAGATAACCGGCGGTTGAGTGCATAACACCCTTTGGTTTGCCGGTTGATCCAGAGGTATAGAGTAAGAATAATGGATCCTCCGAATTCATTGGCTCTGGAGCAATATAAGATGGCCATTTCTCAACCTCCTCATGCCACCACCAATCACGACCCTTGGTCATTGGAACATCCGCACCGGTACGTCTGTAAACCAAGCAGTGCGTGACATCAGGACATTGTTTCAGCGCATCATCCACAATTTTCTTTGTGCCGATCAATTTTCCACCACGCTTACCCTCATCCGAGGTAATGACAACTTTCGATTGAGCATCAATAACTCTGTCTCTGAGGGAGTCGGAGGAGAACCCAGCAAAGACAACAGAGTGAACTGCACCAATACGCGAACAAGCCAAGAATGCAATAACAGCTTCTGGAATCATGGGCAAGTATATGGCAACAGTATCTCCCTTCTTGACACCCATTTGCTTGAGAACATATGCCGTTTTACAGACTTCTCGAAGTAGCTCCGCATATGTAAGAGTACGTCCATCGGTAGTCTCGTCGGCTTCGTAAATGATAGCTGGTTTGTCTGGATTCTTAATTGCATGACGATCAACACAATTGTAAGAAGCATTTAATTGGCCCTCTAAGAACCAAGCATTGTCGCCGCCTGCGAACGACCCACTGTGAACCGTCTCAAAATCCTTTTGCCAGGTTAAAAGCTCACGGGCCATTCTTCCCCAAAACTTGTTGGGCTCCTTGATCGATTCATCGTAGAGTTTCTTGTATTCGTCGAGTCCTAATAATATTAGTTTCCAAATTTACCGCGAAGAGAAAAAGGGAATTGTACCACTTATGTGAGGTTTGCTTGGATGCTCTGTAGAGAATTATTAGTATTTTGTACTCATCAATTGGTATGCAACCTCTCGTGAGATTCAGAATTTAAAGCTTACTGGCAAACATCTTTTGCGGAGGATCTATAGGCGCATGACGGGTCAGTAAATGTATAATTGGCACGGACATCTTCTTGGAACTTGACATACGGAAAGTGTCGACATCATGAGCTTCTGCTACTACTGGAGAAGATGGTTTTACTTTTCCTTCAGACATTGCTATGGCGTGGAAGTAGTTGAATCGCAATTTGATTGATTGTAAAGGTTGAAGTGTGAAGGTCTACGCCGCGAACTTGGTACTTGGTTAAAAGTGTTACCGCAAAGCGGAGTCGTAGAAAGTTAGTGTCTCCTTTCTTTGTGAGCCCAATAATCGGTGACGCCAATAATCGGTGACGAAATTCAATATGTATGTTATATCGGGACGGGTATCGTTCAGAGGAGTGAATGGTGAGGAATGAGAAGATTGAATCAAGTGACCACAGTCTTAAGAGAAGAGGATGAAGAAGAAGAGGGAAGAAGTAGTTGAAGAAGAATGGGATTGTAAGATATTTGAACGGGAATCAGCTAGGTCTTTAGCTGTAAGTTGACTTCGGGGCAATGGACTTGTGTAGCTACAACACCCAAGGGAGTCTGTGTAATTTACCCCGGTTATTGATTTGCTGTATCCTATTCCCTTCCTCATGATTGGCTTCTTTTGTTTTGTATTACTGCTTAGTACGATACACATAGGCGTTATTATTTCTTGACTCCCTTTCCACCGAATCGCTAACCTACTAGGTGGAAGCGAATACACTCCGGCGGCTCCTAATACCAAATTTACCAAATTCGAACTAATTTAGATTCGACATTTCGGAATTCCCTCCCCTTTGCAAGGCGTGGCTTGATAGACTAGGGATGTGTGGGGTCAAGTGCATAAGCCTGCATTTCGTGGTAGGGACAGAATTGAAATGATTGCAGATCTTGTGACAATCAGGGTGATTAAACGAGGGAATGTTGATGCATCTAGAGTTCTTCGAATACAATATACGATATACGATAATATATTTCCATTTTGATCTTTTCGTCCTATGTAAACTTTCAGAGATCTCATCGTCTTTCCCTCCGGATATCTCTTTAGAATTTAGACCTATTCAATTGTTCCTGGTGTCTTCGAATCTTGTCCCCACATAATAGTCCTTTACTACTCAGGTCTGTCTCAAATCTCACATGTCCAATCATAATGTGTTGAAACCCAACAGAAAGGAATTTCCACTTTATTACTAGCTTAGTAAAGACGAAGGTCCCAGACATCTCCAACTGGAAGCTCTCAAGCTTTATTGTGGAGTGAAAAGAGTGGGAATAGGTGGAACAATGTTGAGAAAGATTCCCTCGGTTCCTTGAGAATCTGATCTGCGATGCCGGCGTGTCGGCTTCGGCTTCGGTAGAGTCGCAGAGTTGTTCCATGAGACCTCATAACCGAACTTATCCAGCACAGCGTTGTATCTATAAAAATAAACCGGACAAATTGTCATGTACGGATTTACAATAGGTGGCACCTATTATGGGAATAGGAATAGCGCATCATTCGTCCTATGCAAATGGTCCCTTCAATGAATTTCGCATTGCCAAGGCCATATGGATCGTGAATGTGCTCGGACAAGGGGCTAGCTGGTAGTTACTAGTCCCTATGGCCAGCCTTCTGATTCGGACCCAAGGATTACAACCAATACTACCTCACTAAGATCTTACCTGCACTTACTATACCATCCGTCTACTGTAGTATTGTGGCATGGCTTATATCACGAGTTACCAAGTGTTTGGACCAAGAGTTTGGTACGCCAATTAACCAAACCCACCAATCTTACTAAGAAGCTGGTTCCAGAGCCAATGCTGCACTTCCCCATTTGGAACCTCACTGTGCTACATGACAGCTTCTATGATTCTATGACAACGGGATCTGAAAATTAAATTTTCACGACTATGATGATAATCTAATCATGCCCCGAGCCAAAGAATGGATTATTTGAGCACAACGGCCAATGACTTAGCTATTCTACAATGCCGTCATCCACGGACAGATAGTTCCACAGACATTAAACACCAGAGTGTAACGGCAGAGAAATCTGACGTTATCCCAAGAGTCTCCAAGGACATCCTCAAGATATCGGAAAGCCTGTCACACATCACACGCACTTGCAATCAAACAAACTCGACTAGTATTTTCACTACTCTCCCTGGTATCTGATCTAAACCAATAACACGCATAGTAAGCCACCACCTCTCTTCCTTCCACCCTACACGACATGGGCCCCTGGGCCTGGCTCCTCATCCTCAACTAGTCTAGCACCACGTGGAGCCGTGGACATCCGGGACAACATGATTACATATCAACCATAATATTCAAACGGTACCTGCGTATGTATCTGATATTGTTGCCATTCTTTCTATCGATATCTACTCGTACATGGTTGAAGATATATTTGGATCCTTCGGCACCAGCGAGCTCTAGATTTATCTCATGGGTTTGCCCACTTGTCAGACAAGGTTACCTATTCTTCTGTGAGTAACGGAGTCTAGGGTTCCTGATGGAGATTCGGAGAGCTGGTATTTGGGTTTCTGTAAGGAGAGTTATGGATAGGTAGTACTTGACACTTTTTTTATTACAGTACAGTACCCCCCTAGATTGACATTAAGTTTTAAGATAAGAAAATAAATCAAGATTATTATTCTCATCCGTTGAAACCAAAACCCTAAACCCTGAAATAGAAATCCTACATAGTATACAAGCATCCCCCATCTCAAGCACCAATTCCACTACCCTCTCCATATCCCATCTTTCTCCTCATATCATCCGTCTCCTCCTCCTTCTTCTCTGCACCCCCTACACCCCTCGAATTCCCTACCGTCTCCCCCCCAAACCCATGCTCACTAACCGCCTCACCAAATCTAATATTCTCCGCCGTCCGCTCACCACGCGCATTATGTTCTGCTTTTTTCTGAAGCTCTGCTTCCGTGGGACCTGTTGCGTCTATATCTTCTTATTAGAAATAATTTGAATACAGTAGAAATATATTTATATATGGTATGGAGTGCAGGGTTGAGAATGAGGAGGGGGAGATGCAAGAAGAAGAAAAAGGTTTTATTTGAAATAAAATCTATAGAAAGAAGAATTGATATAAGATTAACTTACCTCCGAAAGTTCCCTGGTCTTTAGCATGAGATTGGGTGAATATATTCTGGGATTCGTATCTAGGACCATTTTCATCAGTTCTTCCGTATCCTCGGGGTTTTTACCAATTAATTCAGATATATTTATCTAAGAAAAGGTAACTCACGGTGTATTTTCTCCTCCCCTATCCGTATCCATCATTTTTGTATTCGTCGCTTCTGTCATTTTTACCTGTCTGCCTGCTTGCTTTCTTGCTTTCTTTTTCCGTGTTTCTTTTCTTTTCTTTTCTTTCCTTTCTTTTCGTGTCTTCAAAATCAGCTCCCAAATAATCTCAATTGATTCAATTTAGAAGTAGTTCACCTACGATATGTTTACTGCTAACTACATACCTAGCTAAGTTGATGCAGATCAATAGTAATGACGTATGCGGGGGTAAAGTTCCCTCCTCAATACGAGGTTTCTACCTACATTAACCCCAGGTGAGCATCATCTACAATTTTGTTTGGGATTTTTGGTAGTACCCGGTGAGCTCCCTATGAAGTTTGGTTTCCGGTTACCTAGGTAGTAGACAGGTAGGTTTTTCCTGTAGGCCTATGGCTAAACTGCATGATTACCTCGGATATAGGAAAACCATCGGTACCATGGCTGAAATGTTATGCCGCAGCTCCGCAACAAGCACAGTTCTAATGACAGATGAAATTTGCGTTTCATTCAATTACTGCAGTAGATGATTCGAATGCAAGGTGGGAGGTTTTCCCTGGGTATCGTAATATACAAGCAACAACAATTACATTCTTCGACTCTCTTGTCTATATCTTCAATCATCTCAACTCCACACCCAGTTTCCCTGACAATTCCTTTTTAACCGCTTCATGCATTTCATTTGCCTCCTCATTCGTTAAAGTTCTCAATAGACTCCTATAATTAATCCTGTAACACATACTCTTCCTCCCTGTCTTCGGATGTGTAAATTCATCTACCTTCCTCACATCCTCCACTCTATCTCCTCCTACATCTCTTACTATCTCCATAACGTCATTTTCATGGAAATCGTGTGCATTTGCGGAATTACCACCTCCAGCTGAAGATGGTGATCGTAACCAGAACGAAACATCCTTGTAACATGCCGGATGTTTTGAAAATGGAATAAATCTCTGCAAATTCTCCAGATTCTTAGAAACTCCTCTAAATTGACTCAGAAATCTTTCATCCTTTGACCAGAACAATCGGATATCTGGGATCTCAAAAAGTAACATGGCGATCCTTTCCAGACCTATTCCGAAAGCCCATCCAAGTTGATCTGGCACACCTGCATTCTGCATGATATCCTGTTTAACAACACCACATCCAAGAACTTCTAACCAATCCCCTTGCCAAAATATTTCTAGCTCCCAGGATGGACTTGTAAATGGGAAATAAGCTTCTATCCATCTTACTTTCAATGGTTCATCGACGAACGTGGGATCCGCTTTTATGGCTGCTCGTCTTGCTCGCGAGAATATCTCTACTACCATTAACTCCAAACTCTTCTTGAGATGTGCCGCAATAGCTTCAGCTTCCGCCTCTGTGTGTTCTCCTTGTAGTGGATTCCTCTCTGCATGGAAAGTGGGATTCGAATCTTCAACTTTCACATTATGTTTAGGTAGTGCTTCATAATCCTTCCAAACAGCTGCTACGATATCCCCATTCGGAACCTTCTTTCTATCCCACATTCTTGCCCCTTCCATTTGGTGAAAAATAGGATAATGGCTTCGATCGATTGCATCTCTGCGATATACATCTGCGCTGATTAGGAATCCTTCGCTTTGATTACTGCGGAATACATCGGCTTGATGTGCACTTGTATGGGTTCGCAATACCGTTTCCTTGTTAATATAGTATGTATCCGTCTTGCTTCTCCCAGGATGATCCAAAGGAAATCCTAAAGAATCAAAGTTTTGATGCGTAGATACTATGGGAAAGAAATTGTTGTGGTACCTGTAGGTAGGTGATGGAAATCTTGATTCGATTATCGAACGAGTGATGGAAATCGGATGATCTATAGTTGTGTGTAGACTTCGGGAGAGGGAATCAATAATTGATTGTGGAACATTGTACCATTCATCTTTCTTATATCCTTTGGTTGAAATCGGGTCTGAAGGTTTAGACGGGGGGTCTATCGGAAATATGTCAGTCGTGCTTCAGTAACTGAGGGGTCGATTTGAATGTAACAAACCCGTTGGTGAAGAGATATATCGGCATTGTCCGCAGACTCCCAAAGTTCTTGTGGCACCATTCCTCAAACCAATGAATGCTTTCAATACTTCATTGCCCTTGGAAAATGAGGACTTGTTCGCATTGAGGAGCCGCATGCTTATGATCTTCGACTCCAAGAAATTTCCTGATGGGGAAGATAGCTATGAAATGCCAAACTTCCGGAAAATCCCTGGTTCCTGATGGCGGCCGCCTCGTCCCGATCCCGATTAATGACGAAAGACTTACATTATGCACACGACCATTCTTTCATCTAGATTAATTTTGAGAATCTTGGAACTACATTATTTGTGACATCTTCAGATATTCCCCCATGTCTCCTTATATATCAATTTGCAAATACAGAAGTATAAGAAACACATATTATCTTTTCAATCATCATCATTAATGTGAGAATCACTAGGTGCCTCAAGTATTAGGCATAATCACAAGCTAAATCCCCTTTTTTCCCTTCTACTATTTCACACTAATAATATTAGCAATCAGCCCTACTTGAGTAACCTTCTCCATTTTTCTTTCTATTGCTTTTTTGGGTCTATCCACTTTTTCCACTATCTCTTCCCTGAATTATCCCGCCAACTGTTTGTCCCTTTTTCCATCCCCCTCGTTCTCCAATTCCTTTGTTTACTTCTGAGAATTCGGAATGAACCTCGAGAAGAAACATTCAGAACAAGTGGAACAATGTCGAGTGGGAAACAAAGTGTGGGAAGGGTGAAGGGGGAGGTCAAAATAGACGTTGTGAAGTATCCATTTTGGTTTGGAGGTAGCGCAAGTTGTTTCGCGGCTTGTGTTACTCATCCATTGGATCTTGGTATGTGATGTTCTCCTCTTGATACAGAAATTTGACTCTATGTACGAACTTATACTAATTATGCTATAGTCAAGGTATAACCCCTTTCGCGTGAATGCGCAAACACAGATTCATGTCCAATGCCTAGTACTAAACAAATTACATCGCCAGGTTCGATTACAAACTCGATCCGGAAATGCGCCAAAAACTATGGTTGGCACATTCGTGCACGTCTTCAAGCACAATGGAGTTTTTGGACTATATTCTGGACTCAGCGCATCTCTCCTCCGTCAAATAACATATAGTACCACCCGATTCGGTATCTACGAAAAACTCAAGACAAATTTCACATCAGGAAACAAATCACCCTCCTTTCCAGTTCTTCTCGCCATGGCCTCCACTTCTGGTTTTCTTGGCGGAATCGTGGGAAATCCTGCCGATGTACTGAATGTACGCATGCAGCACGACGCTGCTCTTCCAGTCGAACAGAGAAGAAACTATAAAAATGCTGTGGATGGATTGATACGAATGACGAAGGAAGAAGGATGGAAAAGTTTGTACCGCGGGGTATGGCCGAATAGTATGAGAGCTGTTTTGATGACTGCTTCTCAATTGGCTACATATGATGGCTTTAAACAACTACTTCTCGGACATACACCAATGAAAGATGGGCTCTTAACACATTTCACTGCTTCTTTCATGGCGGGATTCGTGGCTACCACAGTTTGCAGTCCGGTAGATGTTATCAAAACAAGAATTATGAGTAGCCATGAAAGTAAGGGATTGGCGAGACTTTTGACGGATGTGTATAAAGTAGAGGGTGTTGGATGGATGTTTAGGGGCTGGGTACCGAGTTTTATTCGCTTGGGTGAGTTTCAATTGCTACTCTCCTTCACGTTTTAATTCAAAATATGAGATGCATAAGGAGCATGAAGGAGGTGGGAACGCTAATCAAGAAATCATAGGACCTCAAACAATTGCAACATTTCTCTTTCTCGAACAACATAAGAAAATGTACCGATCTCTAAAAGGATTCAAAGAACCCGAAGCTACAGTCGTCTGAGCCCATTCCGCGAAATTTCTCACTCTGAACAAACAGTCACACGCCTATCTAGTCTGGTTTCGGACGTAGATTTTCCTTCGACGCAGCAATCAACAAGCGCTGTTTTCAATTCCTGAATCTGATATGGGTGTAGCAGCCCACTAATTTTGAAAGTTTGGTTTAGGCCAAATCAAGCCAGACGGCCACCTATTACGAACTCTTTAAATTGTCACACTTTTATACCCTCTGCAAAACCTACATACCCTACGATCCTACATATCTTATCCTTACTCGGTACATATAACCACCTAGGCAAAAAGTCATGGAAAAAAACTCGGCGTTGGTGAAAAATTATGCGGTACGCATAAACTACTTTATAGATTGGATTGGATAGATTAGATACGTGATTCCTCATAGATTAGATCTTACATTAGATCCTAGATTCGATAGATACATAATGAATGATATTGGCAATCTCTCTTGTTTTGCTTCGATTAGTGAGTCTTATCGGTTCATGGAAGTTGTAGACTTCTATTGTTAGAATATGTCAAAATATGGTGAAAAGAAAGTGTTTGGAGCTCCAGAATTGCCTCAAAAATATTGATAGTAAAATATCGTGTAGATATGGATCTCACGATGTGCTAAAAATATATATATGTAGCTTCACTAATAATATCTTCTAGTTTCATGATCCCAATTCCTTACCATGAACATAACGTTCATGGGGTATAAAGAAGGTATAAATCCAAGGCAATATCAGCAGCAGTCAAACCAGCATCTAGAGAGAGCCAATTCCTCAAATGAGATTGTATTTTTGCTTCTATGCTCTCAACCAGGGTTAAACATTCACACCTGCAATCCATCTCGTCATATCCTATCCTTACTACCTAAAATCATGCTGTGCATCAAGCCCCTGAATCGAATATCAAATACTTGGAAGAAGTAAAACTTATGTACACTTCTGCCCTGTTCTGTCCTGTTTTATCCTATCCTACTCTTTCGTGGCCTCACGCCGGGGGAGGAATACCATGTCTGAATCTGAGGTCAAATTTTCGCCAGATATCATCGACTCCGGCTCCAGCTTGTTCCGCCTTGACTTTTGATGTATTCGATCCCATGAATCCTGTTAAATCATAGATAAATCATCAGCCCATATTCGCATACATACACTTTATTTGTCCTGAACTATATGGAGTCCACTTCATCCCCTTTATTTATAGCTTCCAAAAATGTGAAGGGAGGATCTCCAAATTGAATAAATTAACTGGCAGTAGCAGCACCACTTCTCGAACTCGAGCCCGGATCTTTTTCAATCATCCCAGCATCAGCCAACTCACGCTTTTTAGCGAGCCTTTTTAGCTGAGCTAGGCGGCGTTCAGCAGCTTCCCTTTCTTGAGCTGGAGTGGGTGGGTTTCCGGATAAAAGTTGGATGAAGTGTAGACGAGTTTGGGGGATAGACTGTGAGGAGTTAGATTGATTGAAGAGGGTAGGGAGGAAGACGTACGTCATTCCTAGCTTGTGCGTGCATCATTAATAATTCCGGGTTATCAAGTACGGCTATGGCTTCTCTCCGTATTATGAGGCTGGTATAGGATTCATTTCCGAATCTGGGGATCAGTCGAATGTATTAGCTTGGAACATATCTCCTCATCTTCTCATTCATATCTTATTTATTGCTCGTTCTATCCTCATACCCTCAAGATGCCCCTTGCTCCAACACTAAACTCCCACCGAACGATCAAGCATATCTCTGTTCAAAAAAATGAAGATAAAAAAGACACATACAAGTCATAATTCCTTCCCGACAATTCATCATCCGACGGTGATTCTTCGTAATCAATATCGTCAGGTTCCTTGTTCCTTGCTTGCTGATCTTGTTTCAGACGGGCGAAAGTAGAGGTTTTAGAACTAGAAGCAGAAGCAGAAGTTCCAGAGGCTTTTTTATTGCTGTTGGGTCTGGAGGAGGCTGTGGGTCGAGAAGGAGTATTATTGACGGAGGAGGAATTCATGGTGGTGGTCGTGTGTAAATTGGTGATTGATGATATGGAATACGGTTAATGATGTGGATGTGGATGTGCTAGAAGAATATCTGTTGGGGATGCAGAGTGTTGTTTATGGAGTATATAATCAGAGTTCTTCGATAAATTAAAAGGTTAAGACTTGATCTGACGATGTTGGGGAGGAGCAGGTGGGGTGATATTGACAGGGTCTATGCGCTAAACTACGGTAGGTAAGGCGCTACAATCACTAAGCTTCTTCCATCATATTAGAGCTTTACAGTCGACCGTAATCAGACGACATCTCATTGTGCAACAGTGATGTTCATTATGTTTTGGATAGCTGGGGCTTAAAAGTTATGATTTTGATTTGAATCAGAGAGATGGGGACTGCTTTCGAAGATATAAAGATTGTATGAACTGAATTTTAGTATATTTTCGGGACTTCGGGGTTTGAGGAATATGAGAGATAAAGGAGTACTTGTTGCTTAATAGAAACTTCTGCCCTGGCTTGCACGGGTCTTATGTATGGTTTTTGCATGTTTTCTGTTTGAACTGCTCTATTTGGGCAATCTCTTCTTTCCATTTGCTCCACTTGTCTATCGGTAGCGAAGTTGTTGGAAAAGCTCAAAACACATGCCCTGATGAAAGTACTTGATGCTTCATGGCATTCTTTTCCGTACCAGGCTTGATGCTTCTAGGCTACCATACCTTTCTCCTAAGCGATCGCAGCCAGAGCACCAAGTGGATGTTCTGATGTTATGAGTTATGACACTGTGACACTGTGACACTGTGAGCTTGTCCCACGAACTGCATATGGCTGGTCTCAACTGCCAGATCTGGTACTGGATGATGATGGAACGTGCCTTGTAGCAAATTGCCGGTTTGTTACCCCTATTCAACATTGCCTTATTTCAACATGTTCCTCTCCAGTGTTCAGCTCGACCTCACCAGTATGTAATGGTTACTGAAGTGAGTGAACTTAGTGAACTTCAACCACTTGGATGAATTGTATCCGTTGGAATTATGAGCATCCCTATCCGCAACTTGTAAAGATTGCCATAATTTGGATACTACACTAATCAAGGTAAATTCTCGCCTACTCATTCTTACACAAATTTGAAAATCAATTTCTTCTCGTACTTTGCTTTCTGGCGGAAGAAATGTATTCCTTGAAACTTCACATACCATATCATAACCGATGTTAAATCTTGCCCTCGATATTCATTACCACATGCGATTGCATAGTGATGTGAAGTATATAGAGGACTGCACTAGCTGTGAATCTCTTTTTAAATATCGGTCAATACTCAAAAGTTGTTAATGAGCATCAGGATAGCTAGCTTTATTAATAATTCGTAAACCACCACGAAACATGTAAGAGGTCTGTAACATTTTGCCTCTCCGCGTTTCATCAATTTTGTGTATAGCAATCTATTTCGCTTCACATTTCCCTCTACAGCCTTCCCAGGAAATCTTTGGTGGTTGTATTTTGATCCTGATGATGAATCATTTTGTTTAGCTTGTCAACAGATATTCACCTTCAGTTCACAAATTATGATTAAGAGCCTGTGTGTGAGCAATTCCCAATGAAGTATCAGGCCATGGATTTCAAAGCGAGATTTTGATAAGAATATATCAAAAATAACTTTCAACTCTCCAATAAAATATATTTTTCTTCTCATCACAACCACAAAACTGCTGAAAGATGGATCACTCACCCAAAGATATCAGGCATAATGGGATTGACTTAAGGTGTAAGTTCTTCACATACATCTGTTTTATATCTACTGTTTTTATGAAAGTACTAATACTATCCAATAAAAGCAGTCCTTTGGAACAACTCAGTTACTCAGACCAATGGAAGCCAAGAAAGTTTGCAGGTTTGTGAGTGAAATCTGTCGATAGCCATATGCCTTATAAAAGTTCTAATTTTGTCCAATTGAGCAGCAAACAATTCGAAAGACCGAAGTCTCAGCGTACTAAAACTCAATTTGGCTACCGGTGTGTCGTAACCTTTTGTCACCTTGTTTGAGCTTGAGCCAATTTTGTTTTCCTTGCTAACAATAAGAAGGATTATCTAATATTCGAACCAAAGTTGAAGAAGAGCACAAAGGTTTGTTTTACCTCTGATTGAATCGAATCTTATTGTAATTAACCTATTGTTCAGAATTTTTTGAATTGGTCGCGCAAGGACAGGTCTTCAAAATGCAACCAACTCAGGAATTTGCATACAATATGATGCGTGGTAAGGGTCTTGGTGCCCTGCCCGTATTTCCACCACCGCGAGCTTCCACTCAAGATGAGGAGGATTACAGACCAATTGAGCATCTTGAGGAGTAAGTCATCCATCCAATTATTTGTTGTTAATCCTAACCTTCATTCACTAGTAATCTACAATCTGGCGTCAAGTACTATAAAGTCGCTTCGAAATCCGGTTTTAAAAACGCTGCAGCTGCTCAATACCTTGCGGAAGGAGTCAATCAATTGGTTATTAAGGAGCGTCCGAGATGTGAAATTGTTTTTGATCAAAAAGGTGACGAAGGGGAAACGAACAATCACTACAAGGGCAAACAGGTTTGGGGAAATTTTGGTTACCTCTTTGTTAATGGAACCTGGGTAGATCCTGATAGTGAGAAGGATTTAGCGCGTGCATTCAAAGGCTATCCGGTGCTCTCACTAGACGGACTCGAAGGTGCCAGGGCCGAGGATCCGCGAATCATGAGTCCAGCTCAAATGGAGGAATTTTATGACTTCTTTAATGAATATGTCTCTGATGATGAAGGAGATTCTCGAAACAATCGCTTGTCAGTAAAGGATTTTCAGAATATGGTCCGTGGTACAGCCAGTGAAGGTAAAGGTGATACTTGGGCTAAAGCAGTCGTCGCCCCACAAGTAAGAGATCTAATTGCCTTCAGGTTTCAGGTAGCTAATATTTCCTGAACTAGGAGAAATATACAGAAAGACCTAGGGAGCCACGAAATCCTAAAACACAAACTGACATGTTGCCACCGCAGATAGATAAAGATACTGGTAGTTATTACTCGGGATATGGAGGTGACAATTCTGACACGGCCAGCATTCTGCTTTCCGCAGCAGGTTACTATCTATCCATTCCTGTGATTATTTCTAGCATCTAACATTATTTTTACAGGCGTTGATATCCTTCAAAGACCTGAACACTTCAATCGCATGGACCCTCAAACCGATATGAACATACTTGCTGAGGCATATGGTAGTCCCAATGCTTTTAAAGATGACAGTGGTTGGTCTGATACAACGTCCCTTCCTATTTTCAATACGGTATGTTTGAATCTACTTCACCCTACCCTTTTATCCTTGTGGGACTGATAATCAGATAGAAAGCAGCTGCTAAAGCTATCACTTGGGATTTACCTAATCTTACCGATGAAGAACGCGAGGCGGGCTTAGCATATATTACGTCGAGAGGAGAGGCACATTTTCAACATAGCCAAGTGATGGCAAAAAACAGAGACGAGCTTAAATCAGACAGGATGATTGCCTTCAGTGGATTGGCAGGTTGTATGAAGGAGCTTTTCTTCATCAAGCAGTGGTTGAACAATAATCCCTTCAAAGCCAACGATGAAACCCGCAGATTGGTTGATTCTATTTCTTTGGAGGCACCATTCAAACGCATTGAACGCACCATGATCAGCAACAATGATCCTGCTCCTGTCGCTACTACTGATTCATATCTCGGACTCAGTAATCAAGACCGTACTTATATGCGTCTGATCAATGACATTTATCAAGACACCAATAATCTTACCCTACATCTTCAGAATCAGGCTATGGTCTGGGATGCTACCAAAGCTGAGATCGAGGTAAAGATTGGCGAATACTTTGGCTTGCGGGAGAGAATTATGGCGGTTTCTGGTATGACTAACGATTTTATTCAAAGTCTCATCCCTGTCAGTGCTCCTCGAACTCCTCGAATCAACTTTTAGGCTTCCTTTGGCTTGGTCATAATTTCATTGCCCCTTGTGCTCTGGCACTCCAAGTCAATCTCGCTATCTTGGATAAGGTTTTGCCTTCGAATTTCGAATTTACGTGAATAGCCCCGTCTCTACCCGATTTAACAGCCTAGTCTTCAATACTTATCTTCCAAGGAACCAAAACATTCGAGCTCCTGGCATTTCTCCATTGTTTTTACTTTCAGCAGAACGATATACACGTTGTCTCTTGATTACAGATCAATTGCGTTATACTGCTTTATGGCTTTGGGGATAAATGGACTCCACGATGGCTATTAGTGTATCTCGTCCCAATCTACAATACGGCGCATACGTTGCTTCGTCTATCCTGGAGCTACAGGTTCGCTACGTCACGGATTGGATTGTATTTGTATGGCTTTGCTTTTGCTTCTCTTGCAATCATGATACCCGGTATATTTCATGGAATGGATGAATGGATAGATAGATAAATTGGACAGCTCTCTTACAGATTTAAGATGTTTTCCCACTTCTAAATTTTTATTTTTTTAAATTAATAATTTTCCTCCCTTCTTTAATTTTCCTTTTCTTTCCTTACGATCTTTAAGGACAAATTCCTTATTTCTCATTCCTTGTTTCTCACTTATCATTTCCTATATATTCATTTCTGCTTTCTTTCATGGATAGGAAGGATATCTATCCCGTGCGTGGGAAAGGGTGGTATTATACTTAGGTACTTGCAGTAAGTAATACTTGATAATGAATAATGAAGCTAAAATATATTGATGATAGGATATGATATGATTGGAGAAATCGAGGATGAAGATGAAGATAAAGATAAAGATGAGGATGAAGATGAGGGTAATTGAAAATGATAATTCTATAATGCAAGTGACAATGATGAATGATCATATAATATAACACAAATGCACTCAAGATCAGTCTCCAATCGTTACTTTTTTGATCTGTGGAATCTGGGCGAGAGTTGCTTGTTGTAATTATGAAGCTTTACTTGCATCATGTGAGGTCTTAGAACGTTATTTCTACTGTTTCGTTGCCAGAAAGTAGCAAAGGACAATCTAAAGGGAGATACGGGCATTAAACATCATAACCGTAAAATGTTGCATGTATGGTTTCATTAGGTATATTCATTCTTTTCCTATATGTGAAAAAGAAGATAAAATTGTGAGTGACATATACAAGATGATGCAGGGAAATCCTGCAAAAACCAGGCCAGCCCTTACATATTTTACCCCAACACCTGTCATATCTTTATAGAGAGGAGAGCTGATTTTTCATCATACAGCTTACAGTCATTATACATCCCAACGCCGTTATTTTGTATCCTGCTCGAGTCCGGATGCTCAAGTAGACATGACCGTAGTCCCATTTTTAATTATACACTTTGTACATCATGATTCCTCCACTGTATTTTCATCCGTTGATCTCCGGTATGTACGGATTAAGTGTCTCTTGCTTGCTGCGCCGAAGCATACTAGGCTTGCGTTCTGTATGATGTATAGTTTGATTTAAAGTGTTCAAGGATTCTTGACAACTCCAACCTTAGCAGCTCTCAATATCCTTCCATTGAGCTTGAATCCTTTTTGTTGAGTGTGGAAAACTGTTCCATCCTCCTTCCCTGCCATAGGAGTCATGAAGGTAGCCTCATGTTCATTTGGGTTAAATTTCTCGCTCTCAACTGAAGGATCGAATCTCTCTAAACCGTGCTTCTTCAACGTTGACATAAGAATATCCTCGGTCATCTTCAAACCCTCGTGTAAAGTAATTAAATCTTGTTGATGCTCATTACGCTTTTCCGCAGCAACGGAGAGCTTCTCTGCAGGAACGGTGGTAAGGGCTCGATCTAAGTTATCGATACTGTCGACGAGATCTTTGGCAAATTTTTGAATGGCAAAGTCCTTAGCAGCTTGCATATCTCGTTTTGTTCGCTCTTGAAGGTTGCGGAAATCAGCGATAGAGCGGAGGAGCTTGTCCTGTAATGTGGGGTTAGCCAAGTGATCTCGAGTATATGTAGAAGTCTTTGCCAGCAGCTGAGATTTTCGCAAGGTTATGTCCCAAAAGTATCGTTGCCCCAGTATTCAGTGTAACAAATGTGAAGCAGTAGTTTAGAAACAGAATGATGACGGAGGGAGACACAAACCTTTAAATCAATAATCTCCTTATCTTTCGCCTCTAAGGCCTTCTTCGTTGGGTCCTCTACATCTTCCTCCTTCTTCTCTGCTTCGGGCTCATCCTTCTTGGCCTCTGGTTCTGTAGCATAAAATCTTCTACCTTGGAACTGCCTTGACACAACTTGCGCTGCCAGCGAAGTATTATTGTGGAATTGCGATCGCAATGGCTGTCTTGCAGCCGAGCTGCGAATAGTAGAGCTTAAAGCTCGAGATGATTGACGGAGTAATGTTCTTGAGTTCATGGTTTCGTTGTTGTGAGGTCTGGTATGAAGGCAAATTGATTAGGTGAGGGCCAAATTTTTTGAGTAATGGGTGACTTCGGGATGGAAATTTTTAGTATGATTTAAGGCGGTCTAGAGTGGCAGTAAAGTCTTTTTCTCTGACGACATACTTCTTTGAGTTTCCAGACCTCACTTCATAGTCAGCCAGCAATGTTCAGATCCATCTTCATTGAAGACATGAAAACAAAGTTGGAACCTCATGAGAAGGTGAAGAATGATGGGATATACTCGATGCATATGGTCAACAATATGCTGGGTTGGGGTTGCTGTAAGTTAACTAGGTGGTAGCAATCGATGTGCAACTTGAGCCCCAGCTCCGCTCCATCTAATGGTTGTAACATATATTTATAAAGTCAAAACTCTATAGTGGTGCTTTGAGTGTTCCCGTTGTCGAGATGCGAGGCATAGAGTTCTTGATTATTGGCACTTCATCGGAATATTCACACAACCAAAGTCTTCCCTCTCATCTCTATACAATATTTGTATTCAGACCCCTTTTCGAACGCACTTTCTTGATCTCATTTGTATACAGCCTGTTTGCAAGACAATCTTGTATTGTTGAAGTCTTCCTCCTCCCCTTCCTATTCCTGCGATCACGTGCCAAGTTACTCTCCCAAGGATGTTTTAGGGGTAAGGAGTTGCCAAGGCAGGAAAATCAGATGTACATTCAATCATTTGAATAGATTTGTGAGTATTTGAATAAAAATTGTAGTACTTGTTGACCGTATAATCCTTAGACTGGTGAAGAACAATCACATCAAGTATACTGCAGGTGATTGCTCACCCCAATTGCCCTCAACCAAGCAACATATATAAACTCCAAAAAACTCTGCCGACCGGGATATCTTTCTGGAAACATGAATGCTTCTGTCCCTACCACAGCCCTCCATCAAGTTACTAGTTACATCCTTCCTCATCAACCTTCTATTCACTCTCTCGGTTAATCAAACCTCAATTCTATACTTAGATTGACAATTTCAACTGCAGAGGGAAATCTTTCAATCCAAATCAACTTCCGTTCTCATGGGAGTTTTTATCATCAATACACTCCTGTTTTTCGGATACCAACATTTGCTATTTCCTGTAAAAAGAATTCTGCAATAAGTGTAAGATGGAGTCACAAGAAAATATGCCAACATGTATGTTGTTCGATTTGAAATAAACTCGTCACTTTTCCACGTGGAGTGACAAGATCGAAGCGGTCCGGATGTTCATCAATAGGGTCAAATTAAAATTGAGACTAAGATAGACCCTCGAGCATCCCATTGTCCCACGTGGAGTCTTTCGAATTTTCACTGACCTTTTTCTTTCTAGATGGAAGTCAGATTTGTCCTCCCACTCCCGCAAATACAACCTCTCCCTGTTCTCCAAAAGGAACTCCTGTTGGTAAATTGACTGTAAGTATTATTTTATTCATACCTCACTGCCTTGTTTACCTTATTGGGATGTCATTCTTCTTCCGTTCCAATCCTTCATTCTTCCCCATCTCAAACTTTATATTTCCAATCTTCACACTTCCAAACTTATTTGTGTCCATCTTCACTTCTTCGCGCTCTGTAGCAGTGGCAACTTGCTCGATCATCACTGCTCCATTCCTTCTCACTGTTCTGTTGCTAACTTCTTCTCAAGCGTCAATCATCTACTCGAACAAAGATTACACTCCCTCCATCGATGACCAAACAGGAGTTCAAAGCATTTTCTCAGCAAGTTGACAATAGTTCCCTTGAGGAGGCCAAAAATCATCTTCATAACCTAGTACCTATCTTGCCTGAGTAAGTCTCACCTCTCTGCATTTCCACCTCTTTATCTGTTTCAATCTCTATTTTATTTATGCGTGAGATATCCAAGTGATAACGCATTTATCCTCCATTATTGAGTTATCCGCTTGATTTCGAATTAGCAGTTGTTTTTTATGCTCCGTCATTTGAGCCATCTACTAACACAAGATTTTGTGTTTTGGCCGAGTATTTTGCCCGTTTATACTTCCCATGTTTATTCCAGTTGATGGTTCTCGATCAACAATTGCACTTTAAGTGCTCCTTGTTATGCCTGATTCCTCTTTTACCATTACTTGCTATTTTCCTGAATACAATATCAGTTATCGAGCATAGCTAACCTGAATAATCAGTCCTGTGGAAATCAACAACCGCAAATTGGTAGAGCAAGAAGAGAACAAGATCATACAAGAGGAAAACAAGAATATTAGACGCGATTCAGTTATTTTCTTGAAGCGTCGCACTTCTGAGCGCAAGGTCAATCTCGCCACGCCAACATTGAAAATCACAACCGACAGTTTTAGGAACTCACCAGCACTTTCTCCAGGGGCCTCCCGAACACCACCCGATTCTGCTACACCTGTAGGAATAACACCTCCAATTTTGGGTCCAACTTCTGCCATCAATATGACCGCTGCTTCTGGTACTCTTCATTCCAATGAAAAGCAACTCAACCAAGCCCATGATGATCTAATTACAGCAGGTCCTGAACCTGCAGGCGTCGCCGATTCTGCTATGACTCTCAGCGGACAGCACAGTGCAACTGCCCGAAGCCAAGTCAATGAGCGTGTTGCTAGCAACGTTCTGACACCTTCCAGCGGATCAGCTACGCCAGCATCTCCCCGCCTTTCCAGCATGGCTCAAACTTTTAGATCTTCAGGAGTACGTAGCGCGCCACCCTCATTTACCGGTTGGAGAAGCAATCCATATGCTTCAAACAACGGAACCCCACCCGACTCCGCGGCAAGAGCAATGGGGGTTTACCCTTGGCAAAGCCAGGGCGCTGGTTTGCCCATTCCACCTGTGGTTCCATCCCATGGTCAACCAGTAACTCGTTAGTTCCTCCTTTCCTTCATACTCATCTTCAAATACCCAGCTGCATTATCTCGCTTCCTATTTCTCCTTCTACATATATAAAATTGCTTATACTAATAGGATAACTCAGTGGAATGGTTACATAGCGCCCCTATTCAGTCACCTTTTACATCTCTAGCTGGTAGCCGCGAGACCACGCCCGATCTTGTCTATAGCAGTGATGGCTCCGAGCTCGAATTTGGCAAGAGAAAAGCTAATGGTCCCGCAGATAAAGAGCTTGGGCACAAGAAAATCAAGCCTGAAGTTCCCTGTGCCGCTGGTGCTGGTGATGCTGTTACTTCGTCTCCACAACAATAAGATACTACAAGGACATCGGCGGCGAAGATAGACCCCATTAATCGGACCATTCACACTGTTTCAACTGATTAGATATCACGTCTCATCAACTATTTTTGATTACTTCACGACTTACGACCTTCTTTCGCAACTACAGCACATGTTTCAGCAATATACCCCAGCGTTACGTAACTTACATTCGAAGCCTCATACTTCTAACGTCTATAATTTCATCATATCATCTCAGCATCTACCAACCATCAAAATTCCATCACAACAAAGCAGAAGTAACGAATGACCAGCGTTTGTTTCAGGGTTCGAATACGTCGATGGAGTTGGATTGTAGCTGTCTTTTCCTATCCATAATCTACTTTGGTTTGTTTATTCGAATCGTGCAAAATTGCAGGTGCTGGATACAATCAGGTGGATATTCCTCTACATTCTACGTTTTACTTACAACTGTATTTCCACATGATAAATGGACAAAATTAGAACAGCTCAAACAAGATCAGATAAAATACGCAAGAAAAATGTGTCAAGATATGGTAGAGCTATCTGGAGATCTTTCAAGCTTCATTACTTCCTTAGGTCTAATGATCGCAGGATATATAGAAGAAAGAAAGAAAGAAAGAAAGAAATTACTTTACTAAGATTACATAAAAGGAAATCAAGATGTACATAGAGGAGCGGTAGATAATATTAGGAGATTTAATTAGATATGATTTATGCCTAGTACCTAGTGCAAGACCATGTTTTATGATCATTCGTAAAACGACGTCTAATCTATGGAAATCTCCCAAAATAATCTTTCATAAATCATAAATCACAAGCCAATAAATCGACAAACTTGATGAAAAAATCAATAATTCTTCCATCTGCTAAAATGAGACCTACAAGTGCATACAGAAACCAACTTTTTAAAAAGTAGCTCCGCTCAACCCCATGAACTCAGTACAGACGAAAGCCTAAACCACGCCATCGGCGGCCCATGAAGATAACTGCAGGTAAAATCTCTTTCTTTTACGCTGTATCATATCCACACCACATGAGCTCATTCATGACTAGTGAAAACCGAAGCCCTTTCCGATATGTGTGACTACTCTATATGCCGAATGTGAAAATAAAACCTCAGGATTCATCATGTTTGCTTACATCTAGGTATCAATCATGATTATTTATTGAGGCGAAAACCCGTGCAACTGACAATTTTGAATGTATGTGCTGTGTGAACGTAAAAACGCCAACCTTTTCTCCGATGTATTAAAATTCTCCCCCAACCCGGACCGAGCAAAATGTGTTTGATTGTGCCTGAAATCTTAATGCTGTGACGGTGAAGTACACATAGCAGGTTGAATGAGGAAATTTAGTAGTATGGCTTTTGATTTCATTGAATAGAATCTCCAATAGCCAACATGCTGCTGTTTGAGATATCCAACGTCGTAGCATTTGATCTCTAGATGAATTCTCCAGTCTCAAATTGACACAAAAGATGCTCAATTTCGGGCCACTCCAATTGAAAATCAAACTTTTCCATACGATTTCTCTGCATATCAGCATGAAATTCAAATTCAAGGCTGAATTGATGCTGGAATTCATAAAATACTGTTGTGCGATCTTCTGTATGGGGAAAACAATCAAATGAATCGTCATCGGAAAGTAAATCTTTGATAAGTCTAAATAGAAATTCCTTAATATCACGTACGTACTCGTGATTTGTTGTGAAACAAGCCTGGAGGCATCGATCGACAGCTTGCATCATATGGTCGCTAGGACGGAATTTGATGGTGCATATAACTGTGCTGTCCGGGTTGGTGCGACTTGCATTACTTCCATTACTAGTTAAGGCAGACTTGAAGATAAAATAACTACCGGCCTTCTTAGTAGCTTCAGATGCATCTTGTCCTTCAAGAGTATGTAGAAGGTTGTTTCGCCGAGCCCATGCTGTAAGAAGTTGTGGAAATGGTCCGTTGCGACAGTACATCGCGAAAACCTTTTGGCGATAGGCGTAAGGTGATCTCTTAAATGTAGCCGCCATTGAAGGAAGAATATTGAGAGTGCCGTCGTAGTATATTTGATATGCAGTAGGATAATTAACGGTAGGTGTCTCGGAGTTATCCACACACTCCTGGCAGACTTCAGCATGGGCAAGACTCCCCGCTAGGAGACACGCAACCGAGCAATACGTGACACCACTATTGGGACCACAGCCATTACAAAGGACCATTGGACTGTCTGTAGTTGCATAATAATTCCTAGTACAGTAAGTGCAATCGAATGGGATCTGAGCTAAACTTGGTTCCAAATGTCTATAAGGACCTACATGGAGAATGCTACTGGTTGATAGTTTTTGACGACTCCAACCATTAGAGAACTCTAAAAGAATGTTTTCCGCGAGATCAAAACTATCCACACTTGTCTTCTGAGTGTATGTCTGATTTCCTACCGAAGTAGATACCGCGAAGTTCAGATTCGGAGAATTCAAACCCATGAAAGAAGGATGGAAGCCACGAGGCTGAGGACCATGAATAGTCATAGTTGAACTAATAATTGAACTGGGTTTACTGATAGAAGTTAAGGTAGCTTCCTTAGGTGGCTGAGATGCTTCGTTAACAGTACCAACCTCTAAAGAGCATGAATCTGAAACTTGAAGGACATTGCTAACAATGGTATCCAGTGATGCAACGTCAGAAACCTGTTTGGTACGGACTATAGGAATTTTGAAAACAGTGTTATCTTTAGATATACTGTCAATGGCAGACAAGGCGTCAAGTTGAATGGTGTTGTCAACGGCAGAATCCATAGACGTACTTTCAGCAGGAGATAAGTGACGGGCTGCAATAGCATTGCCAACCAGTAATGCCTCAGACTTCATACTAGCAACAAACATCTTATCAACAGGTATCTTATCAAGAGATATCTCAGTAACAGACGTGCGCCTCTCAATGAACGGAACAGAACCGGATTTTGGTGGCTTTAGTTCATCATCGCCATTTAGTTCATCATCACTAATTGTAGTGAAAACAGCCAACATTTTTGGGGCAGCAGAAGAGCTTCGGTATTGTCTTCGCCGACTTGGAGCATCAAGGAAATCCCCTAAATAGATTGGTGCGTCATACTTCAAAGTCATTCCACGCTGGGGTGGAGAATTTTCAAGAAGTCTTGTTGCAATATCTTTGGCTTTGTATTTGGTACTGACTGTGCTAAGTAAATCAGTATCCTTGGCACTTTCATTGATAACCTTTTTCACTGTGATTTCATCGGCTAAAGTCCAACTGAGATCAATATTTTCGCGAGAATTGGTAGCGTCAGAGGTGTCCTCAGCATCCACTTCCATAGATATGAAAGCGTGTTCTGTCGAAGGTATGGGGAGCAATACCACTGCTGCATTCTGAGCCGCTGGATTTGTTAGATTAGGGTCAACGTTAGCTCCGATATCAGCCGGAAGGTCCGTCTTCGATACAGCGAGTTGTTCAGCTACGACTGTAGGCTCTAGCTTTGCCCAAACCTCGGGGCCCGTTTTTGGCATAGCCCGTTGTTCCATCATTGTTGTTTGTTCTACCCTAGTCGTAGCAAACTTTTGTTGTGCATTGTTTTTCAGAGGAGGAGAGATTGCTGGGAAATGTTCGAAGCTCTTGATCTCTAACTTTTGGCCAGGTTCTGTGATAGTGGTAGCAATTTGACCTGATGCTTTGGTGGACATTCCTTCCTTTCTTTTTTCAATGTTCTGGTTCGGTCGAGCTTTGACAGCAACAGGATTATCGTGCTTATATGGCTTAGGATAATCAACTGGCCGAGACTGATGGGCAGCTCGTGGTCTTTTCTTAATAGGCCTGGGTTTCACGACTTCCCAGCTGATGTTATCGTCAACCACTGGATTTGTAGAGTCGTCGAAATGGTAATTTAAGTGATCATGTGCAATGGAATGAGAGGACTTTTCCGTAATCTTAGCAGTTGGTTGCGTAGTTTCTGACGCTGTAGACTCGAGGTCTTCTTCTTGCCTAGCAACCTTTTTTGCGTTGCCTTTTCCCTTCGTCTTCTTCTTCTTCTTTTTCTTCTTCGGAGCTGTCTCATTGCTTGTTACCAAATCTTCTGGAATCGATGGCGATGAAATTGAACGAGGTCCATTATCAGAGGTAATTGTTCCAGGGACGACAGTCTCATCGGTAGGCTCACGAAGTCCTTCATTAGAGGTGATGTTTTCAATGTGGGTAGATTCCTTGACAGGCCCATCTAAGGTTGGAATCGTACGAATATGTGTAATTGACCAGGTTTGTGACCCCATTATCGAATCTAGTCCGTGGATGTCCATATTGTGAACAAAATCCTGGAAAGCAATTCTCTCCGCAGCTTTTCCTGCTTCCTCGTTGTTCTTTTCCATGGTATTGAGTTTATCGATGAAGTTATCATATTCTCGGGAACGTCGAACCTCTGTACCATGAACTGTAGCAACTGTGAAGCTCGACTTTTCGAGGTGCTTGTCCTTCTCTACACGAACTAGCGCGTCTTCTATCTCGTTGAATTTTATGACTTCCACTAAGAACAAATTCAGAATTTCTTTTGCTTTGAGATCATCAAGCTTATCTGAATTCTTGCGTCCTCCATACAAGTTGCGGTTCAGATTGTGTCCATATGTATCCATATCAATGGATGTGATGTGGAAGGAACTTGATGCGGAGCCTTTTCCATCCGCCAGTGTATCTCGCTCCGTAAGATGGGCGTAATATGCCGCATCTTTAACCTCCCTACCGGAGTAAAAGTCATCTGCTAGAGCCCGGAGCTCGTATGAATTTGGTTTGATTCCGCTCTTGGTAAAAATAGTTTCTGATTGTTGTCAATACATATGCAATTAAAGAGGGTTCAGACTCACCATTCAAGATTTCCCAAGCCACTCTATCCCTGGTTTCACTATTCGATGGCTTATACCAGTTTCCTGACTGTGCGCTGATCTGGTATGGAACTGGAGGAGGGGCACGTACGCCCAATCTAATTGCCCGAGAGAATATCGCTGGATTCCAACCCTTGTCAACTATTAGCTGAAGATTGAGCACTTAGAGAAACGTTGATGGCATACCCAATAAAAACATTTATGGCTTCCCGATGTGATCATAACTTCAGCCATTTTGTCCTGCGAAGTGAGCAACGAAAGGAGACCGTTCTTTCCTGCTACCGGAGGTGGTCCAAAATTCTGATATTTCTGAAGAATGCGATCGCTGGGATCGAAATGAATAAGTCGTCCCACTAGATCTCCTACTAGCTCTATATTATCAATATTTCGAAGGTTTATAAGCTGGAAGGTACCAGGAGTTTTAGCTAGGTGGAATATGCTGGCTATTTTTGCTGCTGTCGTGGTATTATCTATGGATGAAAGCTCCTGCCCATCTTGGCTGAGGAAATAGGTTAGCCTTCGTTGGTAAGAGCGAATTCCATAGCCTGTAAAAGGACGAGTGTGAAAGAATTGGAAAAAGGGGATGAAGGTGATCTTGACTTACTCTTCTACTTGCTTTACGATCTCTTCAACTGAACCAGAATGATCAGTAGACGCTTTTGGAGATTTGCTTCTGTGCTTCAAAGTACTGGAATCAGTCGAATTGCTCAAGATCTCGAGGTTTTTGGCGGTTAAAGGAGTTGAGGTTGGATTTGGAAAATCTTTGGAGTTGGAATTGACCAATTCGTTCCGTGGTACAATTAAATTTTTCGGAAGGTTATTAGTTTTAGGAAACTCGATACCAGGCTCTTCTGGTGTTGATAAATGAGTGCACTACTGACTTGTTAGAAGATGAGGAGAATGATGAGGATACATTTCGTGGATTGTGGACTAAGCAAGAATATCTTTAAATTTATTGGACCAAGGATATCTTTTAGTCTATTCAAACCATTGACCGAGCCACCAGTATAGGGAAGGAAAATAAACAATCTTACCATCATATCTGGATCTATCAATGATTCATTCACCGAGACTGGAGATTTAAGTTGCAGAAATTCAACATTTGTAGGTGGAGTTTGAACATTTATGGAAGAGGGACAAAAAGTATAATGTAGAAGGAAGATAGAGGATGAAATATATGAATATCAATACCCTCGCTTCGAAATGAATTGCCTATACTGGAAAAATAGTCTTTCCGGCCCGAAGGGGTATAACACTGTTTTTATATAATACTGTTCATTACATTAAAACTTTTGATATAAACAGACAAACTTTAATAGTTAAAGAATGAAGTCCAATCAATATTCCATTCTTTGTATACTCCTCGTACTGATTCACAAACCTGTCATTCCCTTCATTCAACTACTTTTATGGTATTTTATAAAGTGATATGTGTTTATACCCCATTTCTCCTTTATGTAACAAGCACTATTTTAACATTCTTGGATTCTAAGGTAAGATAGGAAAGACAGATTCCAGTTGTAACAATATAAAATACTAAGGAAGATGAGTGTGAAGTGATAAAACAAACATTCTGATATCAATTCTCTTCATATGTTAACTTTTGAATATGAAGTCTGATATCCAGATCACTATTAAGGATTCATACGCAGTCACATTTGGCTGATGCTAACAATGAGAAACTCTGTACATAATAATAATTTTATGGCAACTGCCAATCAAGCTAGCCCATTGCGCCTGATCAAATAGGAGAAGTAGTGATTTTGGAGGAAATAAATATGAATCGGGGAAAACATAACAAAATTTATATTATTTCGGAATCAAAATGTTTTCTAGTACTTACTTAGGTATCTCCACAAAATACACATACCATAATCTTTACAGCAAGCACTTGTGGAGCAAACAGATACCGCAGCCTCCATCTATCATGAAGATCATGAAGCTTTATACATGGTAAAATGCATACGGAATTGGAATTGAGTATAGAAGATAGAGCAGTTGCCGCATTCTAATGACCAGATACTATTGTTCAGATGGTTATGATTCCTTTTCAATGAATTACCATCTACTGTCAATACCTACGGATCCAAGTTTAGGTCACCTTTCTCCTCCTCTGTCTACTCCTACCCCTTGTATTTGTGATGTGTAGATGTGGTTTCCACCATGGCCCATTACATAACTGAAGGCAACTGCAATCACATCTCAAGCCCCCGAGTCCCTCTTACTCAATGCGCTCGAAATGGTTGAAGATATACAGGATTATCTACTCGACGGCAGTGGTTTCGAGAGCCTGCGGAACATAATTTACAAACTTGTTCCGATGGAGGTAACCCTTCAGGGTCCCCATAGTAGGCTGCATTTGGAACGATGATCGGTAGAATGTGAAAGTTGCATTTCTTTTACATGGCGTGAATAATTTGATGAAATGACATGAAGCCAGTTTTAAGTGAGACGAGGTGAAGTGATGTTCGAACCTTACCAAATCCCAACGAATCTTTTACGTAAGCAATCATGTGATTCACAATCGATTTTAAGTCTTGCACGCTAGACTAAATGCAGATCCCCAATTTTTTTATAATTAGCAAGGCAAGTGCATTATTCTATCCTGCATGATTTTGTTTGTTCCTCAATTTCTCAAAAATTCAACAATCCATCCATCAATTATCACAGGAGTTCTCAAAGACACAAACTTTATTTTCTTTTGATTTGCTTTTGTGCATTTCATCAATATAGAATCTTTTTCTGCAACATATTCTGATCATTGAAAAATCACCGCATTTCCTCATTCCTAAACCCTGGGAATCAAAGCAACAATGGCCGATCCGCAACCTAGTATCACATCCATCCTGGCTGCTTTAGGTATTTCTTTCCTACTGCTATTGATCATAGAATCCTGAAACTAACTTCCTTTCAGCAGCGCAGCGACCTAATGCGACCCCTCCGCAAAATCAGCAGCCTGCATACCAGCCTCCCCCTCAACAACAGTCAAATCCTTATGGACAACCTGGTGGATACTCTTTACCTCAACCTACAAACTCGGGCAGTGTTGATCTCAGCAATATCAAACCAGTAAACTCTGGAACTGTTAGTATTCAAGATGCTATCGCAAAAGCAAAGGTGATTGCTGCTGAGAAGGGCGTCTCCTACGACAGAGCTCCATCTTATGGTGGACAGCACCAGCCCATGCCTTCCGGTAGACCATACAGTCCACGATCAAGATCCAGATCTCCACAGCCAACACGTCGCGATGCATTCCGTGATAATTTCAACCCATATCGTGATGAAAGACGAGGCCCACCTGGAAGAGATTATCGCGAACGTTCATTTTCTCCCGGCGTACGAGGTAGAGGTCCTACTGATGCTTTCCAACCTCCGCATGGGGGCTCAAGTGGCTATGTTCGTGAGCGCTCTCCAATACGCGGTGGAGAGGATAACGTCGAATCAATCTCGATTGAATCGAATCTTGTAGGATTGATCATTGGCAGACAAGGCGAGAACTTGAGAAGAGTGGAGTCGGAAACCGGCTGCAGAGTACAATTCATTACTGGTCCTGATGAAACAGGTCCTTTCAGAACTTGCAAAATCACTGGTCCTCGTGCTCGTAGAGCCGATGCTAAGGCTGAGATTACTCGTATCATCGATGATAGTGGTTTGGGCCCGCTTTCAGACCGAGCCCCAAGGCAAGATAATAACACCAGAGATTCATCACACCAACCAGCATTGAGAGATGGCGAGGATAGTATGCAAATCATGGTTCCGGATAGAACAGTTGGTCTTATTATTGGTCGTGGTGGAGAGACGATCAGGGATCTTCAAGAGCGAAGTGGATGCCATGTCAATATCGTTGGTGAGCAGAAGAGTGTTAATGGGCTTCGACCTGTCAACCTCATAGGTACTCGAGAGGCTGCCGCCATGGCCAAAGACCTAATCATGGAAATTGTGGAAAGCGATAGTAAGAGTGCACCAAAAGAACGCGCGCCCGCTCCAAGAGAGAACAACCGTGATACGGGCTACGGTGGTGGTTATGGTAGCGGCGGCGGTGGTCAAGGAGATAAGATCAATGATTCTATCTTCGTACCTTCCGAGGCTGTAGGCATGATTATCGGGAAAGGTGGAGAAACGATTAAAGACATGCAAAATACGACTGGTTGCAAGATCAACGTTACCCAGTCTTCAGGACCAGGTGAGGTTGAACGTGAAATTGGTCTTGTAGGTTCCCAACAAGCTATAGCAGCTGCCAAACGAGCCATCGAGGACAAAGTTGAGGCTGTAGTAAGTAAATCATGCTCTATTATCACAACATTTCTAACATCAAGTAGCAACAGAAGAATAATGGTGGTGGCGGTGGAGGTGGTCATCGTAACAATCGTGGACACCAGAATCAACAGAATGATTATGGAGACCGTGGATATTCTCAACAATCATACTCCCAGCCACAAGGACAACAAGGACAACAAGGACAACAAGCACCTCCAGTCGGTGCTGAAGACCCTTATGCAGCTTGTAAGTTTCAATTCTGGTTAGTTTGGAATTTCACTGATTAATTTAGATGGTGGATATGCCAATTATGCCCAACTTTGGTATCAGGCATTGGCCGCGCAAGGTCAAAGTGATACAACCAAACCGCCAGGAACTTCGTAACTTTACGACAGTGATTATCAGCCGTAGGATGACTCCGACATTTGATTTTGCATGATTCGCATGACTTGCATGACATACGCTGAGACCATGACTTTCGATTCATTTTTCGTCGATATAGTATGCCTGCATTGCACATGATGACGATGACCGAAAATATTCGTACTTTTTCATTACTGGCCTGACATTGGTATACTATCTTCACTGAGTTGATTACGCAGCCCAGGATACTCTAACCTATGGATACACGATATTAGTATGCATTACTATTTTTACGATTCTTGAACATGCTTTTTATCAAACCATCCGGAGCAGAAAACTAAAAAGAGATAATATCGAAGAACCAGATCTTATCTATTAGTAGATGATGACCACATGGCGTATTATCTACTTTGATTTGTGCATTGCAATTGACCTGACAATCTACTTCTGCTTGACACCCATGATTTGGGCTTTCGGTACTGGATTTGATCTGCTTGCAATATTGATATTCATGCATGAACGTCTCTTCAATGGCTCTTATTTTCCATTAATTCTCTGGTCAGCATAATCACGTACTTGTCAATGGAATCTCGATGTTCAATTTCTTGATGAGATGTGATGCTTACACGGGCAAAATTGGTTTGGTTGGTGAGCATGATTTGGTCTGGACATATTTCAACATGGTGCTGCTTGCATGCATGATTTGAATGCAACTGATGATTTACTTGCTTTGCTGAGTAATTTTGAATTTTGGCTTTTGCTTTTGCTATTGCTTGCTTGCTCGACTATTTAATCGAGTTTCTGTTTCGTTTTTCTTACTTCCGCGCGACGAATGGATGGATGGCACTTACCTCGAAGGTATAGTTGATTTGGTTTTTATGTGTTGGATGGACGGTGGAGATACTACTAAAAAAAATCCATGGACGGAATGGAGTGGTGGAATGGAGGATGGATGGCTTTGGAAGCTGATGAATGTAAGATAGTAATAAAAAAAATTGGTATATTGTGTTCTAAGGAGTGTCTGTCTATTCCTGTAATTCTTTTAGGTATAGTATGCTCAGTGTATCTTTGCATAGTATTCTGAATTTCATCGGCTTTGCACAAGCTGGATGGGATCTTGGATTGGGAGATTGGGAGATATGTGATAAATTGTTCGTCTCGCCTAGGAAAATAATTTAGCTTCTCTTCGAGCTTCATTCATTCATTCCATTGTTCTTCTCTCCAGCTGCCCCCCTTATTTCTAATTACTCCGTCACAGTATCCTGTACATGTCTACCACCCATCCACTACACCATACCGCGCCGCGAAGTAAGTGTTCTGTATACTTCAATCCGGATTTATATATCCTATACTATACTATTTTCTTTTCCCCCGAAGAAGTCAATTCAAGTCAAGTCATATCACGTCACGTACCCCGAACTCAACCTCCCACTATCCCCTTCTCCAAAATTCGATTCTACCTATCGTGGTCTTAGCCCGCAACGTTAAATCTCCTATATAATCCTACTAGGTAAGATTTCATTGATTATACTTTTCCATCCTATCTTATCCAACTAAGATCTTACTATGTGTAATAAAGACCTTATATAAAATCGTCACATCCACTCTGTCGTACCTAGATAGTATTTCCAATGAGTTTCTCTGGCCCTTTGCTTAAGCTTCTTCTTCTTCAGGAATATTCACTGCCGGAAACTCGTCTTGTCTGATAACTATTGTTTTGGGGAATGCTGGATATATATGCCTGTCGTCTTAGAGTTCTTGTATTTATTATACTATTGATGAGTAAGAATTGGGATTTGATAATTGATAGTTGATAAAGAATGACTGGTGGTAAATCGTAAATCGTTATATAATCTTTAACTCCGCGTTTAAAATCTCATAGTAGGGGATTTCTGCTATTCGGGGTAGTATTTGGGCGATGAGTGGTGGTGCGTTTGGGGTGTTCTGGGGTTGGGGTTGTGTTGAGGATGATGTGGATGAAGATGAAGGAGTAGGTAGAGATGAGTATGAGGATGATGGAAGTGGAGGCGGAGGCGGAGGCGGAGATGTGGGTGTACACTCTTTGATTGTAAAAGAGCCGGATTTGGAGGTGTATTTTTTGGTATATTTTTGGGTGTCAGGGCAGGAGCTGCTTGAGGAGGGAATGTAGTGCAAGCGGCCTGATGAGAACTGTGGGTTTGTGTTTGTATTTGTGTTTCTGTTTGTGTCTGGCTGGTTGATATCGAGGGATGAAGAAAGTGGTGTATTGTATCTCCACAACAGGAACGCTTCCTCCCCTCCTTCACCTCCGTCTTTCTCTTCCACTCCTGAACCCTCAACTTTCTCTTCCACTACTTCCTTAAGATCCTCTAGCTTCAAATTTCCCCATTTCTCACCAGAACCTTCTAGCGAGACATAGATTTCATATATACGCATTCCACTTTCCGAAGTCGTATGAGTAATTTCGAATTTCGTTTCTGCATTCTCATTATCACCATCATCCTCCTCCTCCTTTTCTTGCAAGGAACAATTGGCAAAAATAACCGGTATGTATGTTCCTCCTACTACCTCTTCATTTTCTCCATCTTCTCCATTTTTCCTGATGTATTCTACGTCTTCAATACAGAATAATAGTTGTTCGTACTTTTTTCCGTTGTGCTGTCCATTGAGCTCATCATTGCCAGTCTCTTTCTCGTACTCCCAGGATATGTATCTCCAAGAAGCGGTGGAGATAGTTCCTGGATTGGTAAAGCGGAAAGAATCACAGTCGATTGGGAAAAGGTTTTGTAGGAGAGTGCGAGAGGTGGTGAAGGTTAGTGTTGCTGTTGTTTTTGTGACTGTAGGGGTGAAGATGAGATTTGGATTGGTTTTAGGTATGTTTTGAGAGCTGGGTAATGCGGATGTGTAATTATGAGGGGGCTTGAGGATGGGTAAAGGCCCTATTGCGGTGTATGGTTAGAAATGATATTGAAGATGGGATAGGACGTACCGAAACTAGCAGGTATCAAATAGTAAGTAGAAAGATGAGGATTACGTTTCCACATCCATTTTCTCAATTCGTGAGTCGAATTATCCCATTCGTCGTGTTGGAGGTTGTGGTTTACGAACTGAAGCACTAGATTAGGGTGACTGTGTTAGTATATTTGTAAGTATACCCGAGTACCAAGTATATTATCTTCTGCTCTTCTCTCTTCATATTCTTCCATTTTTGATATGAGGGTGAGGCGAGAAACAATGAAAAGATGAGAACATAAAGAAGAATAAATCTCACTATCAACAACAACATCATTACCCTCCCCAGCATCCCTTCCTAACACCCTTGAAAATTCTTGAATTCGATGTGCCCTTCCCATTCTAATCTTTTCGTACAATTTCAACCTCTCTTGGATCTCCTCTTCCTTAACATCCCTCGGAAAAACAACAGCCAGTGCAGCCGCATCTTCAATAGCACTACCAGCGCCTTGAGCTTGATGTGGTAAATATGGATGAGCTGCATCACCTAGGAGAACGAGACTTTCCTTGGCAAAATTAGGCAGGGGATACATATCAAGGAGACGCCAAACTTTAAGACTGCCCGTGGTGTTTTCATCGGGAGAGATAGGCGAACGTGCCATCTTTAACAACTCTAACATATCTTCATCCCAACCCTCATAAATCTTCAATAGATTCTCTACATTACCACCTTTACCCCACCCCTCCGCATTTTTTTCAGATCCAGATAATGTGTTAGGATGTACACATACGAAATTAAGCAAGGAGTTAGAAGATGTCGGATATACGATTACGCGACGATCGGTACCGAACCACATGATTAGTTCACCTTCTTTTTGCATGTATTTTGCGGTTTTGGGATTGGAGAGGACGGAGGATCGGGTGAGGAGGAAGCGGTAGGCGCTTTTACCGCTTGGGAATGGTTTTGTTGGAGAGGAGGAGGTTTGGACGAAGGATCGAGTTAGACTGTGGACGCCGTCTGCGCCAATTATTAGATCCCCGGTGCGGGATGTGCCGTTTGAGAAATAGAGGGTAGAGGTGACGGGGTCGAGGTTAGTAACTTTGTAGGATGTGAGGAGGGTGATGGGAGGATTCGAGGGAGATGGTGTGAGAGCTTCGGCTTTGAGATGGGAATGAAGTTGCACGCGGTGAGCTAAGAGCCAAGGCTAATTGGTTTGTTTAGTTTGGGCTTTGTGATAAGTTGAAGGGAAGGAGAAAGTACATGGTGCCATTTTTTATCTATGTCGGTTAGATCCATACTTCGTTTCAACGATCCCGTCGATGTATATTGTGTCATCTGGTTGGAAGATTGGCTGTTAGTGATTCGCCTGCAGACATGTATACAAGCCTTGAAATCAAAGCGGGAGAGATGAATCAGAGCATCGAATAAGTGGCACTCCCTCATATACATACCCAATTGAATGGATTCGCACCACTCTCCTCCAGGAAAATGTTCAATCGTCTCAGGATTCCATTAGCATTCGGTTGAATATGTATTGCAGCGCCATATTCGGAAGCAAACTGAGATTGTTCAAATATCTACATCCTTGTGAGCTTGGGAATCAGCAGTCAAGTCTGCCTTCCAACAAAAGCTGGAAGAAAGTATGGATAGTGGGCATGGGACAAACAAACAGTTATTTCATGACCTTGTTCTCTCAAAGCAATTGCAGCAGTTAGACCACCGATGCCGGCGCCTACGATCAAGATTTTGAGAGGCATGGTGGGTGTTTGGTAACAAGATAACAAAGAATGATATATTTTTCTTCAGTATTGTATATTGAAATGAAAAATTCGATCAAACTTCGAGGTATTAAGAGTTAATGAAGGGTAGATGTCGTTCTTGTGACGTCGCACCTCTGACTCCCAATGACAAGTGGCGAGAACAGCGATTCAGCTGAATGAGGGGTTCGGCATACCTCACATGCTGTGGATGTGTAACCTCAACGACTCGACATTTATGTGCTCGGACTTCATCTCAGTATTACATACGAAGGATAAGACCTCTTCTGATATCTTTTTGATGAATGATTGATCCTGGAATCAGTTTTACAACACCTGACAGTTACAATGTTTTCCTTATTGATCGTTAGTTATAGATCTAATAATCTGGACAATACGCAAATGAGTGAGCAGTCAATTGAGTGACCAAGTCTAGTATCCTCGGACCCTTTGAAGATTCGGAATGGTTCAACCTCATGTATAGTAAGCTCAAGAGTAGAAAGCCACTCACTACGGGAGAGTGGTGATTTTTTGAATCGCTTTTCCGGCTCATTCCCATGTCGGAACAACTTGGATTAATCTAGAATTCACGTGCAATCCAATGTTTCATTTAGATGATCAAACCAGAGCGGAATGCAAAGAAGGGCTCTTCACTACAAGTAGCCTTTGCATGAAGCACTTCCTGACTTCGCTTCTTTTTTATGATGCAATCTTGATTGTAGATGAGAACAGATACCTTTTCATCTGACGGAGCATATGAGAGATATTGTTGAAGACCACTAGGAATTTTGAATGTACTCTACAAGCCTTCATTGTTTATTTCATGAAGAGTGCCTATATTAAGATCTAAATCCGCTGGTTATTGTTGATGCACGTGTTCCTGCTAAATGGTAAAGTCAGGATGGAAAAGTCTTTCCCTCCCCCCTGGTCAAGCCTCGACGGAAGATGAAGGGGTACCAAAAATGACAGAAAGTCCTTTTGCCGTATTTGAAATGCAATGAAGCCCAACATGAACCTTTTGATCTAGAGACATGATGATTATTGATATAGTGTACAGACTTTTGGATCATTTACTATACACGATGAATTGTTCATCATTAGCGCTTGTGTTGTTGTTCTTGAGACTCTGTAAATCCAATTATTCAACAGATCTAGTGGGGCATCGCAGACTTCTACCCCCCCAAACTAATGCTGAGTAGGTCAAAAACCCCTCATGGACCTTGTTCACTCCACTTTCTCTCATCTCTAATTCCTGCAAGCCCTGCAAGCCCTGCAAGTCGTCCTGCAAGTCGTCCTGCAAGTCGTCCTGCAAGTCCTCCAAGTCCTCCAAGTCCTCCAACTCTCCGATTCTTAAAAAACTGGAATGAGTGGGACTCAGTGGAGTAGCTTTTGATAACGCTTGGAGGGGTCCGTCCCGCATGAACTCAGGCCTACAGTCTGCTCGCTCTTGTTTTCGTATCTAAATCTCATACTAATAAATGTGACAAGGCACTGACTGGCTGACTGATACGTTTTTGAAGGTTGCCAAATTATACTGTACTTCGTGTCGAATCTATATGTAGGAAAATAAGATATATCATTTTTTCTTCGAACCGCCCATCCAACAGGGACACAATAACCTCGAGGCTTCCAAGTTGTTGGCGCTCCCTCAGTTACAAGTACTAGGTAGACGGTCCGTCACGGACGACGCCAACTCTGAGACGGATCCCATCCCATCCCATCCCATCATGTATTTCCAACAGATACGTCACTCCAGATAGCTGCTCCGCTACAGCAATCAATCCAAGCCATTTATCATTTATCCCCCTCCACCCTTGTTTATTTTCATTCTCACCCACCAAAAACCAACGCGTCTAGAACGAGGAAACCTAGAAAAACTTCTTCGTGCTTCTTAGTATGTTAATGATAGTTAATAATAGCCTCTCACATCGTCGATGGCCTGCAGAATAATAATAACCTTGGTTTTACCCTACATACTTACTCGTGTAAAGGAAGAAAAGATCGAGTCGAATTTTCCTATCTTTGTTTGCATAACATAGCTACCTATCTGATTAGCACGCACATCCTTTCGCTCCCAGCCGAGAAGCTTAATACCCATTTCATTCTTTAGCTTCTTCAACCCTTCCGTTCCTTGACTTTTCCCATATGAGCCCGCACTAATCATTTAACTTTTCTTAACATCTTCCCATAAGAAGAACTTGATTTTAATCAATATCAAATCAACAACAGTCTTCGCAAACTGGTTGATAGAGATCGCGCTCTTTGCCAGTCGAGTGAAACCATATCAGTGATCGACGCTGTCAACATTTACCCCACCATAACCTCACAATGGTACAAATTGATTCCCATGAATATCTGTCTGAAGAAGAGAAACGTTTGAAGGAAGATCGTGAGAGGAAGAAGTACTGGAAGAAATGGGGTCCTTATGTTGCTGAGAGACAATGGGCTACAGGTACTTGTTCTCAACAAACTGTTTGTGAGCTTATCAATGCTAATATTTACCAACAGTGCGAGAGGACTACAGTGCCGACGGTGATGCGTGGAGTCGTGAGTTTCACTTCTAGATAGCACTTTATACACTTCTAACGATTGGCAGATTTCCCTCATGAACATGCGAGATCCAGAGCTTTTAGATGGGGAGAGGATGGTATTGCCGGAGTCTCGGATACACATGGTTTTCAGAATATTGCTTTTGCTTTCTGGAACGAGGAGGAGTATGTTGTATTGCTATTTGATAACATACGCTCAGGAACTGATTTGTATACAGTGACTTTTTAAAGGAACGTCTCTTCGGATTGTCGAACCCTCAAGGAAATCATGGAGAGAGTATTAAGGAGGCACATTTCCACGTTGATAATACTCCAACGGTTAGTCGAATAATCAACACTTTACATGAAGAGAAAACTGACAAAGTCATTTAGCATTCCTACATGAAATATTTGTACAAATACCCCCAAAAGAAATTTCCATACGAAGATTTGATCAAAGAGAACGCCAGAAGAGGCAAGGAGGAAAAAGAATATCAAATTCTCGATACCGGCATTTTCGACGACGACCGATATTGGGATATCTATATTGAAACTGCGAAAGATGAAGATGATCCAGATGAGCTTCTTTTCCGAGTCACAGCATGGAATCGAGGCCCTGAGCCAGCGCCACTACATATCATTCCTCACCTCTGGTTTAGAAATACTTGGGCTTGGGGTCATGAAGCCGAAGACAAGAAGCCAAAAATCAACAAAGTTGGAGAGAATGTTGCCCACGCTCGTCATCATAAGCTAGGCGAACGATACATGATCTTGTCTCCTTCCCCTGGTGTTGGACCCAGTGGCGTTGATGTTCAACCTGAATTGATCTTCACCGAGAACGACACAAACAATGTTCTTCTTTACAAAGGGAAGAATGCTCAACCATATGTCAAGGACGCATTCCATCGTTATATCGTAGACCGAGAGAAGAAGGCAGTTAATCCCAAGGAAAATGGAACCAAATCTGCAGCTTGGTATAGTTTCAATGAAGGTGGCGGAGTGGCACCAGGAGAGTGTGCAGTGGTCAGATTCAGAATGTCCCAAAAGTACTCTGACTACTTGGATGAAGAAGAATTCGATAATACTATGGACAAACGAAAGGATGAAGCTGACGAGTTCTTTTACCGAATCAGTCCTTTACCAATGGCTGATGATCTTCGAAACATTCAAAGACAGGCTTTTGCTGGTATGATGTGGTGTAAACAATTCTACCACTTCATTTGGGAGCAGTGGGCGAATGGTGATCCAGCTCAACCTCCACCTCCACCAGATCGTAAAGCTGTCCGAAACTTAAATTGGAAACATATGTATCTGGATGATATTTTATCCATGCCAGATTCCTGGGAGTATCCTTTCTTCGCAGCATGGGATTCAGCTTTCCACTGTATTCCACTTGCCATGATTGATCCGGATTTCGCTAAGAAGCAATTGGATCTTTTCACAAGAGAATGGTACATGCATCCTAATGGACAACTTCCTGCCTATGAATGGAATTTTGGAGATGTTAATCCACCTGTTCATGCTTGGGCTACTTTCCGTACATTCAAGATTGAGAGAAAATTATATGGACGTCAAGATCTCGATTTCCTTGAACGAGTTTTCCAAAAATTACTTCTCAATTTCACTTGGTGGGTTAACCGCAAGGATTTTGATGGAAAGAATGTATTTGAAGGTGGTTTCCTTGGCTTGGATAACATTGGTCTTTTCAATCGTTCTGAGCCATTGCCAACTGGAGGTACTTTGGAACAAGCAGATAGTACGGGTTGGATGGCCTTTTACTGTCTGTGTATGTTGAACATCTCATTGGAATTGGCTAAGCATCGTCGGATCTACGAAGATATCGCCTCTAAATTCTTCGAGCATTTCATGCTTATTAGTGATGCCATGACTTACAAGTCTGGTTCGGCAGAAAAATCTCTATGGAACGATGACGATGGCTTTTACTATGATGCTATCTCGTATGGTGGACCATGGACTCAGCAACTACCTGTCAGATCTTTGGTAGGATTGATTCCATTATACGCTACCCTTACCTTGGAGCCAGAGCTCATCAACAAATTACCAAATTTCAAAAAGAGAGTCGATTGGTTTGTTGAGAATCGACATGATGTTGCTGAACGTAATATGGCTAGTATTCAGAAGAGAGGAAAGGGTAACAGAATCTTGTTATCACTTGTCAGCAAAGATCGTCTCGAGAAAATTCTAAAACGCATGTTGGATGAAGATGAGTTCCTTAGTGAACATGGTATTCGATCATTGTCAAAATTTCACGAGAAGAACCCAGTCTCCATGGACGTAAATGGACAAGAATTCAAGGTTCAATATGTACCTGGTGATTCAGACAGTGGTATGTTTGGTGGAAATAGTAATTGGAGAGGTCCAATTTGGCTTTGTGTCAACTTTTTACTTGTTGAGTCTCTACAACGTTTCTACATGTTCTATGGACCATCATTGCAAGTCGAATGTCCAACTGGATCAGGAGATATGATGCATCTTGGACATGTTTCTGAAGAGATCCAACATCGACTCCAACATCTTATGGCACGTGGTGATGATGGACGTCGTGCTATTAATGATGGTAATGATATTTTGGACTTTGATCCTAATTGGAAGGATAACCTATGGTTCTATGAATTCTTTGATGGAGATAGTGGGCGTGGTTTGGGTGCTACGCATCAATGTGGTTGGACTGGTTTAATCGCTAGGATGATTCACGATACCGGGTAAGCACTTTAACATCCAAAATTACGCCCATTTATAAATAAGTATTTACTAACATAACCCAGAATCTCCTGCCGTCTCCCACAAACACCTCGTACCCCCTCTACAGGAATGAACCACTACTTCGACGACATCTTCACACGTCACATCGCTGGCGCAAATGGCAAATCCCAAAAATCCCCTAGACCATATCATCTCCGTCGTACCTCCACTGCTAGATCCATTGGTGCCCGCTCAGATTTCGGTGATCATGATCATGAACATGATGAAGAAGAACAACGTGATCATGAAGGAAGTGTGGCTCCAATGGATGAACAGAGATTGAGAGAAAGGGAAGAAGCTGATAGACATGTGGCCAATTATATTAGTGAGCAGTTACATCGCGTTAGAAGTCATGATAGTGCGTGGGAAGACAGGGTCGGGGATGAGTTTGAGGCGCAATTGGATGAAAATTAGAGTTTGGCCGTAGGTGGTTGTGAAGAGAGGAGAGAAATGATAGATAGATAGATGATGATGGATGTTGTATGGAGTACATAAGATACAGCGGAGGATATATATAGGTACAGGTGCAGGCGCGGGAGGTACACGAGATACAGATAGATAAGAGCTAGAGCTAGAGCTAGAGCAGAGTAGAGTAGAGTTCAAAGAGACAAAAAATTTCAGGTAGATAGGTTTTAGATAGATGCTTGCATGGTATTCATATTCAGCGATTTTGAGTTGATGTTGATGTTGATATTGATAAAGCGAGTGAATGAACGAATGAACGAATGAATGAGCGTATTGAAATAACACATCAGATCTTATTCATTTTTCTTTGTTGTTGCATTATACCTAGGATAGATATATTATGTAACGAGCATCATGTGTTATGTTTATATAGGTACATCCATTATATATGTGTTTAAAAAGAGAAATAGATACTCGTATCTTCTAATGACATTTACTATATTTTTTTTATTTTTTTTGTGAAATGGATTTATTTACTAGGTATGTATGTATATGCACTTTTACCGTTCCTGCCGAGTATTAGCTCGCAGCTTCATGTATCAGTCATCTTGTCACCAAACATTATGTTCTAAACGTTCCATTTATTGCACTTCATTCCATTTCTATTCTTACTCATGTAGGTAGGTGGGTAAAGGTAGATAGATTAGGTGATTGTCGACTCGTTTCTACCACTCATCCCCCTGCTCTCATCCCCCATGTCACTCCCCTCTCCTCACTCACAGCTGAAAATAGCTCAAGGAAAACATCTCGTTTTCGTAAACTTTTGAAAATCGGCCGTCGTGAGAACATATTGTTTGTGATGGATTATTTACAAAGTATCAGTGAGTAGCTTGTTCATCTTGGCGATACGGCTAGAGACGCTGAGATCGATGGTTCGGTCGCCGATTTCGACGATGAGTCCACCGAGGACATCTGGGCTGACCTTTTGAGGTGTTAGTGATATTGCTGATAGTTTTGTGGTGAGGGGGAAGTATGTGGAAGGGATATGTCAAGAGTGCATGTGAATGGACTGGAAATGAGATTGGACATCGGATTAACGGATGTAACGGACCTTGTTGGTAACCTTAAGCTTCTTGCCTTGACCGACGTATTGGGATTTTGAGACAGCGGATTCGAGACGGTTGAGGGTTTTGGAATCTAATTGCTATTTGTTGGATGTTATGTTAGCTTGTTTCTTTCCACAAAAACATAATATCTCTTCAAATAACACCACTATGTCCCTTCTCCAAGTTCCCCTCCCAACCCTGAATACTCCAACGACAAAATTCCCAAGAAGAAAAGAAACATAAACCCACCGAAGCACTAGTAACGACCAACTCAATTTCCCCTCTAGCAGCACCCATCAACTCTCCAAACTTCTCACAAACACCCTTCAAAAGCGACAATCTATTGTTTTCCGCAAGTGTCTCCAAGAAGTTCTTAACGGTATCACCTTTATCCTGGCCACCAGTATGTTTCTGGAGCTCTTGAATAATTTGTGATTTATCCTGTACGGAGAGAGTGGGTGCTTGCATGATAGTTGCGAGCTTGGCATCTTTTTGGAAGATGGCGTGGAGAGATTGGAGGGAGCGGGCTACGCTGTCGAGGGTTGAGGTTTTTGCGGCTGCGGTGTACTATAGAAAGTGAGTGATTAGCTTTGTTTCTGGTTGTAGTTGACAATCCCGATGTGGATATAATCCCCTCCATCAATTACTCTCCCCTCGTCTTTGCCCATCCTCCTTCCCTCCACTTCCTTCCACTCGCTTTCCCTCCCAACCTTCCAACTCTTCTGTCCCAGCCCCGCGATCCCTTTCCACTCGACCATGAAAAAGCACACATACCAAAGCGCTAGCATAAGTACCATCAACACCATACAAAGCCACTGGAGGTTTGCTATCAACAGCAGGAGCCGCATAGTTTCGGACCACTTGGGTAAAGACCCTTGGGGTGGCGACCCTAGGAGCCCGGAGAAGAGTTCGACTCGAAATCATATTTGCGGATTTTATCGTCTCAATTGGTCCGTTTGTAGAGGGGAGATGGTAGGTGGTGAGAGAGCTTGATGACAGGATTGTGCAGAGGTGCCGGAAGTTTGGATTTTCGAGCCGATTGTAAGTCACGTGTATGTATTTTACTGAAGCGATTTTGCCCGAGGTTTTAGGATTATGCACTTTTAGGTAAGATGAGCGTAGTTGAAATGATTGTTTTTATTGTTTGGATGATATCAGTGAAACTTCAATTCTTTTGATATGCTTAAGTATCTATTTGGTACCTCAGTTTATGCCCAGATGGGAGAATAAGACTTTCCAATGCCTTCCGATATACTAGAATTCAAATCATGGAAGATAGACTAGAAAATACTTCAACGGGACGCTACTTCTCAATCACGAAAATCATTGAGATTAAAATATTTGACGATTGCTCGCTGGTAACCTATAAGTACACTCCCATCCCCAATGCCCTGCCTTTCCGGCCCAACCCACCAACCAACCGCCCTAGAAGTCCTTCCCCATTCCATGACTCCAAATTACCTAGGTATGCCCAAACGCCAATAGAATGAATACATGTATCATCGCCTCATCATTTGATCAGTCCTCTAATCAGTCCTAAGCATACTGTCGACCAGATCACCTAGAGGTCCCCAAAAGTCTTTACCGCTTGCAAGATCATGTTCATCAATGAAGAGAACATAATGCTTGAAGCTTGTGTTAAGATGAGCTTCTAACCCAAGCTCACGAATAACAGGGTAATGATGACAGTAGATATGAGCATAGACTCGATACATTCTCTTGAAGACTTGTTTAATCATAGTTGAGAATCCTTTTGGAAAAGGGACACCTATCTGACATTAGAAACTCATATTACGGAGTTAGAGAAGGAGTGTTAAAATGCATACCAATTCTGCTTGGGAAAACAGTTTCATTGTCAATACTAGCTTGAACCCAGGCCATTAAATGTTCAATATAAGTTGGTGCAGGCATCTTAGTCGGTCGTTTGAAATTCTCGTTATCTTGCCAGAGATATTCGAACCTGTAGAATATTAGTATTGCTTTCCATAATTCATATGTGATATCATACTCATCCGTAGCCTTCATTTCTGGACAAGATTGTGGTGAGCAGAACTCTGTGATCGAACCATAAAGGAGATTTATATGGTTGTAAAAATCCACCACTGTTGCATCATAAGCTCATGCCAACTTTTATACCATATAATTTCCTTACTGTTGACTGCAAGCCACTCATTCTCATCTTCACCCTCAGGTAATTTGACGACCTTTCTCAAGCTACCACCTCCAAGGGTTGCTTCAGCATATTGCCTCAATTGATAACTCGTTGTGCCTTTGTGAGCATTTCGTGGTCGAAATTGGTTTCGCGTACGTTGGTTACTATTGTTTCCTCGTTGTGAGTAAGATGGTACATGAGCAGGTTCAGGTATTTCTATGAAGAACGGATCATCCACTTCCTCCACAGGTTCCAATTTCACTGAAACTGTTGCTGCAGAATCAGACCTTGTGAGTCCACATACTGGTGGTGATTGCTTCGTTCGAGGGCTCCAATATGCGAGAAAAGAAGTCATAATTATATAGGGATAAGGATCACAAACACGGTAGTGATGAAGGAAGTCATCTTGCTTTAAATGAGGTTCGTCTTCTACATTCCACAGGTTAGCTGGGTGATACAAGACAATTATGGAAAGGGGAATTGTACTCACCCGCAGTCTCCTACAATCCTGTACAGTTAATGTTTTTGCTGTTCAAAGGGAACGAGTTGTAAATTGTAATCACAAGAGATGTTGTAGTTGCGCTCAAAGACAAAGAGGGCATTAGATGTAATGCAGTCGTTATTGTTGCGGGAGAGTTCTCAGTAGTGATTGTTTACATTCGCTGGGTTAATTTTGGTTGGCTAAGTTACCCTTACAATTAAATCGCCAAATGAATCCAATCGCAATCTCGCCGCGCTTTCCTCCCGCTTCTTATGATCTAGCCTTCGCATAGAATAGACTACAAGTAACCGATAGCCTGGCACCAACAAACACCTACCTATCTAATGTTCTTCGGTGTCGAAAGCTTAAATAACTAGTAATAAGAACACAATCCTACTTTACAGCTCGAAAAGGATTCATAAATACTAGTCAAAGTACGGTGCTCAATTGAACTTTTCATTGTTTCACTATGCGGGCGGATTCATGTGAATCGAAATTATTGCGACTGCATTCATGACTGGTAGATTAGATCTCCTTCGAAGAGGAGGAGTTTCCAATCGCCAATAGAACGAAATGTCAGCTCTTCAAAGTAATATTCGTGTTTTTATACAGTGGAAGGAACAAACTGTATTCGCTGGCGAAGATATAGAGTGTCAAATTACTTTCAAAAATGTCGCGACGACTCCACCATCATCAAAATCATCATTACATTCATCCGGATCCAATGCGTTCTTGCAATCACCCGAAAGGCACAGAAGACCTCCATCGCAGATTAAGAATTCCTCCTTGAGTCCACGATCTGGTATTCCCAACAGAGGTGACCACCGACCATCTCTTTCCTTGACGGTACCACCCGAATCAGTACATTCAAAACAATCGGAACAATGGGGTCGTGGAATATCAAGGCATGGAAGAGGAGGAGAAGGGCACAAACGGTCACTGTCTATCATATCAATGGGAGCTAGTGAAAGTGCTGCCGATGAAGCTGCCAGTCACGGAAGCTTAGCTGAGAGGTCTGATAGAGGTGAAAGAGGTCATGGCCGGTCTGCAAGCTTGCAAATCGTTCCGCGAAGGAATGGACTTAATGGAGGACCTATGACAGGTAAATACTTTTGAAATTCAAGGAAAGAAATAGTCATTGATGTCTTTAGCACCACTTAACCCCCGAATACCACCGCATTCTTCTCCGATGATGGGCTCCTCTTTCCCACCGAATTCTCCCGTACCGAATACCCAGCGACGACATACAGGTACAAGTACTGTACCAGGTACAACAGGACTTGGAGCACATGTTGCAAGACGTAAAGAATCTATTCCACTTGCTCCGGCTTTTAAATTTCCAGCAAGTACCTCTTCGCCGACGCATAGCCGACGAAACTCACATGTTGAAGATGATAGCGCAAGCTACAAATCTCATGATAATAATCAATTACTCTCGCCAAGGTCGAGAGACACTGCTCTTGGTATACCGGACCAGATAACCCCAGCACCTATAGCAAGAATACTCTCACCCTCTAGTATGGGTGGAACACCACGAAGTAGCGGGGAATTCTACACTCTAAGCAACAACTCAACGGAAACTCTCGTCTCAGAATACTTGCCACAACCATCAAATCGAATGCCCCCGTACAGTGGGCACCATATAAAACGATCTTCGAACCTAGCTCCAAGTAGCAATCACAAGGCACCAGAAACTTTGATGATGGGTTACGCTCAAATACATGGATCATTTATGTTGGATCCAGCCTTAATTAGTCAGGCACCATTTGAAGAAGTGAAACGAAAGGGTGCAGTCGGTGGGCAAGGTGGTGGTGTGATTGGAGTCGAAACCAATAAGAGGGACAGTGGCCTCTTGCGAACCTTTGGTTGGGGGAGCATAGGCGAATCTATAGGTGGTCTATTAGGAAGTGGCGAGCTAAGTAGCATTAAAGATATGCGGGGTATGGTAAATTCTCGTTCCATACCTTTACTTTCGACTCCTCAATCAATTTTGTTTGTGGATTTAAAGTTGGTTCCTGGGGAAAGTCGAAGCTACAAATACTCTTTCAAATTACCGAGAGGTTTACCTCCTAGCCATCGAGGGAAGGCTATAAAGATATCTTACAGACTAGTCATCGGCACTCAAAGACCAGGAGGTGCCAAAGAGCAACAAGTCAAATCCGTTGAAATTCCATTTAGACTCCTAGGGAGTGTGAATTCTCATGGAGAACTTCTTGGGCATGATCTCATGTTACCTTATATACTACTTCGAGATCAAGCTCGAATTCAAACCATCAATATACCATCCGAACAGGGCTTGAATATATCACCAAAAACGCTTTCGGTTAATACTCATAAATCGCAAAAACCAAACGATTCAAATCTAGCCGATTTCCTTGCATATGTTGATGAATTAATTGCGAAGCCACGAAGAAATTCTAGCTTTGGTTTATTATCACCCACAGAAACTATAGGGTCCAGGCATCAGTCTATCATTGAAGAGCCTGCAACTGCAAAAGAAGCTATTGATATGGCGATCCTTCGCAGTAACATCGCCACAGAATCAAGACAAAGTGCGAATCGATTTGAAATCGCTCGTGGTGGAAAGCGAGTTGCGGTAGTCATGTTAGCAAGACCAGCGTATCGCCTAGGTGAAACCATCACTGTAGCTATCGAGTTTACTGATGCTGGAATTCCCTGTTATGCAATTCATTGTGCCTTAGAAACATCCGAGAAGGTTGATCAATCTATCGCACTACGTTCCGAAGCAAGCATATTTCGTGTCACTCGCCGTGTTCACGTTTCGCATTCGGAATCTACTCTCTTTGCTCGCCGCATAGTTTTTTCTCCTACAATTCCTGTCACGGCAACTCCTGAGTTCATCACTAGTGGCGTGTCACTCGATTGGCGTATTCGCATTGAATTTGTTACACCTAGACTGGCAACTATTAATAATGAGGTTATTGATTTATCCCCGGCATTGTTGGAAGAATATACGAATGATGAACGTGGGGTGGTTTATGCAGCAGTTCAAGGACTAGAATGTGAAAGCTTCGAGGTTGCTGTTCCAATTAGAGTATATGGTGCTTTGGCCGGCAATACAGAAAAAGAAGAAAGCGAAGGGATGGGCCTGGTTGTGTAATCGATACGAGATTATGAATAGTACAAATAACAAAAGATATGGGTCGGTTACTTGGATAAGATTATATTCAGTGTCTAGTATTCTCTAGATGTTTTCATGACCATGCTCGGGGCTTTACGATGATCAATGATCAATGCTTCCATGGACTATACCACAAGAAAGAATGAAAGGAATGGAAAAGGCATGCATGCATGCATGCATAATGATGGAGGTGTATTGAAACAATTGTCTTTACATATACTAGATGAGATTAGATATCTATGAAAAGATGTTCAAATGGGAATTTTCAGTATCATCTGAACCACCTTTCCAAATCATTATTGCGCTCCCCACGGTCATGGTCATACTCTGTTTGACACAAAGGCTAGGTCCTCTAAAGTTTACATTCATAGTAGCCCTATAACATATGTGACTTTGGAGAGTAAAAGACAAAGGGCGGAGTTGCCAAAAAGGGTAATTGGGTCGGTAATGGTAGTGTTGGCAGCGGACCCAATTTTTTGACAAGCAAACTGCTTGTAAGAATGGGGAATTAGTCGGTCAATAGAAATTGCCATGCGGAGTAGCTTCCTGTTAATGTTTGCTAGAGCTTGGATGACACACAATACCTTCTCGAAGCTCCTCCTTTCACACTTTTCAGTGGAGACATGGCCGACGCCCAACCATAATAGCGGGAGGAAACCAAGTGGGTCCGCTCGGAATGGAGAAGCTGGGACTCGGGAGGTTACTTCCTGACCCATTCCTTACGTTTCTCATCCCATCTGTGCGAGGCTGAGAGCGTCATAGCTTGGCGGCGGATTGAACGTTGCCAACGGAAAGTATTTATTCTTCATCTCAATCGGGTAATGGACGCAACGGGAGGAAAAGAGGACCAGAATCCCTGTCAAGACTCAACATTCTTTTCCAAACATTTTCAAAAATGAATATTACGAGTATTTTATATTTTTAACCACATACCAAAGCAACATGCTTGCTGCATGAATACATACTAGGCACAGGTATCGTATTCGCAGTTTTACGAAGCAAAATCTTTAAATTTTCATGGAGAATCTCCACAGATTTAAAGTTAGCTGCTGTTGCTGTTATCACGAGTTCCCCAAATCCCCACACCAACAAACAACATGTACTCGTGTTTCCCCGCGATTTTCCCAGAGGTTGGTAAAAGTGGGATGGGATGAATCATGGATCAACTCCGGATTCTTTTCCTCAGAGTCTTACGGTATCATGTCGGTCAATTTTCACCATGGGGAATTAATTCGCTCTCTCCGCCCGCCGTCCGCGGGATCTTTGATTCATGAGGTTCAACCACCTACCAAGCTAGTATTATTGTATCATTGTATCGTGTCATTTTGCAAGATCCGCGGTCTTGGCATTGACTCGAGCCAATCATACTTCTCCTTTTGTAGTATTGATGACTGATGAGATGAGATTATAATGGCTGGGAGAGTATACTGTAGGTACTGTACCAAGTTACCAACAAGCGACAAACAAACCATACCCCGTAGTCTAGGGTACTTTCCACCAGGAACTCCAGACAGAACAGACTCAATATTCTTCCCACTTAGGGATTGTCTAAATGCAACGGCCGAAAATCTTGCCGGGTCATACGATATTCCCGTTGTAATGAAGGACCGCTAGGAATGTATGATGACATTTTCACCGTCTCATTACTTTCCGCTGCATGAGAATGAATTCCCGAAGATTTGCCATCATCAAGTTTATAAGCTGAGGAGATTATCCAGAGAAAAGAAAGCAGCAGCTCCAGTTGACAAGTTACAATGGCTCCCTTACTTGATATTCTCTCGGCCCTCTCTATTTGCATTGCTACTGTCAATGCTAAAGCTTGGGACTCATCTTTGTTCGCGACATCTCCTCCGGTCTATCCTTCTCGTATGTTCCTTCTTTACCCTTCTCATATCCCCTATGTGTTTGGCTCCAAGGACCTCGCAATCCCTCAGGGCCATAGCACTTGCATTTCTTCAGCTTATTCCATATTGGACATACTAACATCTCTTCTAGCTGAATTACAGGGTACAGGATGGGAAGAGGCTCTCGTAAAAGCTAAATCCTTCATCGGTAATCTCACATTAGAAGAAAGAGTTTCACTATTAACTGGTGCAGATGGACCTTGTGTTGGGTAAGAAATTCCATCATTCATCATAGATCTTCTCTTACTAATGCTATTAAAAGTAACATTGCACCAATCCCACGCGTTGGATTCAAGGGGCTCTGTCTTCAAGATGGTCCACTTTCCTTAAGAGAGGCTGATTATGTGACCGTATTCCCTGCTGGTCTTACTGCTGCTGCATCCTGGGATCGAAGTCTTATGCACACCAGAGGAGAGTACCTTGGTGCTGAGTTTCGTGGTAAGGGTGCACATGTCTACTTGGGACCTGTAGCTGGTCCACTTGGTAGAAGTGCTACAGCAGGAAGAAATTGGGAAGGATTTTCTCCAGATCCCTATCTGACTGGTGTTGCTATGGAAGAGACAATCATTGGTGTTCAGTCTCAAGGTGTTCAAGCCAGTGCTAAACATTTCCTCGCCTATGAACAAGAGACTCAACGAAATACTGCAGATATCTTCAATTCAACCTGGTATCCAAATGCCACTCAACAAATGTCTGTCTCTTCAAACGTTGAGGATAGGACTATTCATGAGTTGTACTTGTGGCCATTTTACAATGCCGTTCGCTCTGGTGTTGCAAATGTCATGTGCTCTTACAACAGAGTTAATTCATCCTACTCCTGTCAAAACTCTAAACTCTTGAATGGATTGCTCAAAACTGAGCTTGGTTTTCAAGGATTTGTTGTATCTGATTGGATGGGAACACATGCTGGTGTTGACTCTGCCAATGCTGGTTTGGATATGACCATGCCAGGAGCTCAAACTTGGAATGCAATGGCACCTGGAGTAGCATCATACTTCGGTGGCAACCTTACTACTGCTGTGAATAACGGTTCCGTTACTCTTGACCGCCTTAACGATATGGCCCTTCGAGTTATGACTCCATACTTTTTCCTTGGACAGGATCAAGATTTCCCTCTTATCGATGGCTCTACCGGTTCCTATCCGGTAATGAACGATTTTAATAACCCAGTTAATTTCGAATCAGACTGGGTCAATGCAATGGGTCCTGCCGATGTTGATGTTCGTGGAAATCACAGCTGGTTGGTTCGTGAACTCGGTGCTGCTGGTACTGTGCTTCTCAAGAATACCAACAATGCACTCCCTCTCAAAGCTCCCAAACGTATCGGAGTTTTCGGAAATGCTGCCGGAGATTTAACAAATGGTCCTTATCCTCATGACAAAGACTATGAATACGGATGTCTACCGGTGGGTGGTGGTTCTGGATCTGGAAGACTTTCTCAACTCGTTTCTCCTTTGGAAGCTATCAAGACTCGTGCTCTTAAGGATGGCTCAATGGTTCAATATATCTTGAACAATACCCAATTAACCACCACAGGAGGTTTCAAGAATATGATATACCCCATCCCAGACGTATGCTTAGTCTTCATTAAAACATACGCAAAGGAGGGTGATGACCGAACATCCTTATCATTTGATTGGGATGGAGATTCAGTTGTTGAACAAGTTGCCACAAACTGCAGCAACACAATCGTTGTCTCTCAATCCACTGGTATTAACCTCATGCCATGGGCTAATCACCCAAACGTTACCGCTATCCTCGCTACCCATCTCTCCGGTGATCAAATCGGAAATAGTTTAGTTGACATTCTCTACGGTGCCTATAATCCTTCCGGACATCTCCCCTACTCTATCGCCTACAATATATCAGACTACTCTTTTGCCCCCGTCACCACCAACGTATCCTCCTCCTCACCAGATGCATGGCAATCCGATTTCACCGAACGTCTTCTCATCGATTATCGTTACTTTGATTATCATAACATTTCCGTTCTTTACGAATTCGGTTTCGGTCTCAGCTACACCACATTTAACCTCTCCTCATTAACCATCTCTCCCATTTCCAACTCTACCCTCTCATCTACCCCGGCTACCATGGAACCAAATACTAGTATTCCTGGCGGAAACCCCGATCTCTGGACCCCAATCTACACAGTCACGGCTTCAGTAACCAACACGGGAAACTTTTCCGGTGCAGCTGTTCCTCAACTATATATCACGATTCCGGAAACGGATGGAGAAACTCCGGTGAAACAATTGAGAGGATTTGAAAAGATTGGTTTGAATGCCGGTGAAAGTAAGAATGTTAGATTTGAGTTGATGAGGAGGGATATTAGTATTTGGGATGTGCAATTACAGGAGTGGAGAATTCCAGAGGGGGAATTCGGGGTAAAGGTTGGGTTTTCCAGTAGGGATTTGAGAGTTGAGGGAGCTTTTGAGGTTTGAGGTTGAGGTTGAGGTTGAGGGTTTGGGTTTGAGATCTTGGGTGTCAAATTCTTGAATGAGAGGTTGAAGTAGAGAAAAGGTATCCGGGGTTTGATGAGTTATGTTTAATGATTTTTTTATGGCCTGGATGATTATGAATTCGGTCATATTGGTTTCTGAAAAGAAATTTCTTGTATAAATAGATAGTAGCTTGGGCATAATGAAAGTTAATGATTTTTTTCATATTTGTATTCGCGTTTATAATTATGATTCTGATTACATAGATATCATATCAGCTCTCTATATATAATATAGTAATTTGTAAAATTTATATTTTCCTCTATCAAAATCTTTTAAACCTTCTTTCTTTCTATCTTTCTATCCCTACCCTATCCCTATCCCTATCCCTATCTCTATCCCTATCTCTATCCCTATTTCTGTCCCCATTCTCATAAATCAAAAACCCATTATGATATCCAATCTGACATCCAACCTCACATCCAACCCAACCCGACAAATCCATCCATCCATCCATCTTCAAACTCAAACTCAAAACCCTAATAAAATCATACCACTCTATCCCATCACCATTTGATTTCATAAAGTGCATTCATTCAGCGTACATACAAACAACTTTAAATTCTATCCGTAGAATTTATCATATACCTAGTAGTTAAGTAATTTGATATGGGATTGGCTTTGTGGTTGTGGGTGTGCGTTGTGCGTTGGTGGTGTTTTATGGAAAGAGTGGGAGAAAAGGGTGGGGGATGGAGAGGGAGAGGCAGAGGGAGAGGCAGAGGGAGAGGCAGAGGGAGAGGGAGTAAATGTTAGAGTCATAATCTCTATCATCGAGTTTTTATGTCCGGAAGTATGTTTCAAGTTTATTATTGGCGATGTAATCAAAGAGATAATTAATATTACAGGAATGAAGTCTGGATGTTGTATTACGGCAAGTTTGGATTATTCTCCAAGAATGGGAAACTCTAAATAGCCATGCTTCTGTAGCTTATATACCACTTTCCCAGTATTTCCCAACTCTCCAAATTTCATCTCGATATCTCCGCAAAGCTCAATTAGCTCATGAATCATCTTGTGAGCCAAGGATCTTAATGACAGCTTTAACTATGCTCTATTTCCTTTTCTCACTCTCCGTATCTCAAAAATCCACAATTGCATCCAAAGTATTCGATATTGAAGAATTCCGTTGTGGCAGACTCAGTGGTGAATCAAAAATATCAGTGCTGCGAGTTGTTGCGATAAGGTGATGAACTGGAGTGAGATGAGATGCAGTACTGGAAATGTTGCTATGAAATTAAGGTGAGGAAGAGAGAGAGATAGGATCTCATTGTGGCAAATAATCATGGTTGAACGATTAATCATGATACTAACTAGATTCTCCTTTTCTCTATCTTCCATGTTTAACATATTGAGGCCTGCCAAATGTGCCTTGCTCATGATCATAGCTGCCTTTGCCCTGTCCTCAACTGCCTCCGAATTCAATCAACCCCCAACTGCCCTTTTATTTGCCACTTCACTCCCCAGCTACCCGTCACCATTGTCCAATTTCATCTCCTTTAAATTCCAGTCAATCTCCAATTCATCTCTAAGAGGATCCGCAGAATCATAATGCCAAATTTGGTAATACCATTCATGATCAGCGACCTTACGACTGGAAGATCGTAGTCAAAAAACACACGAGTAAACCAACAACAGAATTCATCTTCGGCATCACAAGAGCATATTTTCTTTTTGTCATCTCACTTAAGATGGACGTATTGAATGGAGATTTCGAAATCTTCCCTCGCTGCCATCGTACCGTCGCCATCTCCAAACAAGAACGATTGGCAATTCAATTGCCGCGTTTGCCCTCGTGCATCTCTTCTTAGCATCGCATTCAACAATTGCGCTGAATTAATTCACGATGTAACTGTAAATCTACAACTTCAACTTCAATTGCGGTAGCCATTGCAACAATCCATATCTTCGCTGGAGCAACATCAATAATTGTATTCTCCCTTATGAAGGAAGTACTTTGTAACATTCATTCGTTCTAGGGTCGCGCTATTTCTCTTATGTGCATTTTAGTGCGCACTAATTCTCCCACTGCACATTTTAGCGTCCGCTCATTCTTCGCCTTCATCTATCAATGAGCTGTTCCTCATAATATATTCTGTACCGATCGCTTATACCCCTATTGACGATGTATCTGATACTTTTGATGTGGTTGATGTATTCACAGTCATCTTAATGTATCGTAGAAAAAGTGTGAATTTTTCCAAATTTGGCAGAGTACATGAATGGAGATTCAGGTGTTTCGCAAGATACTCATCTACCTTCTCCATATGTAGTTTTTGGTAGTGAAGGGAGTTTGTCTGACAATTTACTTGTACAGATTGAGGAAGAAATAAGGCAAAATAAAATGTATTTCTATAAGCTTGACCAGATAAAACGAAGTTTTTAATGAAAACAACCCCTCTACCAGATAGTACACAGAAGGCAGAAACTTTACTACTCGTATATAACATTATAATCTTATGATTTCGAGTAACTTACCTTGAATTAAATCCATTTTTCAGTGATAATACTTCTATGATACTAGAGAACGAAATGAGAAGATAGAATCAATCTCAATTGGGATGGATGTCTCGGTTTCAAGGTTGTTCTCATGATTTTTTGGGTGGGCCTTGGATGAGGGAGGATGAGCTTCGTTGTATGCCGGTGAGATAATGAATCTGTGATGAAGATTTTTATTTTAGGAAGCACATCCTTAAGTCCTGAGATTTAATTAAATGAAATACATACAGAAGATCGAAATTTTGCTATGCACAGGGACACTGATAACCTCGGCCCGGATCGATTTCTTCACCCGGAAATGGCAATGCATTGCATACATAATGAGTACTCGTTGAGTATCACTCTCAATGTCTGTATTGGACTTGATACTAACGCTGATGCACACTGAAATTTGTTGAAGGGCTTAGGAATGCTTTTTATCGTTTCCAGATCTGGAGTATTCCTTGTCATTACAGAGATATCTCGATTATAGCGATATTTCTTGTAGTTTTGCCATGTTATGAGACATAGGTATTCACTGGCAGCTCAAGCATAATCCTGCACCGGAGCTTCTTTGCGTAATGTTGGTATCAACTTGACATGATCCTATAGTTGTGTTCAGCATCATTGATACTATTGTCGTAAAATTGAAATCACAAATCTTGCAACCAGAAGAGTTCGATGAGATCGATGAGAGTGCTGTGAAAAGACCTCGCATACCCAGCCCTACCAGACAGAATTTTCTAACAGTGATAATGAAGACAAAAAGAGCTTTCTCGTTTCTCATGGCACTAGCTGCAAGGAATTTCAAGAGAAAGAAACCAGTGGATAACTTTCCAGTACTGCAAGATGATATCTTCATAAAAGTCATGATGCCGTGATAGGGAAGGGTGTTCCTTATCGTAAGTAAAGAATTCTCTTCTTAGGTCATATTCCTTGGAATAGTAGAGATAAAGACCAACAGCATATCTATAACACTCTAAAAACGATCCATTCAGTGTTGCTGTTGATGATAAAAATCGGACAAGGTAAAAACCCTGATTTCCGGCTTAGAAATTCGAGCCCCTGAAAGATAAACCATGAGTTTCCGGCTACCGTAATTCATAATCTTACCAATCAACCTAAACCTCTTCACTCGTAATATTTCATCCATATTCGCAATCCCATGTATTGCTGATTATTTTATAACTTCTTCAACCCGAATACAAAGCGGAAAATCTGAAAGGAAGAGCCGTTTGTAAGTGTTGGAAATACACGAATATTGACGTAGTGTAACAAGCTGACTCATCACCCAACCAGTCTGTTGGAACTCCTATCTAAAGCTTAAGGTAACGCGAGAAATAAGAACCGACGAGATGGGAAATGGAGTGATTAAAAAACGGACTGGAAATGGATTGATTGATGAACAAAGTTCTTTACTTGGGGATAGGAGATCAAGGGATCGTGTTGATGGAGGTGATGATGATGTATCGACGGGCCAAAGTGGGGGTGAGGATGATATTAGCAACGATGATGATATTGAGGATAAAGCAAATCAACAGGTTGGAAAATGGAGAGCTATATTGATAAGTATCAGTGTATTTGGCTTGATATTTTTGCAAGGTATGTTCTCGGGAGTTTAGTACCTAGTATTGAAGATGAAGACCTCGATTGGATTTAGTTTTCTAATGAAGTTTGATGCTAGCAACAAACATGTCCGGAATTTCAACCACACAATCTAAAATTGCTGAAGATCTTGATTCATTTACTGAAGCAAGTTGGTTTACATCTACCTATCTCGTAAGATATCCTTCCTTATCATCTGATCACATACTTACATCAAATCAGATAGCCATGTCATCCATATCACCAGTAGCAGCACGATTAGCTCAAATTTTCTCCCCTAGAGACCTTATCCTAGCAGCAGCAATACTCTTCTCAATCGGAGGAACTGTCACATCACAAGCCCCAGACCTTAAAACTTTCCTCGTGGGAAGAGCTATTAGTGGTATTGGAGGTGCCGGTATCATGACCATCAGTCTCATCTTAATATTAGAACTTACCAGTAAAAAACGTCGAGGGATCTTCATCGGATTAGCTAATTCGGGATTTACCCTTGGTGTCTCTTTAGGTGCCGTTGTCTGGGGAGCTTTATTACCCGTTGTTGGTTGGAGAGCTTTGTTTTTGTTTCAGTCACCTCTGGCTGTACTTTCTGGAATTGGTATTTATTTTAGTATTCCTAAGAGCTTTACTTCTGGACACAAGACTGCAGATGGGGAATCTATTACTTCTAAGCTTGCGAAAATTGACTATCTCGGATCTCTTTTTCTCGTAAGTGATTTTACTACTAGCCACACGGCAACCGTGAGCATGAACTCTAACTAAATTCTCCAGATCACAACCATCATCCTCTTCCTCTACGGACTTTCCTCACCAAAAATTGAATGGCTACCTATTCTCTTCTCAATTCTCACCCTTATACTCTTCCTCTACATTGAGCTCAAAATTTCCACCGATCCAATTATACCAATCAGCGTATTGAAATCTCGTGGAGCCCTCCTCTCTTGTATTTCCCAACTAGGAATAATGTCTGCGAGATGGAGTATCCTATTCTACGCACCCGTCTACGCAATCTCTCTTCGTGGCTGGTCCCCCGCATCCGCAGGTTCAATTCTCATACCTACAAATGTGGGATTTGCTCTAGGTGGTATCATAGCCGGTGCATTCCATATCAAAAGAGCAGGAAGTTTCTGGCTGTACGTTCTACCCTATCCATCCCGTCCATCCTATCCTATTCCCGGCCCCCACTAAAAAATAAACTAACCACCAAATATCTAACAACCTCACAGACCCTGCATAACATCCCTAACCCTCTTCTCCACAACCCTAATCCTCTTCTCCCAATTCTCCCGCCCCAGCACCCCAATCCCAATCTTCATCCTCCTCGCCCTCACAAATGGCCTCTGCATCGGCGCTGCCGTAAACTACACCCTCGCCCATCTCCTCCACCTCACTCATCCCTCCACCCACTTCATCTCCACCTCTCTAATAACCACATTCCGCGGTTTCGCCGGCTCATTCGGTTCTGCCATTGGCGGGGGTGCTTTTATTCGAGTTTTGAAAACGGGACTCGAGGATAGGTTTATGAGAAATGGGGGGTTGGAAGGTAGAGAAGATCTCGTGAGAAAATTATTAGGTAGTCCTGCGTTGGTCGGTACGCTGAGTGGAGTGGAGAGGGATGTTGCGATGCGGGCTTATGCGGATGGGTTTAGAGCTTTGTGGGGTGGGGCGGCGGTGGTGGCGTTTTGATGGTGGGGTGCAGGCTGCGGCGGGGTGGGAGGGGTATAGTAAGGGGAAGGGAGAGGAGGAGAGGTTGGAGGTGGGGAATGGACTGGGGGTTGGAAATGAGGTTTGGGAAGAGGGGATGGAGGAGGGTGTTTAAATTTAGTGGTTGTTCATTTCATTGATATGATCTTTGTTGTTTTGCTGTGTAGAGTAAAGTAGAGTAGAGTTTAGATGAATTTGTCATGTAGAGATAGATTCTGCGATATACCATTTGTAAATTCAATTCAGGTAATCATATAATTATAAGTCTTACCATTATATTTGTAACAATTATATTTACTTCATATTACTCAGTTCATTTCAGTTCAATTTCGTCTATATTCCTATTTCCTATTCCAATTCCTATCCAATTTGTTATTTCATTTCTTCATTTCTATTACCCCATTATATCCAGTCTCCTTATCTGTTTCCCTCTTTCTTTTCCTTTTCCTTCCATTTCCACCATGATCCCATCCATACCTGTTCTGTTCCTTTCCACTCTCCCATTTCCATCCATCTTCTTCCCTTCCCTCTTTCCCATTCTTCCTACCTCTCCATCAATCCTCTCCCTCCACCCCTTCCCCCCCACCGCCGCCCAAGTTGCCAAACTACTCGCAACAAGAAAACCCGCACTAATCGTCGAAAACCACCCAACCCCCATCTTCTCCACCGCCGGCAAAACCGTCGCCGTCCCCACGGCCGCAAAAATATACCGAATCATATAATTCCCCGCAATAACCTCTGCACCACTCCGCTGCATCACATCTAAACAATATGTATTCAGACTGGGGAAACAGAAGAGTTGAGCCACGCCTTGGATGAACATCATGATGACGGGGAGGGGGATACCTCCGAAATCTTTTTCTACTGACCAGCCGTAGAGGAGCATGCATGCTGGGATGACGATGCCAATGAAGGGGAGTGCGGATCTCAGTCGATCTTCTGGGATGCGGGTTCCCCGGATTTGCATGTATTTGTTGGTTATGTGGTCGGAATAGCGCCCGCCGAAGAAGGTTCCGACGATGTAGCCGAAGCCGGGGGCGAGGTAGAAAAGTCCAGATTGAATTGGGGTGGTGAGATGGAAGCGTGGGTTGAGGATGTAGCGGATCTGTGGGGTTTTTATTAGTTTGCATCTTTCTCTCTGTGTGATTACTCGAAGGAAGATAGGTGAAATCATATCATGTTATGTCATATAATATCGTACCGTGTAGGTAGACAGACAAATAGACAGATAGATAAACAAGTAAGTAAATAAATAGACAAATAAAAAGAAATAGGAAAACATACAGGAGTCAAAAGTGAATACATATTCCAAACCAAACTACTACTAGCCAACGCCACCATGATCAAATTCGGATACTTATAAAGTCTAATGACTCTCCACGGATTCAACATTCCCCACAACACGCCAGCTTTTCTTTTCCAATTCATCCCCACTAATTCATCTTTCTTCATTCGATGAATGGTCTCTGGGAGCAAGAAGTACGCTCCAAGTGCAGCACATGCCGCCAATGCAGTTTGAAGCCAGAAAATCACACGCCAGGATTGAAATGTTACGATTATACCACCGATGAAAGGACCAAGTGCAGGACCAATAAGTGTACCGGAAAGAAACCATCCCATGGCCGTTCCACGTTCCGTTGGCCGATAGATATCCCCAATACATGCAGCTCCAATGGTTAAGAATGAAGTTCCTTGAAAGGCTGTCAAGATACGGAAGATAAAGAAGGCGGGAAGATTAGGAGCAAGAGCGGTGCCAATTGAGCATGCTGTAAAGAGAGCGGATGTGATGAGGGAAATCTAGGATTGTTTAGTATCTTCAAAGATGCATATGCCCAAGAACCAGAGTCAGAGACTTACCCATTTCCTTCCATAAACTTGACTCAATGGTCCCCATACCAATGGACTAATTCCCATAAACAACATATATAACGCATTACTTAAATTGATGATAGTACCGGTAGTCCTATAGGTAGCAGCCACCTCTGGCACTGCCGCCAATACGGTGGTACTACTAATGGGAGCCAGAAAACTACAAAAAGAAAGTAAAGCCACAATGACCATTTTTTGATTGGGAGGAATGCGATCATAGATAGAATCAGGAATGGATATATTTGAGTGCGTTTGTTGAATTGGTGCATCTTGTGTATTGGAGATATGCGAGGCAATCGGAGCGAGATTCGAAGGTGGCGAATGTGAGATGGAACTACCTGTACTGTGAATAGAATAGGAGTCCGAATCTTCATGAGAAGTGATGGGTTCATCTTTTTGACGAGGAGGCATTTGACTCTGTGATGTCTGTGATGCGAATTCATGTTCGCTCCTTGGCAAATCATGCTGGTCTAGACTTGAAGCCATGACTTGAACTTAATGTTGAAGAAAGACGGGAGACTTTATTATCCAAATATACGTCATCCGTAAAAAAGCAAGTGAATAATGGATTACAAGCTCCGTCGGGGATCATGAAAGGCAATCAATCTCTAGATTAATTTCCCAATTGATCTCACCAAAGAACCTTCAATGTCTCGATATCCAAATCTGCAATTGATGTAGAAAAACAAGACCAAAAAAAGAGTGCAATATATAGAAGCAATGAAGAAACAGAAAGAAAAACAGAAAAGAAAAGCTAGCAATTGACTCATCTCCATCCCACGAACGATACGAAAAGCTACTAAACAATCATATCCTATTTTGGACTGCCTAGTACATACTTAGATATACATACGTACCTAGTACCTACTATCATCGCCGAGAGTCGGCACTGCAAATGCACCTTCTACAGATTCCCACGCATAACCATATCCACATCCACATGCAAATCCACAACCGCACGAGTTACCGGTATTTATCGTCAAGCAAGCAGCAAGCAGCAAGCAGCAAGCAAGCAAGTAGATACCATCTCCTCCATAGACCAGGCAAGCAAGCAACCAATAAAACCCCGCAGGTATCTCCAGCACCAACTCGTCTTTTGCTCACCTATTCATCATATATATCTGATCAAAATCATCACTACCCCGTCCACCGATCTCAATCATCTATCCAGTATCCGCACATATACTCGAGGATATAACCTTACATAGATAAATAAACAAGCACATCTCGCGTGCCTGCTTTCCAAACATTACCTACGGAGTAGTTCTAGGTAGTAAAAAACCACGACAAACCCCACAAGGACCCAACGAAAAAAGCTTAACAAAAGCCAAGTTCCAACCCCATTTATCCACCCACCAATCTACTCACCCATCTACCCACACAAAAACAACCAAGTTCTGACAAATCTTCCGTAAATCGACCAACCAGCAAACCAGGCAATTCCCATTTTCCACTTCCCATCGTCCCGCCATCGAGAGGAAAAAGTGGGTTTGCCGATTTTTCCGGATCGATTCTTCCTTCTGCGCCTTTTCCGTGCTATTACCGTCGTACCTTTACGTGCTCTATCTAGCTTCTAGCCTTAATTACCTCAACTCAGTGCTAGTCTTTGAAGAAGGGCGGGGGCTTAGCAAAGTATATTTCTATATTAAAAATCATCTATTTCAAAAATTTCTATAAATCCAATGAATAATTATATATGCTTTAAAATTCAAAAATGAAACAAATATCTATCAAAATGTAATATTTTATTAATTTTTTATTTTATATAACAAAATATACTTTATTTAAAAATAATATTTATAATATTATTATTATTATTATAAGTTGAATGAAATGAATGAATAGAGTTGAATGATTTCAGAGTTGAACGATTTCAATAGAGTTGAAAAAAGTTCCAAGTCATATTTGCCTGAGGTTATAAGGCTTCTGCCAAGCTTTTTGTTAGATTATTTACCGGGGTATTTTAGACCAATCAGATTATCAGGATCGCGACTCATTTAAACGAGTTTCTCATTTCTCATTTTCTATCACCTACACCGGGTAAACCTCGCATACAGCAAGGTTTTGGTGAGAATCAAAAAAATCAATATTCAAAAATCAATATCTAATATCTAATATTCGTAACATCAATTGCCGTAAACTGCTGGTAAACCAGGGTTCAATTGTTCCTTAGAATCTACAACTAGTGATCGCAAGATCGATGGCCTCGGCCTCGAGCGCTAGTCGCTCGGGGGCCGCTTGGCTTACATAATCTTACGAATCGTGACAATATTCAATATCCAAAATTCAATAACAAAATTTAATACTCAAATCTCAAGATTCAAAATTCAATAACGAAACTCAATAAATAAAAATGTAATAAAATAAAATCAAAATATATTATATTATATTATATTATCTCTCTATCTTATAACTCTCTTACTCAAGTATCTATCTAGATATCCTTAACATTTTAAATAATAAATAATAAATACCTCATCTACCTCATCTATCTATTGAATATCGCATACCTAGGTAATGAAAACCGTATATAAATTACATCAACTACCTACTCAACTACCTACCTACCTCATCCAAACCAACTAAATCAATCTCTCAACAAATAAATACCATACATATATACCATAAATACCATGTGATAAAGAACCATACCACCTACCTACCTATCTACCTAATACTATAGCTATATATGTATTTAAATTTCTATTTCTATTTCTTCCATCCATAACCGGTTGGGTGCATCCATACATCCATGCGCCAAGAAGATCTTCCATGAAAGATTTTATGATTGAGGAATAATATATTCATGTGATAATGATACAATAATATCACGTCACGTCACATCGATATCTATCTATCTATTCAGAAAACACAATATACCTAGCATCCCAAAAGAAATCCAAGTCTCATAACAAAAACATACTATTGAAAAACAATACACTACTACCAATTAATACTCCGAGACAGAATATGCATATAAATATCAATATCAATATAAATATTGATAATACTATACTATAACTACCGGGGTACTTAATCCATGAACCCATCCATAAATCCATCAATGCAACACAATACGACGCAAAAGACCCTCTCCACTCCCTCCATCCCTCCCCGCCCCATCCCCTCCCTTCCCTCCACCACACCCTTCCCAATTCCAGCCGCGTGCACCATGATTCGAACAGATATGAACATACAACATAACAAAAAGAAAGCGATCAAAAGACCACTCATCCATCAATCGCACTTAACACAACGTAACAAAACGTAACGTAAACGCAACCGTATATTTGTAAATGCAATGACATGATATAACCACCCACAAACAGCCGACGCTGAAGCCAAAGACCAAAGCCAAAAGCCAAATGTCAATCCCATACACATGATATATGACATGACCAACTTCCCAATCCAAAAAAAAAACAATGAACAAAAAAATGTATTCCGATAATGATGGGGTATGATGAGGTATATTAGAGAGGTAGGTGATGTAATATGGATAAATGTATAAAGACGTATGTAAGTGATGATAAATATGCGAGTAAATATCATCCTCTCCTTCTAAAAGAACGACATGGTATATGTATTGTATATGCACTCGACTGCTGAGACTCTTCAGATTCGATCAAAATCATATTGAAGCATTCGAGAGATTCGAGGTTGAGTTCTCATGCTTCAACTTTGGCTTTTTCTTACGTAAGCTTTTTAGAAGCTATACGAAGAGAGAGAAAATTAGTACTTAACACTCGAGGTAAATATTCAATGATGCAAGTCAAAATAAGATTCCAATCTCAGCAGTAGATTTACCACCCCACTCTCAAGGTGCGAAAAGTTAACTCGAGAGCGAACTAGAAAAACTAGTAAAACCTGCCGAGAAAGTAGTAACTTGACGTGCCTGATAGTCTCTCTCCAGAAGACCTGTGAATTTTCCTGCATTAACCAGAATTTTCATATCGGTATAAAGGGCCGATGATCGAGTTGCGACGATTCCAAGGAAACTGAGAGTTCTCTTTAGTAGGTCACTGAGCCCCTCCTTATCAAGTATATCCGTAAATAATGGTCGAAGAATGTTGTCGTTCCACGCTGCTTGAAGGGTGAGGACATTACCCCATTGCCTAATTTGTCATGTTAGCAAATATTTTCATTCAATATATTTGGGTTTAAAACTCACGCATGTGCAGTCCCCCAAGGATTCGTGACAAAAAGTCTACCATCTCCTAAACCATGAAATGCTCTAGTACTATTAACAAGTGCTTGAAGACCATTTCTTGCATAATCTAGAGCTGTCTTATCAATTTCATCTGCTGATGTAGCATGTTTATTGATGCTCGGAACCTCGATACCATTTCGGAAATCATCCACGCCGCGTTCTACCGTGTTTGATGATGATACCGCATGTGAATGTTCCAAAATCTTCAAGACGAAATTCCTATATGTGATAACTTGCGCTCCGTAGTACTTGGCTCTCATTCGTGCTGTGAGGATATCTGTCGCAGGAGGATCATTTTCATGCCAAGCAATTGTTCCTCCGGCTTCTTTCCACCGGAATAAAAAGTCCTCGGCCGTAGCTATCGATTCATAATGGTTGGGATCCTGACGTTTATAAACAGAAGGAAATTGGGAGTCTTCCGGAGAAGGTTAGTAGTTTTTCTCAGATAAAAAGAATGTTAAAGAACATACCATTATCAGGCTTGTAAAACATATTGTGTAATTGATTAAGATGTTTGCGGAGATAAAGTTGACCTTGATAACTTAACAAAACCTTTTCATCAAAACCTTCTTTGACAGCTTCGACAATGTTTGGACTTGGCATGTTTTCTTCGTAAGTTAGAATACCAGAGTGTGGGCAGGGTAACTCTGCTACAATATCACTAATTGATGTTAGAATGTAAATTTATCAATTAGATGAAATAACCATACCTTTCGAGCTGTAGGCACGTCCAAAATGCGAAAATCAATGGGTTGTCTTTCGCCAATACGGGAAATCCATCTTGCTTCAACTTTTTGAAACGATCCAGTTTCCTATCATTCATGTTAGTGGTATTCGAACCAGGAATTGGGTATGACTTACGGTCTCAAAATAACCTGTAAAGCTCTACAAGCTTGATGAATGTATGAATGACTTTCCAAAACCCTTCCAAGTTGTCCGTGATAAAGACCGGCTAAAATATTCACATGAACATGCTGTAGACTATTTCCTCCAAGTTGATTTCCAATAATATCCGTAGCGAGTGCGAAATATGCCAAACCTGGAATGACATCCACATTCCTAGGTCTAAAGCCACTTCTTGCTAAATATGAATCACCTTCTATCGAAGTTCTTCGACTGCGAGGATAAAATCGATCAATATTATCCTTGGGTGATGGTAGTTCTGAAGATTGTGTTGGAGAACTTTGAATAGGGGATGGATGACCATTTCGTACAATTGGGGAATTGATGTGACCCCAAGGGTTTTCAATATCTTTGTCGGAAGGAAGTTCGGGAATTTTCCCTCTCTCTTGACAAATCTTTCCTAAGGCTAATACCACCAAGACTAAAGCAGTACTAATCGACCGACTCGGATGGCCTGGTTTGATAAACCCGTAACCACCAACAACTGAGATTTCTGGTGGTTCTCCAACTCCTGGCGATCTTTTCCGCTTGCTTCCCGGACTCTCTGGTGGTTTCATACTTACAAAACCTGCATGTTGTGATGCCAGGGTCTGAACTTGTCTTGGTTTCGCGGAATCCGATGGAATAGATTTGAGAAATGACTCAACCAGAGCATCCAGTCGCCTCGGTATCAAAATTGGATGCATGATATTTATGTGTTCCTTATAGCTTTTGACCAATTCCAAAACTACACTTCTCCGAAAATCTGGCATACCATCTGACATAATACTGCCAACGACTGGTGGAGGATAATCTGGCGCACTAGATGGTGGAGTCATACCACCTAATTGACCCCATTCTTCACCTGCTGGAGAGGAGATATCAGAACTCGTATCGACTATAGAATCGGCATGGTCTGTCATAGGATCTCGGTCGTAACCTTGAGCTAGATCGGTTCCTTCCCCCCTTCCAAATAATCTTAGCAATCCACGTCGTTCTTCTTGCAGCATGGGATATTTCTCATCTTTCACATTCTTTGGTAAACCACCCCCACCCTCAACCATCTGTCTTACAGAAGGAACTAGTAAAAGCCTAGCTGCGCCTGTCGTATGATTGACCGGTATTAAAGGTTGTCCTGGAGGCACAGGTTCCCCTTCCTCTTCTTCTTCAGTTGCACCGGGAGTAGACCCTTCGAGTGGTTGTACGGGAGCTACAGTAGTTGGTGTTTCTATCGGCGTTGCATTATGAAGAGTATTCATATCCGAGTCATGAAATGATCTGAAATGATCAGGTAATTGAACATCGTCCCTCCCTTCCACTTTCATGAGCTCAATGCTCGATAAAGGTTGACCAGCGCCCACTCTCTCCTGTAAGTCGTTCACTCGTTTGTTCAATAACTCCAAACCTGTCTTCAAGACATTGAATAATTCCGTGTTACGATTTTCCAGTCGCAATAAGGCCTCGATGATATCCGTGGAAGCTTTGTCAATTCTAAAATAGTCAGCAGCACATCATCCCAATTCTTTTCTCAAGACCTACGGTTTGGGTGGTGGATCTCGATAACGGCATTCAAAATTCTTCTCTTTACAGCTGCCGCAAGCCGGTCGCCCCTCATCACATTTCGCCTTTAAATTTCGACAGCTATCGCATGCCTGAGCGGCGCGTTGCGCTTTCCGAGGTTTCGCAGGTTGAGTATAAGGCGTCACTGAATATTGTTCTCGGGATGGAGGGTGGGCATGATTTTGTGGTGGACCATACATTGACATGGACCCGTCAAACGTTGGTGTAGTCATCGGACTTGTGGAGGGAGGCGGGGGTTGAGGTTGATACATGGGAGGAGCGGGGTTATTACTATACATCTGCGGCGTATGTTGCGGAGTATGCTGCGGAGGCGGAGGTTGATGTTGATCGAATCTCGGTGGGAAAGACCTTCCTCTCTCTTCAGGGTAGGGTGGATTCACATGGTGGTCTGTACCATTTGTTATAGGTAGTGGTCTATGTTGTGGAGGTTCTTCCGAAGGATCTGGTTTCACGACGGGCTCTCGAGAACCATTGTGTCCGTTATGCCCATTGTATTGAGGGATAGGAGGAGGTTGGTGCGTATTATGTATGTGGTAGACATGCGAATGTCCTGAATTGGGGCGATGAGGGTCTTGATGTTCCTGGAAGTTAGGGTGGGGAGCTCGTCTATCGAGGGGGTGGGCGTGAGACTCGGGACGAGAGAATGGACTGCTATTATACGGAGGTTGTAAGGGAGGAAGGGCCCTTGAAGGGTTGGGTTGATTGGGCTGTTCGATCGGCCAAGCAGGACCAGGTCCTAACCTTGGTCGCTTTGGATCTGGTTGACCATTGTCCATCATTGCGATTCACACAAAAAGTTAAGTGGCCACAACAGCTAGGGCCATGGACTGCGGTCGAGCGCGGCGGCTTCTTACAGGTTCGAGGAGAACACAGAGGCGTAATAGAGCTCAGTGGAGAATCATCTGCGCAGGTATGTATTACGGACTGACGTGTAGGTAATCATGTGTGTGATGTAACAGAATGCCGCGCAACTGAATTATGAAGGTAATAAGATGGTATCGTAAAGTCTGCTCGAACAAGGTTTTCCAAGATCAGCCATATTGCTTCCCGAGGGTAAAGTAGTAAAGTAGTGGTAAGCTATCAAAAAGCGACCCGGGTACCAAGTAAGTGGTCCACCAGGTCCATCGAATATAGTTTGCGCGGGAGTGAGGCGCAATGATAGAAGCGATGTCCAAGAGAAATTTTAGAACATTACCTTTAGGTTTGGGAAATTTGATTAACCCTTTCAAGTAGAGTAAAAGATCTGCAATGATACTTTTTGGGTCACTTTCCAAGTTGATTTGGAAATATTTATGAAGACCTTGATCGGAGGGGGTTTAGGTTGGGAAGAAAATGTATAAATAGGTAATAATAATAATAATAATAATAGTAATAATAATAATAATAATATCTGGGGATATAATTTTTTGGGTAGGTTGTAAATTGTAAATTGTAATCTGTGATAGCTGAGACGGAAGCTGGGATTCAATGTATGTATGTATGTCTGTATCTCGTTTCTCGCTTCTCGTTCCTCTTAATCTTTTCCTCTTTCTCTTGCGACGAAGGTGGGATGATAATATCTTTGGGTTTTTGGTATTTGAGTTTGGATTTTGGATTTTGGATTTTGGATTTTGGATTTTGGATTTTGATTTTGAGATTTTTGTATCTGATTTTGGCTTTAGTTTGGCTTTAGTTTTGGCTTTAAAAGCGGGAGTAGGCACGGTACATCGAGTAGTGTGTGAGTAGTGCCCGAGTAGTGAGTACCTAATGAGATGAGTAAAGAAAGGTAAGGCAAGGTAAATAATAAAAAGTAGTGTGAACCTGTCAAAAATGGTAAAAATAGTCGAAAATTCCGATTTTTTTAAACTTGGGACTGGGTTTTTTGGTGGGTTTTTTGGCGTTGCATAGTATGTATTTCCAGGATCTCTTGAGCGTTTCCTTTTCTGGTGCTCTTGGTGCTATTGGTGCTCTTGGTGCTATATTGATTGACTGATTTGTTAGAAGTGGAAAGGAGAAGAGAATAGTCAAAATCAAATCACTGATTGATTATTTATCAAGCTGAAACCAAAATAAAAGAAAAAAATAAATACAGTATGGTATAGTATGGATGGTATAGTATATAGTATAGTACAATGAATGCAATACAGTAAATGCTCGACGGTAATGAAAGAGGAAGATAAGAGCGAGATGGATTTGGAAAAGAGAATATGCAGCAGCAGTAATTCAGAACCAGTCGTTTAATGACCGAGTTGAAGGGTATAGTGAAGTGTGGAGTGTGAGGTTTTGTGCAGAAAAAAAAAGGTGGAAGGTGGGTGGATGGGTGGATGGATGATGGGTGGATGAATGAATGGATGCTCGCTTGCTTGCTTGCTTGCTTGCTTGCTTGATTGCTTGCTTGTCCTTGTGGATGGATATTGTAAAAGATGGGAATCGGATAATAGAATAGAATGCTTAATGCTAGAAATTTTTCGGGTTTTATTAAGAAGGTCCCTCAAGTCCTCACTCAACTCAACCTTGAACCCTTCACAATATTCATAACCCCAAGCAAAGGAAAGGAAAAAATAATTAAGAAAAAATCCACTTCGAACTGGCTTTTTCTTCTTCATCCTCTTTCATCTCCTTTTCAATTTCAAGTACTAAAAAACTATCTCTTCTAACCTAAAAATTTATGCCAGCTTGCTTTGAAATTCTTGGATTGCCGGTAGCTTCATCCTTCAAATCTTCCGAAAACGTTGAAGAAAAACGTTTCGATAGTTGAATATGACACTGCGGGAAATACAATAATAACAAGGCAAACTTAACAAAATTTTTGAAACTTCTGGTCAAAGTAGATGGAATGCGATAAGGATTGAGGTGATAGGTGAAGATTAAGGTAAAGAGAAGGATCATGCAAGTAGGTATCCAAAAATTGACGTACCAACCCGTGTCTTCGTGACCTAGAATGTATGGAAGATTTATGGTCCCTGTGCGACTTGATACGGCGCCGTCGAAAGCCGTTGAAGATGAAGTAGATGCGATCGAGATGGATGGCTCGTTGTGCTGGTATGCTGATGTGCTGGTATGCTGATATGCTGGTTGTTGAAATGTTGGTTGACTGTCGTATACCCTCCCAAGATCTGCACTGTTTGGTTCGTCTCTCCGCAGTGTAAAGTCTTGTCGGTATGGATTCGTCTTTCTTTCGGCGCAGCGCACTTTCGCGATTCAAGTTGTTCAATGCTGATGCAGTGCTCACTAACCTGTGTTCTTGAGAGCTTTCGTGTCCAGTTACCCGGTGCCAAACCACCCGAGAACAGGCGATATAATACTTTTTTGTGGATGGGTAGCTAAGGTGATTTGAAAGTTGGGAAGTTTAGATTTAGATTGACAAGGGGGGCAGGTATAATGTAAGGTGGGATAATAGTAATAGTTTGTGAAGTGCGAGAACGCTTGATGAGTTAAAAACTAGGATGGATGTAATGTAATACCCAAGTCGGCTGGAGCTTTGAGATGGGGGTGAATGAGGCGTTGTAAGAAGGAAAAGTATGGAAACCTTTGGGAAAAGGTGTGTGTGAAGGCGAGATAGCTGCCGGCCGGGCTGCGTGTTGATTAGGTTTATTAATTCTACAAAAGGTGGTAATAGGTAGGCTGGATGAAAAGGACCTTCATGCTATTGGAAAATACTCTCGTGAAGGGCTGATTTATCCAATTCTTGATATCTACATATCTACAATAAACCTCACATTTGCTGCCATCTACTTTCATCCACCTTTGCATCCCACTACTGCTGGTAACAAATAATGCTACCCTTACCAAAAGGTAGACCTTACCCATAAAGGTAACGATTTATTTTATTTTGTTGAGTTGGATTTTATACGATATTTCTATGACTGATGAAGGGGTTAATGGGGAACTTGGAAGTGATAGATAAAGGTCTGGCCATTGAATGTCATCCAAGTGGGACAACCCAGTAAAGTTATTCATTTCGCTATGTAAAATTCGAGTACAAGATTTGATGAAGGGAAGTAAAGACATGTCATCGCCCATGAGAAAGAAATACAAGCCGTATATGTGTATTCTGTAATGTATTTTGTGCCGATGTCAAAGTATCTAGGTACCGATGTAACCACCACATGGCATTCATCTATCTATCCATCTCAACTTCACTTCAAAAACTTCGACTTCCCGCACAACACAAACCTCAACCTAAATGTACCAACCCAAGCTTTCCTGGCAGTCAATCCCCTCGCTCCCTTCGTTCTTCCTTTATCCAATCACCGCCCCAACCACCGCCCCAACCACCACATCACTCTCTAGATTATATCCGGATCTGCGTACACACGTCGCATCCCAAGAAATGCGAACCAGTAAGCAGAGCCGGGATGCAGCACCGTCTTCTGAAAACCAACCAATGATAAATGTGGAGGGATTGATAGTCTCGTCTGGCCCTATCCGTAGCAACAAGGACATCCATTCATCCCAATGCATTTTAGCAATTTTAGCCAGTGCAGAAACAATGAAACAGAGAATCAATCAACAATTTCACCAATATTCCTTCATTGGAAGCTTGGGAAAATAACCCCGACTAGGAAGGAAGGATGCGGAGGCGTCAAAGTCACCTTCATGTGGGTTCCGTACTTGCCAAGCTGTAGGCTTGTCAGCCTCGAATGTCGTATGACCTGCTCCTTACACATGCGAACCAAACATTCTAATAAGTAGTACATTTGGTGATAAATAATGCAATGTTGCCTACCCTATACATATCCATCCAGGAAGGAGTACATACGGGACAGTGCAGATTCATAACTCCATCTCCATGCATACGGCATCCGACATACGTACATACAAGCCCCCAGCACACAAATGGCAGACATGAAGCCTCTCTCATTCAATGAATCCCATCCATCCATCATATGTTTTCATTCCGAACCCCAAAGATTCCACCAAGCTTATGATGAACAACAGGCCTCCTGGTCATGGTACATACCGACACCTCGGACATGGGAGACACCAGCTCCAGCGCCCATTCTTCTGTGCACGATTTTCCTGCATCAAAGAATCCTTCGCCTCATCAACCCACGGTCCCATGGAGAATAATCGGTAAAGTCTAGTAAAGTCTCCCCCTAAACCGAATCTCAGTCATATCATCCCTCCGTAATGTAAAAAATGTGGATATCGATCCCATTATTTCATTTTCTGGAAGGATTCTTTTTTCTTTCTTCCTTCTTTTTCCTTTTCAACCTCCCTTCCTTGCCCAGCTGCTTCGGCTCGGACTTTTGGGATACTTTCTGGAAATGTCAAAGCGTGCTAATAAATGTGACGAATGTACTCCGTAATCACAATATATACACCACAATAATGATGATCTATCAAAAAAAAATAAAAACTGCCAATCACGCACTGCTTTTGCTTCTTTTTTGCCTCAAGTCCGATACTAATGATTTCATATGTCTCTCCATCATATTTTCATTGTAAAATAGTAATTATGCTATCTGTAATTCGTACCAAGGATTCATATCGCATTAATCGAGGGAAAGTCTAGCTCTGTGTCACTGTCACAACCCAATATCAATCAATCATGAGATTCTACAAGATCCCAAGCACCAAAGATCAGCATGGGGAACTGCGGGGACGATAAATAAATGATCCAACGGCCCTCGGGTAGAGCCCTCGAAGTTCCTCCCAACCATATCCTCCCCCAATCACAATGTCGTTCCTGGCAGCAAAATTGACAAGTACTGGCACGGGAACTGATATACGCGCTGTCACAACTTTATTAGAGACCAGACAACCTTATTACATAGTTACAACTTACTTACTACAAGAGCAAAAAGGTTTGAAGTATCGGCGGAACGGGCGCGAGGCAAGGAACGAGAAGCTCTAACTCTACTTTTCCTTCTAGCTTCCATCTCTAGCTTCCATCTAGCAAAACCCAAAACCAAGAAAGTTGTTTACTCCAGAAGTGGAGAGATAGCTCGGCTATTGAACAACTCGAGTCAAGTTATACAAGAAAATTTTCACCTCGCCATCCATGCCATGCCATGATATCCAGAAAAACAAAATATACTCCATAGTCAACCAATCTTTCGTATGGATGGCCATAACACCGTAAGTCGCCATCGAGTGTCTCAAATCTCGAGGAAAAAGAATCTTCTACAGCGTAATATGTAAAGAAGATTCACATCATTCAACACTAGAAGGAAATAAATGTCGGAAAAGGCCGAGGGAATTCTCCAATCAAAGTTCACAAACTACTTAAATGCAAGGTAGGAATTACCAAGTAGTCGGGCGAAAAACCTGTAAACCATGTGGAAACGGCATTGCCGGCGTTGAAAAGTATCTACCTAAATGTAATGTAGTATGTACTCACCGCAACGAAAACATAGCGATACGATGATCATGAATCGTGACGATAACTTGGGTTTCGGGTTTTTCAAGGTATCTGGTATCTACTCGAGCTACTCGCTTTAATATCTCAGTAGTAGACGAACTAGATGCATCATGTACTAGAAGTATTGTCGTCGGCGACCAACTTCACGAAAAGAAGGCTGAAGAGAGATCATCAATAATAAGAAGCATCCAATCCCTTGCAGCCAGTCTGCAGACCAACAAAAAGTCTGGTATCCGATGCGATGGCTCCATAGATTGATGCCCGAAAAATACGCGGCAAACAAGGATACATCTAAATAAACTTTCCGTCCTGTCAAAAACCGGCAAGATCTCCTTCGTTTCGCAGGATAACGTATCAAAACATGGCTTGCATAGCTTGCATATCATCATTGCATAGTAGGGTACTAGGAAGTATGAGATACTTTTGAGACTACGGGGACGAGGCAAAAATGATGCGACTGGATGCGGGTCATCTGACGTTCCTGCGCTTTCAAACGGGACTGGTAACCTCACCGCTTCTTCCGAGCTTTAAGATCAGATACGCTGATAGAAATACGGTTAATCATTAAGGAGGCTGAGGTTATAGTGTTTGGACTCAAAGATGGCCGAAAGAAAAATGACAAGACGGCTAAAGATTAATCAGAAAAGAGGTCCATGTAATGTGATTTGTGTCCTGATTTGGCTAGACATAATGTTCCAATGTACCAAGTAAGTTCATGTTGCTCATGGTTGCAGATGGTTGGTGACTTGCTTCCAGGACCGGTACTCGATTTTCCATGGCAGATGATAAATCTTCCGATGTGACCAATAGAAGCTTTCGGAGGTTAATACTCAATATGCACAAATCTTCTTCTTACTCGTTGATTGCTTTTTAACCATACGTTGCCACGAATTTAGGAATCTCAAAGGCCAATAAATCTCAAAAGATAGATCTGCATCATTTCGATTGTTTCACAGAAACGAATCTTCGATACATGCCGGTATAACCTTACATTTAGACAAACTGTTGGTTGATGCTATCGCATATAGGTAACCAGTGACATCCGAAAAACATCCGAAACATGCCTCCGTACTCCGTAATTTGGTGAAAGACTCAAAATTGCTCGGATATGTACCGGATATACATACGATATTTTGATAGATAAGAAACTGATGAACCTTCAACCCCTCCAAAACAAGAAGCCATATCCGCACGTGCCGTTGCGAAAATACACGGTAATCATTCATGAAACGATAAATGTTAAGGCCAAGGTTAACCAGGTCCACCTTGTCCACCTTGTCCTTTGTACTCCGGACGGACCCTTTTCCACGTGTCAGGCGGCGCCTTCATCTGCTTAGCCCTGATCATCTTGTTCACCCAATCTTCCATTCGCAGCTTGATCCGAGCTAATGTTCTAGGATTAATGGTATTCGTTTATCTTGAGAAGGATAGTTATCCTTAGCTATCCTGAGTTATCAGAGTAAGCGCAAATGTCGGTGTAACACAAGCATGCGAGCTTACTCAGATGTGTCAAATGAGAACGTGAGGGTCAATTTTGATATTTGACCATGTCGCACAACGTTTGATTCGGTGTACACCATCAGCTTTGAACGTTCCAATGAATCGGGAAGCTACGGCGAAACATCATCTTCATTAAGTGCCGAAAGTACCGATATACATGTATATTCGGCTGGGTCCACTACCTCGAATGGAAGATTGATAACGCCATCGCCCTTGTCTGTCTCAATCCCTACTCGTATATCTCCTTAATCGTCTATTTGGGCTGCGTGATAACGAGCTCGTTCTCTGTTGTATTATCATGACTGGTCAAGTTACTCTTTTGAACCCTTGACGTGTTGATGGCGTTTCGGAATAGCTCGTCTAATCCCGATGTAACCGTAACCTCTACTCGGCCCAAATCATAGTCTAACGCAATGGTCGTGGCTGTCTTAAAAACTACGTATGCCCTATTTCAGCCTGTTCCATTGACACGATCGTCAAGGATGCGTCTCCTTTTGGCGTGTCTGCTGGCCTCAACGCTTCTTGTTCGAGTACGTCGACGGCGCCCAGGAATATTGATATTAGATTCTTCCCCTTCCGTAAATGTTAAGTCGCCCGTTTCCCCCAGGATTTCCCGGGACGCTTCTTCCATCAAAATACCCAGTCCTATCAATGCCGTCTCGTCCATACTGCGCCAATCTATAGAGCCCCCTTCTGCAGTTGCACGAAAATAGAAATCTGAAGCATAGGTGTGAAGTGATTTTAATAGATCGGAGTCGGGTAATCCCTTCGGTGAGTCTCGTTCATTTGCAAAGTAGATGTCCGATTCGGCATATCTGGTTGGTGCATTCTTGCTCCGAAACAATACAGCTTCGGGAGGCACAGCACTTAAAGAGGATGATGTAGTATCCCGATTTGTAGAAACAATCACACTCCTAGGAATGAAACCTGCTGCGGAAATCCGACCTGAGAAACATATCAGTAACGTAACTTTTTTATCTCCCGAGGGACGTTGTGCATGTGGGTGTTACCTGCAACAGCATCGTAAACGGAAGGTTTTCTTAATCGTGAAACCTTTTCTCCCACTATTGATTTTTCTTCAATATCTGGGTTGATAAATGTGTTCTGTGAAAATGCTTTGGATGTCATAGTCTCCGTCACTATTCTAAGATTGTTGTCTGGAATGTAAAAGAAAACAACAATCGTAAAAGTTGAATCTGGCTGGAGCGTTGGAGAAATTTAGCTTAGGTGTGACAACCACGCGTAATTGATAAGTCACTCCAGAACAAGCATTGCTTTTCAATGATCTACTGGCATTGAAGTAAATCATCACCACTTACCTGGTACTTGAATTTGATCTTTTCGTACATATACGCGACATCAAATGTATGAATCAATTGATCTATGATCGATCAACGGGCAACCTTAGCCCAAATGCCTTCGCGCGCATCCAAGCCAGTCGATTAATTCATGCGATTTCACCAGCCCCGAAGCTACAATTCAATGGTGGCGAAAAACGACCAACTATAGCCACAGATGCAGAAGCTCGAGAATATGAGCCAGTGAAGTTATGGGCGCACCAAACTGGAGTGAACGCACTATCGATAGATAGATTTGAAGGAAAGATGTAAGAGTGAAATGAATGTTTAAAAGTCGTTAAAACATTGGACTAACAAGAGGATATATAGTCTTCTTTCTGGAGGAGCAGATGCATCGATCAAAATTTGGGATCTTGATCAAATCCCCACCGGGGCTTCAGACTACACATTCCGACCAACCGGAATAGTCCCTAGGTATTTCACAGATTTCTATCATTGTGCCAAACAGTTTGAAAGCATCCACTAACTCGGGTCTACAGGAATGCTCCCGCGCACAAGTATGGCATTACACATCTTAGTTTCTATCCTTTTGATTCTGCCGCTTTTCTCTCTTCATCATACGATCATCATCTCAAACTATACGCCACAGAGTCTCTCCAAATCTCTGCAGACTTCGATTTAAACTCTATCGTCTATTCGCATGCCGTATCTTCCATTGCACAGCATCTTCTGGTGGCTTGCGCAACTCAACACCCAGCTGTCAGACTCGTTGATCTTCGGTCAGGCGCAAGTACACATTCATTAGCCGGGCATCATGGAGCTATACTCTCCGTCGCTTGGCATCCGAATATTGATCATATATTAGCTAGTGGATGTGTAGATGGTACGATTCGTCTTTGGGATATACGCAAGAGTTCTGGAGCAGTGGGTTTGCTGGACTTGGAGGATGCGATTGGGATTACGGTTACACATGGTATGGCAGGTGGTCGATCAAGAGCTTCAGCTAGAGCACATTCAGGCGCTGTTAATGGTCTAACCTGGACGGATAATGGAAATTATATCATATCTGCAGCGCATGATGAAAGAATTCGCGTCTGGGATGCAGCTACGGGTGGGAATACACTTGCGAGTTTCGGCCCAATACTAAAGAATGGACATCTCTCAAGTCTACCTCTAGTAGTATCACCTACGGCATTAACTCCTCCCATGAAAGAACTTGTATTCTTTCCCAATGAGAAAGAAATTCTCGTTTTCGAACTCCACGAAGGCCGCCTTCTCAAACGGTTGAAAGTTCCTGGTCCCACTTTAGCAGCAGTCCGATCTCGAACTGGTGAAAGAAATATCAGAAATCGTATTACAGCATTGGCTTGGAGAGAACCAGTCGATGGTATATACTCCGCTCATTCTGATGGAAAGATTAGAGCTTGGATACCTAGAACTGAAGAGGATGTCGAGTTAGATCGTGATGAAGAGGAGGAAGGTGAGACTCGGGATAGAGATGAAGATGGCAAGAGGAAGAGAAATGTTCTGGATGATGTTTTTAGGGATTTGACGAGACAGAAAATAAGTTTTGGTTAAGGCTTCTCTATAAAATAATTTAAACTCTCCTAAACAGAGACATTCTCCGTTACTCAATATTACACTGACTCGAGCCGCGTTATTTCCAATCAAATCCACCATATATAAGGCTTAATGGCTTACAAATTTCACTTCAAATTGTAGTTCATCGAAATGATTTGTATACGGAGGGCTGACCATCTCTCCTTCAAGCTGGGAGTCAAGCTAGAATTCACCAGAGCTTCTTACTCAAGGAAGAATGCACATTATCCTCAAAAGTAGCGAACGTCGGACATCGCCGGGAACTTTAATATCAAACCGTTTTCCTAAAATAAACTCATTGGAAATATAACATACTATACTAGAAATTCACACATGGAGTATACTAGTATACCCAACGCCTTCCAAAAAGAAAAATCTTGCAGTCTTATCGTAGTTTGCATTCCTTAGATATGGATATGGATATGGATATGTACCGCATAGCATCACACGCAGCCGTGTACTCAACATGATCAACCTACGGTACCTACCTAGTATGTGAGGATTTTCTGTTGTTTATCTGTGCCCACAAAGTGAGAGGAGTGGACTTGAGAGATATGATGTTAGGTATTTTGTGTGTGGGATTATGGAGTTAGGAAGGTTTACTTGTCTCGTTTTTATTCATAGTGTTGTACTCGGGTGGATTTATATTGATGGAAGATTATATTTTGGCTGCTGTTGATCATGTGGTGTAAATAGAGAAGCAGAGGTTTGGATCATTCAGCTACGGGGCAGAGTTGGCTATATGAGAAGGGGCCGGAAAGAAGACCCGGGGGAGGATGTTGGGAGAGGGTTGATTCGTTTGGTGTCGGATTTTTGCCGGTATTATAGGAGTCTTTCTTTATGAGTGTAATGGAGAATAAAGTCGATTTGTCAAGAACGACTGATATCAAAACTTATATGCACATGCTCTTTCATGTGAGACATTTCTCAGACCCCTCTATTCTACTTCCCTAGATGAATACCACCATCAATGATAGAATTTGTACCAGTAGTACTCTCACTCTCGGCTAAACAGTATATTTGTCTAGCCACTTCTTCAACAGTGGCGAGTCTTCCTAATGGGCTCTTCTTTTTCATTGCTTCTACTTTAGATTCGGGAAATTGGAGTCCCCAGTCCTGTGATGGTTGATATTAGTTCATTACATTTGTCTGATTATGTATACGATGTTCATCGAGTAACATTGGTATTTTGTGATATTTAAAGTTAATGACACAGAAGGAAAGGATGTTGGACATACCGTAAGCATTAATCCTGGTGAAACGGAATTCACACGTATTGTTGATGTGACAGCTAATGTCTTAATGAGATGTATCTGAGCAGCTTTCGTTACAGAATATGCCTGGTGTCCATCAATTAGCTCTTATCTACATCCATGTCCATCAATTTTCAGGGAAAAACATACCATAGAACTCCCACCAGGTTTTACCCCCCTAAAAATCATTTCGTTAGTCATCGTATGCCCTTCTTTCTACCTACAATGATAAAAGAAGGGAAGATAGAAAAAGACTTACGCAATACTAGCAGTGGATATAAAACTTCCATCAGTCTTCTCTAAGTATGGTTTCACAGCATGAAAAAGCCATAAATGTGACTTAACATTCATACTGAAACAGCGATCCCAATCTTCTTCAACGACGTTATCATCTAGGTCTTGAAAGTTGCGAATTTGAGTCCAGCCATGGTTCGATACGACTGTTATCTATGTTAGATCTTTTGATCTACAAGTAGGATATAAATAGATAAAAAAAAACAGGGGAGTTAGAGATATAAACATACCAACATCTAATCGTCCCCATTGGTCTATGCTCTCCTTAACCAATCTCTCTACCTCATCTTTCTTCGACATATCAGCCTTTATGGCTGTAATTTTCTTTCCCTTTTCACTATCATTTGGTATCTTGCTCCGTTCAAGATCTTCCAATTCATCAACCAGGCTTTGTGCTTTTGCATGGCTGGAATAATAATTGATGATAACGCGAATACCGTGAGAAGCAAAGAGTCGAGCTGTAGCGGCGCCCAGTCCTGCTGATGAGGCGGTAATAAGAACTACAGAAGATTGAGTTAAAGGTGTCATCTTAAGGGTTTCGGATGATGGGTGGATGTTGAATGATGGGTGTGGTAGATTGCTTGTGAAGTTGAAGTGAGCGGAGCGGGGCAGAAGTTACCCCGCAGTCATGCATATGGCCCCGCTTGCCTTCCATTTCAGTCATATTTGTACGTCTCTTGTAATATAATAAGAGATAATTGCTAAAGGAAAAGCCCTTGCGAACTAATATTATTGTTCTCCATTGGCGTTCAATCACTATCTAATGATTTCTGAAACCAACCAACCACATTCTTGACGACCGGTCAAGTAATCAACTCCTATCATCTACTTCCATTACGACCATCCCTCATAGGATTGAAACCATTCCACATCCACCACAACTTTCAAATAAGTTCCTATTCCTCATAACCACTGAACGACCACAGTCGTTGTTCGTAAAACCATCCATCCACCCATCATAAAAACAAAGGAATAAGACCTCAGAAGTAGCTACTCCATAGGAAAAACCGTCTTAGCAATTTTACGGAACTTCTCAATGTAAGTTACAAATCTTTCTCATGAAGCATTACTAAAAAGAAAGCTAGCGAGTAAGAGAACGTGAAATGTGAATTTACGGACTGAGTAGAAAGCGTGCACTAACAGGTACGCACAGTGGATTTGTAATTTAGAATGGCCTGGGGATTGATGAAGTTCATCAATACTATCCGCAAAAATAATAATACCTATATGATCACTAACATGTCCCAACTCACTCGACATGTAAAAATGAGTTAGATGTTGGGTGACTCTATTAGCCAAGGAGAAACATCAAGCTGAAGTTCCTCCTGTTTATAAATGGAGTGGACACGATTAGCTCCTTCTCTATCAGAGGCGTAATATAAATTGCTTCGCCAATCTACCGAGATAGCATGAGTAAATTTAGAAATTGATCTCATTTGGGCGTCATCTGATTCTGGTGGAGAGATACGGGCAACTTTAGAAATTGGATCTATTTGAGCATCTTTTCCGGAATTTTTTTGGGTTTTGTTTCCGAGGATTTCGAGAGATTGGAGCAACTTGAATGCGTGGTGTAAGAGAAACTTGTCTAGGTTTGGATGGTTCAAGTTTGATAGCTTTGCCTTGAGTCTCTTTTCCGTAGTTAATTTGCAAAAAGTTTATTCCATGCTTTTGGTTCATCATAGAATTCTGCCTTACCAAGATCCTCCAAAGAAGATCGAGGGAGAGCAGTCAGATTTTCACGTTGACCTTTTAAAATCCTGCATCCAACAATTTGTCAAGAAACTCCGCCATGAAGACAGCGAGATTATTGATTGGAGGACGACTTCGGTGAGTTCCTTGTTCAAAATTGAGCGAATTTCACATCTTGCCATCACTGCTTCTACCTTTGTCATTACCGGTTCCCTTACTGGTTCCAGGGTTTTAGGCTGAGGAATTTCTTATCGTTAGTATCATGATCACTGTGAGCCTGATTAGAATCATTAATTCCGCCGTCACAGCCTTCTTCCTCCGAGAGATCGTCGATTGGGATATCTTTGCGAAATTCTCTCGATGGCGCAGCTTTTCACTTTTTGAACAAGAAACTATATGGTCATCAATACTGAACTTCTTTGCAGCTTTCCCACCGATGTTAGTTAGCAAGCATGGATGCCCAACACCAACTATCTAGGGCGTTCTATCAAAGCATTTTGATCGGTTGATTAATTTGCATGATTCGTTCCATATACTGTCGTTGAATGCCAATCACTTGACAACTTTCCAACAGGTAGGTCCAATACCCCTTGACTTCAAGATAATATTTGTGTGGTGATTGGTCCGAGCTTTGTCGGTTATTCTCAGCTACTCTCGAGCCGAAGGGGTAAGGGGTAAGGGGTTGATCCAAGTGGTCCTGGGTATATATCGGGATGAAATACGGCAGATTTGAGATTTGAGATTTTAATTCGTCACTCTCCTGTAGGAGAGACAGAGTGTTTCAAGTGCCCAGCCTGTCTTTCCAATTAAGATTCCATCGGTCGAGGTCTTCTCACAGAGGCTGCAGACGTGTGTTGACCAGTTTTCCATACGCAGTCTCAACTCCAATGGTAGTAGCTACCTCTACTTCAATACCTGCAGGAGGTCGGAAGCGAGATCAGACTAGTCCTGTACCTTTGGTAAGCGAATGGTTGTGTAGATGGACTAATGTGTCAAACTCATGTGGTTCATGTGAGGTTCAGTAATGTGAAAAGGACAAGAAGTCTTGCATCGTTCGTGTATTGGCAGTGAACACGTAGGCGCCGGTACAAGTCGGATCTCGAATTGATGAATTGCGATGACTTGCACGGGTAATAAGCTGGAAGATGAAATCCAGTGTTGGCAGAGATATTGATGAACTCATCATCTAAGATCATTCATTTCAAATCGATAGAAAAAGCATCTGGTCAAAGGTCTAAAGAAGCAGTCCTGACATACCGGCAGAAGTCGACTTCTTAACCCTGGAGCATTCAGCCATGCATGAAGACTACAGCAAGCAACCGAATGATTCCTCCATGCTTAAATAAGTGAGCATCGTGATACTCAGCATATAAGATGAAGTCCCGCAGAGGAATGCGCACCGCACATGGAAATATGCCTCTAATAACAGTCGAGATGAAAGCAAACAGAAAGAATGACGATTGGCCAAAAGTGATTGACCAACCTGTCCAACGATACTGTCATTGGGGTTAAGTATCCCAAGGTGATATACTGCCTTTCAGAACCAAATCGTGTGGACCATCAGTTAGGTATAGGGAATACAATGACTCCAGAAGGAGATAAAACTTTCGAAATCCATGCGATCGAGGGAATATACTGCAATCAAAGGCCTCTTGAAAATGAAATGAGTAAAAAAGTTAGTTCTTTATTAATGGGCCAAGGTTGGTACCGCGACGTGGTCCGAACCTTGCCGGAGGTGAAAAGTCCAGAACACCGATGGTAAGTGAATTCTCATTCACATTCATTCACATTTCAGAGGAATGATCCTAAGAAAAGAAGAGAACCATCAGGCAAACCTCAATAATTCTGCTCATCATGGAATTGTGTCACAAGGCTGACAGAGCTTCATTCTTCAGTCTCTTCCATAAGTGGTATCATTGACCTCAAAGACAAAGATCCTCTCCAGACAGATGATTGATGGTGAGAGGTTTTGGTGTGATTTTGGTGTCAGACAACTGCCACTGATGGTGCGACAACAATAGAGTATATTGAGACTGTATTGATTGTTATTTGCAGTATGGGCTTTGAGTTGCTTGATTAAAAAGCTTGCGGGTGGGTGTGGAAGAAGGTTCAAACAAAAACAGAGGAAGGTCGAAGGTCCGAGCTCTCTGGAACCTCTTCGGGATTTTCCGAGACTAACCCCAACCCCCACTAAACAGCCAATCTGGGATAGACATATCCCACTGATGCGTATACTCCGTATATTTATTCACCTAGGAAGAAAATCCTTTCGTGTACATATCCTCAAAGGACAATCACTTTTCGGGAATAGAGTACTGTTTTACTTGATACCCCTTCTTTCCACTCTTCTTCCCCACTCAAGAAGATCTTTACTTTTCTGGAGGTTGAGAAATGGCTCCTATAACTTTAGCTGGCTCGGCGGACTCGAAGAACAAATTTGAGGACTTATCCGGTATTGATACGGCGAAGTATGCCAACCCCTATGATGCTTTGATCGAAGCATGTCACGATGATCCGGTATTTGATTTTCACTGTTGACACCATCTATCCCGTCAAAATAACAATTCTACTGTCATTTTATGGCTTTACAAATTGATCACATAACACATGTGTGTTTGAAATACTACTGCTGTATTTAATTACATACTTTGAACTAATATTCTCCTCAGGTCGAAATACAAGCTAAGTATGCAACTCACCGAGAAACTCGAAATGCTCAACAGAAAGCCAAGATCCTGGCTTCTGATTTTCAAGAAATGATAATGGATACTGTTCTACAAAAACTAGAGGATCCCAATATTGAGCCTGGGTTTGAGGATCCACGACATTGCTTGGTATTCTGGGCGCGCCCTCCGCAACATATCAAAACTCTAGTGGGGAATATCCAACAGAAACTGCTTACTTTGGCTCCGAGTATGTGAAGATTCATCCATCGTTTAGCCCATAGCCTTCTGATACTCGTCTTAATTCTCACCACTGACATAAATTCCAGAGCTCTGGCTTATGCCCCTGCTCAAGTTGCACCTCACTGCGCTTGAAATCACCCATTCTCTGACCTCCCCGGAAATAACCTCCATCATCAATCAGCTCGGTACATCTACCACATCAACCATGACAGATTATCCCCTTCAACACCGCGCTCGTCTCATTAAACCTACTCTATCCTATGATTCCGCTGCAGTTGCACTTTCTTTTCTTCCTGCCGCCGGAGAATTGCTCACCTCAACTCCAGATCCATCATCCCGCAATCCCAGAACGGCCCAAGATGATGTTTTCACCTACCATCATCTTCGCCAATCTCTATTCACGCTTGCCCGATCTACAGGTATTTCTGTTGATTCCCGTTATGTAGTTCCCAGTTCACATATCACGATTGGACGATTTCTCACGCAGGAAGATCACGATACGCCTGAGAAACGACAGGCTTGGATAGACTTGATTGAGGAAATCAATGTGTGGCTTAAAGAGCAGTACTGGCCACGGGAGGAAGGAGGAAGGAATGAGGATGGAGAGTGGGTCGTAGGACAGGAGAAGGGTTTGGATTGTAGGAGGGGCCAGCTGTGGTATGGAGGGGGTGAGACAGTTATGTTAGGAAAGGGGTTCTCAGTATAGTCCCAAGAATACAGTAGTATACTCTTAACACTCCATTTTTTAACTTTTGTTTCCTTGTATTCAAGAATGGTGAGCGTATGTTACTTACTATAAGACCCGGTGAAAGTATCACCCTATCAACCAAAAGTAATTCAAAGGGACTAACGCCTATCAATGGAAAACTAGGCACAAAGTGGCATCTTAGTATCTGTTTGGTCATGAGTCCATGAATAGTCTTATTCTTAAAACTCTATCTTTTTTCTCTAAAAAAGAACAAGAAGTCCATTCCTCATACAGGAGTCATACAACTCTCCACAATCTTCAAACAATTCAAATTCAAGTAAGACTTATTTTAAATGCTCATTTCGACTCCCGAGCAGAACGATAAAGGGGTAGCATCAGTCATCGTTTGCCTCATGGATATAGCATGAAATGGTGCCCTAAACATAATACCGTCATAATTCATCGATTGGACTAGAAACATCAAGATTCTTCTGAAAGACCATCTAGGAAATGATTGGGGTCCAGTCACTGCACCTATTGGAACTTATTGGATAAGCCCATCGTTGCATCTTGGCTGTTACTGAAAGTTTTCAAGATGGCAATACAACGACTTGTGTAAACCACGCTTGATTACTGACATCGCCGAAATGGATCAATATTTGCATGTAGCACTAGTTCGCAACTTGACGCGTGCATACTTGGCTAATCAAATCATCAATCATCCGCATGATACATGGAAAAGAAAATTAATTGTGATACATTTCTCATTGTCCACTTCCACACCATATCCCAATCACGAATATGTAAGCTACTGCAGATATCTTCAAGCATTATCACATAAAAACCTCCAGTATGGTATGTCATCAGCAGACTTTGCTATGTTTCATTTGGTAACTTAGGATGAGGTACAAGGAGTACAACCACATCGTTTTCTCCCACGCCTCATCACTCAACCATTTGAGTATTTGTGTATGTTCCTCGCAAAATCCGTCGACCCATCCATTTGTCCCCGATGAAAACAGAATCGCCATAGCATGCACAAATCTAGAATACCAATGCAGCACCCTTGGTCTTCTTGTCACCACTATTAAATTGTTAGCTGCGTGTTCAGGTGTATTGCGCACTTGTTGCACGAGAATAAGTATTGGGAATTCGTACCCAAGCTCGAAGTGCTTGCAACGCTTCAATGCCAACTGTGCCTTCGTCTTGCAGGATGTACATTCCAATCTCAAAACAACCTTCTTTGTGGTCTTTGCCTTCTTGTGGAAAACGGGTTTTGTCTGACCACCATAACCGGATTGTTTTCGATCATAACGACGCTTTCCTTGAGCGAACAACGAAGCCTAATCCAAGATATTAATTTTGATAAATCTTCGAGATGCTGATCGAGTATTGTACCTTTCCAGCCTTGTATTGAGTGACCTTGTGTTGGGTGTGCTTTCGGCAATCCTTGCCTTTGCAGTAAGTGCGTCTGGTCTTTGGGACGTTGACCTGCGAGAAAGGGAAAGTGTCAGTCTCGATTAATCCAGTTAAAATCATCCTCCTGAAGCGCTTCTCCATATGGTTCCCCCCCACTCCACAATGCTGACCATCATCCGATGTGTTAGAAATTGCCTGCAAAGTCGTCATGTCGCAGAAATTATATTGACGATGGGTTCATTCGGCAGCTCGAGGATAGTTCATTATGCGCCGGAAGCCATATTTCCCTCCATTAATCATTTTCCATCGGATTGTCGCATATTTTCTCTCGAAGTTCCAAATTCTTCTTCTTGCCTTTCCAACAATCCCAAGCAATGTCCCCCATCGAACTTGAAGCGCCCTCAACAATTCAACAACAGAATGAGATCAAACGTACCATCTTGGCGATTTATCTGGTGGTCGCTGGGATTGATTGTTGTTAGTATCGTCGTTGATAAGAATTTTGAAATTTGGGAAACTCAAGTGTGGGAAGCTCGCTTGGAACTAGGGCCATGCCGCTTTGAGGTTTGTTGTCACGTGCTTGTAAAAAGTCACGTGTAAATGCCATGATCAAGGAAGTCTGGACTTTAAATAACATCGGTGATGGTTACTTTCGTCAGGGCTGTCTTGTTAATACTTGTGTGAAGATCGTTTGGAGTTTTCGAATAACCAAATATCTCATTCCTTAACCATTTCTTTGCCTCACCTACATGCAAAGATTCGTCAAGAGATAATTCAAGTGAATCAAGTGTTCACTCATCATTCGATCATTTGATTTGAGTCTACTCGTAGCTTCAATTTTTCAGCAAGCTGAAGGATCACAACAAGACAAGCAAAGCGCACGGCTTGCTCACCATCCGAAGCACGCTACCATGCGAGGGGCCTAAAGGCCTACAAGAATGTGAACAACTCATTGCACTTTTGCCAATCGGCGGTGCGATTCCAATACGAAAACGAATTCGAAAACAAATCAAGGCGTTTTGTCACATCATGGACGTCATGAATGATTTTTATTGATTGTGGCAAAGCGAATCTATCAAGGATCTCTTTGAAAGAACGTCCGGCTCATCCTGCCAAAATCTTTAGGAGGTTATAATTTCATAGTAACACCGTGCAACTTAAATCTTGACCAGTTGGAAGGGTCTTATGATCCTCAATATTCATACTCCAATTGAAATTATTTCCAACTCTTTTGGATTCATCTGCATTCTGAAAATTGCTCATGGCCACTTACGGATCAAACCATATACAAAACCAATTTGACACACGTCCCGGAATGCTTTGGGACCGGATAAGATCCAATGCATTTAGAACCACGTTCGTTCGTGCTTCCTCAAACCATAGCATCCATTCTAGAAACGCTAATTGGCTAAAACGCCGACGAAAGCGGCTTCTCCTTCCCGTTTTCTGAGCGGCAAAGCAAGCGTCCGAGGGGCTAGTCCCAAGTATTTCAATGATACTTTATTATTCGGGGTTAGATGTCTCGAATTACCATCATAATAGAGAATTATTTTTACCACATAATGGTTTGATTCCTCTTGTACTTTCAATGTTTTCAACAATTAATTGCTAACTTGTGATTTTCTTGTATCTACGTACATATTTGATAAGTGACAGTTAGCCGTGCATATTTTGAAATGATTTCACTGCTCACTCTTCTTTTAACTACACTCCCCATTTATTTGGTGTATTCAAGTATAGTGGGATTGCAGAAAAATATCACAGCTGCTAGACGCTCGGGTTTGCCATATGTCATAAGCCGTGAGTCAGATCAGCCTTTCCTGGTTTTCATTTTCTAATCATTTCCAGCGATTAATCTTTATAACCCAATCTGGTTGATAACTCATCCTATATGGCTACCATTCATTAAAATACTGCCAAAGTCATGGACACAAAGCTGGGTTGAGTGAGTGATGATAAGGGTTACTGTCGAATGTGTTCTAACTAGGTTTAGTTATACGACACCAGACTGGTGCTGGCAGTTGCTTTATGATCCATTTGCTAAAACGGGGGACACTTTTCTGGTCGTTTCTCCTGGATCGGTTCTCGTATTTGTTTCAAATGCAGAAGCAATTCATCAGATCACAAGTCGTAGAGATGCCTTCCCCAAACCTCTCAAATCATACCGTATCCTCGAGATTTTTGGTCGGAATATTATAACAACCGAAGGAATTGAATGGAAAGAGCACAGAAAGATCTCTGCACCCAGTTTTACGGAAAAGAATAATACGCTGGTGTTTGCCGAATCTTGTATACAAGCACAGGGGATGTTGAGAAAATGGCTGGGCCCTGACGGAAAAGGAGATTTGACTTTGAAAGAAGTGCCAACCGATACAATGCGAATCACCTTGCATATAATAAGTAAGATTGGATTTGGAGTCCGTTTATTATGGCCAGGGGAAAAACCGAAGACCAAGGAACAAGAATCTGTTTACAGCAGCAATGAAGCACCTGAAGGTCATACCATGAGCTTCGAGAGATCTTTGAGTACACTTTTAGAGACTTTAATCTGGATTCTTTTTCTTCCAAAATGGCTTCTGAGTAAGTACAGGGAACGGTCTGATGTTTATCATTACTAACTTTTTTAGAATTGATGCCTTTCCATTCCGCTCAAAAGGCATTGGAATCTTTCGATAATTGGGGTCAATACATGAATGAATTATTTGCCCAGAAGGCTCAAGAGGCTACAGAAGGCAAAGAAAGCGAGGGTATGGATATTATGGGCTCTTTAGTGAGGAGTTCATATGGGCCCACGAGTGTCCAAGTGGCCTCTAAAACATCACCCAGCCGAGTTGAAAAAGATCAAGCTAAACGAGTCGCCCTTTCAGATTCCGAAATCCTCGGTAATGCGTTCGTCATGATTGTCGCTGGCCATGAGACGACCGCAAACTCAATTCATTTCTCCCTTATGGAATTGGCCATCAACCCTAGATTTCAACTGCAAATACAAGAAGAGGTTCAGAAAATATTTGGCGATAGTCCCCCTGAGACTTGGGATTATGATAAAAATATAAACCTCCTCTTGGGCGGTACGCTCGGAGCCACGCTCAATGAACAACTCCGACTCATGCCTCCTGTAGTCAATATTCCTAAATCAGTTGGTCAAGGCCATGATCAAACAATCTTTATTGATGGAAAGAAGATAACCCTTCCCGCTGGAGCTAATATCAATCTCAATGCTGTTGGTCTCCATCGAAATCCTAGATATTGGCCGAACGAGCCCTCGAAGATCACATCGAGAGACGATGATCTCAATGATTTCAAGCCTGAAAGATGGTTTACTAAGCAAGTAGGAAAAGACGACAACGCAGCTGAATCTTCTGAGGAGGATGATTTTGGTAGCTTTACAGGGAATAACACATCCGCATCGTTATTCCGCCCAGCAAGAGGTTCATATATTCCATTCTCTGATGGCGCGCGATCTTGCTTAGGACGAAGATTGGCTCAGGTCAAAATTATGGCTGTACTTGCTGTAATCTTCCAAAAGCACTCGATAGAGCTTGCTGTTGATGAATGGGCTACAGATGAAGAAGTTTTGACAATGTCCATCGACGAGAAAAAAGAATTGTATAGTAAGGCGCAAAGGAAAGCAAGAGAGACGATTAGAGGGGCTACGTCAGTCATCACTCTGAAGCTTCACCCAGGTTTCATTCCGGTGCGATTAATGAAGAAAGGAGAGGAGCGCTTTGTAAATGTTGTGGATTAGTGCTTTATTTTTAATACCAGACTGCTTGATGGTCATTGTTTGAGACGACGATCAAGGATGCAAATAAAAACATCTCAATGTCATGTACACAACCTTTGTGCAGTACAAAGATTGTGTTAAAACGTCATCTTTTTATCATTAATTACCATATGGCATCCATTTCATTGTACCGTAGGCTGGATTGTAAATAAAGATGACTGAGAATGACGTTTGCATTACTAGGTTACTCAGTCTTAACGGTGCATACCTGTTCCCAGCAGGTTCTAGAATACGCACATTCCTTCCCCGGAGTCGAGTATTTATACTTGAATCTCCCATGACAACGGGAAAGACAGCCTTGCATAAAGAAAATCTCCTCAAAAAATCCAAGTATCTTAAACCACTTTTAAGAGAAATTACTCTGATACTATACAGAGCCATCAACCCACGACGACATCAACAGCTCTAATTTTGGATTAGCTCTTGACAATTCAGAGCAGTCACGTGTATCTCTAGCGCTTGTTTTGTTGACATGCTACGCGATTCCTTCCGCATTGAGCACCCCACACTATTTACTCAAACTTCGCACGAGAACCGCAAAAGGCACACTTAAATCCCCGCACTCTTCCTCCAGACGCCTTATCAAAACATAGTAATCGTGATCGCATTCAGTAGACAACATATATCACCATGTCCGGGGTAGCAAATTGGATCAAGGCGCAACGAAAGGGGGATTTGATGGAGCTTGCGGATTCCATTGGACTTAAGTAGTATGAGACACCGCATACCTCATTAACTTTTCAATAAAACCACTAACAACAATCCTTTCAGTATTGATGGTATTAAGAAGACAGAGCTTGAGCTTGCGCTCGAGGATTACCTGGTTGAGAACGAATCGCAACTAGCCAACGAAACACGACTCATACCATATTATAACAGAAGATCCGGTGCATCACCTGTAAAGAAGGAACCTTCTACCCACGACGAGATGGATACAAAAAGGTCGCTGAGACGCAGAACTAGACTTGCGTCTGAAATTTCAGAGGTCGCGAATCAAACTACGTAAGTGTTGCGACGCACCCAGCGCGTCCCTCTGTTCAAATCACTAACACTTTTTAAGTGACGATTCAGAACCCGAGCGATCAATTGCGCGCTCTACTATGGCTCTTACACGAACTCCTCAAGCTAGCGCTCTTGGGTTCACCTCAAATGTTCCTCTACCACCATCTCCGGCCGTCGTTGCAGATGTTATCGATCGCCGCACAGCAGTTTTACGCGCAAAAGCCAATGAATACTACAAGGACTTGGGTGTCGTCGAAGCTGTTGAGACTGCCCGTGAAACTTTATCAAATGTTGTGGCTCTTGAGTTCATTATGCTACTATCAGAGGCTTTACAACTTCAACCAGAGCTTTTGGAGAACAAATACGCATTCACAATTCCCCCGATTAATTTCCTTACTACGACCGAACACGCGGTAAAAATTCCTGATTTGTTCCTCTTATTGACCACATCGTTTTGGAGTCCTTTCGCCTTGTGGTTATCCACAAGTCTCTTGCTGCCATTGTTTGGAGCATACTTTTTCAACTTGACAAGCAAACCTAGCACGCGATCCAAGCGATATTCATTTGATCCATTGACATTCAATATCGTAAAAGGACTAGTAACATTCATAGTCTACGGCCAAGATGCAACTTTTGGTGGTCTCATAGACCTTGAGCAAGTGGCTAGAATCAACTCGGCACTTTATGGAGGTTACCAAAGCATCCTTGTTGGAACCGGCATCGGAATCCTGTTCACAATGTACGATGCCGTTTTGAAAAAATGATTATCTCTGCAGTCATGGGCTCTCCGCAAGTTACGAGGATGCTTGCGTAGCGCAAATGAAAAGTCTATTTTTGGTCGTCGCCTTTGGATATTACTTTTCAGCGGTACCGTGGTTTTTGAGCGAATCGTTTGTTGGACTGGGTGTCTTATACTTAGCCATGCGAGTTGGAGGTTTGCATTCATTTTCACTCGCTTCCTTGATTTCGTCTATCCTCAATTGTGCCAACATGATCTTCTCTAGTTCGAGATGCATTTGGAAGGTGTTTGAGGCGTGGTTGATTCGGGATATTTTATTTAGGCTGTGTTTTTCGATTTATGGTCTGAGGAGTTAGGAAGGCGTAAAGGAATTGGGTGATGATGGGTTGTAGTGGAATCGGATGAATAGCCTACTTTCTGGCTATTAGTTTCGGGAAATGGTTTAGGAAATATAAAATTGTCTCAAATTCTTTGCTTGATTTTCCTCAGTTGATATTTTGACGAATCAGCCTTTTTGCTGGTGGGACTGGTACAAAAAGTTCCATATAAAACCTTAATAAGTGTCTTAAATACAAAACTAGGCACAATTCGTCATGTAACGATGTGTTTTACATGTAAGTTTCGTAATCGTAACATTTCCCCTACAAATCCAGTTCCACTTCAAATCCCGCATCAAGTAAATGCACAAAACACCGCAGATCTCTCCTCGTCCGATACTATAGACCCAAAGAATTCACTTATCACGCTCAAGTGAAATTAATATCAAAAGCGATATAGTGTCTACTTCTCGACCGACTTTATTTGCCTTTTCGGGTTGTCTTGGTGCATAGGTACTGTATAGATAGATGATATCGAATATCTACCCGCTGAACTTCGCTTGGCTTTGCTCTGCTTTTTTCTGCTTTGCTCTGCTTGGCTTGGCTTCGCTTGTTCTTCGCTTGATTCCTGATACTGTAGTTTTTATTTTGGAAGGCTGGCTGTTAGGGTTAGGCTGGTTGGTTGGGAAGGAAGGTTTTGGGGTTGGGTAGGTTAGTGGGTTGGTGGATTGGTAGGTGGATGGATAAGTGGATGAATATATGGGAAGTTGGGAAATTGTGTCTAGTTTTTTACTTTGTTGTTTGGGGAGAGGGGGAGTATGTAGTTAGATATATTCGTAGGTTCGTAGATTTACTGTGTATATCACCAAGTTGCTTGATAGGATAGAAAGGAATTCAGGGAGGGGATACGGATACTAATACGAATATGTATTTATATGAGATTATGAGTGGGATTAAGGGAAAATGTGATGTCTACATGAAGCGCGGCTTGTAAAATGACATATGTGTGCATTGAGGATTCTAAGCCAAAGGGATGAATATTTTCTTCATGGTGAGGAGTTAGGAGTTTTATGGAAGGATCGCAAATACATTTAAAAGCAGGTGGAAGTTTTGGAAGTAAAGGGAGAATGTAGAAGGGAGAATGTAGAAGGGAGAATGTAGAGAGCAAATAATGCAAATACTTGGTATATCTAGGAGGAGGGGACGTAGTGTTGGATGTAGGGCTTTATTGCTGGACTTACTGTCAACTTTCAGTAATTCGTGTATCAGGAATTTAGGATAGAGGAAGGTGGATACACGGTAAACGAGGTTGTTGATTATATCGTCCGATTTTTTAGGTGAACATCGAGTTGAAGTGACAATGGCTCACAATACCCGCATTATATGTTCCAGCCAGATATTGACTCTTAGTCCAAATGCGCGGTAGAAATATATATTAAGCATTGAGTGACAAGCTAACTTTTCACCCCATCGTCCGCGAGATTGGATCAAAAATTATTTCATCTGCCGGTCATAACTCCAGCCTCTGATCATAATTCGTGAAATCAGATTCTCTATCCATTCCACCACAGCCTGTTCTATCTTTACAACTTCCACCATGCATCCACTCCATTTCAACTCGGGGTACCCTCTATCTTATCCTCTGGATCCAGATTCTCTGCTCCTTCAACTAGCCCCACGATATTGTATCGTTTCGAGAAAAATGTATTCCAATCATTAAGCACACCCTTTTCTTTGTCATCAAGATCGAACCAATTGGGTGATACATCATCAGCGGAAGTAGAAGTTTTAGCTAAAGCGCGGGAGGCATCGTGGCCGGCAAATACTGGAGGCGAAAAGAAAGGTTAGTGAAAAGAATATGCGGTACCAAAAGAATGAGGGGAGAAGAAGTACCATTATAAGCACCACCTGGCAGATATGCTTTGTTTCCAGTTACATCGTAGACTTTGCCCTAAGTTCCATAAGTATTCTGCATTGCATCGTAAAACATGCAGACTGTAGGTTGTACCTTAATTGCAACATAACACTTCTCGCTATCAGCACCTTACACATGTTTGTTAGTACTTCATCCTCGGAAATCATAAAGCGGTAACAAATACCATTGCATTTTGCAAGTTCTTCCACTGAGATGGGATCATATTTCGGCGGGCTGAGAGTAACAGGAGTTTTAGGTTCGAATTTACCAGCCATTTTGAAAGTAAGGTTATGAGGAGGAAAGTTTTGTTAAAGACAAATATTTCGATGCGAGTGAAATTCAAAAGGATGATGATGTTCGCCGAGGATGTGGGGTAGCGTCATTCATTAGTTAGCGCATTGCGGGAGACAGGGAATATTTTAGTTAGATCAAGTGAAATGTCTTGCAGGGAGGAAAATGTTGAAATTCATGAAGCTCCAGACGATCAAAGCTTCACAATTGCGCCAACATCAATTGTTCTTTGATTTTCATCATAAACCCTGCGATATCTATAGAAGAAGGTTCCGAGATGTTTACACCACGGTTCGCAACCTCATTTGGGTCTGCTGCCCCTTCAAATCGCGCATCACAATGTCTTCGTCAACAACGAGTCCAAGCTACACGGTCAAGTAGACCTGCTACAAGAAACCCTATATCATGTCGAACACAACAGCAGAGATGGCAATCGACACGATCACAGCCTAAGATCAATCCTTCTAAAGGTTCATTCTCGAGAAATGTCAAAATACTCTTCAAAGCACATCCATATAGCATGACTGGTGCTACCATAGCGTATTTTACCCCTCATATTCATTACTATTTGCTTTTTACAAGGGCAACGCTAATTCAGCATATGTAAATTCAGCATAGGTTTTGGAGTTTTTTGTCTAGGATATATCAATTGGTGGTATAAAAAATACATAATCGATGGCTTCAAAGCCTTTCCCGAACCTGTCGCAAAGCAACTGCGGAAAGCGCTTTACTACACCAACATGTCTCTTGAACCTAAGAACGCTATAAAATACTATAAGGAAGCATTACGAGTTGCCGATGAGATGGGTATGGATCCATTTTCTGATGAGTATCTTGGAATCAAGATCTCAGTTTGTGTTTTATTGGAAAAGGTACAAGCCTATGATAAGGCTATTGGTGTATACGAAATTATGAGGGATGATTGTGGGAAATGGATGGAGCAATTGGGAGATTTGGAAAGGAATATTGGAAAGAGAACAAGAATTCTTAGGAGGATGATAGAAATCAGTGTCAAAATTGCTGATTTATACAATGGGGAATATGTTTTGCAGCCGGATAAAGCAGAAGAAAGTTTGGTATATGCAGTGGAGACTATATTGAAAGAACAAATGAGAAGGCAAAAAGAAGGAGTCAGACCTGGAGAAGAAGTTTGGTTATCGGATGAAGAGATGGGTGGGACTTTTGAAAGTATGTTTTTCCATCAGGGTCATCAAGTTGAATTAAGCTAATTATCTTTCTAGCTCTGGCACATCATTACGAAGCAACAGATAAGCACCATCTTGCTGCACCATTATTCCTCCAAGCTATAGCACTATCTACTCCCGCTACCTGCCACACAGCCGTATTAAGTTTGTCATCTCTTTCAATTTTCAAAGGACCACTGATTAACCACTTTTCATAGTGAACAACCTCTCCATATCATTAGCCCAACAAAATCCCCCACCAGAACCAGGTCAACCCATAATATCTCGCTCTCAACAAATCAAAAATGCCCGCGCATGGGCCACTAAATCTTTAGAGATATGCGCCAAAATATCACCACCAGAAAGAACTGAAGAGTGTGATATAAGTTGTGCAGTGGCAACACATAATCTAGGAGAATTCGCCGAAATGGATGGAAATATACAGGAAGCTAGGAAAAGATATGAAGAAGCGAGAAGTTTAGCGAGTGCGATGGGATTTAAGGAGGGTGAAGCACAGAGTGAAGAGAGGTTGGCAAGGATTATTGGAAGCTCGGAGATTATTAATAAAGGATAAATGGTTTTTGAGGTTTGCGTTGCATGAAGTGTCTGAGAGGTAGTAAAGGTCTTGTTCCTTTGGTTTCAGACTTAACTTGACAGTATTCAATGCTTAAATGGATATATACAGCATTAGAAAATCAGTAAATCCTGCATATAAATTTAAATTCAACTCTTTCCCCCGGAACAGAACTACAAAATCTTATATGCTCTGATTTGATTTTAAGATGTTGTACTTATATGTCCCATCCATATTGAGGTTGAGGTTGCGGTTAAGAATAAAATATTAAATGAAATATAAATGGTGAAAAATATTTACTTGCTTGCTTGATTACAAAGAATATCCATATATATCTATGTATTATCTTTTCAAAAAAAATAAAAAAATTAAAGAGCGGAAAATTTATAATATTTATAAATTTGTAACTTTTATAAAATATCTGGGGTACACTATCGGCCTATCTAGGCATTCCTTCCGTACATTCCATACATCAGATTCATTACTCATCACTCATCATCCATCCTCATCCTCCCCCTCCGCATCTTCATCCCCATCTCCATCCTCACCTTCTCCACCAAGCTCCCCAAGCACACTCTCATAACCCCGCTTAACCACCTCCTTTAGTTCACCAGCATGTCCACCATGCCTAGCACTAACAACACATCTCTTCTTGCCCCATCCACTCCCACTCGCACTGGCACTCCCGTTCCTTGTAATCCCAGCACAAAGTTTCCACTCCCCCTTATGACTTCTCTCGATAATCTTTTGCTGTGCCGCCCATTCAAGGAAGAGGGGATCATTTTGGTGGTTAATTTTTTGGGGTCTGGGTTTGAGTTCGGGTTCATTGGTTGTCGATTTCTCGGTAGGGTATTGATCATGAGTTGAGTGATTGTGTGTTTCTATACGGGAATCGGTTCCTATTGTCATTCTCTCACCACCTCCACCACCTCCACCACCCAACCTCTCCAAATGTTTCCCCAAATGTTCCATCCTCTCATCCCAACACGCAATCCCCTCAAACCACGCCGTCGTACACCCCGTAACCGGACATCCCAACCGACTCGGCGCTTCCCTCCTAACCTTCTCACAACTCCTCTGCAAACCTCTCATTCTCTCCTCCCACTCCCTATTAATCTGCCCCTTCCTCTTCACCTCAAACGGGGCATGCATTCTCCGCAAATGCTGGGTAAACAAATCCTTACGATTAAACTCCGCGCCTTTAACCTCATATCCTCTCTGCACCATCTTCATCTTCGCATTCTCTCCTCCATGCATATCGATATCGATATTTCTCCCAGGAACTTTTCTCATAGAGCTCGAATGCGAAGATAGTGGTATTTTCCCGCATGCTCCGAGTGTGCATACCCATGCTTGTAGATTGAGATGTTGAGATGAGACGTGTCGTTTCCATTCATTTTTCGATGCGAATGTGCTGCTGCAGCCGGCGAAGTCGAAGACGCAGATGAAGGCGCGGGTGTGTGATGAGGCGATGTGGTGTTGGAGGGTGCTGGGGTCTTTGAAACCGGTTTGGGTACATTGTTTACATGAGAGGTTGCCGAGGGAGATTTTGGATGATTTGCTGGTAGAGAGGGGTTTGGAGATGCGGTTGCGTTTTGTGTGTGAGGGAGGGATGGATTTGTTGGTACGGTTGCGTTTACGTGGGTTGCGGGTTGAGGGACGTGGAGTGTATTCGGTATCGGATGGTTCTTCTTCTTCTTCTGCTTCTTCTTCAATGTCTGAGGGAAGTAATTCCGGATCAATTTCTGCTTCGTTATTCATTTCCACATTGGTATCAACATCAACATCTACTTCGCCTTCTGCATCAACATCAGCATCAGCATCAGCATCAGAAGTCGTAGATGTATTATCATTATTAGAAGCCTTAGTAGAAACTGCTCGAGGAGATGCAGCATCTCGAATCGAAGCTCCCAATCCCTCATCTCTGTAATGTGATATATGAGAAGCTAATTTATGAGTACCAGACTCCGAGGTTTGAATTGCATAATCGGTAGGCATATCCATAATGGTATATGATTCATCGACTTCGAATTTGACATCTTGCGGATCAGCAAATGCTTGAACATCGCTAAGATTAACACAAGGATATCCAACAGGCTGCAGTGGTTGTGTGTGTGATTGAGTCCATATATTTGTGAACATTTGGGCAGGTGTTGCGTGACTTGTCAGGGGAAGATTATAATCTTTTTGACCTTGAGATGAATAGAGTCCATCATGATACCAATCCGTTTCGGTACCTGGACTTCGGGCACTACTGCAACTGGAAGATAATCCTTGGGATGGAGATGGTGATATCATTCTTGTTCGAGAATCTTGAGGGAATACACCAACGGGTTCGAATGCTCTAGGTAACGGTCGGGAAAAGTTATCGAAGTGAGCCATTGTTGCATCAGTAGTGAAGAAAGCTCTTCCTTGCTCTGTGATAAATCTTTGCAAAGGTTGTTGTGGTAGGTCTTGTTGATAATCGAAATCTGGAGAGACAATTTGAGCTTGACGAAGAAGAGGATCAATATTCTCCATCCAAGAATTTTCAATATCCATCAAATCCTCATGACGAAAAGATTGAGGATTTGATCTATTCTCTTGAAAGAAAGGAGGGTCCATAGTCGAGTATGATAAATTATCGGATGCCATGATATCTAGAATTTGAAAGTGGATAACAAGTGAAGATAAATGCGTCTTCGAATTTGCTTTTTTTGGTGTTTTGGCCCCCACGGTTCTGAATTGAGAGAAATAGGGCGAGGCTAAGCTTCCAGAAGAGAAAGATACACAAAGTAAATAAGCTTGGAAGGAATAAAAAGCTGATATTTGTTTGTTTTCTTATTGATCCTACGACGGGTATGAGCTTCTTGTGTATCCAAATTGAGCATATGAATTGAGGCCACAGGACAAAAGAGACAACAAATAGAACAAACAGATTCACCTGAATTCGAGTATCTCCGCTTTGATGTGATGCGACTACAACAGATAGATCCTTCGAAATAACAAGCAAGCAAGCAAACAATCAATCTTTTTTCGTACACGAAACCTTTGATTTATTTATGCAATCAGAGTAATGGATTGAAAGTACCAGCTCATGAACATTCACCGGTAGAATTTCAATCATGTAGATAGATAGTGTTGTAGGTAGGTACCTAGTGAGACTTGGGAAAAGTCTGAGGCGAAGCAACGAAGATGAGATAGGCGCAGTTTATTGTCGGTAGTAAATATGAAGTATGAAGATGACACAGGAAGCAAAGAAATGAGAATCGGCATATCAAATCTCTAATGTATGTGAATCCAAGCCCCAGCATCCCCAACGTTCATGTATGCATCGTTTAGAAGTGACATATTTTGCGCGTTGCCAAAGAGCCGCATCTGCGGACAAGCATGGATGCATACCTAGTAGATAGGTAGGTAGGTGGGTGGGTAGGTAGGTGGGTGGGTAGGTAGGTAGGTAGGTCCCACATGATGGGCCGGTGAAGGATCTTCTCTCACACATTCGAAGGTTTCTGTAAGTCAAAGTTGCCGCATACCCCTGAGTCTGTAGAAATGTACATGTATTGGAGATCTATGACTCCCCCGAAGCTGCGCCTCTTATTCTTCTCATGTTTCCTTGGAGGGTTGAAGCACGTATGCGGGGCACTGCAGACAACCTCAAGACTCCAGTGATTTTCTGTTTTCCCCATGTCGAATATCGATGATGCGAGTGGATACTTGACCGAGCCAGTTAATTGTGCAGATGGAGCCCTTCCATACATTTCATCTGCTCTCTTTGGATCTTTTCCTTTTCCTACAACTCATCACACGCATTCTGCATCATAACCAATGAGAGACAGAATCTACCCTTGTAAATGGCGTAAGGCGGACAAGGCGACCGCTAGGCAGACCTCGACGTCAATTCTTTCAAAGTTGTTAACTCACTCTTCTGAATGTCATGTGTGATACACATGAAAGCCACTCGGTCCACTCGGTCATCACGAAACTCCTCTCTATGCCAAAAATCCATTCGACACGATCGCGCTCACAGGGGAAAACATTATTTTCTTCCGCTTCCCTTGTTTCGTTGTTTCGTTGTTTCGTTGTTTCGCTTTTCTTCGTTTGCTTCGCCGTTTATTCTCAAGTAGAGCATATACTACTGACTGTAGAACTATGTAACACCAAATTCGCATTCGTTTCTGATCAAAGCACACTTTCATTACACAGCCAAGAAATATTCTCGAATCCTTCCTCTTTTTTTCATCCATGAAATTTACTTCTTTTCGGGCGTCAGCATTTCCGCCTCTAAAATTTCTACCCATCAGAAATTCTTGGGAAATGGCCCCCAAATTTCAAATTAAAGATGATTTGTTTGGACACCGAGATAACAACACACGACACACACACAACTCATCTATCTAATTGGTGTAAGCCAGGAACCAAATTCTTTTTTTTGACGGGAGCGAGCATCGAATATTTGTTGTAAATTGTAGCATTAATTTTTCATTCATTCATTCGTTCGTTCGGTCGCTGTTGGCATTTCTTCTCGTACTTCACATGTTTTTATTTTACTCTGCATATCATCCTATCCCCCGCAGACACTGAGTTATAAGAAAATGAGAAATAAGATAAAATAAAAATAAAATAAAATAGTTTCTCAGCCGCACCTGCACTGGATATTCCCCTTTCTTTCTCCTACTCATTGGTGCACCTCCCTACCTACAAAGCCTTCGAGTTCTGCATGATTACATACATCCCCAGACTAGGGTCCCGCGGTCCTGGGGTCCCACCGAGTAGCTTGCTTTGTGTTTTATAATGCATTGCAGTTGACGCTGCAGTTTATATGCAGTTTATATTTGCTTATTTGCCTGCGTTGCTGCTTACTTGCTAAGTTACGATGTAGAGATGTGGGGAAGAGAAGTAGGGCAGTAGGGATGTAGAGATGTGGGGAAGTTAGTTACAAAGTAGGAAAGATCTCGGACTTCGAATTGATATATTATATTTGATGTATCTGTATCTTTATTGTGACGCACAAGAGCCGTATAAGAGCTGAATGAACAGGGTCAATTATGTTCCTTAGAATCTACAACTGAAGAACTATGACTCGTAAGGAGCATCTATATATATATATATATACAAAATACCTATACGGTAACTGCATGGTTGCGCACATTCGATCTTAAGGTCACCATATTCCCATACTAAAATGGGTAAATCGGACCCCAGGTGCACAGGCTATCAGCTCACCGATAGGTAAAGGAATCACGTCATCGTTCTTATAGTTCGAGATCTGTAACATTCATATCCGTATATATATATACACATCTATTAAAATATTCTAATTAGATATTTATTATTTATTTTTATTTATTTATTTTTTTTTTTAATTTATTTAATGAATTAATTTAATTTTAATATTTAAAAAAAATATTTTCTTATTTGATATAAGATTTTAATAAGAAAATAATATATTATTTTAAATTTATATATATATTTTATTTTTTTTATAATATATTATGTTATATTTTATTATTATTAATTAATATATAAGTTATATACTAAGATTAAACAAGGGTGGGGTAGTTCGAGAGGATGAGAGAGGTCGGATTGAGATGGAGATGAAATATTGTGCTTTTATTTGCTTTTTGAAGGTGATGATAACTATGGGCAAGTATTATGGGGTTCTAGAGTATTAGTACCTAGAGAGGGAATCATTGATTGGAGCATTCATTCAACACGGTCAGGTCAGTAAGAAGTGACAAGTAAGATATCACGCCATGTTGGGGAACGGGGAGGCAAGAAGCTTCTCAATCCCCTTGCTGCTGGTCAGAACTTCAATGTAATCAAAATATTCTTATCAATTAACCGCCATCTACTCCGTCCAATAAATACACTTTATCTCAAGAGTCGTTTTACGAGTTATTAATGTACTGTGCCCCTCGCTAAGCTTCACATTTCATTCCATGGAAAGTGAGAGAAAAAGTTTGGATTTTCTTTCTTCCGCAAGGTTAAATATGGAAGCGCCAAAGTGAAAAAAAATCCCTGGATATATTCCCTCCTATTGCTTTCAAATTCCTACCCAATACCATCATCATAATAAACCATATATATTTTTACACGATTATTCTTCTCCAATTGATAACCATCATTAAACTAACTGCTGAAATTTCAAAAATATCCTATCAAGTGTCAAAACATTTGATCTCCTTCAGTTGCCAATTGAATCTCGTTTGCAATCGTTACAGTAATGATGATTGCAGGAGGTACATTTTGGGCTGAGAGTAAGAGTACGTCCTGGATCATCCGAACATTGACACTATAATTATGTTAGTATTTGCATGCGGCACAGTAAATGATGATGCTTACACAGTAAACAATCTCCGTAATCTTCGTATATTTTGTAGGTCTATCATTTTCATCGTCGCTGCGTTCTCGCTTCCTCGAGAGCGTAGATTCTTGTCCTAACAGAGAGGATGAAGCTCTGGTGCTATCCACAGGTTCAGGTGAACTTCTACCAGGATCGTTGGTAGAATCGGGGGAAGATTCCTCTCGACCGTCTTTTGATGGAGATTCACCTAAAGAATTTGGACTGGCAACATCACCTTTAGGTTTATCGCCATCAACTGGGATCCAATCCTGAATGCCTTGTTTTTGAGTACCCCGACGTCCCATGAAGTGGTCATCTATATGGTCAAACCTTTCTGTCCAGGCATGAAGACCTTTCCTCTGAAGATCAATGAGACTTTCACAAAAGCCGCACCAGAAACGAGACTGACAGTTCCGACCGATACGACAAGCTTCGACCTTGATCCTCACAGCGTCTTGGTCAAGCATACCATGTTCTTTTTTTAAATGATCTTGGAACGTTTGACGGCGATAAGAGACTTTGGCACATGCGCCTCCTTCAGGTTTCTCCTTGTCACAGCGCCAACTCTCCAGTTGAAAGTGTTGTGAATTCTCGTGTCGTTTCCAATCATTTTTACTCCCAAAAGTTTTATTGCAGGTTAAGAAAGTGCAGCCATACGGCCTCTCGTGGCGTTTCATATGTTTTCTGTCTAATTATTAGCAATAGTCATGCAAGAGATAAATTTCATCTTACTTTAACTCGCAAGGTCGTCCTTTGAACTTTTCACAAACCTGACAGATAACTTGGTTGTCACTCTTATTACTGGCAACGGATCCAATATTTTGTTTCCGAGTATGATTTGGATCCTTTTGAATAATGTAACCAAACTTCTGAAGGGTTTTGAAAACTTCGACGGCTTTTTCCTGGTCCAGAGAATCGTATTTTGTAGAAGATATGGACTTGTTAAGTTCATCTAATGAGCACGCATCTTTATCTGTTGTGGATCCCCAGTAATAATCATCAGAAGAAAATTTTCCATTAGGCAAAACTTTCCGTTCCATCGATAATGTACCAACGTTAAATGCATTTTTCGTCTCGGCCAACGCAGTTCTGATTACTTCCGTAATGGCTGCATCTGTGGCTGAGACGCTACTAAGCTGAGACGCCTTAGCTGCAGATGGTAATGGATTTCTCTCTACCGATGGACGGCTTACATGATCAAGGTTAACATCTAATGCACTCTTCGTACCCACTGGGGTCGATAGAACACTTTCCACTGGGATCTTGTTAATAACTCCAATTGGATTCCGATATAATTCAGATGGTTGAATGGTATCTCTGGTATGTGAATCCGAGGTAGGATTGTTCGGTCCAAGTATGGTAGTGCTCCTGTCATTGGCATCCGGGACGAAGGATTTCTCAATTGGGGTATCCATTGGGGTAACCAGATCCTGGATCAATTCTGGATAGACGGGCTTCCAATTGGATTTAATATCCCGGACTTTGGGTAAACTTTCATTGATCTCCCTGCTGGACGAGGTACTTTGGGTAGACACTTCTGCGGGAAGCGGAGCATCTTGACTCAAACCTGACTGTTCGAAAAATTCTGCCCTAAGATAGGTTAGTCGCTCCAAGTGTTGCCAAAACCTTCATAGACCTACTCCTTTAGAATTTTCTCAAAACTATCTTCCGATTTAACGTAATTGGAATGAACTCGTTTTAAATGACTCCGAAAGTTGTCGAGTCGAGGCCAAACTTTGTCCTTAGACTTACATCCGGATACGACACAGTGGTATTTCTTCATTGATTCCGCCCTTGATGTCGTAGCTAAAGGGTGTTTGCTCTTGGTGTGTCGATCTAGATCGTTGGTTGTGCTAAATCCTTCGGCCCTTGTGCAACCTGGATACTTGCACACAAAAGGCTTTTTATGTCGTAAGTCATGCTTCCTATAAAAAATTAGTATACTTCCTCAACCCATATTGCTGTAATACGTACTTTAACTCTGATTTCGTTTTGACGAATTTTTGACACGTTGAACAAAATAGACCTGGAGAGTTGATTGATGCCGGTAGCTGTAATGGCCATGGTTCGCTTGTCCTATTCTCACGAGATTGCAATGCCTCATTTAAGCCTGGAAATGGTTGATCACCTGCAACATGACCCGCTAAGCTTTGGCAGTCTTGATCGCGATCACTCACATCAGCGCTAAAGATTGAAGCATTTCCAACGCTCCTTCTGGTTCCATATCCGGAATCTGAATGTGGTGGAGCACCGAAATGAAAGGACCCATTCCCCAAGTGATCTTGTTCACGATATGGCACGGCAAAAGCAACGGGTGCTCGATTATTTGAACGAACCTTGATATTTGCTCTCTCGTCCGAGACAGGATCTGAAATCGTCTTTGGGTACCAGGGTCCATCATTATCAGCATACCATTGGAGTAATGGAGCCTGGCCAGTCGTCCGATCCACTGGCAGTTGTTGAATCCTGGAAATTGGTTCATATGGAGAGTTCAAATCAGAAAATCCATGGGTAGAAGGCAATGTTGGCTCCCAAGAAATTGAAGGGAAAGCCGGATGTGGAAGGGTCCTTAGACTCAGATCAATCTCAATAGGTTGAGGCGGGAGATCCAATGATGGTGGACCCATCTCTCCACGTGTGGAACCATACCCGGAGTCTGAAGTATGCATGGAGGGAGGCGAAGGATAATACTAGATTTCCCATCAGATCGAAGGTCATGAGAGAATTGAAGAGTAAAAGAAGTGAATCGTACTAGGGGTGGAAGACTCCCATTATGGGAATAGTTCGGATGCATCGACATTGCTATTAGTTGTCAGTCAATAATTTGACAAGTATCTATCCTAATCAATATGACAAGCCAACGAAAATATCCCCCCAAAAAAATATGGAGAAAAGAGTTCTGGTCTTTTTTTGAATATCAGAGTTGAGGAAGTATACCAAAACTATCTTCGATATGAGAAGAGCTGCAGGCACCGAGCGAGGAGGCAAAGACAACTCCACACACGCAGGGCAAATGTCCCGAACGCTTAGAAGTAATCATGAATCATGAAATCATGAAATCATGACTTTGACTACGAATAGATATTGAACGTGGAAGTGGAAAAGAATACCTAGGATAGTTCGCGAATCGAGAGAAGAAAGAACGATAAGGCGAATATAAGAAATTGAATATATGCAACCCTTAATGAAGAAGCAACGGTAAAGTGCTTACAAGGTGGTGCGCGTACTATTTTGCTTAGTGATGATCATGAGGGATTGATTTCGGTGAGAGAATCGGGCATGGAGACAGATTCCGGGCGCGCAACAATGGAAGAAAAGTAAGATACGACAACCAATTAATAAAGCCTCCTTGAAAACACAAACAAATAATGAGGAATTAATTATATAGATGTTAACGTAAACAAAACAATAACTTTATCCAGATCAGACATAAAAGACTTTTCATCAAATCATCTTCATTTCTATACTGCAGAGTGAACTGAAGTGAAGTTTGAAGATAATAATAAGGAATGAAATGGAAAAGGCAAAATGTAAAATGTATAAGTGAGGCTGCGGCTGCATGTGAGAAAAGAAGTGAGGCGAGCAACCGAAGATAGGCAGCAGCTGGTCTGGGTAACTGGGTAACTGGGTAACTGGGTTGAAATCAAACTCACTCACCCATTGTCTGTCTTGGATCTTTTACGCCCCGTTCATATGTACATATGCATATGGGAATCGATGATCATGAGGTTATAATAGAATAGGTATGATGAACAATTAACTCGGAAAATCTCGAGATTTTCATGCATGCCCTTTTCCGTCTTCCATTTTTGTACGTGTATGGCTTGTTGGGGGCTAAAATGATGGAAAGGAAATAAATGCTACCCGGAAAGTCAAGGATGCATGAAAGTCAATATCACGTGAAAGTCACATGATTATATTTTGAATAGACATGAGTTCTACAAGGACCAAAACTTCCGATTATGCACATGAAGAGACTGACTGGATTGATAGACACCTTCCTTACCTCTTCACCCTCCTCATTCGCTGTTTTCATGTTCATCACGGTGCTACAAAACGTGAGGAGGACACTCCGGATCCGTCCTACCAAATTCATGCAAACACAAGCCCAAGCAAACATCCCTATGACGTCTCTATCCACTCGACAGCTTTCGATATGTACGACATTGTATTTGATATCCTTTTGTCCTTCCATCACAATATCATAATCTAGCCCGACCTGTCTCAGATTTCTCAAACTCGATGCACTCGAGCTCCTTCAGAATCTTACGTACTTAGACTCAAAATCAGCCCTTGTAATAGCACACCTATCAAGCAACATGAAAATCATAATGCCACTCATTTCAACTAAGCCCTCCTTCCACAAAACCATGTGAATACAACGGAGTCCTACAGATATACACACATGCATGCGAGCTGCCGATAGAGCCTCTGCAGCTCTCCTCCATACCGCAGCGATCTTTCTATAAGTGAAGCTGTAACCGAATGCGATGCCGTACTACATGAAGCCAGCCGGTCAATGCCAGTCTGTACACTTTATGTCAGTAGTCTCAAATAGTTCGTTTTTCCGCTGGTGATTATGTAGTCCAGTTGGTGGTGTTGACCCTAGGTTGCTCTTAATGATTGGGGTTGTATAGACAGCCCTTATTCTCTCATCTTTTCTTGGTTTTGTATTCACTTGGTAGTTGGGAAGATGAGCAGTAGCGAAGAGATTGGGGACTCGTTGAGTATATGCTAGAGCATTTCATGTATTGGAACATGCGCAACCAGATTGAAAGTAGACTTAAACCAAAAATAATCCAAAGTCGAAATTATCTACTACCTTCTCATAAATCTTACAATCTACAGAACATTGAAAAAGGAATCCAAGTTACATATAGCGAAACAAGAGAGCATGAACCCCTATAAGCCATGCTGCACAATAGTTTGCAAGACACAGCCTAAAGAATACTTTACCACTGACTTCAAATTCTCCAGTTAAATATAATCTTTAATCTAGTACACATTAGATCGTAGAAACTCATTGAATGAATAGATAGTTCCATCATTCCCAAAAGTTAAAATATAAATAATGCAAATTGTGAAATATTATCAGGGAATAAAAAACAAGATATAAAGACAAAATCCAGCAGGATCAGAACAGACGAACAAGCGATATCAACATCAGAAAAATGATAGCTATCCTCCCTCCTCTCCTAGGCTCTAATAAAAAATAGAAAATAAGAAGACCGGCCCCAGTATCTCAGCACAAATTCCTCAATAGATATCATTCTCATGAACGCATCACAAACTACATACAAACCAGTATAGATATTACCCACTAAATAAACCAGCGCTTCCAATTCAAATTCTTCCTCACTCAACCATATGCATACAAGCACAAACCTATCACCCAATCCATCTCATCTCCAATAATATGTATTGCATACCGAACTCTTACACATCTAATTCTCAGAAAACAAGACAGGACTTATGTACTAGATACTCATGTACCTCTCACACCGAACTATATTAGGTAAATCAAGTATTTTAGATGGGTAGGTTCACTAGTTATATACGCTGAGCTAGCCAGTTTTATTAGAATAATAGATACTCAGCGGAGAAAAGAAGAAAGAAAAGAAATAAGAAATAGAAGTAGGTATAGATGCACGGAGTATATATGGGTATTTTCAGCTGTAGAAATAGATATAAACATAACTACCTGTTATAAGAGAATTATTATAGCTATATCAGCGGATTATCCGTAATATATATTCTTTCTTACCTTTTCGACCGCGCCTTTCCACCCTATAATATTTCATCCCTCCCTCACTCTTACCAGCCACCATCATCACATCATATCCCCCGAATTCCTCTATCCCCTCCTCTCCTTCTTCTTATAGAACATAAACACAAAGTCAGCCCCCAAAGCGAAACTAAAATCCACCCTACACCCACCCTAACACCCACCCCAACATCAGCATCTCCATCTTCATCTTTATCCATATCCATATCCACATCCACACAAAATCCACACAAAATCCATACCAAAACCCCCTTTTATAAAAACCACCCATAAAAAAAACCTCTTCAATATCAAACTTCTCATCCTTCCACTCCTCTATCCAACTTAACAAACGACTAATCACCTCCCTACACATTAATTATACACTAACCACCTACCTATACTATACACACATATAAAGTCTCTCTCTCTCTCTCTCTCTCTCTCTCTCTCTCTACAAATATCACATCAAAGAAACAAGACCACAAATCCACAGTAACTATACATACTTCCCTTACATATTCCCCAACACCTCCCTCCATATAGGCTTACAAATCTAGCAATCTTACAATCAGAAGTAGTCCCGACTAGGACATCCAGCGCAGGAACTTGAACGAAGGGATTGATCTCCGACAGAACTCGCCAACTGTGGCGAAGGTTCTTAAAGTAAAGGATCAAGAAATTATGATGAACTTGGATCTGGCTTTTTGCTTTACCGTTTGGATGTAGATGGTGTGGCTGCTGCTGCTGCTGCTGCTAATACTTCTAATCTTACTTTGAATTAGACTCATATAAACGTATCTACAATCTTTATTTTAGTTTCCCCGCTGATATATACTTACCCCAATGTGAGATTTTATTGAAGTTTGAAAGATTTAGATCATCATCATTCAACACATTCGGACGGGATAGACGTAATATGAAAGTTAGATTAGCGTATTTACTAGGTATTTAAAACAATAATGGATATTCCGCTGGACCTGATAGAGAAACGAACGAACGAGTAAACGCTGAGGCCCAATCCATCCATTTCAACGCTCTGGATTTCCCTCGACCAATCAACCTGCAATTATTAAAGTTAATAAATTATAAATTCTCCTTCCACCTCTTTATTCTCTCACTCCAAATCGCACCTCATTCACACCCCTCATCTCAACCCTCACTTCATATCGAAAATCCTCCACAAACCAGCAATTGGATTAATAGTCGCCTGTCGATATAAATCCTTCTTAAAAATATCCTCTCCCAACTTCAAATGTTGAAAATTTTTGATTTGCCACGATTTCACAGCCATCATTCCCTGCAATGCTTCTGGTGAATTATCACCCAGCAAAATTCTCCTTTCCTCTTCTGCTTTTGCTTGTTGTTGCATCTGCATTTGCATTTGTTGCCAGCTATCATAGTATGTCTGATCATAATTGATATTTGCGTATAAAATGTCTGGAGCAAAGTCTTGTGATATGGGTGTAGCGAGACCATAGGAAAATTGGTTGTGGGAGTAAGGATCCAAAGCATATCCGGTGCTGTAGTGTGCGTTTAAGTGTTGATTTCCGCCAAAAGGATCATACGTATTGTTGTTTATTGTCTGGAAGCTCGTGTCGATTCCGGTATCCAGATTCCAACAACTTAATTCCAGTGGGTTGACATTCTTCGTATTCGCTTTCAATACCTCCAACATCATTCCATATCCTCCATGCCTTATCTCAGTTATCCTCTGTTGCCATGACGTACCCCATATTCTCTCTTTATAGGGCGATGGGATGGCTACCATCATATCTATAAACACGACTGCTGATATTGCAAGTGAACATGCCGAGAGGAATGAAGGTAGCCAATCGCGGCGAGATCGAAAGTCTGAGGGAGCGAGCGCGAGTGCCTGATATTCTTTGAAGGCTCTACGCATCGTACTACGCGTAGTGCGAATTTTTTCGAGGAGGCTGAGAACTGGAATGGGTGGTGCGGGCACAGTAGTTGTGATAAAGCATTTATATAGTTCGCAGCATTCGATCAAAATTCTGCAAGAGGCTTCAAGAGATTTGTTCTGTGTTCAGTTGTATTAGAAACGACGCCTTTGGTAACTTTCTACGAACAATTTTTGTATGATGAACAAAAGTACTCACAGGTTGGAGAATAGATTCTTGGTATGTTTGAGCGATGACCATTAGATCTGAGTATTTTTCGTCGAAAACACCAGTTGAACGAGCCTGTTCTTGTGCCAACACGAAATGATCTCTAAAGACGGCATTGTCAAAATCGTGATCGAAGGCTTTTTCGGCCCTCTCAGCCGAGAACATGCGCCAGGTTTTGGTCTTCGGTGTATCTCGAGGAATAGCGCGGAGGTTTTCTTCCATATGTGCTAAGACATGATTAGGTTCTGCATATATTAAAAATGAATGAAAGGAGAGCCGAACATGGTAGCAGATATAAGACCAAGCTTTCTAAGTTTTCCGTTCTCGTTCCTTGGGTACTTGGAGAAATATTGAAGTTTGATACCCGGATACAAGAATCACAGAATCCTGATATTAAGTGCTATTGTGTGGTAAAGTCAGTTGTCGGTTCATAACGGGGATTCCTTTGCTATCGATAAATAGGGAACTGCAAAAGAGATATAACATACATTAGAATTGTGTTTACGACATCTCCAGCAAAGCGAAGCATCACTTTCCCACCATTCGGAGCTAAATGAAGCGTGTGAGAGAGTAGCAGGGGTATGTTGACGTCGACGTTTGGCTTTTGCAGTCCTTCTAGGGCGTGGTAGATGAGGCTCAGGAGACGGAGAAGGGCTGAAAGCCTGTTTCCTTTTTCCTTTGAAGGACGAGGCAAGTGGCACAGGACCTATTGCAATTTCTAATGGTTCCGAAAATACATCAACATTCCCATAAAGAAATGGGTTCTTTATATCTGCGGTAGTAGTGGAGTGTTTGGCAGGAGGTTGATAAGGAATTGGTCTTCATAAAGATGTTAGCCAGCATCTATCTACTTGTATAAGAAGATACTGACTGTGCATGTTGAATTTGTTGATGAGGATAGTGGTAATCTTGGGGACCTTGTCGAAGAGGTAACACATCATAAGGCGGGGACGAGTGAGCGAGCGTCGATTGTGTATTATTAGACTGATGAGAAACATGTGCCTGTACAGGCACCGGGGCTAAGTATTTAAGAGCTTCTGGTATCTGTTTGGGATTCGCCTTTTTACTTATGTGAGCAGCCTGGTCAAGTGCATGTGGACCATCCAATAGATCGAGTAGAGATTCTTCCGTCACGGAGGATCGTTCTAAACTATTTGGATCACGAGATGCTCTGGATGTATCGGATCCATACTGGTATCCCAAGTTCTCCTCCGGTAATGGAGCCATGTACCCGAAGTCAGGATCGTTGTATCCATCATCGAAGGTCCATTGCTCAGTCGTGTTAATGATATCTTGTTGGGCCGGGCCTTGAAATTCTGAGGCGGTGACACTAGAAGCGGGGGCGGGGATGGAAGAATACCCGTAAGCCTCGGACTGGCCTTGTTGTTGTTGGCTTCTTTCATTCATACTTTGAAGCCAATCTTGGTTTTGGTTTGATGAGAATGCTACCAGAGAACTGGGTCATGGCTTGTTTTAATTATTTAAAGAGATAGTTTGTGGATCAACTTGGCGATCAAGCGGATAATCGTCAAATCCGGTCCAATTTCCGTTAGTAGAATTACACAAAAAATAAACGGTACGCGTCCACAGTTCGGAGACTTAGTCACACGATTCATATCGCTTCAGGGGTTCGATGGTATTTTATTGCTGCTCTGTGTCGAGTCGATAAGTACCGAATGTAACCTCCATGATGAGCCGGTGCAAGGAACATTCGCGATAAACAACAGAAGCTTTCTTGGTTGATGATTATATACAAATACCATGGTATCAATATATTACTTCAAGAAATACAACATCCGGAGCTTGCATTAATAGAAGCTGATATTCTGACCCGGCCAGGACTTGACAACAGTGGCTTCTAACGAATACTTTTTATTAACTTTGGCAGAGCTAGGAAAAGGAAAAGGAAATGTTTAAGAAAAACTAGACGTTTATAGAAAAGCAAGTCGGTGCTTTCTTGCACTCCGAATCCTTGGCATGCTCCTTCCTAGTGACCGTTAGTGTTCCTTGTGCCGCGCTTGTTTTCCCCTGCCTTAGCTTGAATATGTTCTTTCTTGTATAGAAGAATGACAATTACCCGGCTACTTACGTTTCTTTTGAGTTTGACAAATCATCTTTCCAAAAATATCTGGTCAATCCAATATCAATATCTAAATGCCCAGCTCTCATAGTACTGAGGATGGATACACGAGATGGAAGATTTTTACCCCTTCATCAAAAGCACTGATCATTAACGAAGCGACCGTCTGCAACAACATGAACAAGTGTTTTGAGATTTGCTGTTGTGATCTCAAAGTCAGGATCAATCATACCATCAACTATGGAACAAGTCGAAAATGAAGTTATCAGACATGATAGGTGCTCTTTTTAAACTCCAAATTCAAGCAATCACCTCGGAAGATTGTGTGCAACCCCATGTGGTTCCGCTCCAGCCTCTAGAATTCTTGAGACATTTTTCACGGACTGATGGATCTTATCGTTGTTATCAATGTCTCAGTGACATTGATGATTTCCCCATAAACACAATCTTCAAATGCGATATTTACCCTACAAAGTAAGGTACGTTACCACCTACCCCTCACTCATTCGGTATATGATTTTCCGGCCAGCCTCCATTTCCGCATTTAACGTCACCATTAAGCAACATCGACTTCCTATAAAACAAAATTAAGGTGTTCTTTGATCAAAGATTTAAAACCTGAATAGGATTTAGTTTCAACCAATTCCTCCAAGATTTCTTGTCTTTGTGATTTAATATTCAAGAAGCTGCTTTCTCATACATATCCGCGCAATCATGAGTGAAGGAGAATGGCCATCGCAATCCGATCAATCCACGAGAACTTCAGATACCGGATTGCAAGTCCTCAACTTTCAACCCGATGACCCTTCTGACCCTCGAAACTTTTCTTTCCGGAGAAAATGGAGTATTGTGGGTGTCATCACACTTATCGATTTGACAGTATCTTGGGGAGCATCAGGATACTCACCTGCCCAGGAAAAACTGATCGAGTCATTTAACGTCAGTTCTGAAGTCGGGGTATTGGGTCTCTCACTTTACATTCTCGGATTAGCATTGGGACCGATGACATTAGCACCTTTATCTGAATATTATGGAAGGACTTACCTCTACATAGTTCCTTATGGAACATTCCTCCTATTTTTGCTTGGGACAGCTCTAGTACAGAATATTGGAGGATTTCTAGTTTTAAGGTTCTTGTCGGGTCTCTTCGCTAGTGTAACGATTGCCAATTTTGGTGGAACTATAGCCGATCTCTGGCCAAGGGATCAAATAGGACCCGCGATGAGCATATTTCTCTGGGCCGCCGTTTGTGGAAGTCCTTCCGGTTATTTCTTGATGTCGTTCGTTGCAGAGGCATATGGTTGGCGTGAGGTATTCTGGGCTTTACTTGGCATCTGTGGTGGATTCTGGTTGATACTTGTAGTGGTACTTTTGGTCTTTAAGAATGAAACGAGACGTTCAGTGATATTGCGAAGGCGTGCAAATCGGGCCAATAAAGCTGCTGGAAGGATAGTCGCTACAGTTCCCACGGAAATGCGAAGTAAATCGCTCGGACAACTATTCAAAGATACGCTCTCTCGACCATTTCGTTTTCTTGGGACCGAGCCCGTTATTATTTTTGCAGCACTTTACAACGGTTTCCTCTATGGTCTTTCGTTCCTCTTCAACAGTGCTTTCAATCTGGTATTTGGCAAGATGGGTTATGGCTTCGAGACAGTTGGCGTTGGTCTTTGTTTCCTTGGAATTATGATGGGTATCAGTTTGGGACCATTTATCAATATATGGCAAGAAAAGCATTATCAAAAACGAATTCGTGCAGCTGGAATAAGGGAAGTGCAGTCTGAAGATACGCTTGACCCTGAGAGATTCAAAAATATACCAGAAGCACGAGTCCAGCTGGGCAGAATTGCGGCTATTCTACTACCTATCAGCCTCTTCTGGTTCGCATGGACCTCGCCACCTCAATATCATATTCATTGGATTGTGCCCATACTTGCTACGACTCTATTTGGCTATTCGTTTTACACACTTATTTTGATGACGTATCTATATGTTGAGGATAGCTATATGGTATTTTCGGCTAGTGCCTTAGCTGGTGTAGGCTTGATACGAAATTTGGCAGGAGCGGGATTTCCACTGTTTGGGAAACAAATGTTTGTAAATGTGGGATATAATTGGGCAGGAACAATTCTAGCATGTTTGGCAGTATTGCTTGTTCCTATTCCTTTTATATTAGAGAGATATGGTCCGAGACTTAGGGCGAGGAGTTTGTTTGCTAGACAACATATGGATGATTGATGATTTTATGATAATGGAAAGGAAATAGATGATATGATGATATAGATCATGTAGATAGATTTTAGCGATCACTTGACATTCTGTCATTTTTCAAGATCGGTATAGAGCTTAAAAGCATATGTTTCATTTGTCCTCTTGAGCTCCCAGTTTGCCATGACGCATCAGAAAGGCTCTTGCATGCCCGAGTCATCGCGTCACGCTCTGGTCTCGTTAACATTGAGGTGTAGTGCTTCAATATACATAACGAAGCTGAAGAACAAAAGAAGGCGTGTCGTCAGCGGAAATGAGTAATATCCAAGAATAATATGTGTCTCTAGCGGATTCAAAAGCAAGGAAGCATCACATATGGTATCAGGTGATCCTAGCCGCGGGCGTTCATAAGCTGCAGAAAGAAGATCGTCTCCTGTGTGATGAACCTGTGCTTAGACGACAGTCTCAGCATCAAACTGAAGGCCACACACGAACTTGGACGGGAGACTGACTGCATGATTTTAGGATGAAAAAGAGGAATATGCTGTAGAAATTTACCACCAAGACAGCTTTAATTTCGACCTTGAGAAAAATCATATAAATCTCCGAGGTACACATATCCGAGATTGTCAATTTGTAGTAGGTATGGCAGGACTGCTATTTTGAACTACTTATTAGTGAATGACTAATGTTTCGGATTTGCTTCTTTAAAACTTAATGGTTTTGAGTATCTGATTTCTGAATTCGTTGAAGACTGCAACTGTACAAACGCTTCCGTACATACCATACATGACTATGACTTTGACTTTAAAGATACCAACTAACTACTTCATCTACTCCATCTGCTTCAACTCCTCCACGCCCGTTCAAAAACTCCTCAAAAATGGAAATCCTATCATCCTTCAACTTCTACAATGACCTCTCCTCTCAAACATATCCAATCATCAGCCTCCTCATCCTTCTGCTTCTCCTAGTACGTACGTCCCCTCCATCACGAACCCCAACCCGCCCCCAACTCCAAATCTAACCCACCCCACCCCCAAACCCCCAATCCACCCGATCCCCTAACAACCCCCACCCACAGTACATCCTAACAACCACCCTCTACACCCTCTACCTCCACCCCCTCTCTTCCCTCCCAGGGCCCCCTCTCTGGAAACTCACACGAATCCCCTACATCCACTCTCTCGTCCGAGGGACCCTCGTAACCGACATACGCACGTACCACACCCACTACGGCACCATCATCCGCACGGCCCCAAACGAAGTATCCTTCGCGAAAGAACAAGCATGGCACGACATATTCCTGAGCAGCAGATTACAAAAAGCACTTCCGCGAGATCCCGTATTTTTTAAATCGCCACCGGGAGTAGCGGAGAATCTCGTTACGACTGTGCATTCAGATGTGAGTATACGGATGCGACATGTGATTGGTCCGGCGTTTACGGATCGGGCGGTTGCGAGACAGGAGGTGGTTATGCAGGGGTATGTTACGTTGATGGTTGAGAAGCTTTTGGAGGAGATTGCGCGGTCGGAGAAGGGAAAGATGGGGGCTGCTGTGGTTAATGTGGTGGATTGGATGAATTGGTGGACGTTTGATGTTATTGGGATGCTTACTTTAGGGGAATCTTTTGATTGCTTGAAGGAGACGACTAATCACCCATGGGCAACTTTGATTTACAATTCTATGAAAAGTATGCTTATCCTCTGATATATCCCCCAGATGAAAGCAAAGCATCATGGCTAATTACCACAGTGATGGCATTAGCAGGCGTAATGCAATACTTTCCGAGACTCGACTCCCTCATTTTTAAAATGCTTCCAGCGCGCATTCGAAAAATGCAAGCGGAGCACTTTTCCAACGCGGCGGAGAAAATTCATCGTCGACTACAACGTCCGGAAGCAGAAGTGGGTGATTTCATGACTGTCATGCTTGATCAGAAGAACAATCCGGACTTTTCCAAGATGAGTATGCCTGAGATCGAGTCATCCATTGCTCTTATGCTATTAGGAGGTAGCGAAACGACGGGCACTACTCTGTGTGGAACGATTAATTGTCTAATTCAAAATCCGGTCGAGCTGAGGAAATTGGAATGTGAGATTCGGAATTGCTTTGATAAGGAAGAAGATATTACGTTTAGTGCTCTTCAACAATTACCGTTCCTCAATGCTGTGATAAATGAAGGCTTGCGATTGTGCAATCCCGTTTCGGGAGGTCTTCTCCGGATTGTACCTCGCGGTGGAGCTATCGTTTGTGGACATTTCCTACCAGAAGGCGTGAGTGATGCTAATCTCCAAATTGTACACAGTATGCTAATCAATAATGACACTAGACACACGTGGCAATGAATACCGTCGTCATGGCTCATTCAGAAGCTAACTTCCACCGGTGTCTTGAATTCCTACCTGACCGATATCTTCCGGATAATCTCCGACCAGCAGAATTTAAAAACGACAACCGCAATATTTTGAAACCATGGGGACTGGGAGCACGTGTTTGTCTGGGGAGATCATTCGGCCAGGCAGAATTGAGGGTGGTTTTGGCTCGTTTAGTCTGGAATTTTGATCTTGAGGCTGTCAGAAACAAGCTGGTCAACTGGGATGAGCTCAAAAATTATGTTGTGGTGCAGAAAGAACCTATTTGGGTCACCATTAAGCCGAGGGTAAAGAAGTGATTTGGAAAGTCTGCGAGTGCAATTTTGCTTAGGTCTAGATATCAAGATAAGGTGGTATGCTGGCATGCCATAGTATTTCCAAGGGGCTCATTTTCAATGAACAGAAGTGAGGTGGTACTCCCAACCCGTGAGTTCTAGTGAATGAAGCCCAGGACAAAAAAATATGATTTGTATCAAATATAGACTGATAAAAGAGATCGCGTTGACATGAACAGTGATGCGAGCTGAACAAGGATGGATAAGCGATATTAGATTATTAGCAATTAGGTTGTATAGGTAAGTGCTTGCTAACATTTTATGTCTTATTTAATGATTCACAAAACGTCCATTAAGGTTAATTCTCATTAGGTAAGTTTACCAACTTCCTAATATTCACTAACCCCCTGACACACAATCCGTGGTACTCCGGTTTCCCTCGTGGTGTCTAGATAGTAGATACCCTCTCCTCAAATTAGGAATCAAAGAATAGCTCTCAATGGATAAACACATATCCTCGTACATGGGAATGTGTAGTCTATTCAATGACTCAATTTGAAATTAGAAGGAAGACAACAGGGGAAGGGAATGCGTTAAGGAAGAGTAAATCGGAAAAAAAGGAAATGCATAGATACATACTCTTAAATAGGAAAATATAATCTTACAAAACTATCAATAAACCAATAAAAAAGCCCCCACCTAAAATCTATAAGCTAGATCGCATAATACCACAATTTCCATTCTGTATAAACATCAAAATATCTAATCCAACTCTTTCTATCAATGTATGATACAAATAGTAGTGAAGAAGATACCGGTATGACTATACACTGTTCTCAACCCACGACAAGAGTTTATCTATATCCTCAGTCCTCATTAGCTAAGATAGCACTTGCTAGATAACCAAAAGCCTCATCAAGACAAACATTTTCATACACTTTTTAGGTGTTAGCTTCACCATCACCATCCTCGCACAACTATGAATTGAACTCGAGATCTTTCTTTTTAAATTACCAATTACCAATTCATCTCATTGAATGTATGCGTATTGTCTTCTACTACCTAGGTTTCCTCCATAACCATTTGACTCCCTGCATCCCTTGTTCCCCCCCATACTCCCATCCATCGAGTCTACATTTCTCCTATTCTCGACTTTACGCGATTCAAATCTTTCTTTGGTGCTGTTTATTCTTTACCCAACCCTCTTGAGACCAGAACCTCCCAGCCCAGCTACTAACCCCCACTGCCCAAGAGCCGTTCCAGCCCGCAAAGCTCACTGAAATTAAAAAGAGCTTCTTATCTTCCTCGCCCTCTTTCAACATCCCTCGAGTTACAGGCTGATTCATGTGTACTCCCATACGCCTGTAAAATCAGATAACAATTTGTGGGCCATTTGACCACTCGAAAATAATTCAAAAAGAAAGATTCTTCGTTTTGTAGAGTCAAAGTAGAAGTTTTAGTGTAGAAAATATCAATGAAAACGTCAATTCCCGAAAGCTTGTGAACAGTCACATATCCAAACTCGTGTATATTAGGCAAGAGTAATAGACCACTCAGTTAGGAATAGCGACGCGTGAGAAAGAGAATAAAAACTGGTGAGTATGGGTATTTGATAAGTATTAAGTCAGGCGCGAAAGTTTTCATCCTTATTCTCCAAGTGTAGTCGAGAGAAAGTGAGGACCTTGCTTGACCAGGGAGTTAGAGGAGCTGAGATGTTTGTGTTGGCAATGGTCTATTTTCAACCCTTGGCTTTCGTGGCCCTCCCTTTAAACTTTTGACTCTGGACAAGAATCCACCGTTTGATGCGGGCGCTCTGGATGATTCCCCCATACTATCGCTAGTAACACGTCTTTCGATTCCTGGTGGGTTAGAAGGAGCGCGAGAGCGGCCAGGTCTCGGTGGCAGTTCAGCGAATGTGACGAATTCCTCTTTTATAGTATCGTCCCCCTTGCCAAATTCATTGAAGAATGGGTTTGCTTCATTTGCTCTACTTCCACCAGGGGTGTATCCATCTGGAGAAATTGAAGTGTACATGCCTTCTGGGCTAGTCATTCTTCCAGAAGGTCCGTAGTCGCGTCGGCCGTTGATGCCGCGAATCTTCTGTGCCAATGACTTCTTTCGACCTAGGCCACCGTCCATACCGAATTGTTCATTCTGGTTCTTTTGAACAGCTGCACGAGAAGCTGGGGCACCCTCAAGGAAAGTAGAGGTTCCAAGACCCATTGACTCCTCACCATGGACTGGTTCAACACGGCTGGTTGCACTTTCGATGGCAGATTCTGTGCGGCTGGGCATGCCAGGGCGGTGCCCATAAGTTTGGAAATTGTCGACTTTATCTCCTCCACCGGAGTAATCGAGATGTGCTTCAGAATCGTTGTTGCCCATAAATGTTGCATGGTCAGGTTTCTGATTCAAAGGTCCTCCACCACCAAGAGAATTGTTGGCTGAATCCTTAGCAAAAGCTTGCATTGGTGCACGTCGACTTCCTGTTCGATTACGGCCTGGCAAGCAAGCATCGAATGGTCCATCATGATGGAATGCTAAACATGGTTTGTTAGTAAGGGTTGCCATGATCGATCATAATAACCTACCTCCAATTCCAAAAATGCTCGTGGCATCTAATTGATCAATAACATCTAGAGGTGCCTTCTTCTTGGTCTTGTCTTGCGCACGCTTACGATCACGATGTCTTTTTTCTTTCTCTAAGCGTTTGCGTTCATCTTCTGGGTCAAGTAATCTGGGCTTTCGGTCCATGACAGATGTGTCGGAGTTACGTCTTGCTCTTCGTTTTGGGCTGTCGCTAGGATCGGCAAAGATATCTAGCTCTTCTTCTTTGCGAGGTTTGCTTGAGGATGGTTCCCCGGCTGGTCTTCTCGCGCGCATGGTCTCTTCCTGGGATCGCATTGGTCTATGACCTGATGGTCGTCCAGGTGGAATGTTTTCAATCTGCGGTTGATTTGCGGACGTGTTTGAGCGCATCAATCCGGGTTTTTGGCTTCTGTCCGGGACAGGTTTATCTCCAAGTGTCAGTTCGTCCTACATTTGATGTTAGCGATGTGTTTTTGTGGAGGCTTGTTGTAGGCTGAACCCTCGTGAACATGCTTGCTTGTGTTCAGGAGACTTCACGCCCATCCAACGCCATTAGGAGAAGGGTATTGGCATTCTTGGATAAACGTACAAATAAATCCGCAGCGTGTCCCGTCAGAGCTGGGCCTGATGAAGTTGGGTTTGGTCGAGAGAATGCCATTTTGTCTGGTGATGATGTTTGGATTGTAACTGGAGAATCGAGAAATGGATTCCGTGATAAAGGTCGTGGAGGAGGTTCTCGGTGGGCACGTTGGGTAGAAGAGGGCATAGCTGGAGACGCGGCTCGATTCCTAAAGGGGTTGTTGGATGATAGGTTGGTTGAGAGGCCAGGCGATCGATTCCCTGTTTGGAAAACAAGATTCAAAAGTCAGCCCAAGGATTCATGCTTGAGGATGATGGAGGGATATAGCAAAAGTGAAACGCTGAATGTCCAACTTGATACAAGCCAGCCGCTGATAAGTGGGGATGGCAGTTTTTGTCGTCGCAGGCCTCGCGGCGCATATATTACAAGAATGATTTGGACTTACCATCATAATCTGGTTGGATAGAGCTTAACGACATGGTGACGGTAGTTGTGATGACGACACAAATTCCAGAATTAATTACCGTAATAAGTCGATGATGGGTTGATTAAAGGATTCAGGAGATTTGATCCGTTTTCCTTGGAATTTGAGCTCGTTCGTATTGGTGTAGAAAGTAAAAATCCTCGTTCCTCGTTGCTTCTTGGAAGGATGTTCGCAATGTATGACAGGTTTTTTAGTTTGGGAGAACAAGGAGATGACTGATCTGTTTGTTTGTAGGAGATTAGGAGGTTTCTTGAAGTAATGACTCTGGTTCTGGAGATTGGATGATTTTGATGATTTGAGTCTTGTGGTTTCTTCCGGCTCTCCCTCTTCTAACTAAAGCAACCACCACGTGCACGAATGGGTAAATTGAATGAAAAGGGAACTAATGGAAAAATAATAATAATAATAATTAAGAGAAGGGGAACAGACTGATCGATTTGGTCCGTGTCAGGAAACGGTGAATTTGCTTAGCGACCGAGGCCCAACCAGTTAACCAGCACTAAAATTTATGTTTGAGAATTGTAGGCTTGATTGGATACCAGTGTTGATAATCGAATGTGATAATTCCTCTTCCCCCTTAAAAGGTACGTGTGGTGACGTTTTTTCTTTGGTCCTTATACTTTCAAGTCTCAGGAAGGATGGTTCGCAATCAAAGCGATTAATCCTTTTGGAACTTAAAAGATGGTAGGGAAACGGATAGGAGGGGAAGGGATGTGGATGGGGAGATGGGACGTGAGATGCGAAGATGCTTGATGCACAATCGTAATCTTATATCCCCGTTGGCCTCCCTTGATACCTCTGCCACTGAATTTGATTCGAGGAATTTGTATTAGCTGTGGATTCGATTTCGACTCGTTGACGATCTTCAAATTTAGTAATTGTGGTTCCTTTCCAAATTCCTTGCCAATTTTCAGAGTACAGGTAGGGAAATGAGGGTGAATCGTTCAGGAGTCGAAGATAGTATCGATTTGTAAGTTGGGGGTCTGCATCGAAAGAAAATGAAGGGTGAAATGAAGTTTGATGTTCGAAAAGGTTTGATTGATTGGTGGATGAATGAATGAATGGATGGATGTATGGATGGGTGCACGAATGAGGATGAGGTTGAGGTTGTACGAATGTATAAGTTCAACGGTTTCCTCTTCCAATGGAATGAAGGAGTTGAAAAGAGAGAGGGAGGGAAGAATTGGGAGTTGTATGCGAAATCCAAAGGTTAATATAAAGCGCGGAGTAGATGTTCGTCCTCTTCCTTTCGTGTCTATTTTTATTCTTTGCCTGATCTGTATAGGAAATCGGATTGCAAGGTATGATCGCGAATGTCGTAACCGTCTATCCTTAGACTATTACTCCGTACTTCTAAAGATCGAACTTAAAATAGGTACGTAGGTAAGGAGACTATGTATTCCGAATTATCCAAACGAGTAGAATAGGTGAAAGTTTTATGGTATGGCGATGAAACTTCTCGGATTGTAGTAACAATAGGTTGGATGAAGAACGATTGATGTTAGAATCTTGTACTGTTATCGGGTATTGCACAAACTAATTGTAAATGAGGTATGTACTGAGTATGTTGTAGTAGTCGTAGAAGTAGTAGTAGTAGTAGTAGTAGTAGTAGTAGTAGTAGTAGTAGTAGTAGTAGTAGTAGTAGTAGTAGTAGTAGAAGTAGAAGTAGTAGTAGAAGTAGCAGTCAAAAAGAAGTTGGATAGTGATGAAGTCTCTTAGGTGGTAGGTAGGTATTATGTTGGAGGGAAGAAGGTTTCTTCCTTTTTTGGTAGATTATGAATGGATTAAAATATCAGATGAGCAGCTGAGGTACCTCTTGACCTCTTGACCTCTTGACCTCTACACCTTTTTAATCACACTTCCTTCTTATTACAGTAATTATCAAAAGATTACCGATATATCATTGAATTTATGGATACTCAGATACCTATTCTACTCTAAATCTTTCCTCTTCTTCAACCGTCTCTCCTTCTGTTGTACTCTGTACTCTGTTCTTTTTGCGGAGCCATGCAAATATCATGAGATTTTCTAAAATGGGACCCTGATCCGGGCAAGGAAGCTGCTTGAGAGTCCGGAGAAACCTTGTTCATCTGTTTGACATCGTCATTTTCACGAAATACGAAATCTTACTAAATAATGCAAAGCCTCATTCTTAAAAAGCAGGTACGACTCTGTGCTCCGTACGACCAGAATGTCCAGAGTAGCCCCAAAAGGGCTTACGAGAAATCCGCGACTTTTACTTGCCGTTTGTATGGATCCAGCTGATTTTATTTCAAATTATCGATTGCCACAGGGAAGAAGTGGCTATGTTTTAGCCGAATGTTCCGTCAAAGTAATAAGTGTCGATCAAAAGGAAGCACTATTTGATAGAAAGTCAACCCCATCCGAGCCCGTGGAGGAACGGATTTCCTCTGGTGAGTTAGTCTGACGAGGCGTTATTTAACTCAAAAGTAACCTGCTGACGGTATCTGGTAGCAAACTCAAGATCATTGGATCATTGGCATCCGGAGACTATGTGCTATAAGATTACTGGTTGCTCTAAAGGGATTTCTTGAGGTGCGGTAGGCGATTGGACGATTGATAAATCCCAAAATTCATATGAAAGAGTACTTAGTAGTGCCAAGAATTAATGATGTCCCGAATTCTAGATCCATCCATACATTTGGATCCTTTTTTCCTTTTCTCAACAGTTCAAATATCGAAATCTGTGCTGGCTACCTACCCACCTTTTGACAGAAATACCGAGAACTGGAGTTTCCAGCATCCAAGTGGATCTACTACCGGTAGCTAGTATCACTAGAAAGATCTCAAGTAAAGAGGGGTCAGTAAATAGGGGACCTATGATAGCTTCAGGTACGGAAAACACTTGGACAACTACCCACTCTACTTTGATGTTTATGCTCCTCATTTTAACCTTCAAAGCACCAACACCAGTGAAAGGCAAAAGTCTAATCTCAAAAGACCAACGAAACAGGTTATGGAGTATGACAGCTTCATATTTCATGCAGCAAGAATCTAATAAGAATCTAGAGGTGTCTTCAAAACCCAGATTCATGCAAAACATATCTTCCGGCATAAATACATTAATTGCATCCGTCCATATCCCAAATACCAATCCCGGCTCATAAATCTAGTTGTTCTTGTGGGATAAATTGGATAACTGCTGACTAATCATCAAATTGTATGATATCCTGACCTTATCAACCTTATCTGATCTTCTTGAGTCCCAAGCAAAGAATTATCGCAACGCATCAAAAATCCCTCCCTTCCTGTCCCCGCTCATCAAAGCTTTGCAAGCTGGAACTCAATCTCCAATCTCCAATCTTCAAAACTCTATCAATTCAAAGTTTCAAATACGTCATCACACTTTTTATTCTCCCCTTTTCAACCTGCCCGCCTTTACGTTCCGCGAAACATCTGCATATTTTCCCAGGAACAATCGCGAACCCTTGCTTCACCGGTGACACTTTGCACTACCTAACATACCAAAGCGCAAACTCAACGCGAAAACAAAATGACGACGATTAATTCTCCTCCGCAGGACGTTAAGATGGAGGATAATAATCGCCAAACACCGTCGGTACTAGGGGAGAATGAGGAACCAAAGTTTGGAGGTTTCACAAGGTTTGAAATTGAACTTGAGGTATGTTTGGGTGATTAAAGTTTCCTTGAGTGCGTGGGGGGAAGGACAACGGGTGGGAAGCTACATAGATTATGCCCCTCGCGTCGAAATGGAAATGGCATGAATGTTAATATCCTTCACATTACATTCTCTCTTCCACAATTCCCGCACTCTCTTGTTTCTTCACCTCTTCTACTCTCAGCATTCTGACACCTCGATGTGCTAATCGTCCAATAGTTCGTAAATGCCATCTCCTCACCCTTTTACTTAATGCACCTAGCCTCTTTGTCCTCCGGTACTCTACTCAGCTCTCCACCCTTCATTGCCTACCTCAAATACCTCCAATATTTCACACAACCTCCATATCTCAAGTTCCTCACTTATCCTGGACCTAGTCTCAAACACTTGGAATTATTACAAAATGAGAATTTCAGGAGAGACTGTTTGAGTATCGAGGTGGTGAGTATGCTTGCCAATGAGGATTTAGCGGCGGTGGAGAGGTGGAGTAGGGAATGAGGGAGGAAGGAAATGGTAAAATAAGAAATTATGAATGTTCAATTGGAAGGACCCGAAGATTTAGGTGTGGCAGCGTGTGTTTCAAAGCAGGCTTCGCTCTCACCCACCTTTCTTTGGATCTCAGCATGGGACTGATGCAGACATTGTTTGTGTCAATGGGAAGTTCTGAAGGCCATCGTAGGTGCTTTACTCATAAAGAGGGTTAGTTCATTTGGGTTTAGGAACACAAAAGTGGCTCTATTTCATTTGGTATTTGGGGAAGATATTGAGGCATATACCAGGAGTTCTGGGTTTGGGATATGAAGCAATTGGTTGCATTGGAGAAAGAGTATGGTTGAGAAGTTAAAGCTTCTTATTAAGGTTTATATCGTAAAGAATTGAACGCCTTTTATGATATGCTATCTACATCCATTTGCAGATTACCTTTTGCACAAGGTATAATAACCCCTTACGCCATATTGCAAAAGCCCAGCTAAATGTCCTACTCCATGTGCACCCATAACTTTTGCTCAGTGTTTTAATGTAACCTCCATGACAATACTTTGCAACCATACATATAAATGCTTTCCACATCCAAAGGCTTTCCACATCCATCTGCCTCGATTGCGTAACAAGTAGCAGTTTCGTAAATTCCGAGTTCTTTCATCTAATTTTCTCTCCATTGGTTCGCACATGTCATACACTGTAGTAGAAGTGTTAGTCTTTATCCTCTGACATCTCATTCACTTTTCGGCATATCGTCCACAACCCCTCTCTAACCTCCTTCCCTCCCGCACACGCTCCTCCCCATTCCCAATTACCCCTCTCAAACCCTCCAACAACCCCGCCCCCGCCCCAAACAAAAATAAACCAAAAAAACCACTCACTCTATAAAACCCCGTCATCGGCTCATCCGCACTTCTAATCTGCACAAACCTCGCCGCGGCCACCATACCATTACACTCACTATTCGCACACTGCTTGGGATAGGTATCCGCATTCGCCCAGGCATCTTTGCCTCCAAACACATCTTCTTTTTCTTCGCGCACAAACGTTTTTCGATCGTAGATGCTGCGTGTGAGTATATATTGGTAGGGACATGTGAGACATTCGAGTCGGTTTGCGCCGGTGAGATCTTGTGTTGAGGTGGGCGTGGGGGTGGAGGAATGGGGTGTTACGGAGACGGTGAGGATGTTGCTGCAGGAGGGACAGACTGGTGGGAGGGAGGTTAGTGGTGGTTTGGAGAAGAGGGAGAAGGTAGAAGGGGAGGATTGACGTACAGAGAAGCATTTTGATGGTTGCGGTTTGGGTTGATTACTTTCTTGTGGGTATGTATTCCTCTTTCCCTTCTTTTCACTCTCACTCCTCTTATCAAGTAAGTATCCCAATCTCAAACTAACTCAAATCTCACAAAATAAAGCTTCCTCGTATAAAATCGTCGTATAAAGTATATCGGCGCGCAAAATCAAATCCTCTCAATCTTTCATCAACTTTATTCTACTCGAGTACAGCATCGCAATTATCCAAACACATGGAACTTTTTTTCCCGCTCGCTTATATAATCCACCTATCTCATTCATCCAATCAGATGCTACATCGAAACCAAAACAACCATGCGAGACGGATATATCACATCATATCAAATCACAACAGGCTCATGAGAACCAATCGGTGTATTTTAAGGTTTTTGTGAATCCGCGGACTTCGCATTGGCAAGCAGGCAGGCACGATAAGATAACATGAGTGGCTATAGCACAGCCTATACTCCCACTCCATTATTATGCTGAAAAATGAAAAATGTTGGTTCAGAGTTTGAGAAAGTCGGTGCGGTGCGTAGGTGCATCCGTTCGTTTCGTTTCGTTGGTGGTAGGTGGAAGTGGAGTATTCTGTAGGGTAGAGTGCTTTCCCCGGGGGCATGGTGAGTGAAATAGTGTTTTGAGAAGCGCTGAACTTTATCCATTCTTACCTCTTACTTACCTCTTACCTACCTTAAGATTACCGGATTAAGGATTTAAGGAAATTTACTTTCTTCTCGTCTCTTCTCCTCTCATCTCATCTCACTTCCTCTCATCCCATCCTTCCATCCTTCATCCAAGACTCAAAATCGAGATTAGATGAGCATCTACCTATCTATCATCTGAAAAATCTTCAAAAGGAGGAAAAACCATCAGACGAAAGTTCCAAATTCCCGTATTCCACTACTCTATCATAGACATCTACACATTTACGCATTACGACGAGACGAAAAGGTTAGAAGATTAGATCTATTATAGAGCGGGGTTTGAACTTTGGAGGTGCACTTTTTGCTCGCTTTTGTTTGAGTATACTTGAGGTGTTTACGTTTCGATACGTTAGCTGTGCTGTATTTCTTTGGTGGTTTGCTTTGGGTTGATTTTTGCTCCGCGTTGAGATTTGAGGTTTGAAGTTTGAGGAACCGGGTTGTGGTGTTTAGGTTGATAGAGTTGATTGAGAACGGAAGAGAATTCAAGGGTCGAAAGTTTGAAATTGGATAATATGGCTGATCCGAGGGATGTTGAGTATGAAGAGGAGGAAGCAACCATTGATGACCAACTCCTCCATGCCATAATACGCGGCTCGATTGGCACCTTCAACGAAGTCTTGGAACGATTCGATAGTCCAGCAGCTGCCGTGGAATATCTGAACACACATCCTTTAGCATTTTGGGATGGGGATCGAACAATTGGGGAACAGGCTAAAAACGTAGCTGCTCATGTTGCTGCCTCACTTGGACAAGGTAAGATACTTCTTACATCTGCTCTCAACTTTCTGATTCCATATCCCAAGATGGGAAGCAAGATGCAAATTTGCTAACATTAGAATTCCCATCTAGACAGGATCATGGACGAGCTCCTCGAACAAGAAGGGTTTGAATGCGACCCCATCAACAGCAATGGTGACACACCTCTTCACTGTGTCGTCAAATGGATCAACAGAGAAGGCCGGATCAACAGAGTGGGAAGAAATGCCTGGGACGATGGTCTTGAAATGGTCAAGATGATGCTCCGCGATGGCAGCGACCCTCGAATCCGCAACAATGATGGCTTCAGAGCCGAGGATTTGGTCAATCCCGATAACACTGAATTAAAGAGAGTTTTTGCCGATTTCGATTATGATATGGGGACGGATCGAGATGAGGGAGAAGAGGCTGCTCCTGAGAAGAATGGATTTGATCCTGCCGATTTGGTGAATGATGACGAAGAGGATGTTAGGAGTGTGTATAGTGGAAGTGACAGTGAAGAGGAGGAGGAGTGGAAGAGACGCGTGGCCGAGAAGTCTGCAAAATCTGCTTAGTTTTAATTTCCTGTCATGTCTTCTCTTTACTCTTATACTTCGGAATTGGGAGTACAGATACGAACGCGATGCTAGGGTGCCATTGTGTTGAGCATAGAATATGAGATGATTGAAATACATTTAGCTTCAATTTGTGTGGAGCGGGCTAGCTTTAGATTATTGCATTCTATTATTGTATTATACACAGTCGTCTAATCTATATAGATAGAAATGAAAGATCATGTTCTAAAGTTCCGTCTTTGTTCTCATTTGCTAGCTAGACATTTACTTCGCTTAGCTTTATGTTCAAAAAGGCCGACCAAGTGGTAAAATGAAAGAAGGGATGAAAGATGTCATTTGGACTATACATAGGCTTCAACTGAACAAAAAATACTATGCAAAAATCCTCCAATGGATTACGACATAACATCGATCTTCTAGCCGTCCTCAAATCAGTACAAATTTCTCCCTCTTCCATCCCTCTAGATCCGCCCATCTATATGCGTCATAAAGCTTCCTGACATTTCCATGCTCGGAGTATAATCTAACATAACCAACACGACGATATTTGGTTATGCTAGCCGCAAATTTAGTCAGGGTTGTGTTACTCCCATGCTTTTGTCCATCTTTTGCTGCATTTTTGTGCCCAGCTTGATGTTCGGTATTTGATTTTGCCTTTCCACCTGCTTTATCCCCAGCTTCATTTCCACCTTTCGCCTCCTCATCCTGATTCATTTCACATTTTTTCAAAACCAGACCATGTGCCTGCCGTTTCTGCGTCGCCACGAACATAACTTTATACCTCGTATTATCTGCTGTGTCTCCATCCTCCTCATCCATAATCGTATCTGTTTTTGGCAAGCTCTCTTTCTCATCCTGCGGACTGAAGAGAAACATGGCTGAACTGCCTATCCTACAGACAAATAATGCCCCGGTTCGACGTTCTTCCCCTGTAGCTCGTGTATCCCAATGCACGAATCCACACGCCGAATTATTCCCGTTCGTCGCCAGTCCATTCATAAACCGCGCTCCCATCGTACTACCTAGGATCTCTAACGACGCATGTTGGATTTCTCCATAGGGATTATGCCCCATGAGCATTACATTATGAGAGAGAAGCTGTGGATCAATAGGTGTAGACTGAAAAGTATCATGACTGAAAGTCGACGGATGAAACACCACTATCCCATTCGTCGTAGCCCACGACCAACTAGGCGCCCTCCCAGTAGAAGGAATAGCATCATCCCCATAATACCACACCAATCCCTGCCGAAAATGACTAGTCCAAACCCCCGCCACATATCTCGAATCCGGATACCCATTCGTGTGCAATATATCACGAACCAAAGTAACGATGCCAGAAAACGCGGGAAATTTATCCCGGGAAAATGAGAGGTGTCGCGAACAATAGTCTACTACCATTTCTTTATGATATTCCATGATTATGTGCATGCTGATGCGTTGATGTACTGCAGACCGCGTTTGATCTTTGTTAACGAAGACATAAGGACTTTTCATCATGTCGGCTCTCTTGAGTCCTTGCGATTCATGTATTTGGTCTTTAATCCTCTCGTAACGGAACGCACGTTGATAAATAGGTGCTCGTGAGCGCAGTCCATCGGCCGATGCGTGGTCGTGTAAACATTGCCAGTAAATCTGCATACGACCATAATACAGGGTCCTCGCCGACAAAATCTCCTCTTGGAATGTCCAGCCTCTATCTGCGAGCGGTCCCTTTTTTAATAGAATATCTAACTGTTCACGGTTGTTGTCTCGGAGTACCGCGTCGATGTGATCTTCTGGTGGACTATTTTGGCTGAGCTTCAAACTGATGCTTATACCTGTAAGATCATAGTCTTCAAATTTATTGAGTATCCCATCGGTAGAATTAGATGCGGCGGCTGCCGCAATGGTTAACGTCGCATCGCGATATACATTTCCCATGTGTTTAGATTCTATTTCCCAGTCCTCGCTTGAATCTTGCATGATACACAAACAATCGATCCATAGAAACTGGAATCCCAGTCTCCGAGTAATGAGAATGGCATCTCGGAAATTAGGCGGTAGTTTTTCTAGTGCGATTCTCTTATTGAAGATCTTGGAGGTCGTTGTATTTAGTTGGGAGCGATTACTGATTTTACCGCCCCAACAATGGCTCAGTGCGATATACTTGCCTTTCTTACCACGTGTTTTTAATAGATATGGTTCACGGGTGTCGGAACCAACATGTATCACTCTCGTGGGTAGTGGCCTATCTTCTATCACTGGACATTCGTAATGTGTTGAACTGCAAGTGTGTATCCAATCTCGAGCAATCTCGAAGTTTGCCTCTGATCCCAGATTAGGATCGAGAACAAAATGACCAATTTCTATGCCATCAACAGATTTGACTTTTCCTATCATGTCATATGCATAAGTCAGTGATGGTTTTTAAGATGAATACAAAAATGAAATGATTAACTACCTCGACACTTCTGCAACGAAAAGTTCACAATCAACCACTCTCTCCTCTGGCTCCCCCTCATATAAAACGACAATCTATCCAAAGGAATCTTCCCCTTTGATTCCTCAAATACCGCCCCATTCGAATTCTTCCCCTCCACCTCAATCTCCACATCCAAACCCATTCCGGATCCGTCTTCCTCCATCTCCAACATCTCAGCCTTATACGTCTTGCCCGCTCTTCCTGCTGACAACACCGTCCCATCTAACGCACGCACCAACACCTTACACAGCTCGCAGCCAGCTTCGGCAGCCGCGGCAAGATCATCGTATTTCGAATGATGTTTCCAGGGACGAGGTATACCTGCTTTTGATCCATGATGGTATTTCCCAGCCAAAACAATAAGATCCTTCACATTAATCGCCCCGCATAAAGCACAAAGCATTCCGAATCCGCCTCAAAATCAACACAGCACAACACAACGCGAAACCAAAAAATCAAAATAAGTCGCTCTAGGCAGGGACCAGTATCATAACTATTTCTCCACTCGCGCGGTCCGTACCGCTGTGTTGATAGATACATATTAGAGGCATTGCCCATGCATCCACACTGGGTGGTATGCATGGGTATCTGCATCATGTGTATGTATGGGCATATATGTTATGTGTGACCCGGCTCATAGCCTCATTTGTATGCAACGACGCTAGCGTACCATGCGGAAAACCAAACTTTTCTTGAATTCGTTCGTGGAGGGAAAAACACAGGGGGCCTTGCAATTACAGCAACTTCAAAAACTCCCATATGTAAATGTAATACGCTGAAAATCTTTCCAATCCAATAACCGTAGCTTATCACCCCTCCATCCATTTCTACATCCATGCTATCTAAAACACAAGTAAGCGCTTATTAGCACCTCTCCCTCCAATCGTCTAAAACACAATGTGGAGCCACCAGGGCTCACTCAATCCATCTAATTCGCTACCACCAAGTTATATGTAACTTTTAACACTCCCATCACCAGCACAACACAGGCTACGCAGCACGCCATTGCATGATCTTAAACAATTTTCTTCTCCTGCAGCCTGCCTAATCCTACTGCTACTGCTACCCTAGCCTACCGTAAGCCTTACAAGCTGCCCAACTAAATTTCTACCGAGTACACGCGACAGGTTAATGTAAAAATTTATCAATTTAACCTGCCGATAACCGCTTTCCCGCTTTCTGGTTGCCTTTTTTTTCATCCCCATACTAGGAATGATACTATACTTCGTATCTATAACCAATGATGTATCTAGTGATCCAATAATTAAATTAAACAATAAATATTAGATTCCTTTTCATTTTAAAACTAGCATAAAATTTCCAAACTTTTATTTAATTATAAAGTATATAATAAATTCTTATTTTACTTTTTATTTTCAGTCTTATTCTTATTAATTTAATTTAATTATTTTATCTCTTTATTAATAATGTCACGGACTTTGTATAAAGGACGATCACGTGATTCCAATTGATCGACAATTCCTATCGGTGAGCTGATAGTCTGTGCACATCTTTCCAAATTTACCCTTTTTAGTATGGCATTATGGTCACCTTAAGGAAGAAAGCGCACAACCATGCAGCTACCGTATAGGTATTTTGTATATATATATGGATGCTCCCTACAAGCCATAGTTCCAAAGTTGTAGATTCTAAGGAATATAATTGACCCTGTTTATTCAGCTCTTATAAGGCTCTTGTACGTCACAAATAACTAATCACTATTATATCAACAATTACATTCATTACATTCATACACTCTACAATCTCTCAAAGTCTATAAGAATATACTTTATACAGATAGATTAGATCTTATAAATATATATATATATATATATATAAAGAGCAAAAGCACCAGTACAATCTTATTATTCCCCAGTCCCCATCTCACAGTCGTACAATCTTATTGTCGGTACATCATGTGATCAACCTCGAAAGGGAGCCGTACGACTAGTGCATTCTAGCCTGTACCCCTTTCAATATAAATAGGTCCTTTTCCCCTAGATAGATAATAATCATCCATGAACAAATACAACAGGAATACTATGCACTGCATTCGTATCACCGAAGTGATACCAACACTTATAATATTAATTCTTCAACTCCAGATGGCTTTCACCTTGAATCGAAGTAAGATCTTATTTAATTTTCAACCTACTTTTAAAGATAATTATAACCCCTTGTAATATACAAGTTCTAGGTATCAAATTCACGTAAAGATACAGGTAAAGGTAAAGGTATAGATAGTTATAGGCAAAAAAGGTACAGGTAATTCTAATTCTAAAATTACCAAGGAAAGAAAAGGTAATTAGGTTATGAATCCGAATGTCCATCCATCTATCTATCGGCGCAGCCGAAAACAAAAAGCAAAAAAAGCCTAAATCTAAAGCTCATTACACAATAAGGGTATCTCAACGCCGCATAACCATCTCTCTATCAACTTCCCACCTTCCACCTTCCAACTTCCATTTTCAAACTTCCATCTTCAAATTTTTCAATCTCTAACTCCCCATCCAAACCAATTAAATCCAATTTATAAACCTTCCCCTATAAACTCCCCCTTACCCCCAAATCCAATCCCACCACACATAATCAACCTCAACACTTCATCACCTCATCACCTCATCACCACAACCAAACCCCCCAAACCAAAAACCCCACCATTGCCCCCCAACTCCCCAACCTAGCCTTCCCACCCAAACTCTCTCCCGCCAAACTCTTAACCGCCATCTCACTAATATACGTCTCATTCATAGCCAAGTCCGTAATATCCTTCGTAACCTTTCCGGTGCTAGCAATTTTCCTCATCTCATCCCCAAGGACCTTAAGAATATTCGTACTTCTTCCTTCAGGACAAAAGACGATTTCCCATCCACCACCCGTGGGAATGATGAATGTAGATGTTTGATCATCGAAAGGATATCCATATGCATCTGGACAAATTTTATTTGCCGCATTGGCGAATTCATTGCGAGGACATAGATTAGGTTCATCGTAAGCACCGGTGCAGCAATCTGATGGGTGGTTGTTTTTGGCGCAGGCGGAGAAACAGGGATCGAATGTTGGACGTTGGATATTGTCGTCTGGGTATGGGTAAATGCCATCACCTGGTTTGGTGGGTGGTGTCTTTTGAAGATTCCATGGACACCAACTCATAGCTGCTACGTTGTCCACGGTATCCTCTAAAGGGATAGGGTAAGTGGAATTTGAAGAATTACCATTTGTACCTGTGCTTGCTATGGGCGCGAGATAACCGGTCGAGGCAATACAAGCGGCATTCACAAGGTTTGGTGGAATGGCCTGAAGTGCAGGGTTATCACCAGGAATATAGACGATCCCCAAAGGGATGTTATAGCCGTCTACTAGAGAGATATCATAAAAAGTTTGTTCACCTCCATTCCCTGCCAGATCAAACTCTGCTAGAGTGACAGGAGTTTCGCCCTATAACAGTCAGGAATCATTCATTTCTATCAGAGTAAAAACTTACAGTAATAGCACAATCCAGTAAACCACCGCAATCACCAGTAGTACAAGCAGCACCAGACCCATCATTTCCAGCAGCATTACTAGCTCCATTTCCTCCAACGGCGAAACTACAATTGGTGCGTCCCCAGACTCTTCCTTGCCAATCTGCACTGACTGTCAAAGATTTACTCTCTCCTGTTTGAAGAGCGAAACCTCCTACTCCACCACCAGTTCCTGCTTGAGTACCGATTCCAGGCCATATTGTCTCAGGACACATATTGCTAACCACTAATGGTATTCCTCCATCTCTCTTTTTAGGAGGTCCTTTTCGAACAGGTCGATTAGGGTCCCAATTCGGTTTCCAGGTAGCTCGATTTCGATAATATGTATGGGCCTCAGCAACAGGAAGTATAGCAAGACAGAGACTAGCAGCTAGAAGTTTTCGTGATATTGAAGAGGATTTTCGTGATTGATGAGATTTTGAACTCATTTTGTCCTGTGGTCTGTCACCCATCATTTGGAATGTGTGTTCGATTGGTGATATCGTCAATTTATGAATTCGTAACTCGTATTCAAGTCCGTAAGGTTGTGTTTCAACAAATTTCGTAGGAAGAAAAGAGAGTATCAAAACAAACAGGAATAAGCCAAAGAAAGGTAAAGGTAGAATAAAAACAAGAATCTCTGATCGCCACGTTTTATTCCTTGATATCGTGGAAAGGATGAACCAATATATTTTTTTGCCTTGGTTGATCTGGACGGAGTGGTTGATATAGGTTAATCTTCTCTGATCTGATATGAATTGATATGGTTGGTTGGTCCAGAACCTCCCAAACAAATCTCTTCAATACCAATCACTTATTCACCTCCAAAGCAAGATCAAACCTCCCAAGTCCAAGTCAGAGTTCCAATAATAGAGAAAAGCCGACGACCAGTCAAGTAGATGATCCCTGCGCAAAAGTTCCCTTCAGGTAAAACAAAGAAGTGGACCCCTAAAACCCTTTGATATTTTTTTTATAGAAAACCCGTCCAATTCGATGCACTAATAATTCGATGCACTAATATCGATATCAAGCGTCAAAACATTTTTCCCTCCACCAAACCTGTATCCTAGGTATTGTATCCCAGTTACCCTAGCCCACCACCTTCAGCAAAAGGAAAATGACGTATTCCCTACGAAATACCACAAAACACCACAAAAAGCCCAATCCGGCTAATCGTGTACCCAATCCAATCCTGTAAAAAATAGAAAGGGTGAGAAGTGTCGCGTAGCGTAATATGTCGTAAATTCCTCGTCTGCGACAACAAGTAACAAAGCAACAGGGATATAAATCTTGATTTTTGCCCTTTCAATCCTTTAACCCTATCACTCCGTACCTATCCTACCCTACCTTACCCTATTCTCTCCTAACCCAACACCCTAATGCTATTTAATTTCCCGCCAGAAACCCCCAATCGCCAGAACTGGTGAACCCCTCCCTAAGCCCTGGGAACCAATACCGGCAGTGCCGTGTAGCGAACGTTAACGCAGCGGTTATGACAGCGGGCTGCAGAGCGAGTAAGCTTGCGAGCTTGCGAGGTTGAGCTTCTGAGTCTGTGAGCTTGAGCTTAAGTTATGGAGCAGCAGTCCGTGGGCAAGCGAATCGCAAGTTCGTATATCGTAGATCGTGAACCGTGAATCGTGGAGAGCCAATCAATCAAAGCTCAAGTAAAACGAATGTAGAATTGAATAGGTAAGTAAGTAAGTAAATAAGCGCCCACCAGGTAAGCGCTGTCAATATCAATATCAAAGTACCACCTAGGAATAAAAGAGTAAAACAGCGCGTTAAAGAGCGTGAAGAACGAACGAATTGAACAAAATAACAGAACGAGTGACTGAAAAATGAGAATCAATCAGTGAGTAGTAAAAATACCCTTCCTGTAGGCATGTAAAGATATTCTAATCTCAAAACTCAAAATTCAAAACTCAACAAGACAAGCACAAGTACGAGCACACCAAAAAATAACCCTTCCCTACTAACTAACTAACTAACTTAAATTGGATTCGATAAAAGAAGTAAGAAGTAAGAGCTAAGTAAGAATTAGACACAAATGAGATGGGAGTAAAGCAGAGTAAAGAACGATGACACGAGCTCCTTCTTTCATCCATCCATCCATCCATCCATCCGTCCCCATCCACCCAATCTACCATTCACAACATCTAAGAAGTGACCATTAAAATCTAAAATCTAAACCCTAAACATAAACCTAATTATCTATCTCGTTTAAAAATGATAATTCTGTTTAGTAGTTAAGGTACTAAGGGAAGGAAACGGATGCTGCCGCAATTGATACGTCAGGGAAAGGGTGAGTTACAGTAGGTACCTAGTTATTAGTTATTATGAAGATATGTTTCCACCGCAACGAGTCACATCCCATCCAGCGATCTTTCAATGTTCATTTCACCATATGTAGGTAGGTAGGTATCGTATATATCACATACATACATACACACACAAGAATCACAAACCTCCATCATCAAATCTTAATCTATTTTAAAAAAAAAAAACATTTTATTTTCACCAACTACAAACCCAAAAATGAGCAAATAGGTATCAACTCTCTAAACTATGGATCCATTCATTCATTCCTATCATTAGGATATAAAAAGATTATTCATCCCATCATCAATATACCGAAAAAAAAAAGTACCTGATTTGATCCAAACGATCCCATTTTTCTTCCATTCATCATGCAAATCACCTCACCGGTTTTGAATCTGATCACTTTCCATCAATCTATCAACCCAATTCTTCCTTGCTCAATCATCTCCTCGTCCGTCATGAAATTCATTGCAGAAAAGCTTCCTACCGTCAAATCTGAAAAAGCTTCTCTTCACTCCAGCGCCGTGCATCTCAAATTGTAATGCCACTCTGTAAGTACTCTGATATCTGCAGAACGCTAAAGTACTAAATGTAAAAATTCGTCAAATCCAATGTGTATTGATTTTTATGCTTGCTGAAGAACGATTATCTGAATCTGGAAGTGCAACGACCCATGACTTCTCCCTGGCAAACGAGTTCAGCATTGAATTCGGATCCATCAAGTGTGAGGTAGATGTCAAAGTACACTCGGTAGAAGGTGCCTTGAGGGGTATCCATTCTTTCAAAATCCTTTTCAAGATTCTTGCGAGAAAGATCAGATGTGAGAGTAACAACTTCTTTGACACCTATAAAAATGTTAGTGTAAACCATAATATACCTGAGGTCAAATTAACTTACGTGGATCCTTGGTATACTCGGGGCAGACATCATCATCGCAAGCGTACAAAATATCCTCATACATCAAAGTGGCTCCTGGTGCCACTTGTCTGAAGAATGATACTTTGACTGGCTCACCGATCTTAACTCTTTGTCCTTTCTGTACAAAAATTTGACGAGTAAACTTGCATCGATCCTTACCATCCAAAGATGGAACACGGTAGGCTTCTGGATGGTGTCCCTCCTTGAAAGGTTGAAGAGTTGCCATGAGGTAATGACGACGAGCTACACGGGATGTAACGACTCTTTCAGTGATACCGGCAGTAACAGCACCCTTAACAATAGCAGCCACGGAATCCATAGGACGAACAACCTTGGCCTGGAATTGAGGTGGTACGTGAAGTTTGATTTGTTGGAAAAGATATTCCGATGCACCAAAACCTCCAACAACCAAGACGTTCTGAAGTGTTCGGTTTTGTGCTTGAATGGCAATGATCTGGTTCCGAACCAGTTCCAAAATTCGGTTGACAACTGGCTCGAAACATTGCAGAATTTCTTCATTGGTGAATGTCATATATCCTTCTTCAATTCCTGCTTCGGGGAACTCTGCCTCAATGCCGACATCGACGGCCCATTTCTGATTGTTATTTCTGAAATCCGCCTTGATTCTGTTCTCGAAGTCCATAATACATTTTGCGTATACTCTCCCGGCTGTCTTTGAGCCCTCTGGTAATTTCATCTTTCGGATCTTGGTTCGTAAAATATTACTGAAATTTCGATTCAATGCAGTAGACCCACAAGAATCGCCAGAACCTGCTGTACACTCGGATACTGTGAATGGGGACTCTTCTTCGACCTCATATGCAATTAAATCGACAGTTCCACCACCGCAATCGACGATGAGTACAGCATCATGAATCTTGAGGTTCAATAGACCGGCCTTTGAGCAAAAAAGCGCAGCAGCTTCGGGTTCCGTAATCAAAGTCAATCGATTGTCGTTCTCATCCCTCAAGAATCCAGCCTGGATGGCAGCAGCTCTGGTCGCAGCCTTGCCAGCATCATTCCAAATAGCAGGAACTGTCAGGTAGTATCGGATATTTCTTTCTTCTCGATTGAAAACCTCTCCCAAAGTCTTTTGTAATTGGTTTCGCATAGCTTGTCTGAGTTTGAATAGGTAATCCGCTGCAACATCGATCTCTGACTTTCCTGGTGGAAGGGGCGGAAGGTTGATAGGATCGATATATGTGTTACCGGAAAGCATCAATTGAAGTTTAAACCATTCTACCTTTTGAACACCTGGCTTTGGATACCCAGTCGGTGCCAATGCATCTGCGATATCAGGACCCCATCCAACAACTTTTTGGTATTGATCGTAATAGAGGACGGTGGGAATCTGAAGATGTTAGCATATGTTATTGTAAACAGCCGATGTCATATCTCACCTTTTGTTTAGTGTATGATCCCGCTCCAGGCCATTCGGTAATGATATCCTCTTTCGCCTCGGTGTTGGTCGCAAAAGCAAAGGCTACACCAGAGAAAGTAGTGCCCTGCAAATCATGAATTAGTTCTGTGAAGCCGGAGATATTGTGTGCTATACTTACAAAATCTATTCCCACGATGAGTTGTGCCTTGCTTTTGCCAGCGCCTTCAACTTCCACCGGATTAGTCCTGCCTCCATACTGCGGACCCGCACCGCCTTGCATCGGTGCCCCTCCGGCACCATATTGAGGAGGATGATTGTACTGTGGTGGCCCAGCTGGAGGAGGTCCTCCCATAACTCCTTGTTGTGGAGGGTAGCCGCCGGTAGCTGCTGTATTAATTGGTGGCGGACCGCCCATCATCTGTGCCGGAGGGGTTCGTGGTGTACCTTGAGCCATCGGAGACGTTGTACGCCCAACGGGTGTATATTGATTAGAGTAGCTCGGCGGTCTTACGCCAGGACCTCCAGGATGATTCATAGGTAAACTTGCTGTAGAGGAAGAAGCTGTCTGTGGAGGAGGAGTAGGTTGTCCGGGTAATTGCGCAAGTTGTGGTGAGGATGTAGTAGAAGTGGGGTTTGGCGGGATGGCTGTTGAGATATTGTTTGCACTCGATTTACGTTTGGAACCGAACCCAAGGCTTTTTAAGCGGGCGTTCATAGAACTCATAAGGTCTACGAAGGGTGGTATTTTTAAATCTTCTCGAAGAAGTAAAAACGGGGAAAGTAAAGGACGAAGGAGGAATGATCGTATCGTACTGTATCGATGGATGGATATCCAGTCGCCGGTGTCAGCCAACCTATTGACTTGTCGCTAGCTTCCTAGCGACCTTGGGGGCTGAGTAGATGGAGGTTCTTTGACCTGGTCGGAAGGATTTCTCGTCCAAGGTGTACGGCTGACATGAATCTGCAGGAACAGGAGATAAAAGTTTAGTCCTATGAGGCAGATTGTAACACTGTATGATTATTGAGGACTAATAAATATTAAGTGGGTGGAGTTAATTTTTATCCGTGATAATAAAATGGATCTTTGGCAGATAAGACGTGAACAACGAAGTATTGATTGAAAGTATAGAAATAGAGTATTGGGGGTATCGAGTGAAAGGTAAAGTCAGGTAAGGTAAGGTAAGGTAAGGTAAGGTAAGGTAAAGCAAAGCAAAGCAAAGCAAAGCAAGGTAAGCTTGGGTATGGTGGTGTTGGAATTTGAGCTGTTGGTCGATGGACTATCTATTAGATGGAATTGGAGGGTGAATAGGCTTTTGGTTGATTTGATGGGTGATGTGGTGGGTGATGGGGTGGGTGATGGGGTGGGTAGTGGATGTTCCGCTGAATGGTGTGCTGACAACATTAAAAAGTTATCAACTAAGGTTTTATGCGGGTTCAGGCTCGCTTTGTTCTTATAATGACCTGATAGGAGGGACGATAAGGTAGATAGGCACGGAGGAGGTAGGTAAAGAAAAGAATTTATTGCCTGTCTCGCAATTGTGTTAGAGACACTGGACACTGGATAGACACCATTGAAAAGATAAAAGCAACAAGAAGGACAAAGGGGCAGCCACATAAAACAGTCGGTCAGTCCGAATTTATAATATCCTTTTCGAAATGAAAGGATTCAAACTCAAAAGGCTTTTACGAAATATTTCACAGATGATGGATTGATGGGTTGATGGATGGTTTTCCTATTGTGGGTACGGTGTACAGTATTACCTTTTCTGCCCTTTCTGAAGCAGGAAGAATCCAAAGTTGTAACAAACGAGGGGTTCCTTTTTGCTCGTACCGGCAAATGCAATGCATGCAATATCTACACCGGTGGCTTTGTGGAGGAAATAAAATATCCTCCGTAAGTAAAATACTCAGCCTCAACAAAACCTAAAGAAGAGTCTCTCTGGCTATGTATCATTACTTAAGCACATGGAGGCACAGCCTTAAATCCACCACCAGTCTTAGTCTTGCCTTTGAAAAAGGTTAGTATTGGGCAGAGTAGGTTTGGCTCTTGTTGATCATTCAGAAAGTCTGCCTTGAGAAGATGGAAATATCCGAGACTTCATTCAATCCCCTTCACCGTCAAAAAAGGCCAAGTTGTAGGAGAAGAGCATATGAAGTTCCTTGTAAGTACAAGTAAACCTTTTCCAAACCTTCAACCTTTTCTTACCGTTTTTGAATCTTCCATCTTTGGCCCTTGCAGCTTTGATACGATACATTGTGACCAAGTTTACGAGACCATACCATTGAGAACCAAGGCGTCGGTTTTCTGCCCCCGATATATGCTTTACCCCGTAACATTCAAAATGATGATTACCTACCTACACACAACAAAAGAGTTTTGAAGCATCAAGGGCCATTTTCGAAAAGATGCGCATATCCGCCGACCCAGAAACTCTCCATGGAATCTTTCTAAAGCGTTCCAAATCTTACATGAACTGTACATCGCGTCTACTATTGGCGATCATACGAATCACCACTGTGTGCAAGAACAACAAACAATCACCAGCGAGCATAAGGAAGTGGAATCATGAACACGTGAGATAAGCACTAAACAGAGGTACGAGTTAGGAAGAGGATGATGGCAGGTGAATTTAATCTAAATTTTTATATTGACTCTGACACCAAATGGTAATTTCAATTACCCATCAAAGACACCGAATCTTGTGCATGGGGGGTTAATCATGCAAGACTTCCCTCATTGTCGGTATCGTATGGGATCACTCATCAAAGCGACCTTCGGAAATCGGCAATGGGAGCGGCACAGTATTTCTTAACCCGTGGGATTTGCAGAAGAAGGTTTCGGCAAACCTTATCCGTCCAGAATCGAAGTTATTCTGCAACAGCTTTAAGCAATGCAATTCATGGCTGACGGACAGAATCAAGTCCAGTATAGCTTGGAATCACGGTAACGTAGTACAATATCACATCAGACACAGACACGGAACGGAAAGGAAATATATACCATCCATAACTTCAGTGAGGTTACAGAACCCACACAATACTCTGATGCAATATCTAGGTTATACACGGCAACAATACAGCCCCAATAATCTGTCAATTCACAAACGTCTAATCTTTGCTGATGACTTACATCTTATCCCTGACCTGCTGACTGCCTGCTTGTTGCCGATTTCACAAGCCATGATCAACACATATTTTAATGTAACACGGACTGCGGGATGATCAATAGAAGTAAGTTTGATGAAGTTCGCGCCTCCACCGTGGTGAGTGATCAGAACCGATCTATGGTGACACGGTAAGCATGAGTGTCGATACAGTTTTGCAACTGTTCTTAGGGGCTGATATCAATAGTACTGGATGGCTTTGATCCAGCAAGATTGATGTACTTGTACAAGAAACACAGAACATGAGTGATACCCATCTTTCAGCCAGATTATTCAGGCTTTTGATATCCTTCATAGCAAACACTCTTACCCACAAGGGACGTACTATGTTATGTATTAATGAAATACACTTACATCATGTTTCCTATGCATTTCCGGAAGTTACAAACGAAATGATAGGTGTGACGGGAGTTCATACATATAAGTCTGAGCTTTGATATTTTGACCAGGTGTGTGAATGGAGGCACGTCCTCAACAAGTTTCCCCATCTTTGATAACTTGATTGCATTGTGCATCCCCAGCAAAAGTTTATTTATATATAATTAATTTTCCGTTCTCAATCCGCCGTTCTTAATCCGTTCTCAATCCCAATATGAATATTCCTATTCATCGGAAATATGTGTAGAAATTATTGATATATATTTCTGTACCTGCGCTCTCTCATTTCATCTGAACGTGGTTGTTGATGTTCATGTACACGTTACAGCACCCTCGTACCCGACAGCAGTTATATTAATCGAACAGCCGAAGAGGAATCTGATGATTTAGACGAAAACAAAGCAAAACTCAAAATTCATAGACTGGGGGTAGGAGAGACAGTTATACTTTCGGGAAAATATCCTGTATCTTGAAGACGTTGATGAAGGGGTCGATGCGAAAGTCTGGAACTTCTCCAATATCAATAAGTTGTCCAAAACTAATAAGAAAAGATCAGTTGACGAAGAAACAAAAACACGGAAAACCACTTCCCCTGCGTTCATCAACCTTCCTCATTCGATCCTTAGCATTTCATGTCCCCATTCTTAAAATCCCGACTGCATATTACGACGTCACGATACTTATATACAATTGAACGACTTTTCAATATACTTTTTTCTTCTCCATGATCGGATAAGGAGAGTGAGTATCTTGAATTCCAAAGCAAGATTCTATTCTCCGCCAAATCTCGGAGACTCCATCAATCACTTCGTCTCACTAAAGCAGCTCCAGACGAGAGGAATAAGAAACACAGCTTTGATTGATTACGAGATATTTATTATACCAGAATTGTCCTCCAGGTTATTTATTATACGGAGCGTTTCTTCCAGTTCGACAGATATCGGTACATTGTCGAGACCCTGCTACCAACCATACGATAAGGCGATAAAATAAATACATCAGTCTATATATCAGTCTATAGTCCCCATACCAATCTATATATACTCGTACCCATTCATACTCATCAGGTACCAATACCAATACCAATACCAATACCAATACCAATACCAATACCAATACCAATACCAATACCAATACCAACACAAAATCGATTGTACGACACTTGATGCATCGAATGAATGGTCTCTCTCACCTCGATTATGCTCGATACATTGACCACTCATAACTTGAGACTCTGACGTTCACCCCCGTTGGATTCCGAGCTAATCCTTTGAGGCTGTTTTACGGAGTTACCAGCAACTTGCATCATCATTTTCTTCAAGTTGCATTTTCCCCTTTTCTTCCTTTGTTCCTTGGAGGAAGAGAGGTTCGAATTGAAGTAGCACCGCATAGACGGCCCTTTTTTGAAGGGAGACTAAGATAAATTAACCAATCACAGCAGCAGGGTCTTTGAGAATAAGTGGGTAATCTTGGGTCCAACTCCAGAGTCCAAACTCTGCCCCTCCAAGATTTCCCGCGCTTTGTTTTGTGCTACGAGGGTTTTCTCATAGTCTCATAGAAAAAAAGAATTGCCCCGCCTTCCCGCCAAGTTGGCCAGAAACTCACCCATCCTAATCAAAATTACGTCCTCAATTGGAAAGGGCGACCCGCCCGCCAACTACAATTCTAAAAAGAAGAAGTTTCCCTCCATTTCCGAATGGTATACTCATCATTCTCGTTCTTCTTCTTCTTCTCCTTCTTCTTCTCCTTCTCCTTCTCCTTCTCCTTCTTCTTCCCCTACTTCTTCTACTCCGAACTTTCCTTCAACAATCCCAACACCGTCACAATCAACATACCCAACGCTAAACCTTAACGAATCCAAATCATTTAGATCCCATAAGGTATCGAGACCGGATCAAATCAGCCTTGTGCATTTAGCCTCTGTTACTTTTATAGTTGTTGTCTTGGTAAATTAATCACAAGCTCCCATTGTCATGTTGGTTATTACTAATTTATTATATATAGATTGTTCAATTCTTATTCACTGATACCCCTCCTCTTTATTCAATTGCACCCCGCCCATATTCACCAACATCATACTCTCCTCGAGCCAACTTCTTAGATCAAGGCACTTGCGAATCTCCACATCCATTTCCTACAGAAGCACCAATATCAAGACCACACAAAATGTCTTTGTTAGCAGATTCAAAGCGCGTTGCCGCGGAGTTTGAATACTCGGATGAGGATGTGCGCAGAGGTGTTGCGGAATTCATCGCGGAGATGAGTATGTGTATCTGCCAACCAACTTATGACATGGAACTAATATTTCCATAGATGAGGGATTGAAGAAGAATGCAACAAATATGAGCCAAATTCCTACATATGTTACCGGAGTACCTAATGGCACAGAAAAGGTCGGAAAAGAAGGCCCGCATTTTTTTTTTTTGCAAGAGCTGATGAATCATAGGGACTTTACCTGGCGGTTGATCTTGGAGGAACCAACTTCAGAGTTTGCTCGATTCAGTTGCACGGAGATACCACATTCAGTCTCACACAATCGAAGGTTGCGATACCAAGGGATTTAATGTTGGCGAAGACCGCCTCGGACCTCTTTTCGTTTTTGGCAAAACAAATCGAACTTTTTCTCAAAACCCATCACGAGGACCATTTCGCAGCCCACATTAGACGTCGCAACACCGTCAGTACACCGGAAGGGTTCAGGGATGAGCACATCTTCAGACTGGGCTTCACATTCAGTTTCCCAGTTCATCAAATCGGTATCAACAGAGGAACTTTGATTAGATGGACAAAAGGTTTCGATATTGCCGATGCCGTTGGACAAGACGTATGTGAATTGTTACAAAAGGAGATTGATAAATTACATCTGCCAGTGAAGGTCGCTGCTCTTGTGAACGACACAGTTGGAACCTTGATGGCAAGAGCATACACCTCTCCTGGCAAGGCTCAGACTCTACTTGGAGCCATTTTTGGTACTGGTACCAATGGCGCATATGTCGAGAAACTCGAAAAATTGACTAAGCCCGTGGGAGGAGATTTTGACAAAACAACTGGTGAAATGGTTGTCAACACAGAATGGGGCTCATTTGACAATGGCCTCAAGGTATTGCCAAATACCATTTATGACCAAATTCTTGATAGGGATAGTGTCAACCCTGGTATTCAAATGTTTGAAAAGAGAGTTTCTGGTATGTTCTTGGGTGAAATCCTCAGAACCACTCTCATTGAAATGATGAAGAGCCCGATCAGCACCCTTTTCAAGGATAAGTCATCGGCAGATAACGATTATAGCTCGACTACCAATATCGATGAAAATGGTGCTCTCTTCAAACAATGGGCTGTCGATAGTTCCATCCTTTCAATTGCTGAAGCTGACAACAGCATTGGTCTGCGTGCCCTTCGCCAAGAACTTGAGAAGTCACTTGGTGTCTCAGCTGCCTCATTAGAAGATGCTCAAACTGTTAAAGAAATTGCCCATGCTATTGGTAAACGTGCAGCTCGTTTAGCTGCCGTCGCAATTGGAGCTGTTGTTCTCCACACTGGCCGCCTTGATAACATACCTGATGCGAACAAACCAAAATCAACAACCTCTATCGTTCAGGATGTTAAGGATTTGAAAATTGCCGACGCAGCATCAGCTACTGCTAGTAAGCTAGCAGATGCAGCAGGCTTGAAAGTCAGTGAGGAAGATATTATTGATATTGGTGTAGATGGTTCTCTTGTAGAATTCTACCCAGGTTTTGAAGATTATATGAGAGAAGCTTTGAGAGCTATGGATGGTATTGGAGCTGCTGGTGACAGAAGGATCAGAATTGGTATTGCTAAGGATGGATCTGGAGTCGGTGCCGCATTAATTGCTCTTGTGGCGGCAGGAATGGAGAAGCAACAGGATTATATTGGGGATTTGAGAAGTAAGTATAGTGTTATTACCGAATAGGCGACAGGCGAATAATGGCTGTATGACTTGGTATGAGATGATTGATGAATGAATGGCTCGTTGTTTAGGTACAACAAGAAGTGAAGTGGAAATCTGAATGGGTAGATGGATAGGGTCGGTGGTTTTTGGATGCATAACATTTTGGGCATGCGTTGCTACCAGGTGGCTATCTTTTATTTTTACAAATATCTTTTTACGGAATGGAATATGAATGAAATGTTTTTGAAACTTATTGGTTTTGTGTTGAGTTTTCTGTTGTGATATAAATATACATAAGTGAGAATACCTAAGAGCTTATCTTATTGTCTACTTTCAAAGAAGATTTTTTGGATAAGATGTGGGAATGTAGGAGGTGTCTGAGCAGAGGATATTTTGAAATAAATTGAATCAAGTGATAACTCAAATGTAGTCTCAACACCTGGGTAGTTTGTGATAAGGAAAAGATACGTATGGGTCTTAAGGACTCGGGGATATACTGATGAAGTAAGATGAGGTTTTTATATATTTCGAGAGAGCGAGAATGGGAGATAGAGGTAGAGGTAGAGATAGAGGGAGGTAAATTGTATGAGTTGTTAATGTTGTTATGTTGTTATATTGTTATGTTATGGACTTGGGGTAAGATTTTTGAATGATTTGAAAGAGGGGGGTTGGTTGGTTGGTTGGTTGGTTTTTGTTATTGTGTTGCTTTGGGTTTTTTGATTCGGTGGTGGTGCTGGTGGTAGTGGTGGTGGAAGGTAGAGGGAGGAGGAGGAGGGAGGTTTGATTTATTTATGGATTATTAATACTCATTATAACATTCCTCATCCTCTCTGGATCACCTTCTATAGATATATAATATATATATATATATGCGCAAAATACCTCTCTTTGTATTATTTTACTATATCAACGTATTACCATAATATAATATATTACACCACACCAACTAACATCATTCATTCTCAACTCCAATGATTCACCATCTCTGAATTCTCACGATTCTCACGATTCCCTCCCGACCGAAACCAAGAAGATCTCTGTGTCCCTTCTACATTCACAGGAAGATGCGAATCCGACGTACTACGTATACCCTGCCTCGCATGATGTAATCCTACGGTATTCCGAGCACCTTCCTCGTCCCATCCTTCCCGTGCTTCTTCCCAGGTTTCTTGAGATGATTCGGTTTCTTTTGCAGGTTTCGAATTCCTTACTGCCATTTTCGTTTTCATTTTCATTTCAGTTTTTCTTCTCGACCCTCTTCGTCCCGGTTTGCTGATTCGATGGACTATTATTCCTTATTCTTTTTGGTTTTGGTTTTGGCAGAATATTGTAATGCATGAGGCATAGTGCGAGGAACTAGGTGATCCAAATTGAATGGAGGGAGAGGGTGTAGTGGGTGCCGATTTTGGTGTAGTGTTTGTAGGTGGGGGCGGGGATGGGGATGTGGATGAGGGTGAGGATGGCGATGAGGATGGTGATGGGGATGAGGATGAGGAGGTTGTGGTGGTGATTCTCCGGGAGAGATATGTGAGTGAGGTTAGACAGATAGCGGGGATTAGGTAGATAGTGTAAAAGTGGTAGGTCGAGATACGTGCGTCCCGATAGCACGCTGTGAGGAGGGAATTAGAAGAGAAAGCTGAATTAGATTACATTGTAATACATCACTTATGAGTAAAACAGGGTTCACAATGGTTTTGGGGTTGATACTATATGGGTTCAAATGTATATATGTAGAAGGTTGGTTATTGTAAAAAGAAGAAGCAAAAGACTCTTCTTTTATATCTAATTACAGAAGATCATGTGATTGACTAGTTAAAAACCTTTATGTATTTGGCCTATAATTCCAACTTTCTCACAATAGTTGTTTAGAACTGTGTTGGGGAAGGAAAAGGGGTGTTAGATTTGTTTTGTTGGGGAAGGAGGTTGTGTTTATTGTAGCATGAGATGGATGGGATGGGTAGAAGTTAATTAAGAAAAGAAAAGAAAAGAAAAGAAAAGAAAAGAAAAGAAAAGAAAAGAAAAGAGAAACGAGTAAGCAGTAAGAAACCAAAAAGATGAGAAGACATAAAATATACCCAAAAAGAAAACGAAAAAAGAAAAACCTACGATTACACCCCTCCCCATCCGGCGCATACACATCTCTATCAACCCCACTATCTCCTTTATCCCCCGCAGAAACACAATACCGGAATATGTAAATCTTATAAGTGATATCTGACCCTACGATATCGAGTAGAGAATTGTTGGGACCGGGGAATTGGTAGAGGAGTGATATGAGGATGAGGATTGGGGTTAGGAGGGAGATGCTGCTGGTGAGGTAGAGACTGTGTTTGTAGGTTTTGTTGTATGGGGTCTGGGTTTGTTGGGTGGGGGGGTGTGACGAGTAGGGGGAGTGGGAGTGGGATGGGAGGTTGCGTAGGGTGTATATCATTTTGTTTTAGGTGCGGTGCAGAACGGGGTATTGATTAGGGTCTTGGGTTTGTGGTTTGTGGTTTGTTGACGTCTGGTGGAATGTGAATGGTAGATGGTAGAAAGGGAGAATGGAGAGCTATGAAGTGAGAACTTTATCAAGGTTTTTCGAAGCTAAGGATCCCAACTATAATTTATGAAATGGTATTACTTGTCTCTAAATTGTATCTGACTCCTCCGAGTCATACTAGACAGGAGTTCAACTAGAGTCAAACAAGAAAACAAAAGCTATTAATGACTTGTATTCGGCAAGTATCTGACTCCAAAAGCTCACATTGGGTTTAAGAGTTCGAAAGTCCAACTAACAAGATTTTTTTTTGAATCACAATATCACAAATAAACTATATCAGACCTCTCCTCCCCTAATTCGTTTTCTTTCTTCATCTTCTCTCTGTCCTCTCTTTACCTTTTTGAACCGACTCGCAAGTTTCTTGCCATGAATTCGCTGTTGTTCAGGAGCTGGAATGGAATAACCATAATACCCATGATGAGACAAATCCAAATCCTCATCACTATTGCCACCAGAGCCGAACTCGGCACATTCAGCAAGAATACTACAAAATTCTGTATTTCCATCCAGGAGTTCTTTTGCAGCGGCTTCGGAAGTCTTAGTCTGGGCTTCTAGGGCCCGGCGTTCCCGAGCACGTTGTCGCTTAATGCATTTTGTTGTTGGTTGAGGGAAGGGAGTATGTGTTCGGTTAAAGCTATGTAAGAAGCCGATCTTAGTTATAAGATTGCATGCCAAATAATTGAACATCGGAAAGGTCATACCTTGCCTTGTTTGATGGCAACTATCTGTTACATTCACATATTTGCCAGCTTCGGCCGCAACACAAGGAACACAATAATACCATAGATATATCTTATATGTAAAATCACCACCACCTCCATTTCTTGCACTCAGACTTCTACTAGTCTTGCCAGGAGTAGCCGAAGCCGTGGTGAGCGTAGGAAGTTGAAGTGCTCCTTGATGATAACACGCAAAACAAGTCCAGGAATCAAAAGAAGAGCGGTGTGAGTAAAAGCACTGAGGTTGCAGAAATAGGAAACACAATTTTTGGCTTCGTGCCATTTATGAAACATACCCGCTACTCGTCAAACGACTTTGGCGTCTGGTTTCTCTTTAAGTACAGTGCTCTCTTGAGGTGTGCCGTATTCATCTTTTGGTGGATTTAGAGCTGGGTCTTTTTTTGGCTTGCCTTTGTTCCTGCTCCTATGGAATTCCTGTACATGCTTTAGACCTTCTTGGGCTTCTTTGATACTATCGACAACTTTGTTAGTTAGTTAACCATCGTGCGAGTCACTACGCTTATTTGACTACTCGAAACTAACGCCCGGGGATGAAAAAGATTTGTTAAGGAGAAGAGAGTGTGAAACAGTTTTGAAAAGATCTATGACACAGAGCTTGATCCCCCACAATTGAATTGTAATATATGGAGTCATTTTAGTCGGCATCATGCCGAGTGGGGAAATTAAACACCTAATTATTCACTCTTTATTTGATCTGAGAGTCTGTGTGATAATGGTACATTGGAATGCACGCAGGTGTTGGTGAATCAGAATGGTGGAAAAATTAAATATGTGAACTGTTTAGTCCGTGTGATCACGCAATTTAATGACGAAAATATTGACATTGAGAATCGTCCAATCAAGAAAAGGGGAAGAAGTCACCTACATCGAGTTTTTATAACTGAAAGGATAATCTTGATATTCTTAGGATGACCACTGGCGCTATAGAAGAGCACATCGCCACGCGATCACCCCCTGATTCATATTCAAATCAGATTCAAACGTGCAGTGAAGAGTCAGATAACAAAAATGTATTGAACTATGACAAGTTTTTGCCTAGATTTCAGACTATGGCAGCTTCAGTATGAAATTCATGTATTAAAATTTTCTGAAAAAATAAAATAACCATTCTACAATACCAGACTTGGAAGGATCTATAGGTAATAGATCAAGACCTGCCACGACAACCACAACAACAGACCACCTTCAAGAAACCCCACATTTAAGTCTCATCCTCTTTCACCTGAATACCCTTCCAACTAAGAGCAAGAGAAATACATAAAGCGAAACAACTGATTATTGTCGTCAGACAGCTTAGAGCCAAGATTCCAGTTCCTCTTACCACCGATATTTTGTCTGATAACGCGCTAGCGATAATTGCCTCCGTAACCTTGTGAAGGTATCTGAGCCATAAATACTGTCCCAAGGATGAGTAATAAGAGGTAATCTAATTCTCAACAGAGGTTAGATGCGACAACGACGGAAAGGAGGAGTTAGGAATCTTACAAGGTTGCAAGCAAATAAAGCCGTGCAACTATCTCTAATACTCGATAAATTGAATACAAAGACGATAAATGGTGAGGCAGCAATAAATACGAGCGATATAAGGAACGAGGCCATGAGACGATTCCTCTCCGTCGCCAACGTCGTCTTAATCGAGTTTTGAATTTCCGGATATAAAGATCAAAGTGTAATATCTGTGAAGAGCTACTAAATTCCTCCTCTTCGTGCGTTCTGGTTGAAATGAGGTAAACGGTTTTCTACTTGACATAGCTAAAGACTACAAAGAGCATAAAACGTTGTCCTTGGTAGACACAGAGGAGTCATAAAAGTGGCTGCAGGTTTTAGTTACGTAGAACTCTATATCACCATGGGTAAATGTGGAATTTGTTTCACCTCTCTGAATAAAACCTTAAACACTCAGCTTATGGCGGTACGAATGTAAGTGCTGTTGCATACTTGTATGGGTTGATTGCTGGTCGTAGTGTATTCCAAGGTATGAAATTCGCAATGTGATAGAATGAGTTACCAGAAGTCTTTGAAACAATGAAAAAAGGAAGGAGCCGCTGATGGAAGATTGGCAGACGTGTGTATACCTCTGATGGCATGGATAAGTGATTCATCGCTCTCGCTGTAGGGAGTTACTCATACGAAGAAAAGTCTCATACTGATGGCTGTAAATGCGGGTGTCATGAGCTTTCGATGACTGCCTGCCAAAGCATAAATCACGAAGAACATTACATGAGTTTATTATGTGACTGTGACATAAATTGGACTTTATGTTCAATGTCTGGAAATAAGTAGAAGAGCAAAATCACTGATTGTCAATACTACCACACACTTAAAACTAGAATATCAAAACGATCTACTCAGAATTAAAGAGTGAATTGGAAGGTCTTAGGTAAATATTCGCCTATCGGAATAACTCCAAAGTTTTCAAGCAGTCTCGAAAATGTGACAAAGGAAAATTCTAACAATATCTTGGCCAAGCGCGAGTTAATGATGCCATCTTAAAGACCTGAAAAAGCAGTGGTCTAAGGGATTCAGAAGTATAAATTGATCGCTTCACGCATTTACTCAACAAGTTAGAGTCTAACACAAATGTAAATTTGGGTTATGACCAAAAGTATCTGATGTGACCGAGTTCCCACGGGTCGAAAGTGCATTATATGCAAGCTTTCTACCAATCTCCCTAGTCCATGTTGATATGAAAGGAGTCAAAATAGGGTGGTGGTCAGTATCTTTTACTAAGGGACAGGAGAAGAAAGCGGTCTTTACTGCAAAGATCGAATTCGTTACAATCTCAGTGTCCTAAACTAGGGTCAATTTGTGCTCATTCTTCACTAAGAGAATGGCGAATACATATAATCTCGTCTTAATTAATGTTTGTACAATTATCCACTTAGCAATGGACTTAATTCATGCCATCTTGTCTCGGCTAACTCCAGGATGTGCTTCATCTCGTCCCTTCCAACTGTTGTTCCGCCAACTTTTGACAACCCCATTATTTTTGGCTTGCCTGCTTCACAGTCAACGACCATGGTGATAGACTCATCACATAATCCTTCTTCAAATGTGTCTGGATCCACCAAGACCCAATATCTCTTATCCTTTCCGTGCTTTTGCTCTTTTGCCTTGAATACCAAGCATGTGACAGCAACTGGCAGTCCTCTCAAATTAAGTCTCTTGGATAAAGATATCTCATCATCACAAAGTATCATCTCTCGATCTGCGTCCCAGTGTGCCTTTGGTAATCTCACATTCCTCAAAGCGGATACAACAGCGGCCCACGCAGCATCAAATGGGTTTCCATCAAGCGAAATGAACAAAATGTCGATGTATAAAGTCCAAAATGCCTTAACTTCGGGCTCAACGCTCTCTGGTTCTTCCTCATCCTCCATTCTATCCTGTTCGTTCAGATCTGGTGGCTGATACCAAATTCTCAAATCCTCATCATCTACCATCTGCGAACTGTGTAATAATGAATATATCCTCGTGCTTAAACTTTGCGCCAATGTAGTCGGTGGCTGACCCGGCAAAAATGCAGGCGAACATCCTGTAGCTAGCTCAATGTTTGGAACTAGTAAATCCAATTCTTTTGCTTCATTGTACCCCGGTCGCGACGAGGGAGCGGTCGTAGATTTGTCGACTCGGTAGGTTCCAACATTGCTGGCAAGAAGAATTTCACCTCGGACTCCGCAGACGACTGCGGTATCTCCTATACGTACGACTGCGCTACCCTCAGCATGAGTGAGTGAGCCGGTATTGATGTGTGGGCCGCGAAATTGAGTTGGTGATCGGCCATTTGCGCGTTTAGATGAATTAGTTGGAGAGCTTGGTTGGAGATGTGCCAGGAGATATGGATGAGGAGAGAGCTTCGCAAAAGTTTCCCGAGGAAAAGAGAGCGTGGGTTGAGCTGTAGATGTCATTGTTGAAAGGTTTTATTATTTACCTGCTCGTGATGATGATCACGAGGCGGAACCTTGAGTTTATCAGTTGAATGTCATCGGCTGAACTTTTTTTTCTTTTTGGAGCTAAAAATGCCGGTTGCGGATGTAGCCGTGTAATATTAGCCAACGAAAAGACAGCTGAGGACAAGGCTGAAAAATCTTCCGTGCTCGCCGCTCCAGCACTCGGACCACCAGAGAAATTCACGTCACGCAGCACCGAGTGCCTTGGACGCAATGTGATACTCGCTCCTTACCTTGCCATTCATGATTTATTCATTTAAAGGGTCAAGCTGGGTACATACCTCATACTCCCTTGAGAGAGCATTCGTGCCTGCAGGCTGCAACAAATAAATGAGGGTGTGCATTTGTCTCAATTGTCCCCACTTGAGCCGCGCAGACCAACCTTGGAGTTGGTGGAGGTGAAATGGAGGTCGAGGACTGAGCGCGGGCTGGAAGTTTTGATGGGTCTATTGAAATTCTGTTTACAGACGTACTCCGTAATCTTAGCAGAGTACGAGCAAACTTTGTCTCATGGCTTCTGACTTCGATATAGAGCCGACTGCCATTGAACTGCCGATCAACCAGTCCGGAGATATTACTGATAAGCGGTTTCCATCTTCGTGCAATGGTAATTGATGGAAAAGGGAGAATACTCCATTTCAAGATATAGCATTGGAACTACAGGCAATTTACCGGAGCATCTGGCTATATCGAGTCAATATCAAATAGCTCATGGTTATGTAAGTCTATTCTTCCGGAATTCGAGTATCATACGCGCATATTGTATTGCCCAAAACTGGAAAGCCATTGTTATCGTCTTCGTGATAGCGAAAATGTGACGAGGTGGAAGCCTTTAATGAGTCGTGACAGGTTCAACAGATTGTACCTTACCTTGCTCCAATGGCCCTAATGTCGGGATCTGATCAGTGACCATTGTTTAATCTTAAGAGACGTTTGGAGATGATAATTGGGCGACGGCAATGTTACTTACGATCAAGAAATCGAATTTATCCTGCAGATGGTTGTACGACTTCCCGAGCCGGGGATATTGCAACTTACAAGGGCCCTTTCAGCAGCTAAAATATAAGCGAGGCAATCAACGTGCGTGTGTTAGCGCTCCTATGCACTACAACCTTCAAAACATCCATCACAGACAATGATTGGTTGATGCCACCAGAGAAATCATCACAAATTTGCAAAATTGCACAATCACGTTTTTTATTGTTTCGTTGGAGAAAGCCATCCTTGAAATTTGACTGGCCAATTCTTCTCGGGCCATAGGAAAAATCTTGATCTTGACTTTGTTCAACAACGCCATTCAGCATGTACCCTCGGCCATGCATGCGTATCACACTGAGATGGTGCTGCAAGATTTTTCCCCTTCCCATTCTGTTGGGCATGAAGCAAAATTGCAGCAGGTCATATTGAACAACACGGACTGCCGAAAAACGTGAAGGGGATTGAAAATGTCCTTATGTGAGCATCGTTGTTATTAACTCATCTTGAGTCAGCGACGCACGTCCTCCACATTCTTCAGTCTGTATATCATTTGTTAGGCGGAAGCCACTTGCATGGCATTCGATAACGGAAACCGCGGCATCTTCCTTGATCAAGCCAAGGGCACATCCGTTTCGGGGTCCAAATCTTCGACTCGCCGCTATCATCCTAGGAGTGGCGCGACCAATACCATTGCAGAACAAACCACAATTTTTTTTGCCAACAAGACAATAACATAAACCTACGTTCCATCAATTTCACATTGCCACCCATCATATCAGAGTAGGGAAAGTTGAGTTTCTCGCCTTGAATCTGCTAACCCTTGTCTTTTTGGACGCCTTTCGGTTCCGGGTATGTGCATATCTCGAGGTGATCGAATGCAATAAATCAGTGGTTGCAGGTGACGAGGTGACGGATTTAATCCACCTGCAGGAACATTGTGGACCTTGGCGTACTAATCATCGGCCATTCCCCACACCGATATTCTTGTGATATATCAGACTTTATCCGGAGAAGCTGCTGCTGTATAGACTTGTCGTGCCTCGCTTTGGTCGAATTCTGTTAATAACATCTTATCACCATTATCACTCACTCAAGTCTCTTGGGTCGATTGAGGGATCCGGAATCCCCCTACATCCAACAGACTCAACATCTTTACGACACAATTCATCAGATGCCGCCACAATTTTCAAGACCCGATGTCCATCATATATACTAGAGTCATCCTATTGGGGCTTTCACCACTTTGAATTCGACCGGCATCCTTTGGATATACCCTGCTCGCCAAGTGCAACTCGACACATATCGAACTCGGACTCGATTTTGGTCAGATAGAACCTCACCTTGGACATCGAATATCTTTGGACATTTGATCCGCCTCCGAGTCCATGATGGTTGATCTAACATCACAGGAAACATCACTTGTAGGAGCTGCGTCTCAGACCGTTAAGGATTTTGCAAAACGGATCTATATCCCACTCACGGCCACTAGTCCTCCTGGCCTGGTCGCAGCTAATACTCTGGATCCATGGAACAAAGCAGGGAAATATGCATTGGCATGGACTTACTTTCCGCTGATTTTAGTTTGCCTAGTCGCAATAACTAGAGCATATCATCTTTGGACGGACAAGCTGCGACAAGCATACCACAAAAATGAAGTCGAGAAACAATTAGTACGCTACTATCAGCAACAGCAAGATGAGTACACAATGTCAAATATCCATACTGGAGGATCAGAACAACAATTCTTTCCTGCACCGGCTCTTGATGAGAAACCATTTATTGCTGTCACAAAAGGGTCACATTGGTCGTCAATACCATTAATAAACGATACATTAGCATTGTTTAGATGGGTATTCTATCGTCCAATTCCAGAGCTCCGATACAAGAAAAGACTTATCACCGCATTTCCCTCTTTGGTGGCCTTTGCAATACTAATAATCGGCCTGATTTTTGTCACACTCCAGTGTTTCTTACCACAGCCGCTCTATTGGGAAAGCATTCGATATGGTTCTCCCCCACTGGCTATCAGGGCAGGAATGATGTCTGTGGCGATGACTCCGTGGTTAATAGCTACGGCCATGAAGTCCAATATAATCTCATGGATAACAGGAATAGGCCATGACCGACTAGGTGTCTTTCATCGATGGGGAGGCTACTTATGTCTCTTCCTGGCCCTCGTGCACACAATCCCCTTTTTCGTACAACCCGTATGGGATGATGGAGGAATGTCAGTTTTTGGCAAACTTTTCCCAGCAAGCCGTGGCATTATCTACGGGACTGGAGTCGCATGCCTGGTTCCACTAGGATGGCTCATTATTGGGTCGTTGCCAATCGTTCGAAGACTTGCATACGAACTATTTGTCGTTCTCCATATACCAGCAGCCGTAATTTATGTGGGCATGTTGTTTTGGCATACTAATAATTATCTTACCTCCTGGAGCTACCTTTACGCAACTGTCGCTATCTGGGCTTTAGCTTATCTCACGCGTATCGGTAATCTGAACTGGGCAAAGCCATGGAGAAACTCCTTTTTGGTTGGTGACGAGGCTGCTATTACTTTGATGGCAGAGAATGCAATCAAGGTAACTGTTCCAACACAGATGACATGGAGGCCTGGTCAATACGTCTATCTCCGTATGCCCGGGATCTCCGTGTTTGAAAACCACCCTTTTACCATCTCTTCTCTCTGTAGTGAAGACTTCCCATCCGAGTACGGCGAACAATATAGAGATTGTACTGTGGTATTCAGACCATTTGGAGGGTTTACTAAGAAAGTCCTTGAGACTGCGACTCAGAACGGCCCCTTCAAAACATATCGCGCTTATTTGGATGGACCATACGGCGGTATGCAACGGGAACTTGCTGCGTTCGACACTGTTATTCTTTTCGCTGGCGGGAGTGGCATCACAGCAATCGTTTCCCAGCTGCTGAACTTGATTAAGAGAATGAGGGATGGAAAAGCAGTCACCCAAAAGATTGAAGTTGTATGGGCTTTGAAGAGGCTTGAATCCATGGATTGGTTTAAGGAAGAGCTTAGGATCTGCAGAGAATACGCACCGCCAGGCACTATTAATTGCCAATTCTTTGTGACGACGGCAAAGAGATACGCAAAGACAGATGTTGCTGGACGAGCTCAACGACCGTTGAGCACGGCATTTCACGACAAGTTGGACGGTTTTGTTGCAGGTATTGCATCTAAACGGAACTCGGCTCTCATTCGTGATGAAGCTCAGGGCAATGAAGAGAGGGAAAGGGAATTAAGAAGGGAGGATGAAGATGCTATAACATCTTTACCACATTCGAAACATCTACAGCCAAGACTACATCCTAACGTACAGACGTCATTCCCTCCACCACCAACGACAGACTCAAAATCGAAGAACTCTGAGAAGACACGTTCTTTGTTAGCAGCATTATCCCCAGATTCCCACGAGGCTACGCGAAAATTCTTGTCGCCTCTAGGCTTGGCTACCAAAGCACAAAGTGATTCCAAAGAATCATTCCACTTTCCAGCACCCCCACAAAAGCTAGATGCTCCTCATTTCCAATATGCTCCGCCTTCGGTCAATTCTAATCGAGCCAGCTTTATTCCTGATACAGCACGCAATAGCTATAATCCCCAGGACCATGTTGACGACCCTACAGAGGGATACAATCCTGATATGCAAGCTTCTGAAGAAGGTCGGCTCTCGGAGCAATTCGCACCCCGAGAGTACGCACCCACACCTCCGGCAAAAGACACACCGAAGATGTCAAATGAGATAGAGGCGATACCTTCTTTGAAACCCCCGCAACCTGCTCATTTGAGACAAAAGTCGGAGGAATTAAAGCTCCAGATTCCACAGTCAAATTTCCAACAAAGCATCCCGGATCCAACCTTTGACTATGGCTTCGCATCAACACCTACTTTGTTCCAAAAGAATCTCATGCGTTTTGCATTTGTTGCGCCTAAGAAAAAGGATGGGTGGACTACTGAGTATGGCCGTCCTGATCTAGGATACATGCTGAAGGAGATGGCAACCGGGGGGCCTGATGGACATGGTATATTCGGTAGGAGGACATGCGTCTTCGTTTGTGGTCCTCCTGAAATGCGTATTAATGTAGCAACTACGGTAGCGAAGCTGCAAGCGGATATTTGGGGCGACGACAGTAAAGACGAGATTTTCTTACACACTGAAAATTATGCTATTTAATCGGGGTTTATTCGTGGGTGGGTGTTGATTTATGAACTGGACGTTCAAAAATCAGTAAATATTTAAGTCCAACGGTGTTATGGGGTAATGGGAGAGAGCCAGAATCCCAAAAAATTTATACCAAAGGGCATCAGGGCGGGCAATTGTGGGCATCTCTATTTGGAGTAATCACCGCAACTATATTTTGTAATTCATCATAGGCTCATCAGCCGGCACTATTATAATTTCAAACAACCTTAATAATCACAAGCAAATTCTTGAAATGAAACATTTGCATTTGAAGGCTACCTAATATATAAAATACCTGCCTGCAGTATATATCTGCAAGAAGACCGAAGCTATAGTAATGCAGTACGACAAGACCACTTCGGTAGCGGACAGCCGTTAAGCCTGAATTCCGACTGCAACACAACAGCCGGATGAAACGCTGTAGCAATATAGCCATTTCAATAAGGAACCAGCACAGCGTTTGTATTCCCTGAGGTTCCGAACCACGTCAATGTGTCTCGTTATACTACGTATCGATAAACCTGCAGCATCTGCATTTGCCATTCGAGCACCCTAATATCTAGCCTTATAAATTTTATATCCCGTATCACAGACATTCCCTCTGCCTGCCTGATGACAACCCAAGGTGCGGGATTAGATTCCAACTTTGAGTGAGATCACCTCTGCCATTTGATATGTAGCAACCATTACGAACCGCTTCCTTCAGAACATAGTTTCCAGAGCAGTAGATACAGGACGCTGAATTGGTCTTTCGTCCAACTAGAAAGATCTACTGAAAGATCTTTCCATACGACCGCATCTTCATGAGGAGTGCGAAGATTTGAATTGTGTCGGACGACTGACGAGAGAAGGAAAAAAAAGATTTCGTGAGAAATTTATCATAGCTTGAGAGATTGAAACGCTAAACCTAGTTTGGCTTAAAGTCGGTTTTAGCGATTGAGCTAGTAAAGCTCAAGGGTGACCCACTAAGCCTCAATATAAATTGCACAAACTTTTCGTAATCGAAGTAAAATGGAATCCTTGAGCGAGACGCAATGGGATTTGGTGATTGAGGGCACTGGTTTGAAGCACTCTTTGCTTGCCTTGTAAGTTAATTACTCCATCAGTCCCGCCGTGGACCTGTTTGCATAAGATGAGGCAATTTAAGAAGAAAACTAACTAACATAGTAGCATGAAGAGCCTTCTCTCGTTCGAACAAGAAAATATTGCACGTCGATAATAATGAGTACTATGGAGATGAAGAAGCAGCCTTTAGTTTGCAGGAAATAGATACATGGGTAAAGCATTCGGTTTCGCAGAACAGTACATCAAGTTTCAGCAATGCTTCCGCAGCCTATGATTCTGCCCATAAAGAGAAGTTAAGCTTCTCCAGGGCATACAATCTCACCCTCTCGCCACAAATAATCTACACTCGATCACCACTCCTGTCCACCCTCGTGTCCTCGAAAGTCTACAAACAGCTGGAGTTTCAAGCTGCCGGTAGCTGGTTCTTATATGGCGATGCAGCACTGAAACGTCTGCCATCAGGTCGAGAAGATATTTTTCAAGATGACAGTATCGATAATCGTGCGAAGCGATCTCTGATGAAATTCTTGAAATTTGTCGTAGATTACGAGAACCAACTTGACGTCTGGCAAGAAAAAGCTGAGATGGGATTATCACAGTTTCTTGCGGATGATTTCAAACTTCCTCGGAATCTGCAGGTCCTCATTGGAGCTTTGACACTGTCACTCGACACACTTGAGGGTACAAAAGTGGGATACGCGCTGCCGAGAATCCAAAGACATCTTACATCAATTGGTGTTTTTGGTCCTGGATTTGGAGCTGTCGTACCTAAATGGGGTGGTGGAGCTGAAATTGCCCAAGTTGCGTGTAGAGCTGGCGCAGTAGGTGGTGGGGTGTATGTTTTGGGAACTGGCATCCGAGATGAGAAATGTATTCAGGATGACTGCACCACAACACATGAAGTCCATCTATCGAATGATGAAAAGGTTAAAGCCAGATACATTACTCGAATTGACAGAGACGCACCTCCCGGCGCAATACGGGTTGCTAAGACTATGGCTATTGTGTCGTCGTCTTTGGGGAATCTTTTTACTAGTACAGTTGAAGGTTCTCCAGTCTCTGCGGTCTCTGTCATCGTTTTCCCAGCGACAACTATATCAACATCAGATTTCAGTCAAGATTATCCGGTGTATATCATGGCTCATTCCAGCGAAACTGGTGAATGCCCTGCGGGTCAATGTTAGTATTATCCCTTTTCCTTCTCTACTCAATCACGCATTATATGATGAACAAACTTAAAATACTTATCTACATTGTCTGAATTCCATTGAAGATAATAACTCTAACTGTCTGATAATGCTACCATCATTCTCAAATTATTTGACCTTACTTTTGTGGTACAAAATAGCTAATGATGATTTCAGGTATCCTCTACGCTACTACTCTCCTTCCCGATTCTTCCACCACGCAGACTGGCAAATTCCTTCTAGAGGAGGTCATCTCCAAGTTTCTGGGGACAAAAGAGGGTGCTGATGGGCAAGTCCTTTATAACGTATATTACGAGCAGCAAGGAACCAAGGAGAAGCTGGACCTTGCCTTCAATGATCAAGTCTTGAAGGATGTCGAGGAGGAGTGGAAAAGAATTTCTGAATGGGATGAAGAGTCTCCTTTCATGGTATTTGAAGAACGGAATGGAATGGGTGATGATGATGATGGCGCGGAATATTGAAGCGCCTATCAAGGAGTTGTGATGACATTGCATTTAGAGCTCATAGAGTGGTTACAGACTCCATTTACGAATTATGATATCATGACTTCTACACTCTACATCTGTCTTTACTTTATTTCTCTGCGTGATGCTGTGTCTTTCCACTCGAATAAACTTCTTACGATGGCTTCGTCACCACCTAATAGTCACTACAGTCCTAAGCCTCTTATGTTTTGCAAGCTCCTTGCCTTTGTTTGTAAGCTCACAATGCAAACTTCCAAGTCGGATACAACACTCCGCCCAAACTTATGATCAGCTCCCCTTTCATTCCGAATTATCAGGAAGGTGGAACCAAACATCTTAGACTAGCTAATCCATCTACTTCGACGGAGGTTAGTTTTTAACTAACCTTCCTCCTCAAAATTATATACTATTCATCTAAGATTAGGTACATTCTACATATACTAACTTCCGCCTTCATCTTCACGAGCAATCAAAATTAGTAGTTTGAAAATCTCCTTACAATAACAATATATGAGGGTATATGACTAGACGAATCTATTACTCAGAATGTGAGATCCGAGGCTGCGAGATTCCACTTCACTCAATATCTCAACACCCCTAACCTCATCCCTCACTAACTTATATGCCCCTCTTCAGAAAAAATCAAAATTAGAGATCAGATTAGATTCACTTATTAGGAAGATTAGATAATATATCCTCAAACCTTATTAATGATCACATACGACCATAGACTGAAGAGAATTGGGCATCCCGTCCGCTCTGCCATACACAAGCTTCAGATCGGTAGATTAGTAGTTGGGTGGGTGACCACCAGCGAATCCCCACTGTTGTATGTTTATATTTTTGCCTTTTTTTGGTTTTTTGTTTTTTAAGAGCTTTTTGGTTTTGTGAAGTTTTTTTGTTTATGAGAAAGAATTGAGAGGAGAAGACAGGGGGGACGGGGAAGAGAGGAAAATGGAGGTGCATGAGGGAGAGAGAGGGAAAAGGAGGGGGAGGAATGTGGATTGCTCGATGACGAGTAATATATTTTATATAAAGTATAAACAAGCAGATCAAGATAACGAAGTCTAAGAACTTTTCTTATCTTAAATACTTTTTAAATAAATAAATTTTTCAAGAAATAATTAAAACCCTCTTTTATTAATTTATTTTTATTAAATCCCTTCTCCCTCTCCCATCCCCACCTCCACCCCTATTCCTCTCTGTGCTCTTATATATTTTCCTACCTACCATCAAGAATAAGAAAAGAAAACTCATCTTCTAAATCCCACAATACCTCCGTTATTTTTTGTTTCTGAAAGCAGAAACCGTACACTTTCCCCTTGCCCCTTCCCGCTTCTCTCCCTTCTCCTCTCCCCATAAACCCTTAATCCTCAATCCTCATCATCAAACTCCTACATATCATACTCATCCATCCCGCACCGGAATTTTCACAATTTTCATACTTTCCCAACTTTTTATTGCCTGATCCTGATTCGGTCCAATTACCAGAAGTCCGTACCTCAATTCCGACCTCCAAACCTCCAATCCCAACCCCAAGCCCCGTAATCCGCAGCATCACAAGATACGAAAGAAAACCACTCAATCAATCCTCCAAAATCGATCTCCTAAAGAAAGAAAAAAAAAGAACCCAAGAGCTCAGCACACACTGCCTCTCCTCCAAAACCTTAAACCCAAGCCCAAGCCCAAACCTCAAGTTCAAGGAAGATAAATACACAGCTCAGTAGCTATCCTACCCAAAACAACAATTCTCCATTCCATTATTTGGTATAGTCAGGAAATGAAAAGATTCTAGATAGATATATACAGATCGTATAAAGAACTAATTCATACTAGATATTCTCAAAGACGTGTCTAGCTAGGCACTTGGTACTACTACCATAGGTTAATATCATATCCTCGAGTGATATCAGAATTGAGAGAAATAATACTACCTACTATATTTAGCACCTTTGTTTTTTCACAAACGAGGTGTGAATGGTATGCTTAGGTAACGCTGTATGAAATAAAACCATGTCCGTATTCAGATTCACATCTCCGTCGTCTCATACCCATCTAACACGCATGAAACACAAAGAACACTGTAAAGAAACAAGAGAAAGCATTTTCGAATTGTGAAACCTTAGGTATAGTAGTGTACAATTACGTTCCTTTTCCCCCTCCACTCACTAGCTCATATCATAGCGGAAATGGACTCCTGATTCTTTCATCCAAATCCTCCATATCTATCTCAGATATGGAACTTCTGCATAGCACAAAATGCAAATTAAAAAAAAACTCGTTTCGGACCAAGGAAATTCTGTACCGTGTTCAATTCAAGTTTCTTCATCTATTCGCAAGGAGAAAAATTGCAAACCTGCCACCTTGCTTTCTGGGAACTTTGCCGTACTTTGCCTCCAGTTCTCCATGAGAAGTTTCTTGAGCTTTAGCTCTTTCTATTCCCCCATATCATATATTCCTTGTAAGTTGTGAATATTTATGATTTGATAGCATCCTCGACCTTTCCCTTCACATTATGGCCAACCTCAGCCGCTTTGTCAGTGAGAGATTTTGCCTTTTCGCTGCGTTGATACATGAGGATACGGGTCACCTGGACGACACCGACCATGCCGAGGAAAAAGTTGACGGTTGCGAGACTTTTCATTTATTAGTTTCGAGGGAGATAATATTCGAGGGTAAGCACAAAGTGAGAAGGGAACATACAGAATGTTTCTTGGCTTAATGATTAAACACCATCGTGTCCAGATGATACCAGTAGCAGTGAGAGCAGCGTTTTGGGTAAGAGAAAGTTTTTCGGCAGGACGAGCAAGATCAGAGATACCAGCTAAGACGAGCGCCCACTGATAATAAGTTAGTTATTAAACAATCGCTAAAAGGAAGTGGCCCCAAGAGGGTGGTAATGGATAGTTGAGAAGGGCTTTGGAAGCTTGGGGATTGTGCAAATTCCAAGCATATAATGGTGGGACAGGGGGGAAAATCGAATTTATATACCTTCATGACAGGAGCCCTATAATAGAAAAAGGTAGTTAGCATAAATTCATACATTTGGCCATGCTCTCCCTGATCTGCCGAATCTCATGCCTTCATTTCTCAACACGAGCACCTTTCCCCCCTTATCTTTCCCCATCCCTCCTACTCGTCCTCTCTTTCTCTTCCACAAACCAAAACTAAAACCAAACCAATTACCCAAAGAAAATCCCAAACCTACCAAAAATGCACAGTCTTCAACCCAATCGGACTATCCCACATCCTCTTAAACCAACTAACCTGCGCCGCAGTCGCAGCTGCAGCCTCTGTGCTCTGAAATCTCTTGGTCTGCTTTCCCGCAAAACGAGTTCGTGCAAATGCATTTCTAATTGTTGAGTACTGGCGCACAGATGAAGAGTTAGAGGTGAAGAAACGGGATGCTGCTGAGGTGGAGGAAGGGGTGGAGGAGACGAATTTATTGATGGAAGTAGGGTTGAAGCGCAGAGCGCGGGTGAGAGTTGATGGTGACATTCTTGTGGTGAGTATTTGTGGAAAGTTGAGGCAAAGTGTGGTGGTGTTGATGGGTAGTATATTGATATATATTTGAGGTCTGAGGTGGATGGAAATAACCGTTGCTACTCCGGAGTTAGTATTGGTGGTATAAATTCATTCACCCCATCCAAAATATCTCCAAAAAATCATTCTCCCCAATCTCACCTGAGTATACACAAAGCTACAATAGAAATTAAATAAAAACGAGAAATAATACTCACAATATAATTCGTCAGTTTATTTAAATTCAAATAATCAACGAAAATATCCAGCTCTTTTGCCTTATCAGACTTTGGTGAACACTTTCTGTTGTGAATTGATGTCGGAGTCCGTCGGAGGGTGGCATGGGGTGGCTGATGAAATTATGTTTGGTAAACCTTGCATAAAGGAATTTTTGTGTTGTGGCTGAATTCATTAATTGACGAACTTCTACATAACTACGTTAATCAATAGAAGCCTAAAACGCATTATCAATGTCCGGATAGCTTCAGTGAAGCTAGTCCAGCGATGAACAATTGACTTTCCACATACGATACTACAAAGCCGCGACAGAGAAAAGGAGAATAGACGCGGGATCTTTTGAGAAAGGAAGAAAAGACACCTATCAATATGTCGGCCAAATACGCATTCTCGCAGACTTTGAAGGAAGTCAGGTTTTTATTTTGTCAGACGGGTGCTCATAGTGATGCCACTAGGTATGATTTCCCCTCCTTGTCCTTCTTCCGGCTGGAGGCTTCTTCTTCTCTGATACCTCCTATATTCTACATGTTCCCCCTCGTCTCAGCTACATAACTACAATACTGCAAGGCCGAATCTAATAACCCCTCCAGATCATTCCTCGCAAGAACATACCCAACGATGAAAAAGCACAATCCAAATACCCCAATAATGTTGAGAGAGGCGGCAGGTACACAACCCAAGGTTTATGCACGATATGAGTTTGGGAGGGAGGTTAGCGAGGATTTAGCTGGTAGGTCCATCTTTGATTATGGTTTATGGTTTCTGGGTGTCTGCTCGAAGTAGAATGTGAAGGAGTGGGATGGAGGGTGCAGTGTGATTGTCAGAGTGGCTGGAAGACGTCGAGTAAGGAGGGGGTGATTTAGATATTGTGTTGTAAAGAGTGCAAGCTGGAGCGGGGTGAAGATAAATGGCCATGTGTTGGGATGCAGATTGCCGTTAAGGGCTTCAGTTATCAATTGGACTGAGATGAGAAAGGATGCCGGAGGAACAGCATTCAATCGCATTCACTAGAGGAAAAATGCTAACCTAAGCGCAACAGGATTGTCAGATAAAGAAATCGAAGAAAAGGTCACAGGATTAGTCCAGCAATAAGTAGGAGTTTGCTAGCGAGGTCGGGTTGCGGAACTATTAAATGGGAGACATAAATGGAGTCATGAAATGAGAAGCATAAAATGAGAGTTTTGTGATGGGCAAAGAAAGTAGAAGCAAGGAGTCGTTGTACATATCCCGTGGATGAGACGAAGATAGAGCTCTGGAAAGAGATGCTAAATAAGCATTATGTTACGAACTCATGAGATGTAGACTGGGATGTTTTTGGCGCTATTTTTGAGGAGAAAGATCTGAGCTGTATGCTGTCGTTTGTGGGTGACGAGCAGGTGACAAGCAAGCGAAATATTGGATATAAGTATATCCCATCATTCCCATTTTCCAACCCCCCCGGCCCCATCCACGAGAACCAGGGGTCAAATCATTGCCATTGCCATATTCCCTCAATGCTCCAACCTCATATATCTCCTACCACTCACAAAATCACACCACTCTTCCTAGCATTCCACATATCCCACATACTGGTGTTTCCACGTGCAAGTACTTGCATAAACCACAAGCTCAACAGCGCCATTTGAAGCCCTCTTTCTGTTCTGAGGCTTCACCAGTATGACATACGTATCAGCCTGTTTATCTGATGATCAAATCTTCTCCAGGATTCAAAAATGCATATACAATTGTAAATACCGATATCGCAGTTTGTGGTCACGGGTAAGGTGTATCGAGGTTGATGAAAAGGGGTAAGAGAGACGATTTGTGTCTTGTGTCTTGGGTTTGGAGTCTGCGGTTACCGGAGAGTAAGGAGCTTGGTGTTTTGGGAAATATAAGAGTGTTTCCAGAAAGAGAAAATCACCAAAAATAACGACTAAATAGCGCCCGTACACATAGAGTAGAGATCAAAATGGTATTTCCTCTATCTTTCTATACCACCATCTAGCCATCAACTCAGCCATCTATTCTAATACCCATGCTCAATATCTCGCTCGTAAATTTTTATCATGTATATGTATGTATTGGTATCGTATCAACGTAATTTTTCATCCCTCCCTCCCTCCTCTCCCATCAAAACCTACAACTTGCTCAAAACAGCCTCAGCGCCCGAAACCGTCACCTCTCTTCCAGGCTCCTTCTCCGCATATACAATCTTTCCATTATCAATAATGAGAGCGTAACGACCAGTACGTTCGCCTGCGGTCCATCCAAGGAGTTTGGAAAAGGCACAATCGGCATCGGAGAGGAAGAGCTGTGGGGTGGAAAGATTAGTGAGGTTCTTTCTTGAGTATTTATAAAAGAAGGGATAGGCGGGAGGAGAAGAGGAGAAGAGACGTACAATATCTTCATTATGAATACCGTTTGCTTTTCCCCATGCGCTCATTACGAATGGATCATTATAGGCAACAGTAGCCACTACATCAACACCCTTCTCGCGCAGAGCAGGGAGATTGGCAATATAGCCTGGTAGATGGGATACGCTGCATGTAGGGGTAAATGCACCTGGGACGGAAAAGACTACGACTTTCTTGTTGGCCCATTCTGTAGGTTTGTTAGTAGGAGGGAGCTTGGATGAAGTTGTACAGGGGAAAATCTGGATGGATAGATAGATATGTAGATACCTTTGGATGCATTGTATAAAATTGGGATTCCGCAAGCTTTGATATCTTCATTTTCGGGAGAGGGGGCGATCCAGCCGAATTTGACGCCTTCTGGGAGAGAATCACCGACTTTCAAGGTTGCTTCGGACATTTTGATGTTTGTGAGTGGGTTGGTTGATTTGTGTGTTTGTGTATGTATATGGGATTGAGATTGCTTGATATTATCGCAAGTAATTATATATGAGTAGCAGGAAATGAGAATAGAAAAAGAAGTTAACAACGAGATACTTTCCTGCATATATATAAATAAATACTACTTCGCACCCGTCACATTTGGCACTTCAAGCACATTCCACCCCACCACTAGCTTCGTACCAAAATCATCACTTTATTCACTTGTTATTCAACTTTATGCACGTTGGTAGGTAATGCATCCCACTAAACACATCAATTCCTCTCTCTGATTTGCCATTGATGTTGGAAAAGTATGCATAATTTCCACCATTTTTATGGGTATGGCGCTGACTAACTGCATTCTCTGGAACCATCTGTATAATTTTGTGTGTGTGCGTGCACTGTGTTCTGTTCCTGAAACTAGACACCCGTTGATTTCAAAGGTCATGTTGTTTACGTCAGCTTGCTTGCATAATCGTGACGTTCTAGATTTTTGGGGGATGGCCTGGCTGAATGGCTGGCTGGACTGAAGCATGACAGGACCGTACTGTTGGTGCGATTAGATCTCCTTTCGAGGTGTGATTGCTGGATTTTAAGCGCCGAGAGGGATGGGAATCAATGTTCCATCATTATAAACAAGGGCTAGATTCTCGTGAAACTAGTAGATATCGCGGGTTAATTAGTGTAAAATCTTCAAGAATAGAAAGGGATTTAAAGCAAGAATTTGGAATCCTGAGGTCATTCATTTCTATTTTCAACATCACATCTAGACAAACGGGAAAAGATCAAGAAGTGAGTGAATGAATGACAAAGTGATTTCTAAGCGGGCTGAGATCAAAGCAAAAACTAAAACTATTGAAAAGCCTGATCAGTGACACGGAGTTATTTTGAAAATACTACCTACCTAGGCAATGTCGATATTCAGTAAGATGCAAAATGAAAGTATTTGAGTCAACAGCCACAGATCTCTAATGTGAAAAGCTTACGCTGAATAGGAAGTTGAGGCTTCCGTCTTCCGCAGCTGGAGGCGGCTCTTCCGGTGTTCGGATTCCATGAGTAAATTAGGGGAGAGGATCCGGGCTTTCGCTGATTGAAGAATACCTTGCCGCCCCTAATAATATCTCACTATAGTAATATCAAAATAGTTATGATTCTTGAGGCTATTCGCTCAAGAATGAGAAGTAATTGAAGCGTCTGTGGAAGATTGGGAAAGCATTTGTGGTTGTCGTTTGTCCGCAGTGATAGGGTTATTGAGGGGTAAGCAAGGCCGATAGTAATCAAATGTGCATATGCATCTACATGCTTCAAAGAACTTGGCCTCATCTGATTCTGATACTTATACCCGTACTCTATCACCCCCGATAAACAAGCTGATATTTTCTCTCAATAAAATCAACATGGCATCAGCAACCAAACCACCCGTTCCACCTTTCACTGAAGAGACTGCTCGGATCAAGGTCAAAGCTGCTCAGGATGTGTGGAATACAAAGTACGTGATGACTTTCCATCTTGATAATCGATCATGATCAACTGACGTGCTTTAGAAATCCTCAAGTGGTAAAAAATGCATATACTGAAGATTCCATCTGGAGAAACCGCGATACATTCATCCGAGGCCAGGATGAAATCGTAGAGTTCTTGAGCAAGAAATGGGCAAAGGAAAATGGTTATAGGTTGAGGAAGGAACTCTTTGCATTTACGGAGAATAAAGTATTTTTGTCTTTATACTTGAAGGAAAGATGTACTGATGAGATCCCAATAGATAGCAGTACAATTCTGGTACGAATTTCATGAAGACGGTCAATGGTGGAGATGTTATGGCCTTGAGGATTGGACTTTTGCGGCTGATGGAAGGATGAGGAAGCGACAGATGAGTGGGAATGATGTTAAGATTGCGGATGAGGAGAGGTGGTTTAAAGATGGGGTGGATGTTAATGAAGTTGAGATCTTAGGAAAGCATTGGTGAAATGACGCAGCGGATGATGTTTTTTGAGGAAAGGTGCAATATTCAAGTATTAATGTGGTGTTGATTCTACTCTGTGTGTGGTATTGTTGTCGGTCGTGATTATGTAACTCAAAATAAGAATTGATTGATCTCTCCACACTCCCCTTGCATCACACACATCAAGTCGATTCGACATTCAATGCATCATGCTCTGTTTCCCTATAGATCTTTCTGTTCCTCGTCGTCTTTTATACATCTCCACCCGAGGTTATGGCCAACATATGGTCGTGTCGAATGACTAGGAATAACACCAGAAACAATTTTCACATGCCTTGACAGTAACCGAATTGATGGTTTCCGCATCTCCTTCTTGACTTATCCGCCTTAATGCAGCTCTCGCAAAATTAAGTGCATCCCACTCTATGAATACCATACCATCAAGCCAGAAATCCATCTAATATTTAGCCTCGATCTTAGCATAGCCTCAACCTTCTAAAAGAGTCAGCTCCCGTTCAGCCGGTCCAGGGATATTCGAAGTGGGCCTAAGTCAAATTGTCAATACTACCTACAAGCTTCTTGATTCTAGCTTGATCCTTTGAGGTTCTTTCCGCGATCTAAGGCTTGCTATTCCATCTAAACTAGCCTCGGATTTTGTGCGTGCCCCTCGTGGTCTTAAAGTCCTATCTTATGGATCCTCCAATGAGAATGCTGAAACGGATTATTAATCTTTCTAGCTCAGAGGAAACTTCTACTTGGGCCATCAAGTGGCCAGTCAGCATATCTCAACTAAATACTGTTTATCGAGAGTTGCAAGTGGAGACGAGAGCTACTTGATTTCTTCAGGGCTTGTCCTGGCACAAAAGATAGAGGTTCAGCACTTTCGCAGTACCGTGGCTTTTTTCACAAGGCTTGCTTAGAGTTAGTCCTCATCCAATCTAAAAGATCGATTGGATCGAGCTTGTGCAAGAAAAGTCTACGCCAATATGGGGTTCAAGCATTGGACGGCAAGCAATTTCATCCATCATATGTTTGCAGTAAAGAGGCTTGCTGGTGGCCAAGTGGGCATATCCTGTTCAGCCGCAAAAAGTACCTTCAAAAGGATATAATAGAACAATAAACCACTTCTTCTCAGTCACGCCAATTTCAAGCCCTATCGATTCTCAGATATTGGTGTAAAGCTGTTCAGTCGTTTCAATACATCCACAGGAGCCATCCGTGTACCTTCCTTTCAAGCCTTCGGTGCCTTCTCTTTTCATATCAATTCTTTCTTTCCCTTCGTTTGACGATACTTTGATAAAACGCTAGTTCTGTATATTCTTTCTCCACATTATTGTTTCACTGTTCCAAATTTTCAACTTCATAAGTTAGCTATCTTTTTGGCACTCAATAAATTGCAGCCATGCCAGGCATTATACCTTACCTCTGGGAGGTTATTTCAAACGTCAATTACAGTCGTCCAGATTATATCACAAAACATTCAGCTTCAACAGAATCCTCGACGGAATCGCCTACAGAATCTCCAACAGAATCCAGCGTAGATCTCACTCAGACGCCGTCGAAAGGTTCTGGCAAATATTCTCAAGGCATTCCGGATGCTCTTTCATTTGACAATATTATCAACGGCGGAACTTGTCCTGTAAGATTAATCTCATTTATATTTCCATTAACATTGCTGCCCTGGTCCTTTCTTAGGTCTAGCTGCATACCTTATGCATACAAGTGATCAGGAAGCTGTATCACACCCGTATCTCATCATGTTTCTAATCAGTTCTCTTAGCCTATGACTGTCAGAGAGTTTATGAATTTCCTCGAATTCATTGAACACGCCCCAGAAAACCTTCAGTTCTTCCTCTGGTTTCGAGACTATAAACTTCGTTTCGAGAGACCGAAGCCGCCTAATCCCTTTTTAACTCCTCCTGCAACGGCCACTTCAGAAAACCAGGCTTTCGCCTTGTCGGAATACCAAAATGATTTGGCAGCTCGCTTTTATAATGGGGCTGAAGATGAGCAGCCAATAAATCAAACCAAATCTGTTATGAGTCCTCAACCACAGTTTATAGTCCCTTGGGAGGCAGGCATTGATAAAGAAGAGCCTTTCTCGAAGGAAGCTCCCTCATCAGCCCAAGCTTCGTATCGTGAGACTGCCGAGCAAGTATTCGTTCGTGCTGGTGTTAAGGTCCCAGGTAATTGCTCTATCATACTTTTTTCGTGACATAATCTGACTCTATTCCCAGACTCTAATCTCCCATACCGTGACGAAATCGATCGAATTATTGCCATATATATTGCAGATGATGGTTCTCGTCAACTTAATCTCGCCTCACGTCAAAGAAGAACTTTGATCGAACGTCTTTCAACTACGACACACCCTAATGCCTTCCTACCCATCATTAAAACTGTCGAATATAGCTTGAGACACCAAGCACACCCAAATTTTATCCGCTGGAGTATTTGTAACGGTAATAAGCCACGTCAGGTATTTGCTAAGGGTCTTGGTGTGGCCCTTATTATATTTGGTTTCTTATACGCGACTCTTACAACCCTCAGTAAGATGTCTCGAGGATGGCGTGCATTTTCAGCAATGTTCTGGGTACTGGGTGCTTCCACATTGTATGCAGCATTAAGGGGTATGTGCGTTGTACTACATGGACTTCATCATCGACATCTTCGACCTTGGGAGTTATGGGAGTCCGAGGGGTCTTCTATGAACATGGAAGACGCATCTAGTGGTGAAAAGAATGAAAAGAATGAAGAGTATCCATGGATCAAGAAATACGAGAAGAGGTTCATTATCAGAAAGATATTTGATCGAGAGGTCTGGGTGCAGGAACCAGCATTGAGACAGATACAGGACATAATCTTCCTGCAGTCTTTGCTTACTGGATTTGGTGTGGCTTCCGTTTTCACCGTCATCTTCTTGGCTGTTCCTGGAGGTCGCTTTTTCTGAGCAGTAAGGGGAATAAAGTGAAATGAGAGGTACGAATTCAAGAAGGCGTGGTATTTTCAAGCGGGCGTGGTATTGGGATGAACATTTGATATATGGATGATAAGATGCCGGATTCATTGAACAAAATTTGCTTGAGCTGCTGGTTTTGCTCCTTAATATTTGCCATGAGATAAGGATGGAGTTGCTGAATAACTGTACTTTAATGAACTTTGGCCATGTATTATGTAATGAGAACTTTATTTGTCAGATATTATTTTCAATTGTACTTACTATATACCCGTTACAATAGTTCTTTCGGATGATGATCCTTACTTAGACTTCAGACGAATATTATCCAGTGTTTAAATCCTATGTGCATGGCGTTTCAGCCACTGAGGAAACAAACCGATGTCTCGCAAAACAAATAGGGGACTTCCCGGAATCTGTAGGAACGAACAACCACATGTTTACCACATGTTTTATCTTCCAGAATGTGTGGCTCTCCAAATCCCAATTGGCTACTTTCCGCCCCCGGATAAATACTTCCACTTATCGCCGCCTTAATTCTATCTATCATCCTGGCCCCCAAGGCTAGCCAGATCACTCAAGAAACGTCATCATCTTCAAAAGCAGCACCAGATCCCCCAAAAATCCTCCTACCCACCCTTGAACATACGATACCGAGCCCGACGACATCTCCTCTTTTACCCCCTCAAATGAAGCATTTCCCTCTCGTTCATGATAGAGTTTACATGCGTCCACATGCAACTCACATGCAATTCACGAATCACCAACTCCCGGACCCTCTTTATTGCACATTTCCCGATAGCAATCGCATGAAGAGGCCCATTCGCAACTATATATCAACAAAGTATAGCGTGACCTGTCACCGCTTAAAACAAGGCAGGCATAGATCCAACCGGCTTTGACAGCCCTTAAGCCCAGAAAAGAATACGACCTAATTCTGTGTGGACGGTGGGCCACGTTCGCTCTTAGGGCTGTTAACCTGCAGTCAAAACAGACGCGGCACGGCTGGGAAGCATGGACTCGGATCTGCAATATCGTTTAGATCGTCGCTCTGATCATCACAGAAGGGGAAATATCGCATCTGCATCTCTTTCCAATGCCACGGACTCGGGAATCGGCTCGGCTTCTATTGGTTTCGCGTCGGAGTCGCATTTCGTAAATAAGGATGAGAATGAGAATGAGAATGCCGATTTCCATTTATCAAGGCCCGATGTAGAAATTCCAAATCACGCACAGTCTTCCTCGCAATCATTCCGGAATTCCCATGATAGTCTCAGTCCTGATGCTAATCATCCGGATGAGGATGCGGGTGATAATGATCAGACGAAAGGACAGAAGAAAGTTAAAGCTCCGAGGTTGTATCATAAGAAATCGAGGAACGGGTGTCAGAGATGTAAGGCGAGACGTGTTAAAGTATGTTATCTTTTTATTGATTGGATTTTTTTACGATCAATTTTGACATTCATTTTAAATATGGATGTTGGTACTTTGCCAAGAAATTGTAAGACTTACATTTCGCTTGTACCTGGGTATTACTTGATTCGATGGATGTACGACGGACAATTTAACGTTTCTTAATGTCAGTTATTGTCTCACGGATATTTCTGACCTAGAGAAAGTTCTCTGATCAACTGATTTTTCTCTCATCGGTTTCCGACTGTGGGTTTACTTTTGCGTGTATGTAAATGAAAGCCTATTCTTAGCCTATTCTTATCCTATTCATCTCAGTATACAAGTGTGTCCGAAGTCTCTCGATCTCCAATATTTTGTGCAAGTAACATATTAGGCGTAAAGATTCTGCTAACCAGCGTATAGTGTGACGAAACAAGACCTGTCTGTAACAATTGTGTAAGGCATAGGTTAGGATGCGTTTACACCAAACCACCACCGCCGCCACCATCAGCGTCGTCCCCCCAGACCATCAAAAGCAACTCTAGTAATCCCTCTACACCAGAACATATCAGTGTACAAGGTCTGGTCGAAGACCTCAGTAGTACTTCGGTTTCACCGCAGATAGACCTCTCAATACCACCAGCCCCAAGCCAAAGTTTCAGCGACGACCTTCCTGAATCTAGTGCTCGTCGAATCCTTGAACTAAGGCTGCTTCAAACTTATCTCATCCACACCTCTCCCACGTTCCCCAGTTGTCATAACCCAGAAACTTTAAATCTCTGGTCGGTCGTAGTCCCAAAACTTGCTTTCGCATCTCCCAATCTTCTCTACGCCATGTTTGCTATCGCTTCTCTACACCTTCATGTACTCTCCCCTAACGATATCGAGATACAAAATGCACGTCAACATTATCTTTCCCTGGCATTAAGACATCATCAAAAAGGAGTCGCTTCATTAAATCCCAGTACAGCTGATGCAGTAATGTTTGCCTCGATTTTGATCCTCAACGACGCATTTTCCAGTCTGCAAGTTCGTTGTATGAAACCATACACACTACCTACGCATTGGTTACAGATGGCCCGGGGAACCGCATCTGTGTTTGCCGTCGCACTAGGCCTGATAAGACATGATCCAAATGGCAAAGCAATGGCACTCCTACGCACCAAGCCTGCGCTTACAAAACCAGAAGAACGACTCAACCGTCCTGAAATCCATCCCCTACTCAACGCAATCCTCACCTATCCTTCCCCGCACATATCCATCTCCCCTCAAGATTATTACCCAGGAGACGGTGCTTTCGATCCCTCCATCCCTCCCTCTCACCTAGCAGCTTACATCCAAACGCTCTCCTACCTCTCCTCCATCCACCTCAATATCATCCAACAAGAACACCCCATGGCTACCGCCCGCCGCTTCACAGCTTTCGGTCTACAAGTCCCTAAACTCTTCATTGATCTGGTAGAAGAGAAACAACCACGTGCTTTAGTCATTTTCGCGTACTATTTTGCCATGGCAACGTGTTTGGTAGAGGGAGGTGGACCAACTGATAGGATCGTGCTAGAGATGAAAAATGGAGAGGATTTAGATTTGGGGAAAACTTTTTGGTGGATGGGTAATATGGTGAGGAGGGAGATTGGTGGGATTAGTGGGATTTTACCGGGAGGCTGGGAGGCCTTGATGAGTTGGCCGAGGAGGGTCGCGGGATTGGAGTAGGCTTTTTTGCTTGTTGGAACTGCGCTTTCTTTTGGATGGGAATTTTGATTGTTGCGGTGCTTTGGTGTATACTGTGTGTATAAGGAGGTGTTAGTAGGTTTGGCGCACAATATGAAGGTTAAAAGTACACATGTCATTTAGGGAGGGACACTTATCTACTCGTTTGGACTTTTAGCATAGCATTATGTATCGATTGAAACTTTTTTTTTGGCAATATACCCTAAAGTACAGTATCTGGTATATTTTTAGTTATATATATTTATAGAGCAATCTAATTCCTACAATGGGCATCTGCTGTGATGGTATCAATATACATGTTCGAGTTATTTGATATCTGATTAGAAAAGTCATCCAAATGCATCTTTTCTTGGCAGTCTGGGGCTGCTGAAAGACTTCTTCCTCTCTTAGTACCGTATCAGTGCTGCTGCTGTTTTGTAGATGTAAACAGATAGATAGGACTCCGGTTTGTGATTTTTTGCATCTTCTATGTAAGATCTTAGAACCAATCTTTGAGTTCGCAATCGAGATATAATTAAGTAGATAAATGGAAGGAAAGGATAGTTAAGCCCGGGTTTCTTTAAAAAAAGAAAGCGACATCTTCATATCTCTCACTCATATTCATGTGCTAAAGCTCTTTGAAAATAGGGTATCCTTCCATTAATCTTCATCAGCAACATACCACAGCCATGACAATAATTGGCTTCAATATTACACCAACCAATCAACCAATCAACCAATCAATTAATCAATCCAAATCCGGCACAGGCAAATGATCCAACAATTTAACTTTCATACCTAAAGCCTCCAAGGCCTTCAACGCATTCTGATCCCTCAAATCTTCCGTCTCCTTCTCACTCACCAAAACAAAATCATGTTTCAAAACTTTCGATCCAACAGGTACCGAATACTTTTCTGCAATTTCCGCACTCGCAGGTTCAAAATCCACAATTAGTGATTCCTTTACTCCGAATACTGCATCGGAGGATTCGTACGGGTCGCCGCGGATATATAATGCGCTTTTTGATGGGTTCACATTAGTATAGAATGGGATTTTATTATTGAAGGGAAGGGAGGAAGGGGAGGAAGAACAAACGTAATAAGATGATCCCATCCCGTCTTCTGAAACATAAAATGCATATGCGCCGGTCTCCAGGGATGTCTCTTCAACAACTTCAACAACTGTCCCACAGGCCCATCATGTGGAATTGGATAAGGCACTGGAACAATAGCTCTAAACCAGAATTCTCCCCGCGCATCACTCAGCATGATACAGCGACCGTCGGGCTCGGTGCGGTTTTCTCGCTGCACGTCATAGTGTCCTGTGGAATCTGTTTCCCAAATGTCGATTTTGACGTCAGGGATTGGATTCCCCGTTACGTCTTTTATAGTGCACAGAATTAGACAGGGTTCGCCTTGCGGGTCGTGGGATATTTTTTCGCCAGATGTCATGGTTTCCGCATCGTGTGTGTGGAAGGGTCCGAGGACGCTTCCTTCGGTTGAGGAGGGGGGCTTTGGGTGGTCGATTGCGTCGACTAGGAGGGAGAGACCGAGGATATCGGATAGGAGGATGAATTCCTTTTTCGTTTAGCATTATTATTATTATTTCCCCATTAAGAGTGGAAATAGAATAAATATAGTTAAATATGTATGGGTACGTACATGTCTCACATGACTTGAAATCTGACCAACTCTCACCAAAAAATCCAAAGCCGCCATCCATTCTTTAGTACTTAAACGAGTTTCGCGCGCGAAATCATGGAGATGCGTAACCAGTCTTTCCATAACGTATGTGAGACGTTCATCGCTTCCTTGGGAGTTTATCCGGATGGTGTTTTCGGTGATGTTGTCGATGGTTAGGTCTTTCATTGGGGGAGTGCTGGTGTGGGTGGGATCCATGGTGGGATTGATACCTAGGTAGATACTTTTATATATGGTGGTGTTGTGGGGAGTTGGAATGAGGTATCGAGAGAGGAAATGTGTGTATGTGTGAGTGTGTGTTGTGTATAGGTATGTGAAGCTTGAGGTGCGGGGTAGCTATCTATAGATGGTCAATGATAGATAGCTTCAAATTAAGTTAAGATCTTGAAGGATGTGAAATAATTCTATTTCAAAAATGATGAACTCCCAGGTTCTTTCTTTATATATATATGTATATATATAGATATAGATATCTATACAACTTCAAAAAGAGCAGATAAAACAGCTCAAAATCAATATTAACAAATCCTCTATAAGCAATTACAAACAAGTACTAAGCCAAGGTTACATTTCCGCCCACCCCCTCCAACCCCTCAATGCGGTAATCAAAACCGGACATCCATCCCATCCCCTCAGATCCAGATCTTCATCTTCGCAACCCCCCACAAACCACACAGATCCGATTTCCTCCTAGTATAGCGGAAACTTGCATAACAAAGTACACCGTAGAAGTCAAGAAAAGCTCTTTTCCATTAACCTAAAGTTAACCCCACATGAAAATTACGGCAGGTATGATATGATACGAGACACGAAAAGAGAAAAGAAGAGATATGGATCAAAGCAATGATCCATCAGGTGATGAAATAGCAAATGTGGTATTAAAACAATTCGACGAGTTACCCGCGAAGAGAAAACCATTGAATAGGGGAGAAGGAGTTAGGGAATGGGTTCCGCTTAGTGGGATTGTCGCTTCTGGTAGGTTTAATGTTTTCTCTTTTTCTTTGAATTTTTTTTTCTGGATTTGAGATGTGCTTTTGAGGTTGGTATTTATCTATCTATTTGAATGGAAAGGCTGATTTGAGGTAGGTGAGAATGGATTGACTTGTCTTTCTCTTGCGTGAGTAGTTTCTATTTTTAAGCGTAGATCTACCTCTGGTATACGAATTGTATACGAAGAAGATGATGGTTTTGCGGAACGTGAAGTCACGTTTCACACAACCATCACTCTCTTCTTCTTCCTTTTCGCAAACTACCATGATACCGATTCCCCCATATAAAACACCCTAACACAACCCCAATCTCAGAACCGGCATGAAATGCCTCCCGCACTCTAAACTCCCCCAAGCACAAGGCAACGTTATCCACGACTGGCACGCCGAAATCCTCTGTCTCCGCTCTTTTAACCACTTCCTCCTACAAGAAATCCTCGCTCTGCTCTCCACCCCTTCCATCCCCTCACAATATCTCCAACACTGTCTCCCAGAAACCATCACACGCGATGCATTCCAGCCCTTCGAATTAAAACCGCACATCAAACTCTTCATGTACTGTTCCGAAGCCCCCTGCGGCGACGCAAGTATGGAACTTACGATGGCAGCACAGGAGGACGCGACGCCATGGGCTTTACCACCTTCTAACCCTGGAGCCGAAGAACGAGAAGAAAAAATAGAACTCCCCGGGCGAGCCAACTTCCAACTCCTCGGCCACGTGCGCCGCAAACCATCCCGTCCAGACGCACCTCCCACACTTTCGAAATCCTGCTCCGACAAATTAGCATCCACGCAATACACATCACTCCTCTCATCCCTCACCTCCCTCTTCATCTCCCCCAAGAACATATACCTGCATTCCCTGATCCTCCCAACAACCCAACACAGCACCATAGGCTTCACACGATGTTTCCACACACGATTAAACCCCCTCAAAAACAGCAGCAACTCGAACCACCAAAAAAGCAGCTACAAATACCACGAAATAGGCATCAAAACCACCACGAAAGAATTCATCTATTCCCGACGCTACGAAACACATACTGCAAAACCGCTAGAATATGTAAGTAGTAATATATCCACATCGTGGATTCGCGGCGATGGGAAAACAGGCGGCGAGACGCTGGTTAATGGTGCGTTGCAGGGGAGAAAACAGTTTGATGTGAGGGGTGCTAGTAGGGTTTGTAGGAGGAGAGTCTGGAAGGTGGGATTGGAGGTTTTGGGTAAGGTTGCGGTGATGGAGGGTGTGGGGTTGGGGGTTGTGGAGAGATTGAGGAGTTGCTTGGGGGTGGGGGCGTATAAGGAGGTGAAGGGGAGTGAGATATTGGGGGAGAGGAGGAGGATTAAGGAGGAGGTGAGGGAGTGTTTGGGTGGATGGGTGAGGAATGAGGGGGATGATGAGTTTGAGGTTGAGGTATCTTAGTTTGAGTGGATGTTTTATTAAATCACCAATACAATCATCATGATGTGCATATTTGAGGTTGTGGCGGTGGGTACATTGGATAGGTCTTATTAACATGCAAACTCCGTCCGGGTATATGTACCATCATGCCCTTAGTTCAAAACGCCAATTCAGCCCTCGTTTGATGTTCCCAATTTCTCCATACCATGCATATCCCTAGCCTTGTAAACTGTACCCCAAACGCCTCGAGACAACTCCAGAGCCAAAAGGTAGCAGAGTAAGAAAGCAAGCAACAACTACAGTTTAAAAAAGTTGCTCCACCGTGTTTTCAGCATTGTAATCCTTGGTAGCTTCTCTAGTTTCCGCATCTTCAATTATTGAAGCCTCTTGTTTACTCAACTTGGCAAGTTCTTCCGTCAAAGTCTTTGTTGCATAGGCGTATTGCTCTGCATGATTACCACGCCAGCCGTTGTGTTTACATTTCTTGAGAGGCTTGATACACAGATTCTTTAGCTCATCAGGTAGATCTCCTGTATCGGGAATCACTTGACCAGGATATGGAGTAGTTTCGCCAATATGCTTTGTTTCCTCGGTACGAGGACCAAGAACCCCAGTAGCGAGATAGCCTTTGCCTTCTTCACTTGCACACCAAGCGCCGAACTCATACTCGTTCAGGGCGAGGCGATTATCATACCCGCAAATCTCCTTGACATCAACATCTGGGTGTTCTTGTGCGATCTTGGCGCGCCGGTTCATCATGATCAAAAGTTTTTGAGCTGTTTTGAAACTTTCAATACGTTGTTCAATGATTGTGCGTCTGGCCTTAATCTTGCTTATGGCAGATTCTTCTTCGGGCAGCAGATAATTGAGACCCAGTGGTTGACCTAGGTCGTGGCCTTCAGGTATTGGCAACTTCGGTCTCGAACCCAGAGCATGGAAATCCGTTGCTGTCTTACATGAACTCAATAATGCTCCAAACTCTTCGCCGCTCAAGGCTCCACCGATGGTACGTTTTTTATTGGCCCGTAATTTTTCAGCAACAAATTCCCAAAATGCAGTTGCGTGCTCGTCGCTGCAATACTTGCTGGGTGGATCATCCATGACACGAGCAGCCTTCCGACATCCATCAACGTTATGATACCTGCAAATTCGCTTCCAGGTGGTAAATTCGGTTTCAGAGCTGCAATTTGGACAAATAAATCGATCAAGGAGTTCTTTCGCGTCCTCGACATCAACATCGATACATGAGCAATGGTACCAGTCTTGACAACCTCCCTCACAAAAAATCATCATGCGGTGATCATCAGGACCGCGACATATACAGTATTCGCCGCCATCGTTGCTGTCATCGTCGTCGGAAGGGTTTCTTAGTCCAGGAGTGGCGCTGTTGCGTTGTGATCTAGCTTCTGTAGGGCCTGTCCAAATGTGTTAGTCTGTGAAAGGACCATGCTTAGCGTTGCAGTGGCGGGGGATGTTACCTTCGGGCTTGGCCCCCTTAGGTCGGGCTTTCTTGGTAGAAGTAACGGTACTCTTTTTCTTTGGTAGTGATTTCTCGGCCTTCTCAGACTTCATTTGTGATGGCACAGGACTGCTATGCTTAGGACCAGGTGGTCCAGGAGAGCCTTGGCTAGAAGGCGGCAGTGTCTTTCGAGCACGGCCTTCACTTTTGATTTGCTCGGAGATACTTAATGGTACCCTATCATTGAAACTCGGTGTGCCGTCCCGGGAGCTTGTAGATGGAGCTTTTGGCCTTGGTGGAGGTTTGGGTTTGGGAATTCTTTTCGGAGTAGGTACAATGCCAGCAGCCAAATCTGCCGCGGCTTCAGCTTCCTTCTCGTCCCTCTCCTTCAAGATTCTGAGAGCGAGTTGATAAGTTTCACCAGTTAGTCTGATCTTTCTAGATTCAGACGCATTCTTTTTAGCTCTGTTATAGAACCGAGAATCTGCAGCAACGTAGATCTTGTTCCATCTGTCATCGTCTACACCGGGAGGTGTCGGTTTGGCCTCCGGGTACTTGTATCGGTAACCAGGCGCATTGTTTGATATCTTAGATTTAGAAGCTGTAGGTTTGGACTTTTGTGATTCTGGGGCGTCGGATAAGAATTCAATCGGTGCTTCAATCGGAGCCTCAGTCGGTTCTGTAAGTGGAACGTCATTTGGAATTTCCGATGGTAATTCAGCATTCATTAACTACATATGTGTCAATGGCGGAAATTTGAATATCTCAAATGCCTTGCAAGGCTCTGTTCAAAGACGACCCTTTAAGCTTACCTCGACTTTATCATCCACTTGAGGTATTTCCATCGGCAGATCTATATCCATAGAATCCATTATTGTCTGGCCTTGATATTTTCCAACTGCAATTAATAAGTTCGTCCACAAATTGACAGTCGTAGTAGTTATTAGTATCTGGAAGCAATGCCCGATAGTTTCAAATACTGTTAAAATGCGATCCAAGGCTGCACTTTCATCGAAAGCCCGGGCCATCATTTCACCGCGCTCATCAGCCTTGTTTTAGAGTCACGTGATACAAAGCTCAACCCACAATGGATTTCGATGTCCATCTTCTCTCAACTCGCATAGTGATGTTATTTTCTATGGATTGTATAAATACCGTACAATTCAAGAATATTCGGGAAAATTTATTGCTAGTTGAGCAAATCATCCCAAGGGTTTCAATGGCACATTTTGAAATTCAGTTTCTAGGTTATCAACTTGTGGAATGATCTCGAGATGACTCCACAAGGAAATCTTCGAATTCTCTGATACTTCCCAACTTCTCGTTCCTTGGTCTGTATCAAGCTGAAAGCTCGTTGACAGGAGGTTTGTCATCAAGTAGAGCTTAATATGATCTCATCATCACGACCAGCTCCATAACCAGCTTTCCGCTTTCAATTATATGAACTTTTCCCTCTAGTATCTTTGGTAAGTATCTGACAGACAAAGCTCTAAATACAATATCACAAGGCTCTTTACCTTACCTCAAAACTAGAGCTCAAATTTTACACTATAGGAGCTCAAACATGGACTGGAAAAACAGAAAAGAAAGCGCTGCTGGCCTCTGCTATTCTGTCTAATGCAAGCAACCATTTCGAATTCGAGAATTGTCAATTTTAAAATGAGTGGCTTTTCTTTTGTCTCGACTTTTTTCGTCGTTTCAACGACCCTCCATTTCATTGAGCTTAATAGTGTTGTCTAGCATCAGGCCACCGTCGGCACTTCTCTACTCTTAAAGTGCAAGCAGTCTTGATATTTAAAGCAGTTCGTCAAGGTATGAACTTTCTTACCGCCCAAAGTTACATCAACTTTTGTTGTTTGACTGGGATATGAATCACAGAATTCCTCTCATACCAGATCTAAAAATCCACAGACAACATACCGAAATATCAAGCTTGCAAGGGTGAAGCTTTACGGAGGGCACGTTGGTGGCGATAGCACTCGAAAGTCGACAAAAGCTTGAAGCCTCAAGTTGTTATGGAAATTTTACCCATCAGAAAGCAAGACGAATCTGGCCTGGTTCACTGCAGCCTCGATATGCTCCTGTTACATCGCATTGTTCCTATTTTAGCTGATCATTGATTCATTCATTGCTTCACGATAGATGGTTCGATACTTCAGATCAAAGTGCTGGGGTATGTTTTTGTGATGGCAATTCAAGCATGCATTCTGAAAGAAGGCGGAGTAGTACAAAGAGCACATACCGGGGGTGCGGATCGCCCTTTTGTCGCGCCCCGGAATGGCCATCTTATCAAACCCTGCGGAAGGCATGTACTCACATACTCATCCCATAAATTAGGAATCTTGTGATCACAGGCCAGACATAGCCTGTCGTAACGTTTTATGACAAGGCTGCGATCATATATCTTTAGCAACACGTTATGCAAATTTCGGGGAAGTCGGATCAAATAAAACATAAGAGTAGAAGAAACTTTAGAGACGTTATCAAGATTTGGCGTAAGCATCAAGATCGACGGGTTCTCTTTAATTATATCACTGGCACTGTTAGCATATACCTAAATTGCCAGAATTGGAGCCATATCTATCCACTGAGGGGAAGTGTTCCCAAGCAAATCTATTATAGTCATCAAACGGCAGTCCAAATCATCACCCCTAATATAGGCTGGATGGGTAAAGGCTTTTACACTTAGTCCGTGGTTCACGGCTTCCTGATTCTAATTATAGCGGTGGTCCATTGCGGAAAGGAAGCGTCAAATGAGTAAAGGAAAAGGGGAGTGGTGGGTGGAAGGAGAGGGCAGGTGGAAAGACAAGGTAAATTGAAAACCTGGCAAGAAAAAGAGTTTCTGGTTCAGCCGAGGAGTCGAACTGTTGTGTGTATTGAGTGGATAAAAGCAGTATAGGTCGGTTGCAGCTTTACATAGCACCTTTCTGCATTTATCTAATCGCCAGAAGAGTTGGTCTCTGTAGTGTGTTTCTATTTCTAAAGTTGTGATTGTTCAGCGCCGCAAGACTGATAGCATGAGATTTTCTTCAAGTCCTGACGATGTACATTTTTCTCCGGGAGACGCTTTTGAGATTGGTAAATAATAAAGCTGTATGTGAGTGCAATGTCACTTGTACCGTTTAAGTAACATCGTTGCCACTGCCTCCAACATTTTGCTTCCAGGAGAAGACTGTCTCCGCTCCGCCAAGTTCTTTCAGCTTTCTTTGCCATATTTTTTCTCATGAATGTGCTGGTCGTTAGGCTAGCTATTACGATCGTTCTTGGCATTAGGCGCATGCAGTCTCGTAGTTTGATCAACTGCTTGTTTCAAACCCTCTGATTCCCTGTCAATTATCGTGATGACCTTGAACTGTGCATATATCCGCATCGTTTTCAGTCTAAAATGATTATCATTTATCTTCCATGGAACTCGATTTCATTGCAGTGAAATTTCGGCGCTTCGGAACAGTGTTCCCCAAAGTTCAAATAAACACCTTGACCAAAGTTTGAGTCGAGGTCTCATAATCGATGGAAATAGAAAACAACTGTAAGAGTCAATCTAGTATTGAACCAAACTACTTCATGTCCTTCACCGAGAATAATGATCGATCATCAAATCTTACTGTGCAAATCTTGATGGTTTACATATAAAATGATGACTATGCACATTGTAATGGCCATAGGAAGTGAAGCTCAAGCATTTTACGCCTATCCATCTTCGCAACAAATAATAATAAAGACTGAGGATTTTCTATCATGTATTGTTGATTGTTGAATGTGAATGTGAATGCTTTCTCATAACTGCGAATCGACATGCGCGTTATGCAACCTTGGAAAATCTTTCATCTTGATCCCCGGATAAATTTTTGGAATAGATTCGTTGACATTCTTGATCAGCGCAATAGCATATTGATGACTTTGGGCGATATGAAATAAATCCTTATAAATCCTTATAAACCCTTGCAACACAATTGATCAGGACGAATAAGAATGCAGATTGGAGGACAACCGACTTTTCGAACCAGCCTACCACCATGGGCGGGGCACTGTGCTTCATCACGGCGCGTGAATGGCACTCTAGTTCCGAAATTCTCTCGGAAAAAGGGAAGGTTCTCAAAAACGAAATTGTTTTTGTGTTGGCTTACCAAGCATTGCAGCACCTGACAGTATTACACATAATGACGTATACCCCTGACGGAGGTCTACATAGGACCCCTACTCGATCTTAATACCTATTCATTCCTATTCATTCCTATTCATTCCTATTCATTCCCACATCATCTCCAATTATCAGGAAATCAGTCTTAATTGAGCATACCGCGTCGAGTCTTGACAGACTAGGGCATCCGAGACATCATCCCAAAAAGCATTTCATCTCATCTCGGTAAAGTTACCGTGATCTTCTTCGACACATGTAAATCCTCCGGGGGTTTCTCTCGTCATTTGGAATAATGTGGCTGGCTTTTGATGTCTCGAAAAGCAAAACAAAAAGCTTTGGTACGTTTGGTACCTGAGACTCGTCAAAACATCGTACGATGATCTACAAAGAATATCTAGACTCAGAAAGAACGTCGGCCAGAATGCCATCTCTATCTTCTGTTACATGTTGCTCTTCGAAGCATTATTTTCGTGGGGGTTGAGCATATCGTTGTGGTTTTTGTTTTGGCACATTGGGGAAGATCTCGGGAGAGTTTAAAGTATCGGGTAAATTGAGGGAATTCGGAACATCAATGAGCCACGATTAACCCGACTTTTTATTTTGGCTTTGCACAATTAGATTTGATTTGATGCCACACGTAGCGACAAAGCATCCCCGTTCATTGCTAATGCATGATGGGGGGATGGGGTTGATAAATGGAGCAAGGCCCCTCCCAGATCGATTGCAAGTCAAAATGTACCCACCAAAACCAGGATCAGGTATCTACAGAGTAGACAACGATACCGGATCCTCCTCGTTGTTTTATGTTGTCATGTCTATTTTCTTCACCGTTTTGCGTGCAGGACGCTTGTCTTACGAGTCAGTGCCCAGAGCGCTGATCTTAGGCCTTTGCGCGGGTTCTGAAACATAGACCACTACGACAGGTAACGTTCGTTAGGGCCTGTAATCGTGTACTGGCGTGTAGTGGGTTCCTTCTAATGGCGGTGACTGGATTTACGTTAAAAATGTCTAATTGCCGCCGTTGCTACTGTCTTAATTCTCCTAATATACATACCGTTAACAAATTTTCGCAATACTTGTCTATACTGCAGCAATTAAGATCCATCTTTATGCTCCGTTGGTTAGTACCTGAACATCAATTAATATCGAGATATTAATGAGGGAAGAAAAATCCTAAAGCTTATCGCTTACCCATAAATTCCACGTGGTAAATTTAGCCTTTCCCGTTCCTTTTCCATGATGCCTGCAACACGTCGAATCGTTTTGGGAAGTGCTTCCTAGACTTTTAATTTACGCTGGTATTCGATGTCATGGAAGAAGAATATAAGTTTTACAATATCAACCTTTAGGCATATACTCCGTGCGCGTAATGATAATTTCAGACACGTTGTAGGGCTTAGATGAATATCAGTGTGCTTGGCGGTGGTTAGACCCCTTAGTCTCCACCAGTAGTACCTCTCAATATATATTAAGCATTTTATACAATTTGCCAGCAGGAATAGGAGTTATGGAAGGATTACACATCTTATAGAGTACAAAGACGGGTTCGGTAAATATACTGCGTGACATAGCAAATCTCCGATGACTGTCGCTACTGAAGAAGTTCGGTGCATTCCCCTTCTGGAACGACGATATTTATAATATACTGGATACGGGAATGAATCATGAATTAGGCTATATCTGAAAGCCTTTATTGCTGATACGAAAACACGGCATCTAAATTTGGGTGTGCGACTAGGGAGACGATTACAGGGGCGGCGATGAGACTCTTTAATGGTCAATTATCAGTGCCAACCACTGGAGAAGTTCCATCGTTTAACACGAACTTGACACGACCTTCAGTGGAGATATTTCGTGATGTGCCATACTGAAAATACCCGAGAGGTTGACAGGGCTTCTGGCAAGGGATTGGCCAGATAGGAGATAAAGTAAATCAAAGTGTTATGTAGAAGTGGATTGCGGGGGCTTCCTTGAATTGCGAGGATTGTCAGTGGATTCAAAGTTGGTGAGGGAGTTAGTTGTGTAATAGTTTGGAATTTCGCTGTAGTGTGTTTGTAGCGCTTGAGAGCTCCAGAATGGAAAGGACAGCCCTTGTTGAAGTAAAGCTTGATTTCGCTGCGGTAAAGATGAGAGGTGTGCAATTGATATTGTGTTCGGAAACCGCGGAAAGTGCTACATTTTTTGGTAACTAAGTGCTGTTATTTGTTGTACAGTCTCGCTTGTCTACCTACTTCCTAGGCTGTGGAGCGAGAACGCAAACTGGAGCGTCTGCGTCTGCTGTTTTACGGAGTTTAGATTTCGTCACTCTCGTGCCATCTACACCTTAAAGAATCAAGTTCACGTCCCAGTTGGGCTAACAGCTCGGCTGTACACTCAGTGACAAAGTTAGAGCTGCACCACCATGCTTTTGCAACTGATGGATGGAACTTTATTTGCTTCCCGGGTTCCCCTCACATGCGTTGAAACTCTTTTGCAGCACTACTGTGGACTCTCTGATTTACACAGCCAAGCACTAATGGCAATCTATCGATCTAAAGTTCTTCTAAACCGTAGATCATCACCCAGAGTACATATCTGTAAATCTTATTCATGGTGCTAGCTCGAGGGTTCCGCGATGTTTTCGGTGACAAATGACTCGAGGGTGCAGTACCGAAATTGTGCTGCGCAAATAACTTTACTTGGCCATGATTATCTAACCACTTCAATACTAACCGTGGACCTACAGAGAGACAAAAAGAAAAGGAGACAGCGTGGTGGCAGAAAAAGGTATACAGAAGGAGTTTAGTGATTTTCGTAACGGCGCAGGTTGATTGGTGACCATAGCCACCGTTGGTAATGGGCGGATAGTCCCAAGATGCAGGAGATCTTCTTGCACGCTGGGTCCTTGACGTCTACAGTGGATACAAGTCCAGGTTCGGGTTGCATTAGCAACGTTGCTCCCAAGGATAGAAGAGTGGAGAGAAATGTGGTCTGGTGCTCCTATTTTGATTCTTCTCCATATTTTCTGAGTTTTTTTTTTCTTGTGGAGGGAATGGAAGTGGAGACAGTGAGGGCCACTTTAGGAAGTACTTGTGATGGGTTTGAACGCCCAGATGTTGCGTGTAGAATGTGCGATAGTGTCTCGTATAGATTGTTTTTCAAGTACTCGTCGATGAGAATGTGGGTGATATGTTCCTGGAGCTGTGATTAAAACAAATACAGTCAGAAATTATGGTACGAAATAAAGGCAGTTAAGTTGTCTCATGTAACTTCACTAACCTATTCTTGGGACCCTTGCAAGAAATTGAAAAATAAGTCTTATGGATAACTTTCGAATAAATATGAAACTGTTTGAATAGCAAGTGGATGCTCAGGATGGAAGAACGAGGTTTGTTTCTATGCCCCTTGAAGGTGTCATTTTTGAATTGATTCCATTACTTTTACACTATCATTTGTCTATTCTCTAGAGAATGGTGATGGACCTGCAAGCATCTCTTCATAATATTCTTCATCCCATTCTTTTCTTTTTTCCCAGAGCCAACTCTCGACCTTACGATCCCTTTGTCTCAACTTTGTCTTCACATAGTAAATCCGTTCTCTCGTAGCCTCCGAGGAACTAATAGCCATTAACGCCCCTGTAAATGCAGACCGCAAATATTATCCACCCCCAGTATTTCTAAACGCCTTTCATAAATATACAGATCCTCCCAAGAATAAGAACTATAGACCAAAGGACGGGTATCGTGAGTAAGGAAAGCCATCCCACAAAGTACCCAGCTACTTATACATTATTGATGAGCGAGGCTATTATCCATCATGGCTATTTCAACCATTAAGACGACAACGCTCAGACCATAGACACACTTTCGAAACTGTGGCACCCTCGCTCATGCCTCTTCATGTTGCTCCTTACACTGAAGGCCTTCCCGCAATTTTGGTGGGGACACTTAAAGGGTTTCTCGCCAGTATGTGAGTGGCTGTGAATTCGAAGACTCGACGGTCTCGAGAAAGCTTTGTTGCAAGTCTGACAGATGTATCTATCTTGTGATTGAGGGAATGAGGCAGCTGATGAAGGCGAGATGTAGTGGTGATGTTGCCATGGATTAGCACCAGAGGATGGAGTCAGAGTCACAGACACTGGCATCATTGTTGGAGGAAATTGCTATTGGGTTATTAGTCACATTGTTACTCCGTTGATGATAAATATATAACATACCTGTGGAAGTGGTCTTTGATAATATAGTCCAGGAACTTGGGGAGAAGGTGTCTGTATTGGACTCGAGTAGTAGGAGCTCAAAGATTGGGCTCCTGGAGACATAGTGTATGCACCGTTGAATGGTGAATGAGTGTACTGCATTGGAGCAACTGGCATTGAGACCCTCCTAGTTACGACGGGAATTGGCTGACGTTGCGCGTGAGGCTCCATATTGTTGATGGACGAGATCTGGGAAGGATTGAAGTAGTAACTTGGTGCTGAGACTACTGAATATGATGAAGTAGATGCTTGAGATGGAGATTGTCTGCCGTCAAAGCCGCCGTCAGATTGCATTGGAGGTGTGGGTGGAAGAGCACCTCGTGAGCTCATTGATGGGGAAGGACCGTACTGGTGTCCAGATTCAGGTCTGTATTCTTCCTTCAAGGCAGCTGAGAGAGAAAATCAATCATTTGAAACACAATGGAGGACCTGAGAGCACTAACCTTGTTGTGGCGATGACTGCTGCTGAGTTTGCTCTGTAGGGCTTGATACATCGGCCAAACCTAATAGACTTGAAATGGATGGTAAGGAACATTTTGAAGTTTCGTCCACAGGTGGCGAAGGTGGTGGTTGAGGTGCGTTAACGTATGTGTAGGGAGAATGTTGAGCCATAGCCTGGGAACTGTAAGGATTGGAAACCAATGGTGAAGCCATTACTTCTGGTACGTTGGTATAAGGAGAGAAGTGTTGTTGATGATTCTTTCGTTCGTGGAAGAGACTAGAGAGATTCATGACCCGATAGGAAGTAGATCAAGACCCAAGATGTCCTCCGTCGGATGTTGTAAAGGTCGAATAGAAGATTGATGAGTAAGAAGATGTAGGATATTGATTAGATTATTACTTTGAGGTCTTCCGTGTGTTCCACTGGGTCGATGGTAGATATATAAAATGGCCGAACCTATTGCTTTCAAGATACGCCTGCGAATACAGGAATTTTGAAGGGCGAGAGGGATCGATAGATATTAATATCAGATCTCCCGAAGACAGTGGGTGTAGGCGATCAGCGCGAATCCACCAAAGAGATCCTGGTAGGATACCAGAGTAACACTTGCTGTCACAAATTGGGTGTGGGTCTACTTTCCGGGACTGTGACTTCAGATGCCCCAAACTTGGCACAAATAATAATACTCGATGGATGGGATGATCCGGACGACCGTCTGGCTTCATATTGGCCTACGGGGTTTTCGCCGCCTTTTGGTATTGCTCGACCGGTACTGCGTGCTCGATGTGGACGTGCAGGCACTGCTGTGGATGAATTCTAGGATTGTCCAGGGTGGGTCCAGGGGGTCTCATGCCTGCAATGACCGTTACTTTCCTTATGCACCCGCTAGTAGAGGGGATTGGCTAGGGTAAAGATGCTTGTTTAATGCGGACAGGCATGCCTCGGAGCATAACCCAATTCAGATGTCGTGGATCCTTCTTTCGACATAATTTTCAGGCTTTGAAGGGTGACCCTGCCTGTCACTTCACCATGTTTGGGATTAGGGCTTTTTGACAGCTTGCTAAGAGGAGGATATGAGACGAGTGACGCGCAAACCGTGAGTCCAAGTTGGGATCTACTGGTATGAATCCTTCTTTCAGTGCCATATCGGCAAATTAGCAGCACAATGCTCATTTGGAGATTGGAGATTCTTAAGCCTTGAAAAGTTACATTAGAAGGGTTGACGATGAGTTATAGTGGAGTACAGGGTATGACTTGAGCCTTCAAAGTTTTAACAGGTAGACAATAGGTGTACTGTTAGCTACAATATACCTAGAGCCTACCTAGGTATAAATATTGTTAACAAATGTGTACAGAGCAAACCGTGATATAACGCGGTATTTCTTATTTATTCTGGCAATTACCATGGAAATCATTCAGGCGATGGATGAATATCGTGTCCTGTATTTCCCTAGGCCATGCAGGTTTAGATGTGTATGCATACTAGCTTTCAAAAAGTCTGCATTTTGCATCTATACCGTACAAGCTCTCCAAGTTCCCCAACTTATCTCGAAGTTGCGGTCGTGACCATATAAGAATTATGCCACCTATAACTCAAGAGTCTGTTTGCGGAATCTGCTACAGTTTATGGATCAAGTGAATTTGCTGGTGCACTGGTGATATTCTGACACAAACCGCCTTTCTTGGGACGAATAAGCGTTGCAACTAACCAGTAAAAGTGCAAGTCGGTTTGGAGTAAATTGGACGGTTTTCTGGAAGAGCGGCTTCAAGGCATTCCCTTGCTCTTTAATACCCTTCAGTTGTTCCAGCGATCGCCCGCTGCTTGTCTCTGCCGGTGCTCGCTTGGAGGATGGAGGGGTCCGTGATAAAGGTTGGGATGAATGATATGATACAGGGTTTCCCCTCCGCTCATTTGAATGGAGACAAGTCCAAATTATTTGATGAATGATGAATCGAATGATGAATATCCACGGTGAACGAACGAAACGTCAGAACCTCTACGGAGTAAACAGCGAGGTTGCCTGTCGAGACCTGAAGAAATATAATGTTGTGGCCAGCGCAGTGAGATTATCTTTTGTTACACGGCGTGATGAAGTGCCGGTAGAGAAATGATCTTTAATATTACGGGATTCTGAAGGTTACCGTCCTGTTGTGTGGCTCCTGCAACACTCATGATATTATGACCATGGACGGCGTTTGGGCTTAGGGATAGAGTTTCATCCCTGTGATAAAATGTCTATCAACAATGGAGAACATTGTTCTTTTATCCGCCCGAGAATGTGACGGCCACTATTTGACTTTAGATATTGCCTGTTGATATATCCTTTCGTGTGCATGAGGCACGAATCGTATAGGTGGGACCGAGTGAGAGAAGGTTTGATATAGTATGAAGGCAGCAACATCTTTCATGGCAATATCAATATGATTACATACTTATTATTAAGAAAGCGATGTGTTGTTCGTGTTTATCGGTAGCTTGCTGTTTAATTTTATTCAAGAGCCTTAGCTAACATTTTAAAGACATTCTAGAATGTTAAGAATGTTACCCGTGCCGTCTCTACTACCCTCTGTGGGACTTCAATGCTCCTGTCAATCAACAATCAACAATCATCAATCACACTTGCCTACTTTGCTCACTCACACTCTTCCCACGCTTTCATTGCCACGGCCCGTGTTGACCATGTTTTTTCTCTACTCTGTGTACTAGATGTACAGTGCCGTTGAATCATGATTGCTTGAAGTCGAGAATTGATCTGCTGTTGGCTATCTCAATCTTGGGTAAATTTTTGGTCGGGAAGCATTTTGACCAAATAATTAAAAAATCATATTAATTATTACAATGCTTTCGTATGAATGTAAACAAATTTCGGTCTTGAAGCTTCATTAGGAATTAGATAGATATCTGTTTCAAGGAGCTGAATATTTTTTGGGCTGAATGATCTGGGTTCAATTTAGGTTCGCTCTAGGTTTACTCTAAGTTTACTCTAGGTTTTACTCTGCTCTAGGTTCATGAGGATCATTGAGAAATCCTTAAGCTTTCGTCCATGATTGTCATCTGGCAAAAGTCGGGACACATCCATGGGTTTATCAACAACAAATGATGTTTAATTACTCGTCATGCCAACAAGTACAGAGAGTATAGCTACGCCGTGGTACTAATAAAAGACATGGCACAATAATTTCATTGTGGTTTTCGAGCATAAGACTTTAGAGTGGTACATATATCGTAATAAGAAGATGAAGGGGGCTCTCTGAAAACAATCCACTGGATATCCTCAAGTATTTACTTTACTGTACGCCGATTCACCGAGAAAATCTTGTGGCATTGTGCACAATAGCACGCACAGTAACAATTTCCCCTCACCACATTTAAGCCCAGTCAATGCTCTAGATAAGTTCATTCTTACCCAGCACCAACCTTACTTCTACTCTTAACAAGCGTCCAAGCACGAGGCTCGGTTATATCCATGGCCAACATATTGGGTTTAGCTTTGGCATCGTATGTGCCCTGTTCTCCATTAATGTGAGCAGACCAGTAGGAAACTAAAAAGCACCATGGTGGCCATGGTGATCGCTCTTGCCTCGGATAATGCAGATCTTAGTACGCACACCATCGGTAAAGGCATCTCCATATCTGACTGATAGACCGGTTGGGCCGTTGGAGAAGACAGAAACAGAAGATACATGGCAACCTTCTAAATACTCTTCTACATCCAATTGCTTAGCTGTAGTGTGACCGCATCTTATTTACTATGCATACTCCGTAGACTAATAAGCACGATACCATTGAGAAAACACAATAGGATATTTTAGGATACTGGAAAATAGAAATTAGCCAGTAATTTTTCTTTTCTTTCACATGTTTTTGTATGTTCGTCCAGAAGACACAGCTACGCTAAAGTGCAACCGTAACGCCGCGAAGCCCCTTCATTACCCCCTCCCGGAGAAGAAACCTGGAGTAGTCTAGCAAGTGCGGAGGCTGAAAAAAGCATGTTTTAATAAGTCCTGTTCAAATTTAAGTTCTGTCATACTCATACCAGTAAAAAAGAAGAATCTAGTTAAAAAGGTGGTCAATATGATAAATCAATTCGCACGATGGCGTGTATTATTGTATAGAGTTATAGTCACAGTCACCCTTTGAAAACTCGGCAAGTTCAGAGACGTTTGGCGTTTAATTCAACTACCTACACACGTCACACCTACACTGCATCAAACAGTCGAACAGAACATGATCAATTCTCCGTGGCCTTGCGGATTTGTCATGTTTCGGATGCCCACAAGCCTTTTCGAAAATGCGGCAGATGATCTCCCGAAGAGGCTTTCTCGCTTCCACGTCAATGAATGCGAACAGACAAAAATTTTTATCAGACCGTCTCTTAAATAACGACAAGCATGAACGGGCTGAAATGTGAAAAGTATCACAGTGAGGTAACTATCCGTCTTTCATGCCATGATCACCAACGACTATCTTCGCCGTGCTGTGTACAATACCGCGTACGGTGCCCAGTGTACAGTATGTTCGTTGTTCTACAGGTAGAATTCGAAGCTAATGGACATCGCACATCTTACCCTGCGGCGCAGCGCAAATGCGAGGTGATAAGGATATCGTGGTTCGTGCCTATGGGAATCTTCGGAGATGATTCTGCAGGCAGTTATCCCGGCATATTTGATTAAATTTGGTCAATCATGAATTTCCACTGGCTCTAAGGATTTTCGCCTTGCAACTAAACAAACACAAACACAAAAGGTAAGTTCATCCCTTTACCTACTTGGACTATACACGAGACAGGCTAAATAAATCTCATGCCAAAACCATCTCGTTTACAGAATCAAAGCCTAAGATATCATATGTTTGAATAACCAAAACTATACCTATATTGGAACAACGAAGGTGTCATGAGGCTTATTCCCCATATGTATATCGGGTAGAGAGGAATACCTTTTTGATAACTTGCCATTGATGAAAAAGAATGGAAGGTATATCGTCATCGAGCATTAAGTTTCATCATTGGATTATGATTGGTGTCAAAATTATCTCCTGCAGGATGATCTTCGCATCCCAGCGATACTCATTACTAGGACCCTAGGAAAGTGGCAGCTTTGGTCGGTCCTTTTCAATCAAGGATTATCGCTGGTAGCCACATGGGGCTTTGGATTAAGCTTGCCCCGCGGTCGTCAAAAGCTACTATTCATGAACCTCGTACGGTTCGTTTTGTCTAGGTTGATCTTCGACTCTATGACCTAATAAGCATAACCGGTCACTTCCTTATCCAGTAGTAACATGCAAAGAACGAACTATCTCCAGTAAACCGTCCCGTCTATAGCATTGTCGCAAACATATATAGATATATGGATAGCCTGCCATATATAATGCTACTCCGACATGTAAAATTTGACAGACGTTCATTTTCCAACAAGAACAAAAGCAATTCAGCTGACTACTTACAAGTTACGACTCGCGAATACAACACTTCAACTCAAG